ATCTCTCAGATTCACTTGCTCCATTATCCTTTTATTTTCAGTAAATTGTTGTTTTAGAACCAAATAAATTCTTGTTCAATGACGGCACGGCGATTATAATTTTATTTCACTATAAAAAGATTATTTTCACTTGTTTGCAAATGAGACCTAAATATTGAAATGCAGCTTGTTTCAAAGTATCACTTTTTTATTTTAATGCATTAGTTTATTCATGAAAAGACATTTTTTGTAATTTTTCTAGAAAATGTATATTATGAAAAACCGAATTCGGTCATCTCGGAATTGTCAACAAACAGGAAAAGTTTTAACACGAATATTATGCACGTATTGCAGGAATGAATTTTAAAATAAAAAAATCCGTTAAAAATATAAACAAAATTTCAGTAACTTCATAAACTAGAAAAAGTCAGAAAATTTAATTGATTTCATTTTCTTTCTAATCTAGAAGTTATATTTTATGTTTCTATTGATTTTTGTTTCCCAACTCTCAACTCAAATTAATAACTTTGTAGATATGTTCTTCGCAATATATAATCATTTAAACAAATCAAATCAATTTTCATCAAATATGTTTGCAATTTATTTTCAATGCATAGAATAGAGAAATAAATACATTTTGAGTAGAAGAAGTGTATACTATAAGTTCACATTCAACTGTTCAGCTGATACTTTAGGTTCCTTTAAAAAAATTGCAATTCTGCAATTTAATGTTGTCATATTTATGATTACTTGGTTTTTAAAACAATTTTTCTTATTTTTTTTCTGATCGTACACAACAAATTGCACTAACAACAAATGTACGAGAAATCGCGAAAATGATTTTTTTCTTCATCTTCTTGTTTAAGTATAAAAAGCTTTATAAAAAGCGATTGAGAAAGCTTTCAATAATGCCAGCATATTTACTCAAAATGTTCATTATAAATCTGGTTTAATGATATTTCTTTTATCATCTACTGCTCTACGGTAAAGTTAGTATTTAGATAAAGACAAGAATGGAAACACTTTAGTTTATCAATATTTTTTGGCTATTAAACTGTCCATCAACAGGCGATGTTGGCTCTTCGATGATCTTCAACTGCTCTTGAATCGCAGCTTGATTATCGTAAATTCCAATATCCGTTGGTGGTGTTTGATTACAATAAATTTGTTCAGTGATTTCAATTCTCTCTGTTGTTGCAAGATTTTCGTAAGCTTCTTGTTGTGATGAACATTGTTGAGGTAGTCTTGCGTTTTGTTGTTCATCTGTTGAGTCTTTTACAAGCATTGAACCTTCTGGAAGTTCATATTTAACATTCGGATATCTTGAACGAATTGAATCACAAACATCCAAAAGATTTTTTGTATCCATTGCAAGGATATGTGCAGACGATAACATATTTCTGAATAATTGTAAAAGTTATTAAGACAAATTGTTATAAAGTTGCTAGCAATGAAACTTACTTTCGACATTCAACATCCAAAGTTGTATCACAATACTGAATGGCTCGATGCATTGATGCCACGAGATCTTTCATGTCTTTTGATAATACTTTATGAGCCATTTCCACTTCTCTGTTGATTAATTAAATGAAAGTTAATTTAATGAAAACTTCTTCTGCTTTTCATACTCACTTGTGAGTTATTGGCGGAAAATTAGATGAAATCAGATCAACTGTGCCCAACAATGTTCTCAATTCAAGTCCAACTGTTTTAACAAGTTCCAAGTAGTCGTCAATTTGTGATTTTTCAACGCCACTGCTGAGCTTCATGACAGCACGAACGACGTTTGTTGTACATAAGTAAACCGGGTCATTCTTACGATCAGCTTTCGCTTCAGTTTTCTTTTCAGATCCTTGAGGTGACGACGACGATGATGTTGAAGGAATTGGCGCTATCGATTCTGATAAAACTCTTGGACTTAACGGCGGTTTCTCAGCAATCGGCGGCTTCACTGTTACAGAAGCGATTTGTTGTCCACTGCTATCAACAATCACATCGTTAAGTGAAGCAATACTGAGACGCTTCTTGATGTTGTCTTCTTGTTGCTGAAGCCATCGTGAATCTTTTTCACTCTCTTCTTGTTGCTTTCTTAATCGAGCCTCTATAAAGTTGTGCAACTCTTGATTTTGATGAACCTTAACATGATTGAAAAAGAGAAAACAAACAAATGAATATAAAACGCTTTCAAAACAAATTAATTAAACAAATCACATGCTGAAAATATAAAAAAATAATCAAAAACTACTGAAAATAAACACAACAATCGAATCGAATGAAATTACAAACTGAAATAAAAATAAACAACAAAACATGATCAAATTAATCTACAAAAGAAAACTTTCGTGTTTTTTTAAATTAAATCGCGAACCTGTTGCGGTGGACCATCCTTTGATGGAATCATCGAATCATTTTGTAAATTGAAAAGGTTTGGATTGGAAAAGGTTTTAAGTGTCGTGGATTGGATATGAGTTGGAAGTGACTTTGGTGGTTGAACGCCTTGTTGGAACATCATGATGCGACTAGCAATACCGGGGCAAGGCTGTTTAAGAGTTGCTTGTGGTGTTGTCGGACGGATTTCCAATGACGACGGGCCTGAGGATGAGTCTACGATTGTCGGTCTCACCATAACATTTGGCGGGACCATTCCACGTTCAATACTCTTCTTAAGTGCAATCGTCGCACACGACTTCACATGAACACCACCAAAGTCATAAATATTCTCTTCAATCAACTCTTCTTGGCGTTGTGCTTGTTGTTGTTGAGCGAGTGCTTGTTGTTGATGAACTTGTGCTTGTTGTTGTTGTGCATGAAGTTGCTGTTGGAGTTGTTGCTTTTGTAGAAACAAATATTGTTGATATTGAACGTTTCTCTCGAGACTTCCACCACTTCTCGGCTTCATAGCATCACTCAGCGCCTTCTGATCATAATATTTTCTCATTAAATCATTCATGATGATGGCTTGACTTCTCTCAAGACTTCCGCCAGGTCGAACGTAAGGTGGTGGCGGATTTTGTTGAAATTTCTCAAAGCTACTTGAGTAAGCACCTTTGAAACTTAATGGAAGTTGTTGATTTCTTTCCAAACTTGCTGATCTTAACGCTGCATTGTCAGCTTGTTGTATGCCAGCACTGAATTGTCTTATAAGTGATTGAGATCGTTGACCAGTCTTCATACTGTAATCAGCTGATTGTTGCTGCTGTTGGCGACGTTCCAAAGAATTCATTCTTGCAAACACAACATTCTGATTGAGATTTCTTTCCAAACTTTTACTTTTAGCATCGGGTGGTTGTGGTGGAAGTGCCGCATTAACAACAAACGAAGCTTCATTACATTCACCTTCATTACCTGAAATTTGGGAGTTGGAAAATTGGGATGTGGATAAGGATTGTTGAGGTTGACACTTCTCGAAGATGTCCAACTTATCCTGCTTTAATGGCATCAAATCCATTGCTGGAATTTTGGAAACTTTTAATGGAATATCGTCGGCTGGGTTTTTTTCAGTAGTTTGATCGAATTCAACTGCAAGAACGTTAAATACCGAAGCTGGTGTTGTGTAAGCTGATGGATTAACGCCTCGCTTCTCATTTTCTCGCATCAACTTGGCAAGAATTGCGGGATTTTGTGCAACAATGTAGGTCATTCCATCGCCTGTTCCATTATCTGTCCGCTCACCGTCATTTGTCGTTGTTGATAATTGAAAAAGTTTCGATGTTGAGTCTGTGAGTGGCGTTCGTGATGGTTTTGGTGGTGGTTCGTCTGATTCAACGCCACCCCATGACATTGCAGCAATTCTTCGATTTTCACGTTTCATTGTCTCAGAATCGCTGACTTTCTCTTCGAGTAAAATTTCTCTGCAGAATTTAATTAGGTAATTAACAATTTGACATTTCTAAACATTATTGAACTTCAAAACTTACTTTAAAATCTCTTTAACATTTTTAAAGTCGGGACGTTTTGCTGGTTCGTAACTCCAGCATTGTGACATTAGAGAGTATAAACGAGGCGGGCAATTTTGCGGAAGTGCTAAACGTTCACCATTTTCAAGCTTTCCAATTACTTCACTGTTTTTGATGCCTTGAAAAGGTTTAACGCCGAACATCAAAATCTCCCACGTACAAACAGCTGAAAACAATGAAAGAAATTTGATATTCGTCAAATATTTATTTTTTTATTTTACTTACCAAACATCCAAACATCGCTCGCTGTCGTAAATCTTCTGAAATTGATACTTTCCGGTGCCATCCACTTAATCGGCAATAAACCTTTACTTGATGTGTAGTACGATTGATCTTCAACCCATCGCGATAATCCGAAATCAGCCAACTTTATGCAGCTGTGAGACGAGACTAGAACATTTCTGGCTGCAATATCTCGATGAACAAACTTCTTTGACTCAAGATAACTTAACGCTGTTGATAATTGATATGAGAAAAGCAAAAGCGATCCAAGTTTTAATCTATAAAACAAGAAATTTAATTATTTAATCCTGAGAATTAATTTTTCTTTAAAGTTTTACTTTGAACTGTTTTCTTTTAAATATGCTCGAAGTTCTCCAAGTCTTGCAAGTTCCATGACAATCCAAATTGGTGCATCACTGCAAATGCCAATAAGTCTTATGATATGTGGATGTTCAAACTTTTGCATGACATCTAAACAATGAAATGAATTAATAAATTAAAAAGATTCTTAATTGAATGACGACTTACAAGCTTCCTCGAGGAACTTTTCTGATGTTTTCAGATCAGCATCAGCTTTACAAGTTTTAACAGCAACAGCAACAATGTCTTCTCTTACAGCTGATTGATCTTTTTTACTTGCTGATCGAATAATTCGACAAGTTCCAATGTAAACATCACCAAATTGTCCAATTCCAATAATTTCACTCAACACAATTTGACCACGATGAAGTTCATAATTTCTTGCTGTTGGTGTTGAATAATCTCCTTCTTCATCAACATCAGGTAGAACGCCGTGTAACTCTGAATAATCATCGACAAGCATCGGAAGTTTCGGTAAACTCTCAAACATCTCTTGTGAACTTTCAGCCATCATTGAATTTTGAAAAGAATTTTTCTTCTCTAAAGAATTTGTGTTCATTGGCGTCACTGAACGATCCCAAACACTCAAATTATTCTCATTAAATATTTTACAATAACCATCGACTAGATCTGCAATGCCATCAGCTACATTAACACCATTACAAGTTATCGCTAAATCTTCAGTGTTTCCATCAACTTGTATCCTCAACTGTGATTTTATTGTACTGCAACTGCATCCCGATGCACTTTGGGAAATGTTTGAGTCATTTGATTTGCTATTTTGTAGACTTTTACCACTCGTTGAACTACTGGTGATTGTTGATTGTTGAAGAATCGGCAACATGCTTGTTCGCAATGACAAAATATTCTCAAAATCTGTGACTTTTGTTGGCTTCGCTTCAGCATGTGTCAGGTAAGAGATTCCCATGTTATACCCGATAATTAAGTCAATCGCGATGTTCCATTGACCTAAAGTCACAACAAACTTCTCATGATCAAAGTCAAAAATCGTCCCAAGCTGTTCAAAGTATTTCAAAACGTATTCAGTATCTGATAGCTGATAAATCTTTTTATATTGATTCTGAATAAGTTTCTTCAAGTTTTTATGTTTGATTGTGTCGATGACCGACTTCGGTAAAAAGTTGCTGAAACCAATTTCCTTTTCAATGTAATCAAGATGTTGCTTTCTGTCATTCGACGATCTTGCATCCTTGTAGTAATGTCGAATCGATAAACAACATAATTGAACAGCAATTTCTTGATCAATGTTTGGTAGATTCGCTTGAATGAAATCGTCTTTGACTTGATTGAAATAGAAGTTCATACTGATTTTATCACGCTCAAGAAACTCGTTTAGACTCTTCGGGATGTATCGAACTCGAAGCTCAATTTTCCACACACAATTTGAATTTCCAAGTGGGACATTTTCCTTCGATTCCAGAAGATTCTTATCAGATATTGTTGGTGACGTTTTAATAAAGTTAGGACAGCTTAAATTCGAACATGATTCATTTGAAATGTAATCAATGACTTGGCGGGTGAGGGTAGCTGGAAAATCAAAAACCAAAAATTTTAGATAACATTTCTGTTGAATAATAATTACGATGACTTACTCTGTGGTAACCAAACGATTTCTTTTGTCACCATGTGTCGTAAACGGAGGGCATAATATTGAGGATTGGCTTTAGCACCACCACCAGTTGACATTGAGCCAACTAAAAGGCTTACAATTGTCTTCACATCAGCCACTTCATCAATTTTTATCTGTTAAGTTTGTTTTTTTCCAAAGAAGAAAAAAAAGAAAATGTGAAAACTTTTAATCTTTCTCTTTTTTTATTATTTTGCGTGACTATTTACCATTCGAAATCCATGGTTGGGTAGGTGTATGTAAAGTTGCTGTTGATTTTCAATGCTGCTGAGATTTCGCGATGGACTAAAATGTGGCGAAAAACCTCGACTTACACCTAATTCATCCATCCTGAACGCCCACGCTAATTCCACAAATCTCTAATGAAGCTTAGAAGAAATCTTTTCACTTTAAAAACTAAACCCGATGAGTTTTCTACAAAAAGAAAAGAAACGAAAGAAGAAACATAATGAAACACTGATAAGGAAGTGTGTATGACATGAAGCAAAATGCAATGCTTAAAGTGAATGAACTGACAGAATTATGAATGAGAAGGAAGTGTTCTGATATATTCCGTAGATTGGATAATTAAAATTCAATCATGGTTTTCTCAATTCCCTTTTCAACATTTACATTTTGTATATTTTAGCACAATCTAATGATTATTATCTGTTTCTTATATTGATTTCCTCACTTTTAAGCACGTTTTATTTATTCATTTCGTATTTTTCATTGAGAAAAGCCAACATTTTACAATTTTATTTTTATTTTCTTATAAATTTATTGACTCCCAAGTTAAGTTACACTGAATGTTATCCGGACTTCTACATCATTTTCACAGTACCAAACATTCTTCGGGTTGGAGCTTAAAAGCAAAAATTCTTGAAATTACGATTTAAGTTTAGTTTTAAATTGTGACTGTTTATAAAAATAAAAGTCTCTATGGCTATAATCATAATTCAATTAAAAAATATCATCATGTTTTGGTATAAATTGTAAAAATCAAGACAATTTGCAGTTTGAATTTAACGACTTAAATTTTGATTACGTTGCTAACAAAACTGACGTGTAGAAGTTTACCGATTCAACCGATTTCAATCGACTCCATTAAAACTTCGTCTAAACTTAAAACAATTCTCATATAATCAGTGTATTAAAAGTAAAGTTAATTAATTCAGAAGATATTTGAAGGTATGATCATAAAAAGACGCATAAAAATCTCCTCAAAAACCTGCGATTAGAAGTGAAATAGTTTTCACAAAAGTTTGTTTGTGTTTTCCATGTTTTTTTAATCGCATTTTCCTTTTATATATGATTTCAAACTTCTTCCAAGTGTCATTTTCTTTCGCAATAAAAGCTGCTTTAATGAACATACTAAGAATCATCAACTTAAATACCATTTCAATATAACCTTCTTTGATATGTTGCAACTTTTCCATCTTTCACTTTTTATGTCTTCTTCTTCTCTTGTGCTATGCCTTTGTGCATTAGAAAATATATTTTTTCTTTCTTCATTCCGTCGTCATTATTTTTGTGTGTGAAATTTAAGAGTTGAAGGGCATGTTGAAAGAGAATGAAAACAGCAACCAACAAGAGTTACATAAATTTATTCACAATTTATTGCATTTCTTACCACTAAAGAAGCTTTTCCAATAGAAAGAAAAATTCTTTTTCATTAAAATAAGTACGTCTGATTGATGTTGACCCATTTTTTCAAAACGTTGGTTTTGCAATTGTTGTTCCTTCTGCTGAATGTTTCAATTTTCTCATTTATATTTTACAGTTTTCGTTTCATTTTTATTTTTGCGTGATCGATCAACTATTAAACAGAAAGAAACGAGATGGGCGAGCAGCAATTTTTCTTGAAATGGAATGACTTCCAGAATAACATGGTATCATCGTTTAAACATTTGCGTGATGAAAAGAGCTTTACCGATGTAAGTTTCATTGAAGTTTTTTTCTTCTTGTTTTATTTTGACCTTTTCCTTCACAACAACAATTTATGTTTCTTCAGGTGACGTTGGCCTGCGATGGACAAACGTGCAAAGCTCACAAAATGGTTCTGTCAGCCTGCAGCCCATACTTTAAGACTCTGCTAGAAGAGAATCCTTCAAAGCATCCGATAATTATTCTCAAGGATGTTTCATTCAATCATTTGCAAGCGATTTTAGAGTTTATGTGAGTTCATTTGAGATCAATGTTAATTAACAGTTCAAAAGTGAATTAATGATGTGAAATTTTTAGGTATGCTGGAGAAGTGAACGTCTCGCAGGAACAACTTCCTTCATTTTTGAAGACAGCTGATAGATTAAAAGTAAAAGGCCTTGCAGAAACTCAATCACCTTTCAATAAACGTGATGGTTGATAAATTAAATCTCAATTCAATTTATTAATTAATTTTCACTCTCCAAAATACATTCGAGACTTGAAAATCATCCTCCCTTGATGTTATCCCACATACTCCCTCAAATTATCCATGATTTCAACATGAAAGACGAAAAAAAAAATCTTTAACACTTTGAATTACGAGAGAAGTTCACATTTAGACCCTTTTTTCGTAAATTTAGTTAATTCTTAAGATATTTTTTATCGCAAACTTTTCTTTTCCATTTTCATGTATCAAAAACTTAAAATTTCTTCACCTGCAAATTCATTCAGATTTTCTTTTTTTTAATGTTGTTACCACTTCATGTTTTTATACTTTCTTCAACTAATTAATATATCTGACAAATGTCTCAATAGTCTCGAGTTAAAAATTACAAATGAAAACCAGTTAAAAATATTTTTTTATGCCAAAGCACTCCATTTTCTTCTTCTTTGTTGTTAGTTAAAAAAATAACAAGAATTGACTAATTAACTTCTCACAAATATCTTCTCGTTCTCCCTTTGACTTCCTTTCTATCCATTTTCTAAGTTTTAATTCAAAAACATAATTATTTTATAAGCACAAACGTGTAGTTTTTTTTTCTCTAAGTGAAGATGAAAGAAAGAAAGAAAATTTATTCAAGAAATGTCCCCAACGGATAAACAGAGAAAATAAGAGAATTAAATAAAGAAAAATAAAAAAGAATTCATTGATTAAGAAACTAAATAAAAATGAACAATTTAAGAAAGAAATCAATGGATCATTTTTAAGTGAATAAGATGACACTGACATAGGAAAAAATGAATTAAATAAAAGAATGATTTAAATATTTTTAAAAAAAGAATTTTCCAAGTTTACTCGTATTCCATAATTTTCATGAGAAGATATCGAAGATCTCGTGCTTCAATACCGATTGTTGGTTGATCGTCAACTTCATCATCACGCAACACTGACGGCGTAGTTAAGCCGTAAACTTCACAAGCATGAAGAAAGTTTACCGTGTCTTGAATCGCTATGGACGGTAGGACGATGATTTGCTTTGCAAGTCCACATAAGAGTCCCAAGACACATCGTTTAACATGAAGCCAAGTATCAGCACATAATCTTGTGCTTGCTTCACCTTCAACAACCATCAAAGCGTGAGCAATACGTGATAATCCAAATTCATAATTTCCTTTAGCACAATAAAGTGTTCCAATCACCAAGTTTATGATACATAAATGCAAGCATTGAGTTTCGCTATTATTCTTTCTCTCTTCAGCTCTTTCAACTCGTCGCATTAATTCTTCAGCTTGTTCATTTTGCGATGTCATAATATAAGCGACACAAAGATTTGCTAATACAATCGCTGACACTGACAAGATCTAAGAAAATTAATCATTTAATTGAAAATTAATTTAAATTAATTAAATTCATACATCTTCATAACTTTGACGAACAATTGGCTCGTAGAACGCTGCTGCTTCTTTATATTTATCACCTCTCATAAACAAAACGTGAGCTGCATGCAATCTCCATGTTGTCGTTTCTGAGCAGAACTCTGCACTTGCACGAAATTCTCTTTCAGCACTTGTGAAGTCATTTTCACGCCAATAAATGTAAGCGCGTGTCATTGCAACTGGTTCATAATCGTTCAAGACACTTTCATATTCCCGTAGTGCATTTCTCAAAGCATTTTGATCTGATGCCAATCGACATTCCTGAACTTTCGACGATAATGTTCTTAAGCGAGTTGCAAGATTACTTGACAACACTCCCAACTTCTTTTCAGCTTCTTCAAGTGATGTTTGTGATGTTATGATTGCATCAAGCAAATCGTAAAGAAATGGTGACAAGAATTTATAAGTTAGTTGAGCATGTTCAGCAAGAATGTCAGCAGCTGTATCAAACATTTCATGTTTGCAGCAAAGAATCAATAAATCTGAAAATGATTTAAATATTTTCAGGAATGAAAAAGAAAATTAAAATAATTTGCTTACTTGAAAATGTCTCCATTGGACATATTGGTCCAAGTTCCAATAAAAATGCAAGTCGTCTTAATTTCACAGTTCCATTTAATTGATCACCAGTCAACGCCATATTATGAAGAGTGACAGGGTCAAGTTCAGGCTCTGATCGTGGCGGTAAATCCATCAGAGCTTCACGAGCTCCTTCAACATTTCCTTCTTGATATTCAATCGCTGCCTTAAGATTCAAAGCTTGAACAAGACCAGATAAGGAAAGTGCAGGTGGATTGCCAACACTTCTTGCACCACCTTCAGTTTCAGCTTGTGCACCGATTCCAAGTTCAGGATAATTTCTTATCCCTCTTTCGATGATATCTCCAATCAAGTTGAGAGCTTGTGAGAATTCTTTCTTTCTATAATGACACAAAGCAGCGTTATAAGCTGTCAAAGGATTGAAACCCGTTTGAAGTGATGAAAAGAAACGTTGCATTGCTTCATCATGAAAATTCGCTTGGTATAACAAACAACCTTCGTCGTTTAATGTTTGCGCTGTTCCTGATTGTCGTTGCAAGAGAATTGACTGAGATGCAGCATAATCTTCATTACTGAAATAAATTGCGCTTTGAAGCTGCAAAACTTTCTCTTTCAAATGGTCAGCTTCAATCATGTTCGTGACTTTTATTGCTTCATCAAACAACCCAGACTGGTATAAAGATTGTCCATAATAAAGTTTGTAATCAGGAACGTCAGGGCAAAGTTCGCAAAGCATTTCATAACAGTTGCTAGCTTCAATAAAATCTTGAGTTTGGTAGTAGCAGTGCCCGAGAATTGAGAGACCAGAACGAGTCGTTGAAGCTTCTCTAATAGAATTGAGAATATTGATTACTCCATTAAATTGTCCTTCTTTAATCTGGAAAGTCATAAATATATTTTAAGCATTGGTTGATTTAGCATAAATATTTATGTTACCATCAAATATATCGTTTTGGTATATTCGGAATCTCGAATATTGCTGACTTTGTTCAACATCATTATTGCGAATTTTAGTTGAATTTAATCTGAATGTGGAAATTATTAAATGATTCAATAAATATCTGAAAATTAATAAACTTTGTTATGGCAAACTAATTTTTATGTAGTCAAGAGAATATTTATGTTTTGTATTTTTATGTTGCGTGGCAACGACATTTATTTTTGATATGTTTACATTTAATAATTGAATAATTTTCATCTTCATTTCATTCCCTAAGTTATGCTAATTAAAATCTAATAAATTTATCAAAATGTCTGTTTCGGTTTTGGAATCATAAAAAGAAATTTCTTTAATCGGATCATTCAGGTAGACACCGGTAATAATTTTTATACTTCATATTTATCGAAATGAATGAAAAAAGTCCGAATTAAACCAAATTAAATATTGCAATAATGCTTAACAACTATAAAAACTTCAAATCTCAAATGAACAAAAGGATTCTTTCATAATCTTTGTCAACATTCGTTATCAAATGAAAACAATGATAACAAATTGCGTGTCTCTGTTGTTATCTGTCAAGTGTAAGTTCCCAAAAGTACTTCGCATTTTGGATTTGTACAATAATGGTGAATTACTTTTCTTGAACTTAAACAGCAGCAATTGAAACTTCCATCGTCACTTGTTTCAACTTTCTCGTATAGGATTTTGGTTTTCATAGTTGTGAGGCATGTTGAGCATGTGATAAGTATCGGTTCTTAAATTTAAAAAGTGAAATTACAAAATGCGTAACAAATTTGTTGTTTACTTACTTGGACCTAAATAGGGACTCACAATGCTTGAATCGTTTAATTGCTTTGAATTTAGATAAGCTGGTGGTTGTGAAGTGTGAACTGTTTGCATTGCAGAAGTTCTCGCTGAACTTTCATATCTGGGTGGGATTCTATTTGGTACTGGAAACCCGACTTTGCTAGAACCTAGATAAATATTTTAATTTAATATAATAAAATGTTAGTGACAATCTTCTTACCAGCATTTTCCATTGTGCTTTGAATTGTATCAAACATTATTTTACCCCCTAGAAGAAACATGATGTTGTCTGTCTTAAATTCGCTTCAATACTGACTTATTCGCATAATTGTTATCTTTTTTCCTAGCGTGTCACGTGCTGATATTTATCATCAAACAGCTGATAAAAATGAAAAGTTTTGAAAACTTTGAAACATTCCTTTGTTTGCGAATAAATAATTGAAAATTACTGAATTAGATATATCAAGTGTCAAAACATTTTGGTTGATAAGCAACGAGAATCAAAGCAGTAAGTGTTAATCTAATTTAACAAATCTAATTTAATTACAAAAGTGTGATGAATTGAAAAATGCAGCGAAAAGAACCATTTAAATATTTAAACAAATATTTTGCTTTGCATTTATTCACTGCAAATCTAAGTTTTGGTGTAAACTTGAATTGAAGAAAAATGAACAAGTTTTTATTAATTTTTATTGTTTTAACATTACTTCATATTATTCATGCTGTCAACGAGAAAAGTAAGTTAAATAGTTCATAAATTATCTGAAATTATTGATATTTATAATTGAATAGAACAAGATCAGAAAGAAGGAAGCTCAAAAAATGGTGAAAAGGAAGTCAAACAGAGAAATTTGTCGGTTGAATCTCTTCTGAAAGGTAATACAAGTATTGACTATCAGAAAGGCTTATGTTAATTTAAATTAATTTCAAGGTAATAAAGTACCAATTAAAGATCCTGATTCTCTGTCAGATTCAAGTTCTTATGAAGACCTTTCTTCTTCAGAAGAAAAAATAAGTAAAAGGTTTTCAAAATCTAGACAAACTAAGACTAAACCTAAAAAGAAGGCTGCGAAGAAGTCTGCTAAGAAAACTGGGAAGAAAAAGCATAACAAAAGACATGATTAGCAATAATTAAAAATTGTGACCATTAAAATCTGTTTTCAATAAATCTGCTTACATCGCATCCATCGTCAACTTTATTAATTCTTGGTTTGCGAGAATTTTTAAATTGCAAATACTAAACTTTGGCTATTTAATTACCTAACTATGTAATACTTACCGATAACATTGATAAGATATGAAAACAAAGCTCATATAAGCAATAATTCTTATCACTAAGGAAATAAAGCCTTGGGACAAATGATTAGAATTATTTTTAAAATTTATTTAACTAAAGGAACAAATTTTTAATAACGTCATAATATTGCGTTTTGAATTGCAATCCCAATGTTTGATTGCAACACAATGGTTTGTTACATGAAAAACAAATGTTAAAATGTTATGCTGCAATCAGTAGAATCATTTTGTGTTTTAATTGAAAATTTTCAAAAAATTCTTTAATCTTTCTTCATTAAATCTTAGAAAAAAGTGCCCACTTCAGTTGAACACAGTCAAAACTCGATAAACTGATTGCCAATGAACGGATACGCACGATAACCTAAATAATGTGTTTTCAAGCTTTGACTATATAAAGCGCACACAGAAAACAAGTCTCTTTCGAACATTTATTGATAAGAGAATTGTAATCTCCGAAGTTTTATTTTCATCGAATCGCGAACCGATCGCGTATCGTTGCTTCGTCAAGTATTGAAGTTCTCATTATACACAACGAAAAGCATTAATATGAATGAAAAAAAATATTAGATGCGAGCGGCAGTGTGACTTTACGTCGAATAGCTTATAGACTTAAAAACTAAACTCTTAAATAATTTTCTACAAGCTCAATATATTTTTTGTTCAAGGTTCAGTTTTGTTTAATCGCAAGAAGGTGAAGGCCAACAAAATAGTGTTTTGCTTAAAATGAGTTTCTGTTTTTGGTGATTAATGATTTTTCTTATTTTGTAAATTCATTTTTATTTCTGGTCCATTCTAAATGATTCATGCATGTCGTCATTTGCTGATAGTGATTAAAACTTGACTCATTTACATGTCAAGAATCTTGACGCTATATGTGATATAATTGCAAAAACAAATCTGTAAAAATTGTGTTACATTTTATAAATATTCATGTGTTTAGAATTGTTAGTTTCTGCTACAATAAACATTTAATGATTTAAAGCAAAAACTTAAACAGCAAATATTCTAGCAATATTTTATCTTTTAAACAAAAAATGTTCGAGTCATTGTGCCTAAAAATAGAAAAGATTGATTCCTTTGTGATTCTTACTTTTCGATAATATTTGTGCTTAATGAAATTAACAGCGTTCATTATTCTGTAAGTCATATAATTTAATTAAGGCCCGCCTAAGACATATGTTCAAAGGATTTCACTTTCACTCCCTTCGTCATGAATTCATGACGAATGTTCCACATTCAGCAATGTTTCATTTTCCGGTCAGGGTTTCTCACAAATGCTTTGATAAGAATAAACATTTCATATTCCGTTGATTGTTGTTTGTTTACATTTTTTCTTATGTTTCTTTTATTTCTATCTATTTTCAGACTGGATTTAAATACATAAGAAAAACTGCAGACATTATTTAATTCATATTAGTTTTTATTTGTTTGGGATGGCCTGTTCGATTGTGGCTGAAAAATTTGCTCTTGTGATATCCACAGCAATAACATTAATTGTCGCATTAGTTATTGGTTTAACATGGCGAACAATATCCATAAATTACATGTTAACTCCACAACTTGTTCTTCAAAATAACACACAGAATTATGATTACTGGAAGGAATCGCCAGTTCCTATTTACTTAGAAGTTTATTTTTTCAACTGGACAAACCATGAAGACGTGCATAATCGTTCAATCAAACCACACTTTACTGAAATGGGTCCATACGTCTTCAGGTAAGCATGAATTATAATTATAATAAAAAATGTTTTGAAGTTTTCTTTTGATTATTCATGTAGCGAAAAACATATAAGAACAAATATTGTGTGGAATGACAATGGGACTGTTACTTTTAATCAAATCAGAATTTGGCATTTTGATGAAACACAATCAAATGGCAGTCTAACAGATGAAGTAACAAACTTGAATGTTATCGCCGCTGTAAGTGTTTGTTACTGTTTTATTTTTGATTATTTTTAATTATAAAATGCTTTCAAACAGACTGTTGGATATTCGGCAAGATATTTCAACAATGCCTTGAAGTTTCTCATAAGAACAATGATGGGATCAGGACGAGCACCGCTTGTTGTTACCAAGACTGTAAAAGAACTTTTATTCGATGGATACGAGGATCCATTATTAACACTCGTTAGGGCAAATGGAAATCCTGATTTACCCAAAGTAAGAAAACAAATAAAATTCTTGTGGAAATATTTAAAAAAATTTAAATTAACTTGTAGCCGCCATTCGACAAATTTGGATGGTTTGTTGATAGAAACGAATCAGAAACTTACGATGGAAACTTCACAATGTTCACAGGAGTTGATCAAATAGAAAATCTTGGCGTGTTAGAATTATGGAATGACCAAAATACGACGGGACTTTATCGGGATGAATGTGACGAAGTGTCAGGAACTACTGGTGAACTTTGGCCACCAAATTGGAATCGAAATAAACTTCCAATTACACTTTTTGCGACTGACGTTTGTCGATCAATAACTCTTAACTATGAATCAGATATCACGGTTCGTGGTGTTCCAGGATTTAAATGGATCGGCGACGAATCTGTTTTTGATAATGGAATCAAGTATCCTAGCATGGCTTGTTATTGTTCAGCTGCCAAAGAGTCTTGTCCTGATTTATTGACAGGACTTTTCAATGCTTCATCTTGTAAATTTGGTGCACCAGCTTTTGTGAGTTTTCCACATTTCTATCTCGCGCATGAAAACTATCGTGACGAAATTGAAGGAATGCACCCAAACAAGGATCGACACGAATTTTCAATCGCGTTGGAACCAAGAACAGGAATTCCTTTGCAAATTCAAGCTCGACTTCAAATAAATTTGATGATGAAGTCATACCCGTGGGCACCGGATCTAGTTGGCGTTCCAAACTTGATGATGCCAATGTTTTGGTTCCAACAAGTTGCTGAGCTTTCACCTGAACTTGCTAGCGATGCAAGATTAGCAGCGATGCTGCCTGACATTGGTTTGTGGATCGCTTATGGACTAGCTGGGCTTGGCGGTGTTCTCATACTTGTCAGTATTTTGTGTTTCGTTTATCGATGGAGACGTCGAAGTGATGATTATGATGATGAGATTTTAGATGGTAACGTAAACCAGACATTGACTGATAATTAAAAGTTTTGTTGATATTATTTGAATGATGTAAATACTTACATATAACTATTTTTTATCCTTGTTCAATGAAAGTTAAACCAAATAAAGCATCACATTTTAACGAGAAATTAATTTTCAATCTTTCATTAAATACTTTTAAAGCAAAGCTCTCAAATCGAATAATCTAATTAAGTAAGCGTGATGAAATGGAAAATGTGTGAAAATTGAATATTTCCATCAATCATTTTAAAGTTTAGTTGGATTAAAAACTTGTAGTTTCCTTTTAATGAACTGAAATAGAATGAAGAATTTTTTATCGATCTTTGCCGTTTTAATATTAGTTTACGCTATTGAATCTTCAACTTCATCAGGACGAGACAAAAATGAAATAAGCTCAAAAAATATTACACAAGGAGAGACGAGCCGATACCTCGGTCTTTACATGTATCATAAAAAAAGTAAACATGTCAAGAAAGGTAGAAAGAGAAACAATAACTTACTTGTAACTTCGAATCCCTACCTTCAATTAAAATCTGATTCTGATTCTGAATCTGAGTATGAATCTTTTTCTACATCTGAAGATATTTCGGACTACAAATCAATAGAAGATTCCTTCTCTGATGACTCTAGCATTGAATCAGGTGAAAGCTCCGATTCTGACTCTGAAGAAGATTCTGATTATGACTCAGATTCTGGAGAAAATTTTGATTATATTTCGGAATCTGGTGAAGATTATGTATCAGAATCTAATGAAGATTATATTTCTGAATCTGGTGAAGATTACATTTCTGAATCTGAAGACGACTCTTACTCTGCATCTGATTCTCAATCTGAGGAAATTTCTAATTCATTGTCAAGTGAAGATTATTCTGCATCTGAATCAGATTCAAAGGAACTTTCAGACTCTGATTCGATAGAGAGTTCTGACTCAGCATCGGAAGAAACCTCAAACTCTTCATCTGAAGTGAATTCTAGTTCAGCATCAAGCGAAGAAGCTTCCGCATCTGCATCGGACTCTGAGGAAGATTCAGAAGAAACCTCAAACTCTTCATCTGAAGTGAATTCTAGTTCAGCGTCAAGCGAAGAAGCTTCCGCATCTGCATCTGACTTTGAAGAAGACTCAGACTCTACTTCGATACAGAATTCTGTCTCAGCATCGGAAGAAACCTCAAACACTGCATCTGAGGTAAATTCTAATTCAGTGTCAAGTGAAGAAGATTCTTCGAAATTATCTGATTCTGAGGAAGACTCAGACTCTGCGTCGATAGAGAATTATGACTCAGGATCGTTCGATATCCCAAGCTTTGAGACTGAGGAAAGTTCTAGCTCATCGTCAAGTGAAGAATATTCAATTACTGCATCTGAACTTGTGGGACACTCTGACGCTGTAAACAGTTACGAGTTTGAATCAGAAGAGAATTCTGACTCTGAATCGTATTTTGATTCTAGCTCCGAATCTGAAGAAGATTATGACTCAGAATTTCAGAGATTTCTTCGAATTAAATGAAGATTTAAGATTATTGAAAATAAATTAGAAGACATTAATAAATTAAATTTTTTAAAATAAAATTTGTAAAACAAATTTTTTTTGATATTAAACAAATTTTGTCAAAATGAATTTAATTACAAATGCTTTCAGATCACAACCACACAGCATCATTGATGCGCATCTCTAAAATGAAATCATCGAAAGAGAATGTTCACTTTCAATTATCAGTATTTTCATTCTCTTTATAAATCATTCGTATTTTAACTTTCAATTCATCAAGTCGCAGATTTACAATCTTTTCATTGGATGTTTTAATTATCACCTTTTAAAAAGTTCTAAGAAATGCTGAAAACTTTCTTAATCACCGCATTATGTTGCGGTGATATTTTCATGCCAAAAACTTCTAATAAATTTAAAGAAATTAAAAGTGCCAGAAACTTTCTCGATCCACATTTCACTGAAGGTCACAAGGGCATCGTTCAATTATTTGAGTGGAAGTGGAATGATATCGCCTCTGAATGTGAAACTTTTCTCTCTCTAATGGGATATGGTGGCGTTCAAATCTCACCACCAAATGAGAATGTCATCATCTACAATCGACCATGGTATGAACGTTATCAACCAATATCTTATTTGATTAAGACAAGATCAGGAGATGAAAAAAGTTTTTTAGACATGACACAAAGATGCAATAAAGTTGGTGTGAGGTAAGCTCACGACATTCCTTAAAATGAATTAAAAATGAAATGAAATTTTTTGAAGAATTTATGTCGATGTTGTCATCAATCACATGGCAGCTGATCAGCCAAGCAAAACAGCTGTTGGCACTGGTGGTTCAAATGCTAAACCGTAATTATTTTCTGCATTCCTAACTAAAGTAACTTTGATAATGAAATCATTTTAGTGACATCAGAGATTACCCTTTTGTACCTTACAATGTGACAAACTTTCACCCACCCTGTCCACTCATTGACTTTAACGATCGTTATCAAGTAAGAAATTGCGAGTTAGTTGGACTTCATGACTTAAATCAAACGATTGAAGATACAAGAAATAAGATTGTTGGTTATTTAAATCATTTAATTGATTTGGGAGTCGCTGGGTTCAGAGTAGACGCAGCAAAGCATATTTGGCCTAATGATCTTCAGATTATTTACAATCGATTAAACTTCTTAAACACTTCGTTTGGGTTTGATGCAAGGTTAAATCCATTTATTTATCAAGAAGTTTTTGACAGTGGAAATGAAGCTGTCAGTAAATTTGAATACACATTTGCTGCTGTCACTGAATTCCGCTATGCACTTGAACTAGCAAGATCATTCACAAGAAACGATCAACTGAAGTGGCTGAGTGGATTTGGGGGGAAATGGGGATTGTTGCCATCAAAGTATGCAGTGGTTTTCATAAATAATCATGACACGCAACGATCAGGTGGAGTGCTGACTTATAAAAATGGAAAAAGCTTTATCATGGCTCAAGCTTTCTCTTTATCTCATCCATTTGGGACAAAACGAATCATGAGTTCATTTGATTTCGATAAAGTTGAAGAAGGTCCACCAAACGATGGAAAAGAAAATATTTTATCACCAACATTTGATGAGAATGGACAATGCAACAATGGATGGGTTTGCGAACACAGATGGCCACAAATAGCTTCGATGGTTGAGTTTATGAATGTTGTTGATGGTGAAAATATCACAACATGGTGGGATAATGGAAGCAATCAAATTGCCTTCTCTCGAGGTTCCAAAGGATTTATCGTGTTTAATTTAGAAACAGATTCAATGAAAGATGTTTTAATACAAACGAGTTTAAAAAGTGGAATTTATTGTGATGTTGCGAGTGGAAGAAAAACGTCAAATAATTCATGTTCTGGTAAAAAATTGATCGTCTCATCGGAGGGTTTAATTTCAATTGACTTACAATCTGATGACTTGAATGGTTTCATTGCAATTCATACGAAGCAGAAACTTGATTAAATTTGACTTGAATTTAGGGATTCAATTTGTAAGTAATTTTAACGAAACTAGTTTATTGTCTTAAAAATAAAAATTTAAATAAAATGTTTGCATGACATCACACGAATATTTTACAGCCTTGAATTTCTGTTTGGATATCACGCCTGGATCACTGGTAAGATGAATGCATCGATGGAGTTATTTGTAAGTTGATTTGTCTGTCAAGTTGTTGGTCATTTTGTATTTGATGTTGATGGTTCAATTGTTGGATTTGAAATTGATGTTGTTGTTGTTGATCATGCGACTGTAACTCATGATGACGCTGTTGAGGTTGGTAAAATACTTGAGCTTGAATTGGTTGGATTGTGACCACATTGCGATAGTTCGGCGTTTGTGTTTCAACTAATTGGAAGTATGGAGATTGACTGTAAGTTTCATATTGTGTGCTTGATTCAGTTAAATGATCTTGTGGAAATCTTTGTTCATTGAAAATATATGATTGCGCTTGTGAGTTTTGATGAACCATTTGGTGGGGAATTTCTTGTTCGTTTTGGATTTGAAAAGCATTTGGAACTATTGGAGTTTGAATATAATTTTGTTCATTTGAATTTTCATGTTCTTCGGATGTTGATTTCGTTTGTTGGTAGAAGTTTTTTCCAATTTCTTGTCTAACTGGCGATGATTTGTTAGAAACATTTATTTGCTTTTTCTTTTCATTATGGAAAGAATTCTCATGACTTGATTTCTTTCTAAGATTTCGTTTAAAATGTTCTTGTTCATGATCGTAATTATCATAATTATGTTGCTTATGATGAAGTGACTTATGTTGAGAATGAAGAAAAACTGGAACTTTTATTTCTTTAATAACTGGGAAAGGCCTTCAAATAAATAATAAAATTTAATTCACTTCCATAATGAGCTTTTCAGCATTTCTTACCTTGGAACTTCGACTTCTTTTACAACGGGAAAGAGAACCTTTGGAAGAAGTTTTTTATGTTTTAAGTTAAAATTAAAGTAAAGTTCCAAATGGATCCATCAATTTATCAATCGGCCTCCAACCCTTTAAAAGAAATGTAAATAATCATATTAATCCTACCTTCTTCTCTACAATTTTCTCTGCGGGAAATGGAATCTTCTTTTCAATAATCGTCGCTACTGGCACAGGGTAAGGAAGTGGGACATGGACCTGAGTGATGGTAGTGTAAAAATGGCTACGTTTGTAAAATTAACAAAAGCTTTTTTCATTAATTTCTACAATGGTTCAAGAATATCTTGAATCACTTCTTTAATCTACTATGAGAGATTTTCTTTTACCTTTCTTTCAACAGGATATGGTGTTGGAACTTTAACATATTTTTCAACAAACTTTTCAACTGGCACAGGGTAAGGTCTGTTGAGATTTTCACTTTTAATAAATTTAATTAATTTCTCATTGATAAATTTACCTGTCAACAGGTACTTTTATATATTCTTTAACAGGATAAGGAACCTGACAGTTTAAATAGAAAAGAAGCTTTGAAATGAGTTAACCATTAATTAAACTTTACCTTTCTCTCGACTATTTTCTCAACAGGATAAGGTCTGAAACAAATTTTTTAATCATACATGCATAATAATATCAAATCATCGACTTACCTATCGACAGGAACTTTCACGAACTTTTCAACAACTTTCTCAAAGGGAATGTGCACAATTTTCTCAACAGGGACTTCAACTCTTAATGGAAATGGTTTCGGCACATGAACGAGCTTTTCAACGATTTTTTCCACAGGAACTTCAACTTTGTATGGAACTTTTTTCTCGATGACTTTTTCAACAACTTTCTCAATAGGCACACGAACGATTTTTTCAACTGGATAAGGTTCCTTCTTGACAACAGTTTTAACATGATTGTGATGATGATGATGGTGGTGATGCTGAATTTTGATTTTTTCTTTTATAACTTTTTGTTCAACATTTTCACTCGCTGAAGTTTTTGAATCATTTTTCTTATTTTTTGGTGGAAATTTCGAAATCTTTTTTGGCGTTGATCCTAGTGCGATGTTGTCCTTCTCCTTGTGTCTAACGAGACGAATGTTGTCAGCTCTTCTTGTTGTTACTTCTGGAGATTTCTTTGATTGACTTTCAGTTGAAATTTCTTCTTGTTGTGATGTTGTAGCAGAAGGTTCAGTTGTCGTTCCATGTTTCTTACTCCTATGTGATTTTGGGCCGTTACTATTGAGATAAATGTGAACTTTCTTAACTGGTCTTGACGATATTCTTTTCCCTTTCGGAATGATTTTCCAATCCCGATTTTCGGCTGGAGTTTGATTGTCTTCAAATCTAATGTGACGTTCACTGTCACTTTCATATTCTTCAGGTGTTTCATTGTAAACTCCAATTTGATTCACTTTATTATGTTGATCCGTGTTAAAATCAACATGAGTTAAACTTTCTTTTTCATGATTTGTTGGCTTGTCTTTGTATCCATTGACAATGGTCAGAATTGTTATTATTAACACAAATTCCACTTTCTGCAAATATTTTTCACTTTTTAATTTTTAACTATAATATTAAACTGAATATTCTTACCATTAATTTCATTTTAAGAACCACTCAGTCTGATTATCAATTCACAACTGATTAAAATTGAAGTGAAAGCACTTTTATATATACAAGCTTACTGAAAATGTGCAATTAAAAGCGAATAATTTATGTTTAATTGTGAGAGGGTGGGAGATGGAATTTAAAAAAAGAAATGTAATGAAGTTAACTCGATCTGATATCATTATGGGATTAAATGGTTTGACTTAAATTCAAATAGCTTGAAGTCTTCAAGTTGAAGATAAATTTTTGGCACCTGAAAGTTAAGAAATTAAATTCTCAATCAAAAAGAAAATTCTTTCGATTTTCACTAAATCATGATTATCAAATTCCTTTATGCGCTCATCTAACTATGTAAATATTTGATAAGAAAACATTAATTTTTTAATTATTTTTACGCACGATTTTATTTGCATACAACAAGTAAAAGTTTCGATTTTTATTGTTTGAGCATTGAACTTGATTCTTGAATTTTCTTCAATGTTGATTTAAATTTTGTTTATGCAACGTGAGTCGATGTTATTTTTTTAAGTAGTAAACAATGATATAGTTGTAATTGATACGTTCACTTTCATGATACGTTTATGCTGTTTACACTTTTATGCATCGATGAGTCCACTTTACAAATTTTGAACGTTACATTTCCTCAAGTCAATGAATTATAATTTACAGAAGGTGGCAAATTTCGTGCTTTTGAACTCTTCTTGTAATAAAAAATATTTAAACTCATTTTTTGTTTCATTTATATTTTATTACAACAAAAAAATTTCAAAGCTTTTCTTCCTAATCATCATCATTATATAAAAAACATCTCCTTGAAAACATCAAAGATAAATAATTTCACCCAACGATCTAAAAAAATTTGATCACAACATGATATTGAAAACGAAAATGAAGTTAAAATATTAATTTTCATTTCGATTTCATTCATAGAAAAGAAATAAAAACATGAATTAAATTAAACTATTGATAATGAAGTTGCATAACCGCATGAAGCGTGTCATTTCATTTTAGTCGTGTTTGAACGCTTCTTCATTTAAAAGCACTTAAGGTGATTGCTTGTAATAATAATTGCAATAATTTTTGCGTTTCTTTCGTTTCGTTCTTCATTCATTTACTAAATGATTAATTATTAAGAAAATTACAGAAAATTGTTAAGATAAACTACAAATAAATTGACCATAAAAATTGAGATAAATATAAGCTAAGTAAGTGACTGTTACATTCGTTTTAGTAAAGCAAAAAAAAAGAAAGAATGAAAACAAAAAATTGTTCACTTTGACGATGGATAATAATAGAGAACAGTATTGCATGGAAGCTGCCATTTCGATGCTTGCAATTCAATTAATTGCAAAAGCGTTCGACGAATTGCTGGTTGTGATGCGTTCGAATTCAGAAAAGCATCGCGAACACCAGCTAAGAGAACTTCAAGTTGCTGTGGTAAATGTGTTTCCAGATCACGACCAATGCAAGTTAAAACAAAGAAGAGACATTCGATCTAAAATTGAGAAAATTCTTTAAATTTCTTACATATTGATTTTAATTAAAATTCATTCTCACCTCAGACAATGATCGAACAGGTTGCTTAACACAATCTTCACAACATTTTCCTAAAAGTGTCAACAACACAATAGCTGGCGATATTCCATCACATTGAGTTCGAAGTTGCAGTTGACGTCGTTTCAATTGACAAAACATTTCAGTTAAGAATGCCATGAAAGCAGTAAAACGAGGTCTTGATGGATTCTTTGAATTTGATACTGCACCGAGAACTTTGTCACGCTCTTGATACCATTGACGACACGTATTTAACATAGCTTCCAAAAATGTTTCCTTTTGTTCTTTAGAAATGATTGAAATACATAATCGTGATATCGGAAGTGAATATCTATGAAAATAAAATTAAAATATCTAATTGTTTGAATTGTTGTAATAAATCATTTTTAATTGTTTTCTTCACCGCCTTCCTTCAACAGCACGATTCATACAGTGTGCTGCCAATTCCATTAAACACCGTGCAGTTAACTGATTCGGATCTTCAGAAGCTTTATTAATAATCGCCATAACTTCCGGTGGAAAGTTTCCAATGTCTTCAACATTAAAGCCAAGACCGAGACCAGCAATTCCTTTTGTTAAGGCCACATCAGCAGATGTCAAAGATTTTGATCTTTGTAATGGGAGTGGCTGAAGAAGAGAATTATTGTTGTTGCTGTTGTTAGATTGTTGCTGATAATTTTGATGTAACGAAGGTTCCGGAGCAAACTTCACTCGATGTGATGCCTTAAAGGATGTCAAAAATATTTTTTAATCTAATTTGAAGGAAACAAATTGAATAACTAACATGTAAAATATTTCCAGATGATGGTGAATTGACTAGAGGCATATGTGATGATTGATGAAGTAATCCTGAACTGATTTGAAGTGGATGAGTTCCAGATGAAAGCATCATTCGTTGTTGCTGTTGTTGTTGAAGTTGCTGAAGAATTTGTCGATTATGTTGTGCCATTTGAAGTTGTTGATGAATGTTTCCGCTTGATTTTGAGTTCTGAAGTGAGTTTAGATTTCCAGGAGAATTAAACAGATGTGATGAAGATCTAAAAGAAATTGTCATTAGAATAATTAACATTTGAGGGTGTTGAGAATTATTTACCTTGCATTTTGAAGTTCCATATTTCGCTGCATATTCATGGTGAACTCTTGAGCGTGCACATTCAACTTATTCTGGGGGATATCAAGTCGAATGTCTGACAACAAAGATAAATCTAATCAGGAGATTACAAGATTATTACAAGACACTTTCTTACTCGGCGGACGATAAATTTCTAGAGCTGGTTTCAATCTGATTTGCTGTTGTTGGTGATGAAATCCTAAGCTGCGTCGCTTATTGAGATTCTAAAAATTCAGGTTTATTTAAAATATTTTTGAAAATCGTTTAAGAATTTCTCACCTGATGATTTTGTGGATTCGATGATCTAATGAAACTTCTTTCTCTTGTTATCCCAGCTTGTGTAACGTGATTAGTGTTCGGCAATTCTTGAATTTTGACAGTTTTCTTCAAATCATTTGGTGATGTCGATAACGCATTTACTGCACTTGACTTTGTCAATGTTTCCTTTTCATTTGCAATTGTTTCCGACATGTTTGATTAGTTTTTAAGGCACAGCACGATTTATTTAATTTATTTTATATCCAATAAATTTTTCCTGTTCAACTTTTTTTTATCACAAATTTTACAAAATAATCAGTTTTGACTTAGTTTATATTTTTTTATTTTTCACTTTTTCTTCAACAACAATTCAGTGAAATGTTTAACACAGATTAACGTTAATTACTGCTAGAACGACATGAGAAGGAAATATTTTTTGTTGTTTATTTATAAACCTTGTTTGATGATTCATTTTTTAATCCGCATCTTCTTTTATTTATCGTCAAGCGTAAAGATCAGAATGATTTATAAGAATGACAAAGTTGAAAGATATTTAATAACTTGCGTTCATTGAGCTGAACCTTAATTGTCTTTTATTTACTTAAAAAAATATAAATTACAATGAGAGAGAGTGAGAGAGATTGTTTAGATAATATTTAACTGCACATAGCGGCAGATGATGTCATGTGAGGATAGAAAAAATTAAATACGCATTTGACTTCGCCTTTTTACATAGCAAGAGAAAAAAATCTTTCTGTGAAGTAACTTGACCTAGTCAGTGTTTGTCTTGAGATGGTTTTTACTTCATAACTTCATTGATCGTTCAATGTCAATAATATGAAATAACAAATTTATTTTCAATTAGAATATTTAGAAGCGAAGATACCAAACATGGAGAGCATGTGGGAGTTGTCAGCAAGTTCAAATTGTTTGTGTTTCATTAAATTTATTCACGATCGTAGACTTGCAAAACTTCTTTTAGTTTAGATATGAATTCTACTACATGGCAAATGACGAAAGGAAATTTACACAAATTGCGACTGTCACTTAACAAATGATGGATTTGTGTTGTGATTACTCAAAAATCGTTTCACTTTTTCTTTAATGAAAATTGAATTATTTAAGTTTTATTTAACACTCGCGTAATTTCCGGTTTTGTATATTTTCACGGTCAAAATATTTGTGAAGCTTTCCAAACCAAATGTCGCTAATGTTTAAAAATTGAAAAGAAAAATTTTCCCGTTCTGAAATTGAAAGTTTCTCTGAGTCGCAAGGAAAATGAATTGCGTTAGTTGTTTAGTTGAAAATATTAGAGGAAAAATATCTTTGAGTAAGTTAATGTTTTTAACATAACATTTCAACGTCTAGCCGACACATACATTTGTTGGGTGCGCGACTATTTTTAGATGCGTGCACGATAAAAAAATCAGTTTCAAGAATTTTACGGGTTTGTGTTGAAAAGACAAAAGAAATTTCTCTCTCTCGCTTTTTGACGATGAAAATTTAATGCAATTAAAATGCAACTTTTAAGATGCTTAAAACATTTTTATCCAGCATATTGCATCGCCATGTGCTTACCTCACACTTGAGTTAAAAACAAGGCAAAGATCGAAGTAGTTTCTGTATAAAAAAACATTATTCAATACACCCACACGCACAGCAACTTAAAATTTACAAGAATTTCGATGGAAACCTTTGATTCTTAATCTTATAATAACTATTAGGTAACTGATTGATATCCTCGTAGGACTCTCTTCCTTCTTATGTCTTCACGAAGAATCGATTGATACGCGCGCGTCTCACAGGAAAATTATTCAAATTACAAATTTTTGAAGGAAGAAACTTCACTGTTTCACTTCATATCGTGAGTCAAAGAAAACTCTTTTAAAGCAAGAAAAAAAATAACTTAAATAAAATAAAAACTAAAAGAAAAGTTTGAGAACAAATATTTATTTTTCTTCTCAGATTCGTTTTGTCGGAGTCGGATACTTTCGAGTGACTGAGCTTTTTAAAAGGCACACAGTGAAAGAAAAAAAATCTGTTGATCTTTCTCTCTCGATAACTTTACTGAATGAGAACATGACGCGAAAATTATGCTCACTTGAATGACTAATTCCGATAGAAACAAGAGATGGAAGGTTGGAAATGTAAACAGTTAGAGAATGATGTTGACATTTGATATTCCGACGGTGTTTCCTCGATTGTCGTCACAAGTCAAACTCATTGAAAGATTTTCTTCTTCCTATTGTTTCAAACATTTATTAAACTTGTATTATTTTCAATTAATTACTTTATAATAATAATAATTAGAGGTTGTAAACATTAATTAAAAATTAAAGAAATTTGCCGGAATGAAAATTGTCGGAACGAAGTTTTCATTTTTATTTTTCCCAGAACAGATTTTAATTGTAGTCTCAAAATTTATTTAATTAAATAATCATCTGTGGGCTTATCATTGGTTGCCAAAATCTTTGTGATTTAAAAACTTCTCGAACTTAATTTTAGTAATTATTAACAATCAAAATCATCAATTCAAATTTAACTTATAAAACAAATCATTAGCAAGATTTTCTTTTCAAGGAGATTTTCTTCTTTTAAATTCCTTCAACTTCATCAAGAGCTTCAACTTCGTATGAGTTGCTGTCAGAATTTTTTGTTGGACTTAAGAAAGCTTCAGCGGTTTTCTCATTAAATCCTAAAGCCATTTTCATAAGACGAACCATGCATCGATGTTCTTCAGCTGTGTCTACTGAAATTTATTTTATTTTATTAATAAAGTTTTTAATTTGAATAAATTTTATTTCTTACTTTCATTCGACGTAACTTCCTTCTCAAGTTTCAATTTTTCTTGAGCGATGATGCTCATTCCCTCTTCGATTGTTCCTTCAGCGATGAGTTTGTAGATGACAACTTTCTTCGTCTGTCCAATACGATGACAACGATCTTCAGCTTGTTTATCATTGTACGGATTGAAGTCAATATCATGAATGATAGCACGGTCAGCTGATGTTAAATTTATTCCCAAACCACCAGCTTTAGTTGATAGAAGAAAAATAAAAATCTCAGAATTTTCTGTGTACTCTTCAATGAGATCTTGTCGATCATTCACTGCTGTACTTCCATCTAATCGTACAAATTGATGTCCTCGTATTTCAAGATACTTTTCAATAATATCCAACATCATAACAAATTGAGAGAAAATCAACACACGATGACCATCGGCTTTCATTTTGGGAAGTAAATCATCAAGATATTTAAACTTTCCTGAACTGACGACAAGATGATCAGGAATTTTCACCATATTTGTTATCGATGGATATTTATCACGAAGTTGATGAATTTTAAAGTCAGATAGTGGAGCGATATCTTCGAAAATCTCCTTTGGATTGTTGTTCTTATATACTGAATCACGTGCGAGAACTTTCGCAATCTCATGAAGCTTCAAGTCAGTGAAATGAAATCTTAAAAGTAATGGATGATTAGCAAGCTTCCTCATGTCCATCATGATTGCTGCCCCACGTCCTAAATAAGTTTCATTGGAACCATCAACGTTCTTGTATTCTTCAACCAATGCTTGATATTGTTGCGCTTGTGTTGATATGAGCTTAATTTTCTCTAAAACTTCTTTCTTCTCCGGTAAAAAGCTGAGAACATCTTTCTTCAAACGACGTAAAATAAAAGGCTTCATAATGTTCTTTGCTCGTTCGATTTGTGTCTGTTCAAAGTCACTGGTTTGTTCTGAGCCATCATCAAGCTTTGGAGGTTTCTTTGAGAAAAGTGCTTTGATATCTTCTGTCTTACCAAGGAAAAGATTTGGCATGACAAAGCATAACAAAGACATCAATTCAAGAACTGAAATAAATTTTGATGTTAATTTTCAAATAGAAAATAAAAGAAAATTTAATGAAATCTTACGATTGTTTTGAAGCGGCGTTCCTGTCAGGAGAATTCTTCGTGATGCATTAATTCGAAGTAATGTTGCGTATCGTTGTGTCATCATATTCTTCAACATGTGAGCTTCGTCAAAAACGCAGTAATCAAACTTGCTGACACGAAACATTTTCTTGTCTTCATTTGACGATCCAATAACATGATAAGTTGTCAAAATAACGTCGGTATCATCGAAACCTTCTTTTGCCCAATGAATTCTCATAATTCGTCTTTCTTCTTGACTTCCATAATACTTGACGACATTTAATGATGGACACCATTTGTTGAGTTCAAGCTCCCAATTACCGAGTGTTGAGCTCGGCACAACGACAAGATGTGTTTGTTCTTGCTGATTTGTCTCTTTAAGCCATGCTAGGAATGCAATGATTTGAATGGTCTTTCCCAGTCCCATTTCATCAGCTAAAATACCATTTGTGTTGTTTTGGTGAAGTACTGCCAGCCAATTGAGTCCAACCTACAATGAAATGATTTTTGATAAATGAAATTTCAATACAAAACTTGAAGTTTATTTACCATTTGATACTCAGACAAGTGGAGACCTTCGTTAAGTGTAAAAGGTTGTTCTGTGATTCCAGCACCATCCGACACAGCCTTCTCAAGTTTTAAAACAATTGCCTTACATTTCTTCATAAGCTTTTGCAAACTGTTTCGCTTATCTAAATATTCTTGACAATTGTTGAGCAGGTCAGTTTGGAGTGGTTTCTCTTTGAACTTTCCTACAAGTTCCTCCCAATTACGATAAGGACGATTTTCAATGATAAATTCAGCTTTCTTTACAGAACAAGATTTCACTGATGTCAATTCACCGACATTAGCGCTGTTAAAGAAATCATAAACCTCTTTTCTTTGCAGAGGCATTTCAGGTGAGTAGTCGTCATTTTCGGAATCATCGCTGTCGAAAACATTTTGTTGATTATAATCACCGCAATCTGATTCAACTCCACCATCATCTGAATCACGTCGTTGTTTCTTTGCTTGATGACCATTTTCGGATTTAGTTATATATGTAATAGTTTGAGATGGTTTAGACGATGGAATAGTTTGATAAATAGTTCTTTTCACTGCTTTTGGTGGACGTGCTTTAAGGTCTTTTATAGCTGCATCTTTATCCCAGTTATACTTAAGAAGAACGTCTTGAACATCCATTGAATCGTAGCCGGAACCGACGATACTTTTAAGGACGAAATTCAAAGCGTTTTCTTTCTCCTTTACGGTTATAGCTTGTGGGGAAAAATTTAACATAAGATTACGAAATTCATTTTGAGTTTTACTTATTTACCTTGCCACTCCATTGGTTACTACAAGCTTGATAAACGTTCTAACAAGAATTTTTCAACTTTCCGACTATTTTGTGTATTTTTTCAATATATTCAAAGCTGGAGCTTGTGAGAGGTTATTGGATGGTGGATCTGAGAAATTACAAATTCATTTAAAAGCGCTTTTGCTACCGCATCGAAGTGTGTGACAGACAGACGTAGTTGAAGCAAACATTCAGATTTTAGGATATTTTGATATTTTTGCTTCAATTTTTCTTTCAAAGCTTTGTAAAATTTTGTAAGCTTCGTTTTGTTTATGATGAGAAATTTATAAATTTAAGAAGTTTTAAAATTGAAACTTTAACGTGATTTGTCATATTTTTTAAAAGTTGATCATTATTAGAATGTTTATCAACTTTTTTTGTTCCAATTGTGGTCATATTTTAAAGAAATCATCTTCGCTAAGGTTCGGAAAATTAAACAATAAAAATGCAATTGCATTTGTTTTAAAATGACAACAAATCGATTAAAGTTTCTTCGCACAGGTTGTTTCATACATCTCATAAAAGACTGAGTGATAACAAAAATTATTATGAGATCTTAGGACTGAAAAATGATTGCACACAAAAAGAAATAAGAAATGCTTTCGTAACTCTCTCCAAAGCACATCATCCAGACTTAAATTTAAAATCAACTGACAGTAAATCCAACCAAGATTTCATAAAAGTCATGGAAGCTTATCAAGTGTTATCAAAAATTCACAGTCGTTCAAATTACGATCTGTCTTTGAGAGGAATCGATACTGTGAATTATATTAAACGAGATACAATTTATGAACCTTGGAAAGTCGATCCATCGTCTTACAGTGAGAAGGGGCCGAGTTATTCACCTTATTATGGCGTTAAAGGAATCAACAAGATGAAAAATTGGAAGATTGTCATGGCTTGTGCAATTTTCTGTGCATTTGGTGTATTAGTTCAAGTTCTTGCAATTAGCAACTCGATGACATTTAGACGTGAACAACTTGATCGAACTTCAGCAGCTTACAGCAAACAACACGAAGAATTGCGAAATAAAGTGAAAACAATGCAACAAACAGAACATATTGAGAATATGGAGAAGCGTTTAAAGTGAAGCAAATTAAATCAGTGTTAATTACTGTAAATTCTAGAAAAATATATTTTTATTAGGTTTTAATTAAAAGAAAAATTTTCGTTTTACTTTAATATGTTTTCTTTATTTCATTAAACCAGTTGACACTTTTCTTTTAAATAATATCTCCAAGCAAGAATAAAAATAATTTGTTACATCTTTTAGTGATGCTGGAATATGAACAAAATTGTGCATTTGCACTTCTTTGATAAATTCTAATCACATTGAATGTTGATTAACATAATTAATGTTTATGTACTTGAATTTTTATGATCAATCTCAAGCAATGATGATGAATAATTTAATTGACATATCGACTTAAATATTTCTACTGGAGAATTTTTCTTATGAAAATTCGAACTGAAACGTGCGGCTTTTCAGGACACAAAACTGGTTTCCCTTCATCGTCAACAAAATCTTCAAATGGTAGTTGAAAGACTTCTTCAAATCCCATCTTTTCACAAACTCTCGCCGAGAAGTGACTTGAACAGAGAATGCTGAAGATTGGGATTTTACGAAGTCGCAAGTTTTCAATAGTTTTGTCTGTAAGGTGACCGGCAATGCCATGACCACGATACTTTGAATCGACAGCAAGAATTTTGCCATCAACAAATAAATCAATATCAGGATAGAGAGCGAAAATATTAAATTTTGAGTCAACATAATCCATCAGACTCATAATTTTTTTGAACTTTGGGTGGTCAGTACTGGAAGCGAGACTGCATGGTGTCATGTCTGCTGTCTGTTTAATTAATGAGAAGAAAAGTAATTATTATGATAATTATTCAAATGAATGTAGAATCTTACAGGTTTTTTAATGATGCCATTCAGGAACACTCCAATAATCTCACCATCACCATTTACGGCTTTATACGAACAGCCATCAGAAATACTTTTTGTACAATAAATTTCCAAGTCTTTACATTCTCCAAGCTCCACGCAACGGTTTAACGGTTCATCCTAGAAAAGAAAATTGATCTCGTTAATCTTCTTTTACCATCAAGAAAGCATCCAATTTATTTTGTTGATGGTTTTTCCCAACCACGCCTCAATTAATATTTAATGATACTGTTTGGTCTTTCGAGAGAAAAAAAAAAAAAAGAAACCTCTTGATGCGGATAATGAAAGAAAGGAAGAAAGTAGCATGAACAAACATAAGAGAAAATCGGATATGTATTATTGGGAAACGTTAGATGATTGCGTCGTTCAACTTTTGTTAGAATGTAGTTTCACTATCAAAACTCCTAAACTTTCGTACTTATTTGAGTTGAAAGTTCTGATAAACAGAACGTGTGTAAATGGAGGAAAAGAGTATTAGTTGTGTATTGGATAGAAAACTTTTCAGATAAACTTCCGATGAATTCACTTCAATTGGAAATCGATTTTTCCCAACTTACAAAACATACAAAGTCGTCTGATCTACCCCAATGAGTTTATTCCCGTCCCATAAATAAGGAAAAAAGGAAGTTGGGTTGAGAGAAGGAGAAAAGAAAAGTTTCTTATTTCCTGTTATTATGATTGAAGGGAGATTTCTGTTGTTATTTTGTAAATGATGGATTGTTGCGAAAGAAGCTTATTCGAATTTTTCAAATGATTTTCTTCCTTTCCATTCAATGGGCAGAAAATTAATTTGAAGGGAATTATAAGAGAAGAGATTTGCAAGTTTCATTTACCTGGAAGAAAGTTGCTTTCAATAATTTCAAAACTTGTTCTTTGTCATCTTCTGTGATCAAATCGTAAGTGATTTTACTTTCAATTGCCGACTCGGATAATTTTGCTGCAGCCATTTTATCAACAAGCTTTGGGAAAAGCTTGGAAAATCTCTGTGAAAATAAATTTTATTTATGAGAATAATGTTGGGATTTGAATATTCTTGAACATTTACATGAATAAATGAACATGCGAACTTACCTTAATGATCGCATCATCATCTTGCTTGATTAATGCAGCTTCCGGATGGAAAATGTTTCTAAATTTTAAAGCCATGCTTGATATTTGAACTTAAAATATTTCGAGTACAGTGAAAATTAGGAAATGATTCACAAAGGCAATGCACAAAACGTAACAAAATATTTTATATGCAGAGACACTGAAATTAAAACGAAAAAAATGAAAAATGTTATTTACAGCTTAAAGTTTTTGTAGACACAATGCACATGAGTTGCAGTTAAGTTGCAATTTGTTGTAACAAATTTTGATGATCAATTTTAAATATTTTTGACATTTATTGCTTGTTTTCATGAGTGCGGCTTCTTTTAAGTTAAATGTTTTCCATTTAAAAATGTTTCTAGTCAGATATGTCATCGCAATCTTCAATATTTATGTGAGAAAAAGGTTCCCAATTTCAAATGTCAAGTTCTGAATTATTTCAAGTCAAAAATGAGCAATTATAGATCCGTATACATCAGAATTTAATTAATTAGACGGCAGTGAACGATATGAATATTGTCGACATATTAAATTTTTAAAATAGTCAGAATTTTAATATAATTGAAAGGCAATCATTAATCGCTTTCCGATTATCACGTTTTAATTGGATTATTAATGACTAACAATCAAAACCTTATGATTGTTGAAAGTGAATGTTGACTAGAACCTAGAATGCTTCTAGTTCATTGTAAATAGCAAATCGAACACACTTCGCTCATTCCCGCTTTATTCTTTGACTTAAAATTCGTTCCATGAAATCAGACAGTAGCATGATATTGCCTAATTATTCTTTCGCTATGCCAAATTTCAATTGAAATATTTGCATCATTTTTTGCAAAGAATCACAAAATTATTTTTCCTGCTTACATGAATGTGAGAAAAAAATTCAAGTTCAAAGTTTGGAGGCGATTGAAAAAGTTCTAATTCAGTCTATTTGTCTACAATTCAACAAGTTATTGTTGTAAATAAATCTTAACTCTACTCAACATGTTTAATGCATGTTTGAATAAAAAATCTGATAATGAAGTGCAGAAAATAAATTCATGGACTTAAAAAATCACGTTTTCTTTTTCTAAACGACTGTCGAAGCCTATAAATATTGTACAATCTTACTAATAGAATCTTAAAAGGTTCATTGAAGGTTTTCCAATGTTTGCATTATTGGAAAACTCATTTAAGTTTTTTATTTGAAATTTAAATATTAGAATTATAGGAAATGTGAAACTAAAGAGTTAAGCTTAAAATGCCTTGCGGAACTTCAATTTAATAAATTATGTAAATCAAGAAATTTATGGATAGCAATTTCGCATGAAATTCTGAGTTCGATTTGATTTAATTTGTTTGCTCTTGTCCTAAATAAAGCCCGGTCGCGAAATGAAATCTGGACGACTTTAGAACTTTCTGGGAATAATTAAAGATAATTAAGTTGAAACGGAAAATGTGAATTTTTCTAAATATTTTGAACTTCACTAAATGCACATTAATCAAATGCTGAAATCTTTCATTGCAAAAAAACACACGAAATCTTATAAATCTTGCCCTCTGCTTAAAAATATTGGGGTCAAAACGAAAGAATTTGGAAGAAAACAGATTTCTTGTAATAAAATTTCAATTCTTCATGCATTCGCTTGTCAATGGGCTTGTCAATCAATTAAAGTTGTCGAAGAATCTTTGCAGTGGTGGCGGACACAGAACAAAAAAATCGCGATTTTAGCAGACAAAAGCTCGAAAAGTAATAAAAATAATTTAATTTAACACTTTAAATTTTAAATTTGTTTGAAAAATTCGCAGAACATCATGGAAAATTTTAAATATTTTTATTAAATATGAAACTCATAAAAAATTGCAATTTCTTTAATTAACTTTTTTGACACTTACATAACTTCAAAGTTTATTTAATTTTATCACAATTCTTCACAACTCTGTTTTATTTTTTCAGAACAATTAAAACTGACTTTTGTTGAATCTTTTTCACATAAATTAATTATCTATGACGAAAAACTATAAAAACAAATCGTTCTAAAACTTCTTAAAAATCAACTTGAGTTATCAAGAGTTGTAACAAAAGTGTAAAGAATGTTGAAGCTCTACAAATATTTATACTTTTCTTAGCTGATAATAAAAAAAAATCTTTGCTTAAGCTTTGAAAATCCCCACTTATTCATTTGTTTCTCTTCCAGTCACACAGTGACGTTTGTAAATCAATATATAGAATAGATATTTATCTTCCAGAGTTTAAATACTTCATTCTATATTCAACATGTGAGTGGCACGGTCAGCAAAAGTGCCGCACGAAAAATTATAAGAAATTCAATAATTTTGTATCTCTGAAGACATCAATGTAAAGAAAACAATTTGTTAAAGTCATAAAAGCAGATTGTGAATACTTGAACGTAATATTGCAAAATTTTGTCTGCAAACAGTAGTGGCAGGTGACAAGAGAAGATTTGGCACCTTCTCTATCCAAACAAAAATATTCTCCGAATGCTATGATTGATCATATGTTACGCTATAAATAGTAAACTTTTTATAATATAACATAATAAGAGTATTGTAAAACTTGTTCTTTCGTCTTTATTCGTGTTTTGATACTTTTCCAATGTATGATGCATTCAAAAAAGTAAACCGGTTGATACATTCATACGAGGAATATTCCCATTTCTTCGTCATCATCATAAGAAAAAAATAACCATTTGACCGGTGAGCTATGTATTGGAACTTACAACGTTTTAATATCCAAAATACAACTTATATTTATTATAATCTGGCAGCACACATATTGTAAATGTTATCTTTATTATCAGCAGTAAAAATAAAGATAAGCTCACTTCAATTTCTTGCGATGATAAGTCGCAAGAATAAAAGCTTTCAGCCTTTTATTTAACCAACAGTAAATATGTTGTTGAGTATTTTATTTCAAGATCAGATTCAATGTCAAAAATTTCGATTGATTGAGTTTGTAAAAAAAAAATTAAATTAATTTAGCGAATTGGTACGCATATTTGTACAACATATTAGTCTAATAGAATTTGGTAGATATTAATATCCTTACATTCTTAGTTTTATTTTTTTTGTGCAACGAATTATTAAATAAGAAGAATTTCAAATGTACAAATTATCTGAAATTTAGATATGTTTGATTGAGATATAAAAAATAAGAAAGTCAAGTTAAAAATCTCGAGTTACATATATGTATGTGCAAAATATAATTTTTTAACTGACTATCAAGAAATCGAAAAGTTTCTAAAGATTATTCGCAGACGTCTAAAAATCAGAATATTTGAAATTACAATTAAACTTCCTTCCTGCACTGATCTAAAATTTTAGACAAACTTTTTTTTATTTTATGGATCAATAACGTGTCATTAGTCTAAGAAGAATTATTTTTCTTTTTATAGTCGAATTAAGAATTCCTTATTTTTTTGATGAAATGAAATGATTTTTATTAAATATAAGTTATTGTACCTAATTTGATATCATTAATTAAAATTTTCTCCACTTCCCGTTTGTCTTTTATTTGTGCAGATACAATCCATGATAGAAATCATTGTCAAAGTTAAATGAAAGAAGCAAACGAACTTTTTTTGCAGCTTAATCAGAACATGAGAATTGATGAAAATATAAGCAAAGTCTGTCTGTTTTTTCTAATTTTTTTATTGTCTGATTTATCTAGTTCTAAATTTATTTTTAACTTCTGTATCCAACGAAATGTTTCTTATTAAAAGATCACATTAGTCAATGTCGATTGGCTGAGTCAAGAATAGTGAAAAAAACCAACAATTAGATTTTGCAAAAAGAGTGGACTACGAGTTTATAAATAAAGTTTTATTTTTAGAAACAATTTTTAATTATTTTTTGCATGGTGCTTTATTCCGGTGCACAAAACAAATTACACGATCAAGTACCTAAATTTAGACATGTCTGAGAGATGAAAAAGAAGAAAATATTAATTCAAAAGATCCAACTATGCACAAAAATTCACTAAATGGATATTAAGGTATGCAAATTATTGAAACCTGTTCAACATTGATTAAAGTATAATTAAATAAATCTTTCTAACATGCCAAAATCTTTTGAAAGCTTCAAATCAGATTAACCTCCCTCGTAGTATTCTGTTTGATGCCTAACATCGACCTATTTATATAAAATTGCAAATTAATTTAAGAAAGGTTATTTCGTTGACATCCACTGAATATTCAAATATTCTAAAATCTAAACTTTTCATAAAGTATAAAAAAAATATTAAAAGTTTCGTAATTTGCATTGTCGTAAATTTGCAAAGCAAGATTTATTGCCCGAAATGATGAAGCACGACTGCACGAAATTATTAAAATTCTAAATAAATTCTCGCCTAAGTAAATATTTGCATGCTGTACTAACTGCATCCCGGATATTTCATTAACAGCTGGATGAAGGCTTGTGTGCTTGGCAACATGTAGGAATAGTCACGTATGCCATAATATTTAAGGCAGGAATAAAGCTCACAATCTCGGTATATGAAATATTTGCTGTGCTTTTTAATTTTTAATTGAAGCAATAACAATTAGCCTTAATCTAATGTTATGAAAATTATTCTAATTAAAAGTTAAGGAAAGGTTAAACTTCACTCTGATAAGGGAAAAAATCAGCATGGCTGGAACAGCTTTTCATAAATTATCTTCTCTCAAATGAATGCATGCAAAACTTGTTCTTTATTGATTTTTAAAGCTGAACAGACAAACTAGAACTGAATTCTCATGACACATTCAACCTTTGTTGACTTGTTACTAAATAAGAATAAAAATCAGTTTAATTGAAAAATATTGTTGCAAGTGATCTAATGGGATTATTCAATTCTGTTTTACTTTTTGCATTTTACATTGACGTTTATAAAAAGCCGAGGGTGATATGGTTAGAAATGCACAGAAAAAATCAATGTTGAAATAAACTTTTCTCTGGTTCCATTTTGTCCAGTTTATTCAAGCTTTTTCAATTCAAATGAGAAACAAGATTAAAGCGCAAGATTTGCATTTTTTATATGGATATTGAATCACAGATGTGGAAAATCTGACACCTGTTAATTAATTCTGGTTAACGCCATAAAGTCTGGCGAGTCTTATTAGTATATTTGACACGAACGATTAATTTCCGATGATTTAATAAAGTCGATCGTCAGTCGGTAATATTAACTAATCATATTTATAGTCATCGCTTGAATTTTATTATTTAAAATTCCATTCATTTGAATTGATTAATAATTCGATACATTTAATGAATAGATAATCACATTCTTGAATGAAATAACTTGAAATCAAAATGTAAACAAATGTTTCGATGAAATGACCACTTAACTTCTTTCAGTACATCAATCATCACTACCGCAATGAAAATTCTCTTACATTCCGTCTTACATCTCGTGGTGAAGAGGAAGAAAAATAAGAAAAACTCTCGCGCTAGAAATTTTATTACTAATAACTCAATAAAATCTATTTTAACTCGTGCTGCATGAAAAACTTACTTGGCATGTGTTCAAAAAAGAAAAACGAAACCGAAAGTAATCGTCGATTGTTTTTAGACGTGAGAAAAGGAAGATTCATAAGACGAAGTTTTAATTAAATTGTCTCAAAATAAAAACAAGATTCTCGTTTTTGATTTTTGTTTGCACACATGTAGTTTTACACATTTTTGTTATGTTTAGATGAAATTTCTTTTGTGTCATTCACAAATTATCTGCTTTATGCAGTAATTAAGTAATGAACACCGCATTGTAGTGATTTTCATGGAGGTTTTGTAGCACCTCTCAAACAGTCATCACAGAAAAAATGAACTGAATCAACATCATGAAATACAATTTCAAGTTTTATCTTCTATTGTTTCTGAAGTGGTACACTTGTTATTCTTTCATTCAATTTGATTTATAAATTACTTTAGATTTGCCACAGAATGAGCGTTGTGGAAGGCTCTTCAACTGTCGCCAAACGATAACAAGGAAAATAAGTATGTGAGAAGCAGTCCATAGAAGAAAAAAAGCAAACGAACTGTGAAAATAGGTCAATCGAAATAACAAGATTGAAAGGATATGAGTGCGCATAAATTATTATATTTCCTATTTGATGTCATTGCGAAATGTATCAATTGGAATAGCGTCGCTTATCTTTTTCTTTCCCTTCGTCTGTCACTTCTGTCTACTCTTTTGGGAAAAGGTTTTGTATTGCGTATACAGCCCTTGTCAATCTTATATCCTTAGAAGCAGAAGCGGTTATCAAAGCAGCTACATGCGGTGACTAACATGAAAGTTATATGTTTTCGATGTGGGAATTGCAGGATATTTATTTGAAATGAAATTGAAATGTGGAATTATGTTTGTAGTCATTTCAGTGTGATTTACCATCGTAGATAGAAAAAGTTATTCGATGTTTCTCTTTAACAAGATATTTTCCAATACAGCGCTTATTGGCAGTGTTGCAGACTTCACAAGTAAATAAATGCACATAAATTTCCATTTAAATTCAGAGAGTATTATCGATTAGTTTATGGTGTAATGAACAATCAAATCAGAAACGTTGAACAATGCTGTTTGGTTGTTGAAAAATAAATATTCGACAATTGGAGAAAATATTTTTTAAATTTCTGCTGATTGGAGTTTGTTATGATTTTATTATTTGATTGAATAATTCGTGAAGTTTAGTGGTTAACTCAATTACACAAATAGTATGGAATATTGTCACAGATCAAATAAAATAACTTGCATTCTAGCAAATTTAAAAGAACAATAACAAGATGTTATTAAATAGCAAACGAAATATTTAAAACAGTCACAACGTGCAGTATCACTAACATTAAATTCCTGTAATTTGACTCACTCAAGAAATGCTTTCGTGTGTATTTGCTGCCTCGGATATTTTGTTTTTGTTATTCCGTTGCCACGGAATTGATTTTTAAAGTGTTTTCCTTGTTGAGTACCGTACAAACAATTGAAACTATTTTTCCTCATGAACAACAATTATAATCAACTGATAAAAGTAGCTTTAAAGTTTCACTAAATTCATATATTCACTAAAATCCATCTACTTCATTAAAATATTTTTTAAGCAGATTGGAATTTTCTTGTTTGTGAAACTAACAAAATATTCGCTTATCAATTTTTTAATTATATTTTTTTCGTGATGTTTGTCGTCCCCGACTGAACTGTAGGAGATAAGTATTTTTATAGCACTCTCCCAATATCAAACCGTCGCACACAATCACCGAAAATAAACTGAAAAGAAAACTGTGCCGATGAGAAGAAAAATACAACTAGGTAGAGGGAAAATGCAGGAAATATTGTTTCGAATGAAAAATTGTGCCGAATTTCGGGGAGGAAATTTGTTGTGAGAGAAGTTTGCAACATTACATGCACACATGTTGCAAAGTTCATTAGTCACAGAATTTCAGGCTTTTGATGTTTCCATATAAATGATACGGCGAAAGCGAATTCTAACATATAAATGAAGTAGCTAGTTTTCATTGAGCAAGAAGGTAACGAGAATTTCTTTTTGAAGAAAAAAACCATTCAACAGTTTCTAGAACTTTTATATGGTTTTTGGATTTTCGTGAACATGTTAATAATATCAATACAACAATGTTCGTTTATTATTATAGCTATCCAAATTTTGGTTAATCCAGCTAATCCAAAGCTTTCATAAGAATTTTTCAGATTGTATAACTTTGAGATGTTACAATTAGAATTCACCCACACAGCAATTCTCAGGAGAGCAATTCTTTTTATGAAAGATGACTTCTACAAATAGTTATATCCACTTTCGGGTCGTCTATCGATCGTCTGAAGACATTCCATTTAAAAAGTCTTTCCTTAAAGAGTTATTAAGGAAAATCACCGGTCAGTCACGTTCTCTCATTGGTGTGTCTGGTGTCTGCTTTTACACCTGAAGTCGATTAATAATTCGTAAAAATACCAATTGATCTCAAATTAAGCGATATGAGATGGCTTTGTGAGATTATGATTAAAGAAAATTCCAGAATGTTACAATTAAAATGCTTTTACAAACTTGTGTCACCTGAAATTAATAATAATAAATGACTTATAAATAGACTTAATTTTGCCTTCTATTAATTTCTCAAGTTTGTGATAAATTTTCTACAGAGTTCATAAATTTTCCTTTTTATTCGCTATTATGATTCAGAATCTTTCATGAAATTTCTTATCGTTTTGTATGAAATTTTAACGGTTTTAATAATTTTTAAAACTTCGGCACTATAAAAGCCTGTTGAAGAGGCCCGAAATTTTCTAATCATTTGACAGTGTATCAATAGTGAAGTGTAGAAGTCATCGTATAATTTATTCTCTCGTCGAACAGATCGAAAAAAGACTGCAAATTAAATTCAATCGCGTTCGGGAAAGTACACAGTCATAGAAAATCATAATATTAATGTGAAATGAACTTAACATCAAGTAATTAACAATGATTTAAATTAAAAATAGTGAAAAATTTACAAACTTTTCAACTCTGATCATAAAATAAATCGATTTTGCAAAAGTCAACCGCTTAAGAGCCTCCAAAAGTATATTCTGTTTAAATTACGTGTTTGGTTTATCAAGAGAAAACTTGTAATCGAACAATTAAAGCAAGATGAACGTGAATTTTAAAAGAAAAATTGATTTTATTTAATAAGGTAATGAGCACAAAAAAAATGTGAATCTTCTTCTTAGTCATTTGAGTTAAGCCTCAGAGACAAGCTTAAAAAGAAAGAAAAAAGTGTCAAATGGTAAAAAGTTGAGGCTGACTTACTGAGTTTAATGTGGAAATGTTTAAGAATATGCCGGATAATGAATTAATTTTTTATTTGGATTTGTCATTCTTCGGATGATCCGTCATGTGTCCAGAGAGTTCTACATATACATATGTGCAATTTTTTATTGCCAACTTTTTCCTCTTTCTCTCTCACTCTCTCTCCTTCTCATGTGTTCTAATTTTGCAAATTTATGAAATGCTGTGCATTTAATGACAACATGAAGTGATTGTAATAGGAAGAAAGAAAAAGATATTAACCAGCCATTGAAATGCCTGAAAGGGAATTAAAAATATCACATCTGGATTTAAAGTGAAGCAAAATGAAGTTTATTTCAAAAGAATTGTAAACGACTGGAAAGATCCATGGGGAAATAGAAAAAACCCTAATGCAGGACATGTTTAAAAAGCAATATAAAGAAGAGAGAAAAAAAATCAATGTCAGAAACATAAAAATCATTTTCTATGAAATGATGTGTACCAGTGATTATTGTAGGCTCAATTTTTTTCCTCTCTTTGATTATTTCACTCTCTTTATTTGGATATTTTTGTTTTTTTGTTTTTTGAGAATTTCAGATATCCGCTTTTGTGGATATTAGATTCGCGATACTTAATTTTCCTCATGAGAACATTACAGAAAGTGAGAGAGTGAGATTCAAATAGACAAACGTCAGAAGCTACAAATTATTTTGAATATCTTTTGAGTTAATTAGAAATGGCAAAAGTTCACGAATATAATTAATGTCACTTAAACTAAATACGATAGTTATATGCGAACGAAATGAAATATATTCTTATAGTTTCTTTTTCTTTCTCGTTTTTCCTTCACTTTCTTTAACCAAAACGAACGAAAAAAAAATCTTCAAGGAAATAAAACGACGACAAAATATATTTTTGTGTGTTTGGTTGGAACGTATTGTTACCAAACAGCACCACATCGAGCAAAAATCTTTTTCGAACCTTTAACAACAAAATCGTGCGGCTGGAGAACGTAGCAGAAAACTACAACAATAAGGAAAAAAATTATCGATTGTCAAATGTTTATAAAGAAACAGTAAACGGTAAAGTTTTGTGATTATTTTTGTTTTGTGAGAATTATCATAAAGAATAGAAGGATTTTCATTGATCAACCAAATTCAAAAGGAATAATTGAAAATAAACTAAACGTGACACAGAGAAAAGAGAAACAAAAATCGAGAGCTTTGTGCTGTTGAGCTTTTTGCCATGCCGGGTAGTCGATCGAGCAACAACGAGTCAGAACATAAATCACCAAGAGAAAGTGGCGATGATTCTGAGGATGAGAGTGAAATTTTAGAGGAAAGCCCATGTGGACGATGGCTGAAACGAAAAGAAGAGGTGAGTGAACTATTTCGCTGATCGATGTTAGTCATGAATCGCATTTAAGCACGAACTTTCAATTCAAGCTAAAAAAAAGGAGAAGTTTTTCTTCTTTCTCTCCGTTCTTGTTATCCAATCTATGGGCTGAACTTTATATTTTTGTAATTTAATATTTAGAAAAGCAAACGAAGGTATTCGATAATACCGCAAGCTTTGTAACTTTCTTTGTTCCAAATAATAGACATTTGACACCAAGTTGATGTCAAAGTGGTCACAGAAGCGATAAGATATTAATAAATGAAACAAATCATTCTGGAAATGTTAATCACCATTTGTTCCGTTCTCAATAAAATATTTTATTCAGCTATTCATACTTTATAACGATAATGCATTTAATTTATTTAGAAGCGTCGCAATAGATGTGTTACTATGAGATTTATTTTTAATTCCCTTCCATTGTCATGACTCTTGACTTCTAGCACTTGGAATGACGCATATCTAAGAATTTAATTGCCATACTAATCATAAATTCAGTGACAAAAGAAATTTAATTAACGTTTAATTGCTAAATCATCAAAATGAACATAACTAACGTATGAAGTTAAAGAAATGAAAAAGCCATGCACAATTTGCATTTTGGAAGCAACAATGCCAATACATGTTAGTTACGTTTACCGACATTTCATACACACAAACAAACATAACCGAAGACGAACACTGCACTCAATTATAAACGATTCTGTCGAGTCGAAGACTTTTGTTCTCATTTCATTTTCGTCTGTCAGCCTCAGACGATTTCTTCTGTAAGAAACAAATTAAATATTTCAGTCACTTCGCAAAAGTGTATTGTCTGTGTTAAATCTGTACTGGTTTCTAAGTATTCATTTCTTCCAGACATTTCCGTATTTAATAATGTTCGAAAATAATTTGCGATTGCAATGACATAAAAATTTTCCCAATAAATTTAATTACATCATTTCATACGAATACAGAAGAAATCGTTATCACTAATTTCACCATGTAAAGAAGACGAAGAAAACATTGCATAACACAATGATACGCTAAATACCAAGGCTTTAATATACAATGTCACTTAACCAATTACAAACTGTTGAGAACTGATAGTGGCTACTTAAGTAGAAAATATTTCTTTGAGAACCAATGATAGAAAAATGTTTTTTATCTATTCCGTCGCATTGCCTGATACACGTGCCTGCGACTTATGTCAAGGGCATTACAATATGCAACAAGATTTTGAAGTAAATTTTTATTTATTAAATGCTTCGGTAACAAAGCACGATTAATTCAGACTTTAGGTGATAATACTTTCCGCATCACAAATAAAATCTTTTATTCATTTTTGAATGTAATGGAAGTTAAGTAAGCCGATAACAATTTCGTTGTCGATAAAGTCTTTTGTACTGATTACTTTTAATTGGACACATTCGATGAACTGAAAATGCTAAAATAAGAGTGGCGACAGTAGATTGTTTTTATTCTCGAAAGAAACACAATTAATCATCAAATCAACAATGAGTTGGTGTTGTTGAATGCATTTGGACTCGCACATGAGTAATGCAATGTTTTCGATGAACCTGAAAAGACGGTAATTGATGTTTGCAATATTAAGCAGCCGTGGCTTGGCATAAGTGATGCGAGAATAACGCTACTTTGTGAATGATTCAATTATAGCGACTCGAGTGTTATACATTTAGACCTTAGCTTACTTAAAGCGATGATAAGCTCGTACTTTAAAGATCAAATGAACTGTGAATCTATTTTTAGACTTTCGTATTTGCTTGTTCAACGGAAATTAATAATTTTCTCTATTTATTTATTTCGCCATCAAACTCAATTGGATTTTAAGCGGTTTGTTGTCTTTTTCCAACTATAAACTCTTTTATTGACCTGAGAAAAATATCCAAAGGCGTTCTATAAAGACCTGTTGCCATTCTCTTAAGCTTAAGCTTCGCTTGTTATTTTAAAGGTAGTTGAGCGAATAATTAATGTTTTTCATTTGCAAAGAAAGATTTTCTTCATGAAATTTAGTCTCGATTTTCAAACGTCATGGACGATAATAGTTATGAAAGAAAGACTTTTCATTCGCTTGCTAATGAGTTTGCTGAATGGAAGCTAACAGCTGTTGTGCTTCGTAAATTTCTTAAGGCGTAGAAGAATGAAATCACACGATAGAAAAATTGTGTCGTCGACTTGATGATCGTCTTCGTAAATTTGGAAGAAGCGATTCATGATCAAAGTTCTAAAACACATGACTCATGTTCTCTGACTAAAATTCTTTAAATAATTCTTCTTGCTTTGCTTTACTGTCGTGTTGGAAAAATTCCGTCGAGAAACGTCACCCATAAATTTTTAAAGTTCAGAAAAGAAAACAAGAGAAAAAAATGCAACATTAAGTCGTCGGCAACAATTTTTTTCTTTCTTTCTTTGCTTGAGAAATTTGAAAATTTTACAAAAGATACTAAATGAGAAGCATGTTCTGTTGAATATTAATTTCTCGTGGCTGTTGCTCTTTATGTGTAGGCTGCGATTTATTCCTCTAACCGATACCAACAGCATATCAATTAATAATTGAGTTTCAACTTTTCTTCATTTCAATTTGTGATGATTTTATGGAAGATTCAAGAATTTTCATCATGCACATGTGGAAAAGTGAGAAATTATTTAAAGAAATGACAACATGCAAAAATATTGAGAACATTTTCATCATATTTCTGATGTATGAAAAATTTCTCTTAATGTAAACATGGAAATTGAAAATCAAGATTTCCTGATCAGCTCCTAAATTGCCCCATAATGTGAAATGAGAGAATTTTTCTAAAAAATCATTTTGGCATGATATCTTTTCCGGCAGACAAAATGACTCCAAAATAATTTGCCGTTATTATGTAGAACATGAAATGAGCAATGAAACCTTAGCACGACCTCGAAAATCAATTTCCCATCGTAGAATAAGAAGCTTCCTTCTCTGAAATAAAAAAAAGAATGATTCATGTATACAAATGATATTCAAGGAATAAGAAGAACTTGTAAGTCAGGTTTGAAAGATAGATTGTCGACTTGCCTACCTGGAAATCAAGTTACAAAAAAAGTATGGTAATGCACTCATTAACAAACCTCCCAATTATGGAACTTTTTTTCCTTCTTTCTTTCATACTCTGACTCATTGAATTAATCGTTTTCGGATGTTTTAATTCTTCTTTCTATGATTTCAAAGCTTTACGTCAACCTGACATTAGTCTTTGTCTCTTTGAAATAAAATTTGTCTGATGATTTTACTAAAACTTTTTTTAATTTAGTTTGAAGGGCAAATGGAAAGATTTTTGTTCTCTCTTTTATTTATGTCAGTAACTTTCTAACAAAAGTTAACAAACGTTAAACAAAATTCAGCAGGAAAATGCTGTCAAGTATTTTATAAAAGTGCAAATAAAATTATTTCCATGCATAAATAAATGTAAAAGGTAAAGGAAATTCACCATTGATCACCACATTACAGCACACGTTTCCAACATCAATCAATAAAAAAACAAGTAAATGAATGCGAACGATATCAAAAAATAATTTTGTTCGCCTGGCGCCTTGCTGAATATTGTAAAAAAAGAAATACTTTAACGACACGTTGTGTTCATCTACACTCAAAGTTTTAAATAAAGATAGTCAGAATAATATTGTACAGTTGCTTTGGGAAGTAAGAGGAATATCTGCTGCATATACTTACTAATGAGTTATTGGCACAGTTTTCTTTACTTCCACTGACGCCTTCTTTCGTTTTATTCTTTGCTAAAATTATTCAACTCTTATTCCATCATTCATTTAAACGAGACCATGAAGTGATGTCTGTTTTCGTACAATGAATCCCATTCTGTTTTTTATTGGTTTTGATTAGTTAACTAAATTATTGCTCGTGATTTCCTTTTTCGCGCGACAACAGTAAAGATGATGAGTGACATGTCTTCGTTAATTTGCTTCAGACAGTTGAGTTTAGTCTTAAAGAAATGACGTATGAAATTGTAAATTTATTCAGCGCCCACGATCTCATTTTTAATTGAAGATAATTTAATTTCATTCCTGCTTAAACATGAACCATTTGCGGTGTAATTTAGATGCATTCTTGTAATTATTAAATCTTTACCTCTAGACTTGTCTTCAAACATGTCTATTCGAGTTATTTTTGTTCCTTCTTCTTTAGTTCAAAAATCTAAATTTAATGTTTATTAATAGACAACTGTAAGCAGAGTTTAAATGACAAAATGTAGAGAAAAATAAAACTTTTGCCTTGTGACAAGAGTTGTACTAGGTGAAGTGAATAAATGAAAGAAAAAAAATTAATGAAACGAGTATGAAAGTGAAAATTAAACCACCTGATTGCCAACATCGAGTGCATTGGACTTTGAAGTTGAACACTTGAATTCTCTTCTGGCTCCGGATACTTTACTTCTTCTTCCTTTCATTTACACGCGTTCTAATTTTAATGAGTTCTGCAAATAAATTTGAGTCCCATTAACGGCACGTCATCAAGAAGCATCTTCTTGTTCCTTTAAATCTTTGATTCTCAAATCTTTTTTTTCTTTCTTTCTTTTTGTGAAGAAGATTTCAGTTGTGTAACGGTGATGACAACTAAATTTGCGAGACACGAGTAAATAATCAAAGAGTTAAAGTGGTTAAAACGTTCATGAGAATGACAATTGTGCAATGTTTTGAAGAGATCAAACAAAAGCAATATCAAGTTAAACAGAAAATTCGCAATCAATCAATAAACCGTTGCCTTCGGAAAATATCGACAGCTTGTTCCAACAATTATTTAAAGAAAAATATTCAAGGAAATATCAAAAGTTGTTGGAAGCAGCTAACAAGAATAAATTTTCGTGTAAACAAAAGTCACGATGTAACGTGTGTGTGGTCAAATTGATTGGGAGGAAAAGATAACACGACGAAATTTCCACTAATGAAAATTTGACAATTCTGTCAGCTACACGAGCAGAAGAATTTTTATTTTGATTAACGCTTATAATTCTATAAAAACTTTTTAACAATGGTTAGGAGAAAAATTAGCAAACCATAATTTGTTATCGCAACATGAATCATTTTAGTGAATATTAATTAACACATTCTGCCATATAAATGGACTTTAGATTTCAAACAACAATTGATGTTCATTTGTCGTGCACACGCGAATTTCGTTTGATAAAAAAATCACATTTCGAAGCAAAAAAAAAAAGAAAATTAGATCAACGATTAATGGAATTAAACAGAAATAAATTCAGTCGATATATTCAGTGCAATGAAAGCAGGGCGTGATGGTTCGTAATCAATTTCTATGACGAGACACTTCCTCCTACAGCTCGGTTTTTCATTGAAAAATTTTTTTTGGTCACTTCGTTTGTTTGATAATAAAATCAACTGAAAAAAAATTACAGACGCATGTCAGCGATAAGAAATTTTATTTCTGGTAATAATCAAAAATTTTTTCATGAAAACAATGTCAAAGGAATTGCACGAGAATTTATGGAATCTTTGTTTGAATATCGATTTTGGAATTTTTATTTTTTGTTCGTTCGATCAATATCAAAAGTCATTAATAATTAATTGCGATTGAAAAGATATTTACAATCTGTTATCAAATGTAGGAATTCTTTGTTATTTACGTTTCATTCATTTATTGATATTTTATTTAGCGAGCATAAAAATTCTCCGAGTTGAGCTTTGAAACCAAAAATTCAAGGCCAAATGAAATTTCCGTTTCATCTTCACCGATCTCTAAGAACGGTTTCGCTGGCCTATGAAATCTATTTTGAGATAACAGTTTTCAAGAATGTTCGCAGCATGTTGTCATTTTTGAAGTCACAGTACAAACAAAGCGGAGAAATAATAAAATTAATAAAAAACACGAGAACTTGAAACCTTTATTGTGATTTTTTACGCAGTTTGACAAACGATAAATTTGTGCTTTGCTTTTGTTTTGCTTTTCATAACAAGACCGACGAGACAAAGAATCGAGATTGACGACTTTCTGTTAAATTCATTCACAGCTCATTGATCGTTGTGATAAATTTAATGATGAAGATTTCAGGAGAAGTCAAAAATTTATCGTAAATTAATTTGTGAGTCATGTGCTTGATAGGTGCAAACCATCAACTAAATACTTGGAAGTTTATATGAACAATTTTCACTTTAAATCTTTCATTATTAACATTTCAGAGAACTCCAAAAAAGAAAAAGAAACGCGAAATGAGATCACAGAAAGAAATTTTTATTTTTATTCATGACTTGGAAAATATTTTTGCTGGCATAACAAGCTTAGTTAGACATTGGACAATATTTTCTTCGAAAAGAACTGAAGTTGCATGTGCTGAAATGACTTACGGCAATATGGAAATTTCAATGAATAAAAAGAAGTTTTCATAATGCGATTTTTGAAATTAGCAGGAATACGTGAACGTGCTTATTTGAGTCTAGCATTCCATCTTCAATTCGTAACTCAACTTTTGTGTACGCGACTGGAACGAGTTGAAAAATAGAAATGCGCCGTTTAAAATGGGTGTAATTAATGAGATAAGCAGAGAATTTAATGCGTTTCAATTTTTAATTTAAATATTCAATAATTGCCTCGTCACAAAGATGAATGACCTGCTGATACTTCTACTATACATTACATAACTGAACGCCATAAAACATTAGAAAGCACTTGAAAGTTTTGTGACTCACGACACGGAACTATCATAAAATGAAGTATGAAATAATATTTGTGGTCAATATTTTATTCTTGTCGCAACGACCTTGATGCGATTTAATCGCAAAACAGGCTAAAGCACTTTTTTCCTTATGAATTATAATAAAAATGGCGTTGGCTTGCTTGTTTGCTTATTCCAGTTTAAAACTACAAAAAAAGAAGCTTACGAATTAAATTGATGAGTGAAAAACTGCTCCAATTGATTCAATTTTTATTGAATGAAAACATTCAGTTAAGCAATGAGGCGCGACGAAATGTACTCAAAATTACATTGCGGGGGTGGCAATCTTCAATTTTATGATTCGATAAAAACTTTTCAGTTGTCTTCGCGTCTGCTTTCAATAAAATATTTTCCAATGAAATTATGAATAATGAAAAGTTAATTGCTTTATTGCCACCCCCTCGTTTTTGTATGGCTTGTGCTTTAACGAGAATTCGCATTTGCTATAAAAGTTTAACTGTCGTTCAAAATGTTTGTCTTGTATGTGTTGGTTGTCAGGCTGCAATTGCGTTTAAAGTGTTGAGTTTCACTTTTTAACACCTCTTGAAAGTCATCGAAGATTTCTCCTTAATCGAAAGTCATTTAATTGATTAGATAAATCTAATTATAAGGAAGTTCGGTTTATTAAGTAAACTGACGACGCGTGTTATCAGTAGCAACCACGTGAATATCAAATAAAGTTTAAAAATATCTGAACAAAGGCATTTTCGTTTGTTTGCGCACCTTGGAATTCCACATGTATGCTATGATAGTTTAAGTAATTTCATTTCATTAGTCATCACAAAATGCATTTGCGCATTTTATTTTATATTTTTCACCTCCAAAATGAGTTTCGCTTTGTTGTGTGTTGAACTAAGAATAGGATCTTTAGACCTAATAAGTAATTTTTATACTAAAAAACAAAACAATAGAAACGATCGGGGGAATGAAATTGAAAATTCTCAACATGCGACGTTAATTTGTTGATGACATTGAGATCCATTTGTGAGAAGATTAAGCGATGTATTCATTTCAAAATTGTTTTGCTTTTTTTTTGTTTAATCTCTTGCTACAGAACTTTAAATATTGACTCGAGTTACTCTTACTAACTGCTATGTTGAATTTTCTGTCGCAAAACATCATCGGAAATTTTTTCTAAAATTTTGAGTGTGTGGAGATTTATTGAATAAACATCAAAAAAAAAAATAAGAAATATAAACGTCACAATATTTCCTTCAAGCTTAAATTGAGATGAACTCAACGTATTTCGCAAAAAATAGAAGCGTGAATGATCAACTGTCGCTAAGTGTTATAAATTTTCTTCCTTCATTTGCTTGTAATTTATTTCTATGTCGTCCTTCGAAAGTCGCCACCAAATTTTCAAATATTAGCGAAAGTCTCGATAAACATAATTAACGTGTTTTGGTGTGTTACCAAGCACCCGATTCGAAGCTTTAAAACAATAACGATAAGGTATTTGCGAAGATAAAACAATAATGCACATGATCCTCGTCTCAACCTACGTAAGCATCCCGGGGTTATTCTTAATTTTTTTTATTAATCGAAACACATGTCGACGCTCGTTTCTGTTCAAGAATTGATAACGTTTTTGTTGCTCTTGGATTTTCTTGATCAATTGCCAAAATTCAGAACGAGAAATGGATTTATTGTGCTGTGATAAAATCATCTACGACTTGAACTTTTTATTCATTTTGAGATCTCACTAGCGAATTTATCCCGACTCTAATCTCCAATTCTTTATTTATTTTCATTTCTTATTTCTTTTTCTTTCCGAGCTATTAAAAATCGTTAAATATTATCGCGGTCGTTTAAACTGCTGCATATGTATGTGGAAAAAGAAGCGCAACTTAAACCCAGTTTTGTTTTTCTTTCTTTCTTTACCGCATAGCACGTAAGCCACTGTGCGTTGACCAATAATTTGCTCGTGCAAAGAGAAAAAAAATTTCGCCAAATGACAAATGTCCATCAAGATGTTCAAAGCCAGCATTTTGTTTTTCGGTTTTTTCCACTGATGACCCCGACACTTTGTGAATTCACCAACTGTCGCCCATGGAGTGACGAGTGAAGATCAAAAAAAGAAAAATATTTGCCGACAATGTAACAGACCTTAAGCTTGGCGCTTGAAATAATTAAAGAAAAATAAGAAATCTGTTGCATAAAGGAAAATTTCTTTATTTGATAATACACGAAATCGAGTTGAATATTTATCGTTCGTGATAATTTCCTCGTACACAACAATCGTAGGCTTGATTACGACGAGAAAGAAAAATATTTATTTGTTTACATTTCTGCTTAATCATCGTCACCAGCACAAAACTCTGAAAAAAATTTCCTTCCAATTCATTCAAATGTTGGTCTAGAATTTACAAAGTTCTAGTTAATCCGCCGTGATCGACAAATTATCCATCATTATCATTCACTCATCGTAATTAAATCAAATCATATAAGCAGACATACTTCAACCTTGGCTGACAACCAACCAGTTTAGCTTTGTATTATTTTGACACACATGTGTCAATGAAAATTCACTGTCAGGTTCTTTTTCTTTTTTTATTTTTTGTCAGAAATAAACGTATGTAAGATAGAGACAGAACGATTGTTTTCTCTTACGTCATGACGAACGTGCGTAAAGCTTGCTTGAATGAAAGGCTTGTGACGGATAAAAATAGACGTCGAGAGAGATTTACGATCGATGATCTGCAATGTGTGTGCAATGCGACAATGACAGCCTTCAATTTCAATCGTCAATAACTTTTTTTTTGTTTCTTCTTAATCAGGTGGAGCAACGCGATGTACCCGGCATCGATTGTGCTCATTTGGCGATGGACACCGAAGAAGGTGTCGAAGTCGTGTGGAATGAAGTGCAGTTTAGTGAAAGAAGAAACTTCAAAGCGCAAGAGGAGAAAATTCAAACAGTTTTCGAGAATTTAACACAGCTGGAACATCCCAACATAGTCAAGTTTCATAGATATTGGACTGATACACATAATGATAAGCCTAGGGTAAGTTTTGGTTTACAATGTCGACTGTCATCTAATCAAATCAATCAAACAGGTAATTTTTATAACCGAATACATGTCGTCGGGTTCACTGAAACAGTTTCTCAAACGAACTAAACGGAATGTGAAGAAATTACCATTGCAAGCATGGAAGCGATGGTGTACTCAAATCTTATCAGCACTTAGGTGAGTTAATGGCGATTTTTTACAACTTTCTAACAGAAGCACAATAAAAATTTCAATCATAAAAGATGAAACAATTTATTAAAAAACAGTAAAGTTTAATAAATTTAATATTTTCTTTACAGTTATTTGCATTCCTGTACCCCGCCGATCATACACGGCAATCTTACCTGTGATACAATTTTTATTCAGCATAATGGTTTAGTTAAAATTGGTAGTGTAGCGCCCGACGCAATTAATCATCATGTGAAGACATGTCGAGAGAATATTAAGAACATGCACTTTATTGCACCAGAGTATGGTGCTGTTACTGTGAATGCTGTTGCTAGTAGTCTTACCCCCGCCATTGATATCTTCTCATTTGGTATGTGCGCCCTGGAAATGGCAGCACTTGAAATCCAAGGAAATGGTGATTCTGGAACGATGGTGACACAAGAAAATATTCATCGTACGATTGAGAGTCTTGAGGATGGCCAACAAAAGGATTTCATTTCGAAGTGCCTGAGTTATGATCCCGCTGAGCGACCAAGTGCGAAAGAGCTTTTATTTCATTCGTTGCTATTTGAAGTTCATTCTTTGAAACTTCTTGTTGCACATTGTCTTTTGAATACAGCACGTGAGTTATGAAACTTTATCATTTGACATTCTTAATAATAACATTATTTTTTCCTCAGCAAATTTCTCAGACACGATAACCGATGAAATGATGCGACGCAGATATAAGCCTGATGTCGTTCTCGCTGACATTCCCCGCACCAATGATCCTGTTGAATTCAAGTTGGCGAATGTGCCAACTGCTGAGAAGCTGGAAAAGTTTTTAGAAGATGTTAAGTGAGTGTCTGGTGTTTGTTTTATTAAAAATGATTTCAGTGAAATTAAATTTTAATTTCTTTCTTATTTAGGTATGGCATTTATCCCCTAACAGCATTTTCAGCACGACAACCACCCACACCACGACCTCGAGCCATCTCACCAGAAACAGCTGAATCAATAAAATCAGCATCACCTGAACCATTGGACATTGAATCGCGTAAAGTTGTGAATATGATTTGTAGTGTTAAGCCAATAGAGAATAGCAGTGAACTTACGGTAAGAAATTAATTAAATTAACTGACTTTATAAATAAAATTCCTTCTTCTTTAGATGACAATACTTTTACGAATGGACGATAAAATGAATCGTCAACTCACATGTCAGATATCACAAGATGATACAGCGATAGCCTTATCACATGAGCTCGTGCATTTGGGTTTTATAAATGATGTAAGTGATGAGAAATTAAATAAATATTAAATATTTAATCTAGAAAACTTCATTCAAACTTTTTAGAATGATCGAGAGAAAATTGCCACAATGATCGAAGACACGCTATTACAAACTAGTAAGCAACAACAATTATTAGGCGCAACACGACTGTCAACGGGAGATCATCCAATGTCAATGCCAATTCACACGACCAGTTAGTAAAAGATTCAGACAAAAAAAAAAGAATGAAACAAAAATCCTCAAAAATTTAATTATTTAAATTTGTTTTCCTTTTCCTTGAATATCATCATTTAATGTTTGCACGTACACACACATAAAATGCACGTAAATAGACACGCACGTTCCCTCCTAATAATTAAAAGAAAAATCTCCAACCTTCCCTTAAACATTTTATTTGTTTCAATTTCCTAATCATTATAACGTGTCAGGTTTAAGTAATTTTGCACCATCTGGAAAATGTGTTCATTTCACGTTTAAAACAAAACAAAAGAAACAACCTTTAACTAAGTATTTAGATCAATTTATTATCGTTCTCGTAAAAAGTTCTCTTTCTCACTTAAAATATTGTAACCGCAATTTCAAATATAATAATTAAAACTATTATTTCCCTTTCTTTGTGAATGAGAAAGGTGATGAAAATATATTTTAATTAATTTGTATTAATATCGTGAGAGAAAGAAAGAAAAAGATGAATGAAAGAAAGAAAATAATTTTTATCATTTGTATTTTGTTATTTTATTTTATTTTTCCATCAATTGACTTTGAAAAGTTTTATTTAAAATCGTTAAAGTCGATTATTAAATCATTGAAAACTTCATCTATGTGAATTATCTGACAACTTTATATCAGTCGAAGCTTTTTAAATCTTTTGACTTCTTAAATAGAGCTTTGATTGTAATTACGCTAGATAAAGAAATGAAATTGTCGTTTAAGCTTTTGAAAAATCATAAAATGTTTCAAGATAATGAAATTTCCTCCTTTTATGTTTATTATCAGTATCTTTCATGGTATTAATTAAATTTATTATCCTTTTAGTGAATTTTTTTAAAGGTGGAAGAACTGCACAAGTTTTGTAATAATTTTGTTTGTTGGGTGCTGTCGTAGAAGTTCGTTGAGTAGATGAAAAGAAAGTTTTTTTATTAAGATTTTTGATTGAGTTCAGATAATTATCTGTTTGTGATTAGAAGAAAAAGATTCCACAACTCGAATTGTACCCTTCTTCCCACAGGTATTGAGCGTAGTTGGACAGTAGCTGATGAATCTCCGGGTGGAACAGAGACAACGACAATCCTCAACGACATCTCAAGTAATGACGGATTATTGCCGATGTATGAGAAGAATCAAGCCTAGGACCTGCATAAATGGACGAGAACGACTTTCATAGGTGTTGTGTTTATCGTTCTTTAACTATAACTACACAAACATTCGCTGTGAGATGAAACAAGACAAAAATGCTCGGCGAACTTCTGATCTGAACTTAAAAACATAAATTATAGAAATGAAAGAAAACAACCTCATCAATCCATTAACTGGACGAATTTTAATCCCAAAAAACTGTCTCCAAATTTTTTCGAATGTGTTCAAAATTTATTTTAAAAAAAAAGATGAATCAAAATTATATTTCTCATGTTCTTTTATAAACTTTTTAGGCCAACTTTTCAAAACAAAAAAGATTAAATTTTAAAAAGATTTGTCATTAGCTGAGAATAAAAGAAAGTCATTTTAAAGCAATTGTTTGAAAGTAAAGTTTTCTTTCAGTACTTAATCTATTTGAAAATAGTTTTTTTTATTTGGAGGCAAAGATGATAAAATATGATCGTCGGATCAAAATAATTACATTAAGTCTAAGATGTTATGTAAGTGCTAGAAAAACATGAAAACGCTTTCTTATTAAAGCTTCAGATTTAAGGACAAAAGAAACATGAAAATAATTAAAAACTTTAGTGAACCTCGATGATATCCTGTCCCTAACTTCCCAAACATGATGATGTATTAATAATGGATGTGAAATTTATTGTATTTTATGATGATGACAGTAAAAGAACATAAATTATAAACAAACCTTTAATGTGCATATTCAGTGTAAAAGATCATGCACAATCTATGTTGGAAAGAGAAGAGAACATTGATTACATAATTTTAAGTGACTGACTGTTTTTTCGCGCTGTGAAGCACACAAAAATGAATCATTGATTTAAGAAATAAAAAGAATTGAAAGACGAATGAATGATTTTTGAGAGAGTGTGCACTGAGAATCTGGAGAATGTTTTCTTGATTGATCAGAAATTAAATCGACTGCTTTGAAAGCTCAATATTTAATTTCACTGAATATCTTTAAACTTTTCTCTGTGTAGACAATTTATGATGATTGTGTGATTGACATAAAAGTTGTAAGTGATAAATGAAAGATCAGGATTATCGATGACATATTTTATCATGACCGGTATTACTTAGTCAATCGTTGTGAAAGCTTTCAACTTACTTTTCTCTCTCTCTCTCTCTCCTGCCAATTCTAATTTCAATGTTCTTAAGCTAAGAACTTTGTGAATGTTTCTTTTCTATTTATAATTCTTCCACACTTCTTTCTGTCAATTTCATTTAACTTGAAACTATTTCCAAAAAAAATTAAGATAAAACAATAAGAACTGTGGACACGAAAGCTTCCGTAATTTTCATTTTATGATATTAAGTCAAGATGTAAAAAAGAAATATATTTTTGCAAAAATAAGAATATTGTAATGACATTGATTGGAAGGAATTTATTTCCTTTCCCTTCATTAAAAGAGCTTTGGAAAGATTTCTAATTTTCCTTAATTAGAACTACGAAAAACTCTTGAATTAATAGCAAGAAAAATTAACAACTTTTTTCTTATGTTTTTGCACAGCAAAACAATATTTAATAAAAAAATATTCCCACTGATCATAAATACATAAATAGAAGTGAAAAGTAGAGAAATAAAAAAAGAAGAATCACCAGAAAATTTAAAAGATTTATTTAAGGAATTAACAAAATGCTGTAAATCAATTGCCACAATAACTATTCCCATTTCCCATTATTCCCCGAAACCACACAACACTTTAACAAAAGAAAATAAACTCAAAAGTTGTCTATCGTTATCGTAAGTAAGAAATAGCTTAAATTTGTAAAACTGATGAAAGCTTATTTTGCAAACAGCTAGTCATATCTTGAAAGACAAATCCCAAAAAGAAAAAGAGAAAAAAATGAAAGAGATCAGCAAAAGAAGTTGGAAATTTTATATACCTAATTCGTCATTTTGTCATTTGGTTCTGTCATGTCAAAAGGAATGAATGAAATTTAAAAATAAATGAAAAGTCAGAAATACTCACGAAGAATTTTTATCAAAAAATATATTTATAAAAATGTGAACCTATTGGTGTGTTCAGATTCTTCTTGATTGATATCATGTCTTGATAAAATATCAGAAAGAAGAATCCACGAAAAATCAATGGCTCAAAGTTTGTGAATCAGAACGAAAACGAATTGTGAAATAATTTTTTCTAATGAAAATTATAATTGCAAGAATTCCTCAATATCCAACACTGCTTAAAAAATATTGAAACTTTAATTCATTTCATTTAAAAGAAATTTATTTTGAGCTGCCTCTGGCAGATTTTATTTCCAATCAAATCCCCATTCACAATGACCATGAATTTAATCACTTATCAGTTTTAATTTAAAACTAATAATTGAGAGTCACATGAACGAGAACGATAAAGAAGAAATTGTAAACAACAGAGTCAATATAACAAATCATATAAAAAGTTCGGTTTCTTCTGGGAAGATCTAAAGAGTTTCGAAAGTTTCTCTAACTTAGTATTCCTATTAACTCTTGACTGTCGAATCAAGAAATTCTTTTTTCATTCACTTAAGAACCGAACGATTGAAAAGGCATAAATAGTAATTATAAATAAAGCTGTATAATAAAAATTTGTAAGTTAGAAAATTATAAACTAAAAATTTATGAAAGTGTGATAATTTTTTTTAAAAGATGATGTTACTGATCATTGAAGTCGGAATGAACGGAAAGAAGTAAAGAAACCTCAGAATCATGAATGAATTGTAGTCGGAACTTTATTATCAAGAACCTCTTCCCTGGAGCCTCAATTAATTGTTTTTTATAATTTTCCATTTTATCTCATTTGAATGAAAGATAAATGCATGCAAAAGCAGAAATATCCTAATCTGAAATATTTTAAGTCTCCATTCAAAACCTACCAATAGAATATTTTATTTATTTTCAGTAAAAATTAAATCAAAAAATTCTTTTAATAGTTTAAATCATAGGGATTATATGAGAAATGAAGAGATAATAAAGAAAATCTTTCTTAAAAAGGCGATTATTGAGATTTTTATATGTTTTTGATGAAATTTCTAATAAATTGATCTTTTCAGAAAGTTTACTGGTTTCTTAAAATTCAAATTCTGTTTAAGGATTATGAACATGCAACAGACACTTCATTGAACCGTTATGGACTTCATTGAACCGTTGAACCGTATCTCACTTTATTCTTCAGTTGCTCTTAACTTCTCAATGTTTGCAGTTCGTTTCACGAATTGTTCTGTTAAATTAGTCGTTTAATGTAAGTTTTTGCTTCAGATAATCAGTTCAGACTCATTCTTGGAAGCATGAGTTTAAATTTTAAGTAAAATTATTATAAAATAACATCAATTTTAAAAGATAAGTACAAAAACATGAGAATCGTTGTTAATTGATTAAACAATTTTATGAGACAACAGTGAGCAACAAAAGAAATATCTACTAAAATATTAAAAAGAAAGAAAAAAAACCTTTTTGAAAGAGATTATAAAATACCAAAAGATTATCAAAGTGCACTTAAGAAGTAGTTAAAAAAATTTAATTAAAATGCTGCCTGAAGAAGTTTCACATATCGGCGACGGTATCATTCAAGTGTCAAAGCCAGAATATCTTAAAAGAATTCAAGTTGAAGCAGACATTGATCAACACTACATTGTGGAAGAGAAACCATTTGCAAGGTAAGAAAATTGCATCTGCCTTGAGAGTTTTGCGTTTAATTAAGAATACAGCTGGAAAATATATTCAAAAGAAAGAAAACTTGCAAATCACCAACACATTTGAATTTAAACTTCAGTTCTACTCCACAAACAACACAAGTTTTTTTTATAATTCTTTCTTTCTAAATTTATGTGACATTCGTGGAAACATTTACAATCGCTCATGCTAATTTTTGATACAGAAAAGTAATGAATTGAATTATTCCGTGATTAATTTTTGCTGACGTCTTCATTAAGCGATTCTCAATTGCATTCATTCACAATTCGATTTAATTACAGTTAAGGCTCATTACTTTAAAAGTCTCTTAGTCATGAAAAACAAAACGTGAAGTTCGACTGTAAGAAAATCTAAAACTCAATATGAATCGTTTAGCACAGCAGTGAAATCAAATTACGCAAATGTCGCAAAAGCAAACTGCATACTTGTAGTCTTTTTATGGTATTTGCTCCAATCAGACGCCACGCCATGTCTGATGTAATGCAACTGCAAAAGCAGCAAATGCAGCACAAACAAAGCTTATTTGAATTAAATAGAAAAAATCTCTAATCTGAATGTCATCGAATAGGAGAGAAGATTATTTCTTGTTTCTGCCACAAATCAGTCAGTTAGTCAAATCATATCATAATGGACTCAGCTGTTACTTTAAAGATGAAAGTTTCAAGTCGTAAACTGTTGAAATCAGATCAATTTCATTGACGAAAAAAACGTGCAATCAACATAAATGACTCCCCAAAATGTGGGTCAAGTTTTTCTCTCACTCTGGAACCGGAAACTGTAATCGTGTTGTTTTTCTTATTAATTTATGTTCCAAACATCCAAACACAGCCGAAAAACAAGACAAGAGAGTTTGAGAAATCAATTTTTGTTTCTTCTATTTTAAGACAAATGTTTAGGAATGTTTATGGAAGTGTATGGCGTTGACATGTTGCAATTTGTTTACATGATTTAACTTGAAGATAGTGAGACGATGCATGTGGGTTCAGACGAGGTCGCATCAATGATACGATGCGTTTCTAAGATAGATAATCATGTTTAAAGATTCAGACTTTGATACTTGACTTCACCTTGCCTTTCCTTCAACTTCTCATCGTTCCCTGCCCAAAGCTAAATACGTTGATGGTTTTTATTTGCGTCAAGTTGATATCAAACTGTGCTGATATCATTGCGGTCTCAATAATTAAACTTCAATAGATAACAAGACAACTAATGACTCTCTCACTTTTCAATTCTTATCGATAATGAGAAATTTATTTGCTTTTTTAAGAATTTTGATTACTTTCAGTTGACGTCTCAACAATCTTTGATTAAATTTATGCTCTGACCTAGTGAAAGTTTCCTTCTTTCTCTCATTATGTTGTCAAAAATTTTAGTTTCACTCAGTCGACAGTTTGGCTGTGTTAGGTGTTAACTTACAAATTGAGTCAAATGCGTGTGTAGATGTTATCTCTTCAAACAAATGACGAATCAAACGGAAAAAACACATATTCGAGTTGGCAAGGTCGTTCAACGATTTTTTTTGTGTCTTGTTTTCTTTTTCTTTGCGTTCATCTTTCTTTTTCATTCTTTATTGAAATCGTTAAAATGAATCGCTTCGTTTCATTGCTAATATCGTTGATGTTCATCCGACAACTCACCAGCATTCCAAGTTACTGTTGGAAGCTCATAAAGTTATTTAAATCGTTTCTTACCTCATCGTTCTTTAGATACTTCTGTTTAAATATCTTTTTTTTTTCTAAGTGAATAACATGTGAAGTCAAACATCTTCAACTCTTCAATTGCATAATTATTTTCATCCAAAAAAAATTTATTCACTTTATTCGATCTTTTAAATATTTCTTGTTTCTTCTTCTTCAAAAAAATGTCAGCATTTATTTATTGCATAATGATCGTGATTACATTAACTCAACATCTTATTGGATGTTTCTTTCTTTCTTCTCTATTTTGCCACTTTTTTGTTTCGAATCTAAAAAGACACGAAAGTTCAAGAAACCATCGAAGATGCTAAGCTAGAAAACTTTAAGTTGCTTGTGTTTCAAATGAAACGTGTGCAAATATTTACGGAATGTTTTCTTCTTTCATATCGAACGGTTTTTAAGTTGTTAACTTGACATCCTAATCCAGTCACATGACAACTGAATTGTTACCTGCTGACAATTGGAAACTTGTCATTACTTCGTTTACTTCTTTTACTCGTTTAAAGTTGAACAGCCCTTCTTTTGAGTTAAACAACTTTTATTCTGCTAATCTTTTTCGATCAACCAACAACACCCACAAGTTTCCTTCCTTTCCTTTCCATTTTTTTTCTTCTCTTTTTTTCTTATTATTGCCCTCTGATGTCAATTGATTTTGCCAGCATCATTTACGAGACGTGGAATGCTATTTCATTTGTTTAAGCATGTGTCGTGTGTTTATTCTATCAATGCTCTTACTTCCTATTAAAAAGAAGAATAAGGGAATGACTTCCACCATTAAATAAATGACTTTGATCGTTTACTCGTGTCATGTTTGTGACAAATTTTCATCTATTGCCGCTTTATATATTTTCAATCTTTTTTTCCTTCTTATCATCACACAAAAAAGTCGTCGTTTGTTTTGTCGTGCATCTTGTGAAAATCAGTCACGCTCGACTTCCAACTTCCAACTTCCAAAGTAAATGCAAAAAACAAATTTTACTTGTTGGAATTTGTTTTTTTTTTGCTCAAGCTAATTGTTTAAACAGCTTTTGTAGCAAACTGGGAATTTTTCTCAGTTTCAGTTGTTTTTCTCTTCTGTTTGTCATTTTATTTGAATTGGAATATCTTTCGAAAACAATTAAATTGTTAAAAAAAACGATTCGAGAAGCAAATGACACGTGAAATCGACTTCTATGTTGTCAGCTGTTGTAGTTATGTGTGCGATAATTTGCATTTGTAGGTGAAGAATTTCATGAAATTTCTTTCTTGAGTTGTTTTCATGATGAAAAATGTGTCGAACGACGTCTAAGTGCCGCTTACAAAGATATCTAACTCGTTTCCATGTTACTAATGCAACTTTTTTCTTATTTATATAAAAATATTCTTTGCATAATGTCGACAATTGCCTTTTGAATGATGAAAACGAAAGTTGAGATCGAATTAGATTTAAACATCACTTTGCTTTCTTTTCTGATAAATGAATGAATGGAAAATGCCATCGAATGAAAACTATGGGAAATTCTCGTTGGCATTTATGGAATCCAAGGTTTTTATTCATTTAATGTAAAGTTTTTTTAAAACTACACTGAATATCATGATTTTTAATGACACAATCTCAACATGGATCATTGACTGAATTGTGTCGAGTCATTGATTGGTGAATTGTTTGTCTATCGAGATCAATGTGCGTCACGTCATGTTAGCCATGTTATTCTCTCTCAATAGTTTTAAATATTTCTAACTGAGTCATTTGGGCTAGTTGACAACAAGGTTGAATATCCATTCAGAAACTTAAACTTCTAGCTTTAAATATTGCACCTGCGAAAAAAAAGCACAAACTAACATAAAATTAAATTTTCAGTTGCAATCTGAATTGTTTTTATGTTTTAGTTTTATAGTAAAACAAATAAAAAGAGAAATAAATTTTGTCATGAAATATTCAAGTTAAAAAACAAAAACGATGGCAGTGTGACGATGTAAACTTGAAATCAAAGAAGGTTTGGATAAATTACAAGTTTTTGGAATCATTGCGTGGGCGTTTTAGTTCTACGTTGCCATATTTCTTTTTCTTTCCGTGCGACACAACAACCTAAAGCCGCAAGACCGACAGTTGTTTCCTTGTAAGGCTCTCGTCGTCATGATGACTTACTGCATTAAAATGTTTAGTAAAATATCCATCAGAAATGTCAAGAAATCGAGACTAGCTAAAAGGAAAAGTTTTTGCTTTACTTTCAAAAGATGTGTAGGCATTACTTTGAGTTTCAATCTTACTAATTTCTCTTCGCGCACTTTGCATTCTGTTGAGAACGAAGAACGAAGTTTTGCAGTTCGTGCGATGTTTAAAACAAAGCAAATCACTCTTCAGTTCGCCTTGAAATTCTTTTCTAATTATTTTTAGTGTTTTGCACATTTGATCGCTAAAATTTGCATTTACATCAATGCTGGGTTTGGCAAGAGTTGAATAGAATTTTTTTTCTTATTCAGGCGCCAGCATCTACAAGTCGTGGTTATCTACATAAAGTATTTATGTTGCTAACATTAATCGTTGGCATTCTTCAACCATCCGCAAATCTTTTGTTTACTGGACACTTCCGCAATTTCGTAATAATTTAAATTTTTCATTCGATGAAGAGAAGTTCAATGTCTCACGGAATCTTCTTACATCAACAGCAGAAAGAAAAGATGAAGGAAAGAAAACTTTACTATGGAATGTTGCATTTCCACATCTTTCATCTCATTTATGCTCGCGTTCACGTTCGTGTTGATAAAAAAATCGCACAACACTTCGATTCATGTCGAATCTTTCTCACTCGTTGAACTTTTCTCTTAATTTATGCATAAACATTTATGAATAATTCGAGTCTCGAATGAATGTCGTCGAATGAAATTGATCGAAATTCTTTTAGTTATTTCGGAACACTCTCGACTAAAAATTTTCGAGAGAGAAAAGAAAACAAGTTCATTGGCAACGTTTAAAAATTCATGAAATGAATTTAAATTCGAACTTCTGGTTGGCTTTGAGATGTGATTTGTTGCATAATCGTGTTCTACATACTTTAGCAAATGACGATCGATGAGAAAAAAGAAGAAAAGATATAAAAAAAAGCATTGTGAACTTTTACACGGTCGGATAAAAGAATTTTTATCGCTTAATTTTATTTTTATTTTGTCATCTTAAATAATTAGCATTCGCTTGCTAAGATTTGCTTCTCGATGCTAAGCCACCATAAAAGAAGTCACGAAACACATTTATAGGTCATTTTAAAGCTTCCTGTTCATTCCATCGAAGCTTCTTTCATTAAAAGTAGTTCAAAAAGTACTTAAATAAGTTCAACAACTTCAATTTAAATCAAGACAATTAAAAAAAGGTAAAAGAAATCTCGTTTTAGATTTCACCTTTGATGCCTTTACCTGTGCAACGACTAAACGAATGAATGCGATTGCATAATAAATTATGAGAACTTTTTACCTTTCTTTTTCTTTTATTACATTTCAACTTAGATAGACACTCTTAGTTGAAGTAAATAAAGCCAGCCAGTCATTAACTCACGAGATGAGATTTAATGAAGATGTTTTGCAGATGTTGTAAGAAGCGAGCGATAGTTTTTCTTCTTTTGTTGCGATAACAAATTGTTGTTAATGTTCTCATTTAATTCTCTCTTCTCTTCTGCTTTTATTATTGTTATTATTTGTAATTCACATTAAAGGCTATGATTATCTTGTTAAAAAATATCTTTATTACTTCACTCATGTTTGTATCTAATTTAAAAAACAGAGGAAACTTCGGAACCGTTCGTCGAGCAACACATAAAGAAACGGGCATCAAATATGCAGCAAAGTTCTTAAGACGTCGACGAAGAGCTGCTTGTTGGATAAAACAAATACAGCATGAGATTGCTGTTCTTATGTTGAGCGCCAATTCTGAGCAGATTGTGAAGCTTCATGCGGTGTATGAAACCCGCAGTGAATTCATTCTCATTCTGGAAATGTAAGAATGAACTTGAATTTATAAATAACCGAAGCTATTGCGAATGATTCAAATGGTTTCTTTTAAATTTCTAGGGCAGCTGGCGGTGAACTTCAAGCGATCTTGGACGATGATAGTTCATTGTCCGAACATAAGGCGAGAACATGTGTAAGAGAAGTTTTGAAGGCTTTAGAATATCTACATCGTCGGAAGATTGCACATCTCGACATAAAACCACAAAATATATTGCTCAACTCCACGAACCTCGAAGGTAAATACTTTTAAAACATATTGAAAAGTTTAATGCTTTCTTCTTCTTGTTCTTTAATTTCCTTTATGTTGATTGAGCGTAGGGACGTCGATTGTTAATGTTTTTTAATAGATTTTCAATTTGAAAACAAAGCATCAACAAGATATTTTATGGTTCAATCAATGTTTAAGATAATTAACATAAAGATTGACAATCGACATCACTAACCATTAAAATGAATATTTCCAGATGGACTTAAACTCTGTGACTTTGGTTTTGCTCGAGCAATTGAAGGTACAAAGAATGTTTGTGAGATTCAAGGAACGCCAGATTATGTTGCACCTGAAATAGTGCAATACGAGCCACTTTCATTGAAAACCGACATTTGGTCGGTTGGTGTTCTCACTTACGTTCTTCTAACCGGCTTCAGTCCTTTTGGTGGCGATGACAAGCACGAAACATTCCTCAACATCACACAATGTAACTTAACATTTCCCGAAGATCTTTTCGGCAATGTGTCCGACGAAGCCATTGATTTCATGAAACGCACGATGCGACTTAAACCATGGTGAGTGTGCTGTACGAACGTGACGGGGTCAATAAATTGCTAACAACTTCCGCTAGCTTCGCTTTAGCATAAACGAATTTTATTCTCATATTTATTCTCCTAGTGATTTATTTCTACGTCAAATGATCTCATTTTACATAAAGAAATAAAAAAATATATTTTTTTGTTTCGTTTATTTCGCGGTTTATGTTTCGCATACGACGATTATCATTGCGCAATGAGATCAAACGCTTATGACTTTGAAAAGGGATTTTTTTCTCTCTTTATCTCTTTTGTTTTTAAATCACTTGACTTGCAAATGATTAACAAAAAATAATTAGCATGAAAATGTGACATAACAAAGAGATCAAGTATGTTAATTGATCGTATAACGCATGCAAGTTGAGTCGAGTATAGGATTTTGAGATTTGACGTGATACTTGGAATGGTCACAAGACACGCCTGGAATCTTTTTTTACTTTAATTTTTATTCTTATTTGATCATTTAATCTTCTTGAATAACACGTTTAAGATAAATTTGGAAACTAAATTTGCATAAATCTCTCGATGAAGATTTAATTAATCTGATGGATTAACAATGAAGATTAATTTGTAATCTAGAATTTAATCTAATCTAACATATGGTGAAAAATTCTTTCAAATAAATAATAAATTATTTTTTAGTGATCGCCTTGATGTATTTGAATGTATGAAACATAAATGGCTAGCAGATGATACCACAAAACATTTAACAGACCCTCCTCAAGATATTCTCGCACTACAACTTGCGGATGTAAATGCCATGAATTTTCCAACAGACGTTGAATGCTTAAAATCGAGTGAGCATTTGAAAAGAGATGAGACTACGGAAGCTGTTGATGAAAACAAAGAGAATTCCATAAGATCTGCTGACAATGAGACGACAACAACAACGACGACATTAAATTGCCATCAAATCAGTTCGAAAATGGTTTTAGAAAAATCATTGACGATTTCATTATTTCCCGACGCACCAACAACACCAAAAGTTTGCCGTAAAATGCTGTACGAAGACGAAGATGATCTCAATACGCAAGTGAAGGAGATTGTAAAGAAATATCAGACGAATGACAATCAACAGCAAAAGTCTTCATCGACATGTTGTGAAGATGAAAATACTGGTGAATGTCTCCTTTGTAAGTCAACAAAAACAAAACCACCGTCGCTAGAACTTGACACGGGAATCGTTTGCTGAGCTTATTTTGATTCCTTTAAAATTATAAAAAGATGTACATAAACAACCGATGCCAATTTGTCATTTAAATTATAATTTTTTGTAGAACTTGTAGATCGGTAAACATTTTTTTCTTCTCCTTCTATTTTTTCGTTAATTCTCAACCGAAGATTAATTGATAAGTTAAAAATTCGTTTTTTATAATTCTCTTTAGCTGATTAGAAAGAAAGAAGAATTTCGTGATGAAGAAGTCTTTTCTTAAGGTTTAATCATCTTTGGAGATTTTGACCATTTCTGGAAGTCTTTAAAGAAGACTTTGCCTCTTCTTAACCTTTTTTCATTTGTGCCTTTATCGTAATTAATGATAAACATATTATATAAAGAAGACTTTGAATTTTAAGAAAGACAAACGAAAAATAACAATATTAAAGCTTCAGACTGATAACATATCAAAAGATTTAACTTCCAGCAAATTTAAAGATTTTAAGATTTTTTCTCTTTAATAAGCTTTTAAGAATTGTATTTGAAGGATAAAAAATTATAAAAAGCTCAATAAATTTATTGAAATTCGAAAGGATTATTTTGTTTGATTTTGAATGAAATAAATAATTAAAATTATCTCTGAGAAGTTGAGATTAATTCTGGGACTAATCCACGCTTAATCTCACTTTCTTTAATCTCCAATTTTCAGAAATATTTTTCACTTCAAAGATAAGAAGCGGATATATTTAAGACTGTGGATTTCTATTCCTAATCAAAATCAAGTCAAGGATGATAATTACGTTTAATGTCTGCGATAAAGCTTTGTTGAGTAGAAATCTTTGATCGCTTTGCTTCGAGAAATTGCGTGTTAAGACGTTATAAAGTCACCTTCCTCAAAACCTCATCAAACACCAATAAATCGATTAATTAAACGACTCTTCAAAGTTGATAACGTAAACAATCTTAACAACCATTTAATCGACATTGAAGACAAATTGTAAGTAACATTTTCAGTGCGTACAAAAAAAAGCTCATAAATTCTTTATTTTTTTAATAGTCGTGTTGCTTGTTGTGCAATGCGGTCAAAAGACGAGTATAACAATATTACGAGAAGAGAAATTAGAAATCAATCGTCTTAGAATAATTATTTGACCTAATGTTAATTGAATTTAAAAACTGAAAAGTTTTGGAAGTCGTCGAAAAAGAAAAACAATATTGGAATAAATGATGAGAATGTGCTTCGTTCACTAAATTCATTTATATGGCGTCACCTAAAATATATAAATATAAAATATTCCATCCTCTCATCAGCCATATTCGGAAAACAATTGACTCGACGATTTTGTCACGAACGTTGAAATAGCGAAGAATTTGTGTTTAGAATTGATCAGCACGTCCGTCAAGGCATTCGAAGATAACGTGGAAGAAAATATCCAAAAGTTTTGTCCAAGCAATTTTGCCTTGAATTAATTAAATTAACAATGAATGGAAGATTTTAATAAATTTGGAAAATATTCCCACCTTGTTCATCGAGCTTACACACGTCAGTTAAAATATCAACAACTACGCTGCGAAGATCGTTTTGAGATTTCTTTGTGATTTTCTTCTTCGCATGAAACTTTCCAACTGGAAAAATTGAAAAACAAAATTTTTTCTTTCTTCTCCATTAAACATTGCGACAGTCAAACTCACTTTCGGCTAGAATTCTTTTGATGCCCATGTAATCGGGATCTCTGTCAAGAGCATCAACAACACTGCTGAAAACATTAAAAATCTTTGATGCGTGATTACGAAAGCCGGGAGTGCCCTGTGGATGAGTTAGTTTCATTAAACACAAAAATATTATCATGTTTACAATTAAATATGTATTTATGATGTTGATGAAATTATTCGGAAAGAAAGAGGAAAATTATCTCAAGAGAGATTAAAAGTTCAAGAATTTTAGGAGATTGACGACAAACCATCATCGAAATTCACTTTTTTTTTTCTTTCTTTTCGCTTAATATGTGAAAACTTACTTTGAGATCCGATAGCGGGACGTCCCTGAACGAGAATTTCGGTTGATGTTCCGGAAAGCGTTCAAGGAAAGTATACAAAATGGTCTCAGCTGAATCAAAGGCCTGGAATGGGGGCGCAAAAATGAATAGATTTTAAAATCACGTAAACATACATTTCCGCACTCACATTTGCACTTGGAATCTTCCATGTCGCTTTGATTATATCAACTTCATCTGGTGTCAATGCAGTGATTTGTGGTGTGGGTACGTCAGGCTCTTTTGGAGAATTCCTTTGTAAGATATTTCCCATAATTTAATGGAATTGATTGAATGAATTATAGAAGAAAAAAAATGCGCGACTTTACGGCACTAACATTCGATGAAAAGTGAAACGCACGTGCCGAATGAAAGCCGAACTGAACTGGAAGTGTAAAATAAATATTATTTTTTATTCTTACTCGTCTCTTTGAAATGAAATAAAAAAAGCTTCACTTACACAAACATTTGTTGTGAGAATATCGCGACAAGTGAATTAAATCATAATATTCGGAATGTTATTCACACTTTTGCATATTTTTGAATAGAGAGATCGACTTCAACAGATGTTGCTTACATATTGTATGACCGATGATACTACGAAGCTCTATAAATCACTCTGACAAATCTACAAGCATATATCAACTTAAATATCTATGTAGAGAGTAACGATATGGTTTCCTTTTATGCTTCCAATATCTAATGAAATGAAACAGAACAAGATTCATGATTCGTTAGAAAATGTCACATGTCAACTATATCAAGAATTTATTTCTTAATTTCAAATATTTTTAATAATTTTTCTTCGTTTTCATAAACATTTGCAGATGAAATATTCAAAACAAAAATGCAACTTATCTTCCACAGCTTATTTAATTTTTTTGTTGTGACGAAACTTTGAAGGTTCTTCGTTCTCTTAAACTCCATTCAAGCCAAACTTATTATACTCACCACTCATCTTCATGAAAAACAAGTCTGCTCTTGGTCTTGATCAAAACAAAATTAATTTCAGTTCGATTGAATTTTTTAGGTGAATTTGTGTGCTTTCTTTTAATTCCTTCGATTTAAATCATTGAAAAGGAAATCGAATGCTTAGACATTTAGTGAAATCATATCTGCTGTTTCATTGCTTGTTTGCAATCAAAAAGTTTGATAACTTTAATGAAGATAATAAAGACGATGTCCTTGACTTAATTAAAACTGCTGGTTATAAAGCAGAAGCACATTTAGTTGTTACTGAAGACGGATATGTGTTGAAAGTTCACAGAATTCTTCCGAAAGTGAAAGGAAATAACATCAAACATCCCGTGTTTCTGATGCACGGGTTGTTAGCGGCTTCAGCTGATTATATTATAACTGGACCTCAAACTGCACTTGCTTTTCTATTGTCAGACGCAGGTTATGATGTTTTCATGGGAAATGCTCGAGGGAATAAACATTCGACTCGACATAAAACTTTTTCAACAAACTCAAAGCAATTTTGGAAGTTTAGTTGGCACGAAATTGGATTTTATGATCTTCCAGCAATGATTGATTTCGTCTTAAACTTTACGAGATCAAAACAATTGTTTTATGTTGGTCATTCTCAAGGAACAACTTCACTTCTAGTTTTACTATCAAGTCGTCCACAGTATAATGAAAAAATCATTCAAGCACATTTAATGGCTGTTTCTGCTTATCGTAATGCACTTCCCGAATCACTTTTTAAGATTCAAGAGTTTCAGACTTTGGTAAATTTCATATTCTTGAATTTATCTAATTATAATTCATTATTTATTTCTTTTAAAGTTTTCATCTAATGAAACAGGTTTCTTTGATTTCACGCCACTTTTCCACATGGGACAGGTATTTAGTGATATCATGTGTACAGAGAAGGATAAAAAGAATTTGGAATTCTGCTTGAAATTGGTGTTTCAACTTGTTGGAAAGAATGAGAAAAGAATTGAAATTGACACTGTAAATATCTAAATCGTAATCTTTTCTTACTTATAATCAAAATTTAATTAAAAATAGAAAGTTCTACCGAAACTATTGCAACACTTTTCACCGAAAATTAGTGTAATGCAAATGGAACATTACATTCAGCTGACAAAAAGTGGAAAGTTTGTTCAGTACGATTATGGGGAAGACAATTTGCTTCATTACAACACAACATCACCGCCAGGTTACGATTTGAAAAAAGTTGTAGCAAATATTTATCTCTACCACGCTGCACATGATTTACTTGTGCCAATATCAGTGAGAAAACTCGTAACATTAAATTAAGACATATTTTAAAGAGAAATTTTCAATTTTAGAGTGTACAACGTGTGAAAATGATGCTGTCAAACGTTCGCGGCTTTCGTGTCATAGAAAATTGGAATCATATTGACTTCACATATGGAAAGCGCTCAAGAAATGTTCTTTATAAAAATTTTCTTAAATGCTTCAATGATTTTGAACATTTTAAATCATATTGCTAAAGTTAATAATTTTATGCCGTTAACTCTGAATTCAAAAATCGTTTAAATCCTTAAACGCACTCATGCGGCTTATTTCACTGAATACATTGTTTACAAATTTAATTTACAAACAAAAATAAATTTTAATTTTTTCTAGAGTTATTAGAACAAAGAATGTCTTCTTGTTTGGAAAAGTGCAACGAGTTTGCTCGTACACCAACCGGTAGAATTGATTTCACATGAAACTGTTATAAATCAATTAAATAAATTTAATTTCAGCACGAATAATATTTTGGGTTGTCATTTTATTGTCATCTTGTCTTTTTATTTATCGTCTTGCAACCACTGGAAATACTAATGAAAGATTGCTTAAAGTAATCTCTGATAAATCATCTGACGATGGAGCATTAATAACTTTTTCAAAGAACTCAGAAAACTCCTACACAAAGAAAATCAAGGAATTCTTAGCTCGTAAGTTTTTCTTTTAAATATCTAAGCAAACATCTAATGAATTTCTCAACCAGCTTACAAGACGCCTTCTCCTAGCCGACAAACGTGTGGCTATGAATTGCCACCTACAGAAGGAAAATCATGTGATGTCGATTTAAAATTATTTTCGCCGTGCTTGGATGAACACAAACCTTGTGTCTTCATTAAACTTGGTGAAAAAGATTGGAAAAATGAATTTTACAACGTTACTGATCTTCCCATCGATATGCCGAAGGATCTTAAAGAATACATTACAGAATTCAAAAGAATCTACAAAGTATGATAAGTTTCGTAATGTGGGTGTGTCAATGCTAATTAATTAAATTATTTCACAGAACATTGAAGTCGCTGGAGTTTCTTGTAGTGGAGATGGTCCATTTGATATAGAACATATTGAAAAAATGACTTATATACCATCAATGGCTTTTCATTTCTATAATAACTCTGGAAAGATTCAACCAATTGAACCAATAATTGCTTTGCAATTGGAAAAAAATAAACGTAAGTTTTCTACGAATTTTAGCTTAAAAATGATTAATTTATTTATCCATTACAGCTGGAGTCGTAATCTTTTTAAAATGTATGTTGTGGACTCGTATTCCGGAAACATTTATGTTCCAAGTTTTGGTCGATTATTAAAATGTGACAAAGATCTGATAAACAATGAATACGCAATTAAAGTTATTACAATGAAAATCTCAATGACATAACACTGTACCTGCAGGTAAAAAATAATCTCAAAGTAAAAGATTTTAAAGTTCTTTTTCATAAACTTTCTACCTCATCTTTATACCTACCGATGATATGGCAAATAACTTAACAATGTTTGTTTGTTTGTAACAAACCAATTAATCCGTCATTTGGTAATTATTTTACTAAAAATTTACAACTTAATTAAGTGTGAACTTCTTAGCAGATAGAATGCCTATTGTGTGTCTTTACTTCTGTTATTAAATATATGAAAACATAATATTTTTAAATAAAGTAATATTTGTTTTAAGCAAAAATCAAATTGTTTAAATTTTTTGTTTTTGAAGAAATCATTGCATTGCAACTTTAATATTTACAACTTCTTTTTTAAAATTTACTTTAGTATCGCAGTTCCATCAATAAACAGAAGAAAATATTTATTTTGACCCCCAGCTTTAATTTTCAACTGATGTTTTTTCTTTAAAACATGAGATAAGACATGAAAAGGCGTGAATATGTTAATAAAAATGTCCTACAGTCAACGAAATCAGTAATAAATTGACTTCCATTCCAATTCCCTTGCCAAATATTTGAAAATAAAAGTCACTGACACGAGATGCTAAGCTAAAATTGATTAAAAAACCGAAAAATGTCTATACTTAAAACTGTTTTATCTGACATTTTAAGCTTTCATTGTTGTCCCAAAATGCAATGAATGTAACTTTCATGTTTACATGTTTTATTTAAATTGTGAGATTTTATTCACGATTTCATTGCTAACATCATCAAAACATGTCAGGAAATTATTTATGTAATGTTTTCATGAGTTTTCATACAATTTCATCGTACTTTTCAGGCTTACACCAACAAGCATGTAAAATGCACCAATGGTACGGTAAAAGAACATTAAATTTTCAGATTTCCTTTAATAAGTCTCCCGCGAGTTGATGGAAAACTTTATCATTAATGATGAGAAAATTAAAATATTTTTCTCTTCATTCTACTTCGTCGACTTGTCTCCTTGATTCAAACTTTTCGCTGTCTCCTTAAATATCATGTAAATATTGTAAAGCGTTTTAATTATTATAATTGGTAAAATGTTTCACGAGCTTCAAGCATTAATTTAATTATTTTAGTACACTTTCATTACTGAAAATGAAGAAAGAAAAAAATGAACGAAGAAATTCACGAAGGAGAGGAGAAGATGAGAAGCGAATAAGTATAATAGTGACATTAAATTTTACTATCAAGCATCATCATGTTTAAGTCTTGAAAACTTTCCATGAAGTGAAAAACAACAAAATGATTTTATTTTATGATGTGAAATTGAATTAAAAACTTTGGTGCAGAAAATGTCTTTTCATATCATTAAAATGTTTTTTCAATTTTTGAAAACTATTAAAAGGGACGAGACGAGCTAAATTTATCTATCTGCAATCTCTTGTGCAATGTTTTGCTTTCTTTTTTGTGAAATTAATTTTTTATCTTATGGTTTGTTCCATTGTAATGAAGTCACATTTCATTCCATCCGAAGCATGGTGAATTGAAGTTACTGATTGTCTCTCTAAGGATTGTTCTTTGGAAGCTTTTCTCTCGGAACTTTTCTCAATGAAAATTTCCCAGATCATCAGAAAACGGGTGATAAGAAAATTCCACAGTCATGCGCATAAAAAGTTTGTTTAATGGAACTTTTTCTCTAAGAATGTGTTCCAGTACAAATTGAATTCAACTGACAATCGACGATTGTCGTAGATGTTAGAGGACATTCGAATTCAAGGAATTTAATTTTAAGACGATGATTGAAAATGTGCTCAAGAGATTTCAATAATGTTCAGTTTATTTCTGTTGAATCTTTTCAAGGATTTTCATGAGCTTCAGACAATGAAAAGCTTTCTAAACTATTTATCTGCGACAATCTCTTGATTTCTTTACACAACATAAAATTATCGCAGAAAAATCGTTCACATTTCACCATTCTTCGATTGCTTCCGGTAATTTTCGGTATACGATGTGACGACAATATCGAAAACGGCAAAGGCAACATGTTGACAATATTTTTATTAGATTTTTTCATTTTTTTATGTTGAAAATTGTCAGTCAGCTCTCATCATGTTACGACAGAATAATTTCAGATTAATGCTGCGAGAGTATTATCACTTAATGTCATGTTGGTTCTTCTTCTCCTAACATAGAGATTTTCCTTAAAATCTCATTGACATGCAACAGTTTCTTCTTGTTAAGCAATAAAAATAGTTTTACATTAATTTTTCAGATGATCAACATGTTGAATCTCATTCCATGTCTATGTAACATGGCAAAAGGCCAACTCTTTGTTCGTTGGTGATTTAAAATATTATCTGTTTCAACTACATTCTTGATTTTATCTTAAATTGGAAATCATCGAAAGGCTTACACGTTTCAAAAAGCAATTTTGAACGTCTATGGAATATTGTTGCAAATCACTATGACAATCATCCATCGAATATATTCGAAGGTTGTCGATGTAAAACATCAAATCTTATCAACCCATTCTGTATACGTTGCTTATGAAAGTACATTAAAAACAAACGCTTGCTTTTGTCGTGCAAGAAAAGATGGCAAGAAAGGTTTTCCTGCTTTTAACAAAAATTATCTCAAGTCATTATTTCATTCGCCTTTTTTTTTCTCTCACACTCTCATATCAGAAAATATTCATGACGATGAGATGCGAAAAGAAATATGCTACACTTTTTGCTGTTCGTTTACTTTCCATAAATTATTAATTGCGTAGATTGGCAGATCGAACGAAAGAACGTTCGAAGCTTCGTTTTTTCTTTCTTTCCTTCTGCTATTTGAAAAATCCCTCCACACCATATTTTCTGTGCTTATTTTTCATCAATATTCCTCTTCCCTCATCCTAACTAAGTATGTTCATCTCTAAGCCTCGAACACATCACAAACAGTCATCACAGAGGAAAATTGATTCACCGAAGCGGAAAGAAAATTGAACGAACGAGAAAAGTTAGTAACAATAATTTTGTGGGATAGTTTTAACGATATTTGCAGAAGTTTTATCGTGAGAAAATCCTTCGCCTCCACCCATCCTATCACAATCTTCATGTCAGTTGGATGTGAGAAAATACTTGAGGTCGGTTGACACTTGACAAGCTTCGCGAAGCTTTATGGTTCGCTTATTCTTCACAGGTCATTAAACCAACGGTGTTTATTGCCGGTAAAAAAAGCGTTGCTACTAAGTGTTATGCCTTAATGTAAACGCTATTACGTCACTAAAGCTTCACGATAAATAAAGAGAAAATCTCTTAAATATTCTTCTTCCTTTCTTTTTCACATGCATTAAAATTTTTTTCGTGGCTTTTTAATATTGTGGAGATATTTTTTATTCATCAAAACCTTTAGTCGTGAGCATGTCTTATGAAAAGTTTCGCAATATAGAAAAGAAAAACATCATAGCACATATTTATGTTTATGTTAATCCTCACCATCAAGTCTCTTGATGACATGAAAGAAGAGAACGAAGTAACCATTGCCTTAGTTCATTGCAGCATGTCACAAAAAGCTAGATTAATCGCTTGTGTCGTTATTAAAAGCGTCTGTATAATTAAATATTCAGCAGTTTTCTTTTCTCTGTTTACTCTTCCAACTTCCGTTCTCAGGGGGAACGATAGTAAAAGCTTGATGAATAGCTTTGTTGGGAATAAAATGCTAACCACGTCACGTTTATACTTACAATCGTTTTCGATATTTCATTTGCAAAGATTTTCAAGATTAAAACGTTTGGTTGGTCAAAACACTAAATTATTCACAGTTGCGCCACTTCTATGCTGTGCAAAGGAATCCCAATTTGTTGTGAGTGTGTGTTTGTTGTAAATTCTTGTTGTGATTTTTCGATGGATGGAAAAAGGTTTTCTTTTTTATATGGAACGAGAAACGATGCTTTGAATTTAAATTGAAATCGGTTGTTTTACATCAGCTAACGTGGGAAAATGAAAATCAAATGAACTGGCCGAAAAGTAATGGATCCAATTTTCGGTCATTTTCTGGTGCTTAAGTATCGTCAAATCTATTCATCCATAATTTCACCATTCATCCCTTAGAATTGCCTCAGAATAAATGACATCTAATTTTCATTAGTGACCAAGAGGAAATGATTTGGGAAATTTATTGGTGAATTATGAAATGAAGTTTGATTAATTCCAATCTTTTATAAGAAATCAAAACATTTTTTTTCTTTTTTCCATTTAACAGTCAACAGCATTTATTCTGATATAAATTGTATAAAAATTGTTTTGTTTCTTTGAAATTTTCTTTGAGATAAATCTCAAAAACATGAAAAATCAAAGAACTTTTCTTTTCTCTCGAACAATTAATTTTGGTTTCATCAAATTTATTGAAGCTATTTTGAGCAAACAAAGCCTTATTTGTTTCAATATTTTCTTTAAGTCTTAAGCGAACTTGGCATATTGAATTTTATTATAACGGCATGTGTGTGTATGTGTGAAGAGGGATGATGAAAGAAAAGAAAAGTTAAGATAATAGAAAAATTTAAATAAATTGAATATTTTTAGCAGAGATTTGTATGTGAGAACTTTAAGAGTCGTCACGTTTCTTGGGTGAATCAAGATAGATTTTAAGGCCACGTTCACGGCGTGGTGATGAGTACGTGCTTGTTGTGGACGACACTGCGTTCTCCTTCTTTGATATTTCTAATCGTTCCTCGGTGGTAAGTTGTTTCACTGGTTCAGTGTTGTCCCTTTTAAAATGTATTAAAAGATAAGAAAAGTATTTTCAATTAAATTAATAGCGAGTTAATTATTTTTAATCATAATGAAAATCTCACTTGTAAAGATAAACTGAGCCATCAGGTGTTGCACTTAAAGTGTGATTATCATCCATTGTCGCAGAAGTATCAAACCATGGTAGACCATCAATATGCATTATCGAAGTATTCACAAAAGAGCGTGATAGCTAGAGAAGAAAAATATTTATTTACCTAGTTTCATAATTTCAAACTTCTCAAAGGGGCATGTAACTTTAAAGTCATTTTGATTTCAAATTTAAAAAAAAAAGTGGGGAATCTTTCTGTAATCCCTTTGATTAATTTAAAATATTTTTAATTTACCTTTGTGTACATGATTTTATCTTCCTCAATACCTGATATCTTTGAAATAATTCCTTTTAATTCACTGTTTTCTATATTAAATAAAGAGGTTGATGAAGTTTATAGAAAATATAAGAAATCTGATATATTTACTTCCTATCATGATTTCGACCCACTTTCCAAGCTCCAGCTTTGAAGGATAAAATTGTCTGACAAAGAGTGATTTACTATCTTCATTTATCGGTTCACCATCAAAATCTAAATGATTAACTTGATCTGGTTGTAGTTCTTGAATGATAATATCAGGATTGGCAGTTGATTTGATGATATAATCATCACCAAACTTCTGATCGTCCAAATAGATCTGTCCTGGACTTTTCCAGCTCTTTTTACGCAAGTTGGCACGCTCATAAGTCAGATTAGCATATTTTTCATCGAGTCCACGAAGATGCGCAATAATCTCACGTTTTGTTTGTCCAACTTCAGAGGACTCACGAAGAATGTAGTCACAGACAAATGGAAGCTTCTCAATGTCAGTCAATTCAGCGACATTCAAATAATAAAGTTTCACTTTAAATTCACCAGTACGAAGAGCACGTCCAAGCTCAATCGCTAAACATTCTTCATCTTTGAATGTGCTGTTAAGTGATGATGTTAATTGTGTACATTCACTTTCACTTTGTGCTGTTAAAACATGAAAAATCTTAAAATATTCCATCGGAATTTTGATATAACGTTGAAGCTTCATTTTCAATGTATTAACATTCATTCGACGATCAGCGAAAACTTTAAGAATCTTTTGACTTTCTGAACTATCAGTTGTATCTTCATCATTCTCATTACCACTGTCAACACTCCCTGAAGTAGCACGATCAAAATGATTTGGCAAAATCGCTTTAAAGAAATGTTCTGTTGATTCATCATCATTTCCATTTTTATCGAACGTTGAATTCCTTAAAATGCCTCCACGTGGTGGTTTTGGGATCACCACATTTGTTGTTGCTGTGAAATTTGAATCATCAATAAGTGTACGATCTGAGTCACTTAAACTAGAATCCTCACTGTTGCACTCACCAGATGTTGAATTGTTGTTGTTGATGATGTTAAAAGCAACACTGTCGACGACATCTTCATCCTCTTTTTCCCGTACTGTCTCTGATATTGGCTCGACCTCTGGCTCTTCATACGTTGGTATCGAAAGCTTCTCTAAAGTTTCTTTTTTATTATTTGGTAGTGTAAAGTAAAGTGTCAAAACATTGTTCATATCTTCAACTGCTGATTTGAAACGTTCCAAATCTTTATCCACTGTCATAAACACTTTCGATCCACCAATAATGTCTTCACTTTTAACTGTCACATCATCTTGAAGGATTTTAGCATTGCTACCATAATGTTTAACTGCTAATGTCATGGGTGAAGTGTCATCAAGCCCAAGATTCTTTCGAATTGACGTTTTAAAATGTTCAATTGTTTTATGCTCATAAGCACGAACTTCAAATGGACCATCGATGTCGCTCTTTGATGTTGATAAGAAAATTTGATAAAGTTTCACTGTAACACCGCCTTGCAAGTATTCTTCAAACTCTTTTCCTTCATCACGAACCTCCAATAATAATTCCATTCGATTTATGAGCTTATACATGATGTCACCAATTTGTTCCTTCTCCATTCCTTCGAAACTCCTTTCGATTCCATCACTTGGACTATCATAAGCAACAAGACGACATCGTTCTATTGGTGCAATTGATTTTATCTTTAATCTTGAATAAGCATCTTCGAGGACTTCTTTAAGTGTTGACTCTGATATGGCGAAAACTTTTGCATCACTTTTTTGTTTTGTTAAAGGATTTTTGAAGTAAATTTTGAGTTTCAACATTTCTGACTCACGTTCTTTCTTCATTCGATCATCTTCTTCATGATTCTTAATTCTTTCAACGAGTTTTGTTATATGTGGTGGGAAGTTGTCTTGCTTGATTGCTAATTTATTTCTTGCTGGATCTTGTTGACGATACATCAACATGTAAGCATTTGTACTCGAACTAAATCCTGAATAATAACTTTTAAAAGCACCACTGCCACCAAATGATTTGCTGATATCATCTTGTGTGATTGGCGATACAGTTTGATCATTAAACGAATACCAACAACCAGTTTCGAAATCTTTTATATATGCATAATAATGACCACCACTTGCCGATCCCGAATGAATCATTATTGCAAATAAATCATAATTAAATGGTCCCGAGTTATTTGTTGAATCAATTGATGTTGAATTTGACATGAGAGACTTGCAATCACCATTTACACTCATATCAATTCCTTCATCATCTTCTTGACCTTCACTTGGATATTGATTTGAATTTTGATTATATTGCGATCCTTCTTCATCTAAAACTGAATCAGTTGTGCTACAATCATCACATTTTACAGCACTTTCGACACTTCCAATGGATGCAATGTCATTGGGTTTCGTTGTTGCCGAAGCTGCTGTTGACGTTGAGTTTTGTTCCATGTTGTTGATATTTGTTGTGAAAGAATTTAAGTTGAGTTGTTGAGGAAAAGTTACTTTGTCATTTAACTTTATCCGATGCAACGTTTGATAATCAAAGTCAAAGCGTTTGAGATGAAGCGTTAAGATGTAAGGAAACTTTTTGAATTTAAGTCCTTTATGTGCGTCGCATTTTTTATTACATTTCTCGCAGAAATATTGATTATTACCATCTAATGTTTCTGGTTGCACAAATGCTTTTAATGCCTCTTCAACACTTTCATAAGCAACTGAACTGCCAAATGGTCGAACAGGAAGAGGAATATCTAAGAAAGTATCTTCACGACTCTTCTCTGTTTCGCATTCCAAACATTTTACATAATCAATCATTTTTCCTTCATACAAACAATTGATGAGATCAGCTTGCTTTGTATTCTTAAATTTCTGTTCAAGTGCATCAAACATCACACGACAAAGTTCTTGTATGTCATGTTGTTGCCATGCTTCAGTTGAATCCCACCCAAAACTCTTTGTAAGGTCAGTTGTTTCAACTGCGAGTTTATTTGATGTTTGAAGATTTACGAAAAGCTTTTGAAGTTGAAATGGAATTGATTTCGATTCACCTGAACCATCAAACTCCCAATTGTATAAAGCATTTCGGAATTCTGGTGTCATGTATAAAGCTTGAAGTAAACTGTTAAGATAACAAGTCATAGCTTGATTAACAAGCCCAACAAATGTTGCTTTTACTTGAAAATCATTGCATCGTCGGAATACTGTCGTTTGATCTTCAATTGCTCCATATGACGACGTTATTGGTGTGTCAAAGAGTGCTGGTAACGCTGGTGGTGAATTTGATGTGTCTTCAGTTGGACTTGCTGATGCTCCCAATGCTAAATCATCATCAGACGATATTTCTGTTTCAACTGCTATTGATTGCTGCTGTTGTTGCTGTTTTGCACTCATTTCATTTGTTTCATTTTTTAACATCTTTGGTGCAATGTTTTTGACTTTTGGCACTGCTTTTTTATCGTTTGTATTGTTGTTAAGTGGTTTAAGTAAAAAATTGTAATGTTGCTTCACTTCGATGCCAATTTCGGAAAGTTTTGCATTTAAATGATCGTTAAGATTTGTCTTGAAAGAAAGAAGTTAATTAAATTAATTAAAATTATTCTTCAAGAAGTTTCATTTTTCTTACATTTTTTGTCTCAAATATTAAATCAAATTTTTCGTATGTAAATTGTGTTACGATCTGATCCAGGAATTGTTTGACCGTCGTTGACGTCGGATTAATAACAAACGAAAACCTTTTTTGTGTGGTGTTCGGATGTTGATCTATAATTCTACATGTGGCCTTGCCTTCTTGTAAATAAACCATATCTGAAAATAGGATAAAAGGAAAGAAAGTTTTTCATCATTATTCGATCATCGACCATCACGACACATAAGTAGTTGACACACTTTTTCATTCGCTAAAGTATTTTCATCAAATTAAAAGATATCAATGATTATAAGTTGTTGTTTTGTGAAATGGATTTTTCCACCGATCGCGCGACTCTTCACACATTAAATAAATTCTTTCTTTTTTTTACGTGGGTAATTCAGCTCAAATGACGAAGAAGACGACGACGGCGATGTTGTTCGTAGATGACTTTCTCACAAGTCGAAAAATAGAACGTGTTTTCACTGTTTCTTCCTTCACTTAAAATTTCGCACAATAATAAGTCGCTGCATGGAGAAAGTGAGTAAGAGCTAAAATTAAAGTGAAAAACTTTGTGTCCAATGTGGATTTACCGAAATATTCTTACAAAAATTACGCAACGACCATAATGACTTTGTGTTTTCTTTCTTACGGGAAAATATTTTGTTTCAATTGTGGTGGTGATTTAAGAAAGAAAGTTTTTAAGGAAAATTATTCGAAACGTTTCATTAGAATTCTAAAATAAAAATACTTTCACACATTTATCGCCCAACAAGTTTCCGTATTAATATTTTCAAAACTCACTTGCTTCTTGTTCGTTTCTTTTTCTTTTTTTTTATCGCTTTAAGGAAAATTTTCTTTGTCGATTAAAATTCAGTCGAAATATAAAATAATAAAGAAAAATAAAACATTCACAATTTAACTCATAATTTTTTATCAATGAAAGTAAATTTTGTTAATGCTTTCGTAGTTATCCGATCAAAGAAAGATTAGTGTAGGTGGACAAAAAAGTCGTCGCTACTGATCGGATCGAAAATATATATTCGAACTGTGTCAAAATACGCAGAAGACTAAAAAGACCCAGCAGCTTTTCTGAGAGAGTTTTTCACGAGAAGAAATTTCTTTTTTACTCGTTGAAGTTGCGGCGACTAAACATGCTTGGCATTCGCAGTTACTTCGTAAGTAAACGCGCTCACGCTCACGCTCAGAATGATCATCAAACATGAGACGATTTTTTTATTCATTTTTTCACGAATTTATGTGCCGAAATATTTTGTGAGCAACAGTGAGAACAGAGGACATGAATGAGCCCGAACAAGCGATGCGCAAGGAGGGCATCTTATAAATAGAAGGAAGGAGAAAAAAAATCTAAAATATAAACATTAGAAGCACACAATTAATTTATTATCAAGTTGGATAACTTAAATCGTTTCACAATGGTCACGACTTAATTTATTCAACTCACTTATGAGACGTGTGTGAGGCTGTGCTTGAATAATTTTCTGAGAATTTTTTATTGAATATCGGCATGTTGCTACAATTTCCATGAATACAAATATTTACGAGATTTTCTCCCATTAATATTGTCGCTTTGTATTCATATGTATTAATATTTACTTTATTCATGGCTAGAACGTCATTGAAAATTACAAACTTACAAAATATAAATTTTCCGAATTATTTTTCTATCTAGGTATGTCGTATGATTTACGTCACTTGTTATGCTAACTATTTATTTTAATTTTCTTTTTTTATAATCCTTTCGATGATTCAAGGATATTTTAGCTTTGATTGTTATTTTACACTTTTTTTAGAAAAATTATCTCGCAGGATGCACCAATTTTATTTCTCACAATTTTATTTCGAAGGTTTTCAGAAACCTATAAGACTTTAAATATTTGATTGAACACAGTTTTCAGCCTTAAACACTGACACGTTAAGATCACTTTTTGTGCAAACATTGTTTTAGTTCAAAACCCCTCTTTGAAATGTTACTCAACTTCAACGCTTGGTGGCACTGCAATCCAAAGTTATTTTCTGATTCTACAATCTACTGTTGTTCAAGAAATATATTTATTTATTCTCCATTTAATATGCCACGAAAGGCTATAATTAAACGTAAAAGTGATAATCCTGGCGAATCGTCGCTTCAAACAGAAGTCAAGTCAAAGAAGCGTTGTTTCTCGAATTTAACAAATTTAAATTCCGATGAAAACATAAATAACCCGCCAACTATCAAACAAGTGACAACAAATACTGAAGCATTGCTGAATCCGGAAGAAACCAAAAGCAATTTGCATCAAGATGTCGAAATAAAACCATTATCTAGTCCTTCACAAACACCTAATTCAGCTTGTCAAATGAGGAGAAGGAGAGAGGATTCGACAGTTCTTTTGAAGAAAGCAATAGCAACGTCCTTCAGAAATAAAATCTTAGAAAATTCGATATTAATGATGAAAAAAATCAGAAAAGTCTTGGAATTAAATTTCAAAAATACCAAAAATCGTCTACAAATTGTTTCCACACCTCAATGTCTCTACAATATCAAACAATGCCATCAAAATCGTTCATTAAATACAAAATTAACAGAAAGTTCCGTTGAAAATCAATTTTTTGCAAAGAATTTTTTTTCTGAAGATCGTCACTACCAGGTACTTTTATAGAAATATTAATTAAGTTGTGTTCTTTTTAAATTAAATTCTATTCGCAGTTTATTTTATACGTGAGAAACAACATGTGCAACAAAAGAGAGTTTCCAGGTGTTAATGTCATTCGCTGCGTTCTTGAGATGATTTTTGTAAGTAATTTCAATCAACAATGTTTTATTTAATGAAACAATTTCTTTTGTAGAAAATCACCAACAATGAAACACAAAATTCTGTCATTACAACTCAACAAACAATTAGAGAACTTCACAATGTCTTCAACAGCATTTTACAAACATTTCCAACATGTAACTTTCGTAGTTCATACTTGGAGTTACTCAAGACACCATTTCAAATAAATGGAGTTCTTATGACATCAACAGAACGTGGAATTCTCCATTCAATGTTAAATTTGTTATCAGATCTGATGGAAATGACAGAAGACGGAAAGAATTCACAAAAACAAATCAAGACTGAAAACATTAACAATTTCTATTGTTGGGAAGCTCAAGGAGAACAAAATTCATCCTTCAATAACTTTCCTCGAAATGAGAAGATTGACAGAATTTTCATAGTTCTCGATCTTCTGGTCAGTTTGCTTGAAAATGATCTTGCAATGTTTACAGTGAAATTTGTCAAAAATTCTCGTAAAAGAATTGATTGCATCGAAACTCGTCCATTAGTATGTTCGGCACTTTGGGAGACTTATGAAAGAGTCTTAAGCATCACTCAAATAATCAAGAATATAATTCAAATGATGATCAATATGACAGCTTTAAATTATCCTAAAAACAAAATTGAAATAATTTCTCGCTTATTCAATTTGGTATGTCAAACATCGAATCTTTATGAATATCCTGAAGGAAATTCCGCTTATCCAATTTTTGACACTCTCACAAATGTTTTATCACATGTTGTTTTCAATGCAATTGAGAATTCAATCTTTTTCAACTTAAATCTTTTTAATGAAGTCACTGATAACATAAAGTCGCCATTAGTTCGAATGATTTTGACTAAACATATGTTATCAAAGGTTACAAAATGTGATGAACAATTTTCTTTAGCTTCATCATCTCATTACTTAAATTCTCAAATCTTTATGACTTTTGAATCAGCTTCTCTCGTTGAAAACAAAAATCTTCAAAAATATCCGCTTTATCATGTAGAAGAAGTTGAGAAAACTTGGACAATTACCAAAGACAATTTCCTGAAGCTTTTGAGACTTTTCGCTGAAAGTTTCGTTAATTTTTATTGCATTCGTGAAGTCATAGATGAGATGAAATCGGATAACAATGTTGAAAGTCCACAAAATTCAAATGAAAAACATTCCATTATACAAACTAACTCAACATTAAATGAAATTAATTTGCAAGAAAAAGTTCAATTAAGGAAAATTGACCTTCGCTTGAGAAAGCAAATTCACATGAATTTAAGTCGCGATACCTGCATGTTTTATTACAATGAAATTAAGAATTTCATGATGCTGTCAAAGGTTATTAAAGTCTGTCATTTGAAATACGGAGAGATTTTCAGTGACTTCTTAAGTCTCGCAATAGATCTGGATAACCAAGATTAAATTCAAAAATTCTTCCACAAATTCCATGTAAACATGAATAATAAAAATGAGCAAATAAAAGTCTTAAAAAACTTAAAATGTATATTTCATTTGCACAATACTTTCAGAACTTTATGCATCATCTCATTCATGAAATTTCGCCACAATATTAAACAAGGTAAATTCAGCGTGTCAAAGGAAATAACGAGAAATGAAACGATAATGAACTGCGAATGACTCAAAACCCTGACCACATCCACTTCAAACGTACAACTACAACCACAATTTTGCCGGAATCGCAGAATATGTATTAAAATGTAGAAGAGAGAGAAAAACAAAGAAATTAATGTGGAAATGGGTAAAAAATAACAACACTGTTGTCAGTTGTAGCATGTGCTTGAATACGATCGCAGGTGAATTCAATTGTGTTAAAGTTTCGCTTTTTCAGTTTTGTTTTTTTGTTATTTTCGGTCGTTTTATTTTCCGTGAAATAAAAGAAAAAGAGAGAATTAAAGACGAAAACTAATTGCGTTATACAACTGAAGTGTTTATGCTTCTTATCAGTTTGTTTTTTTAATTTTATTTTCTCTCATTTTGTAAGTTGGTGACAATTTGTAGTAATTTTGTTGGCGGTTAAAGCTTTACCATTAACCACGGGCGTGATCTGCACATTAATTAGAAATTTTTATTGAGTGAGAGAATCTTATTATAAAATTCTATGGATAATGTTGTGTCGTTTAGTGTCATCAATTGGTTGACCTTCAAATCTTATTAGGTATTTAGTCAACAACTTTGTATGACTCACTCTTATCTTTATAGCGAGATCAAGAGATGATCAAACGCGTCAGGAATTTAATTTTCAATAAATATTGTAAAGAAAACTTGATGTGAATTGTGTTAATAAACAGTCGCGCTTTATCTTATCAGCTGTGTACAGTGAAAATGAGCCAATGATTGCCTTTTGTTGAACAGAGTGTGAGTTACGTTAAAAGAAGCTTAAATTATAGCATCGTACTCCCTGTTATTTACTCAATTAAAGTCCATCAATTTATTCGATGTGTCTGTTTAAAGTTGCATAAAAGCAAGTTGCAAAGCAAATGGTGCTTTGATTATTACATTGAGGCTTTCAAACACACATAACGTTGGAAGAGTTTTCATGCTTATTCACATAACTCAATCAACATATTGCCGTTCAATTAAATGCCGGCAACGCTTTTGATGAATTATTATTGATAGATTTACTTCCATATGAAAGCACATCATAAAACAAGGCATTGAAGTGAAGAAGTATAAAAAAAATTATGCTTTAATCTTGAAACTTAATTATTGTCGCTCTTTTTTTCTCTTTTATCTTTCATCGGCATTTATTTATTGATGTTATGATTATCAACAAAAGTTTAGGCATCATGATGAATTAGATTTATATTTATTTTGGTTTTAAATTTTATTTGTGAAGTCAAGCGGCAAGAGTTCTGCCAAATGTTTCATTTTACGATGTCCATTAACTCACACTCTTTTCCAAACAAATATTCTCATTCAATTAAGTTAGCTACAGGCAAAAGAAAAATAAAAACAATCTTCAATCATTCTATGAATGACAAACTTTGTAATTCCACTCATGACCACCCCCATCATTATCATCATTTCTCACGATTGATTATTTCATTTCATTTTCATTTCTCGTGTCGTTACAGAAATTTTTACTCGAAATGATCTGCGGTGTCTTTTTTATAAGACAGAAAGCAAAAGTTTCCGTATAATTGATGTTCTTCTTTCGTGACAGAACTGTGATAACCACAAGTTAATTAAGTAATTAAAAATCATTACTGAAAGAATCCAAAAAGACGGGAGGAAATTCTCATTGGTCGTTCTCAAGGAAGCTGAGAAGAAGAAAAAAATGTCATTTGCAAATGATGAATTGGATGAAAGTCAAATTACAGCGATGGATTTACCTCTAGATTTTAAGGTAAATTGAATTTTGAGTTCATTAAAGGAAATTTCATTTGCGTTTGTGTTTGCAAAGGGACATGCTTCGATGAGTCTAAAAATCATTACCCCGTCCCACTTGTCTCATCTGTCATTTTTCTTCCTGTCATCGGCACTTCCGTTCTGAACGAAAAAAAACCGGAACTCGATCTCGATTTCATAAACTTATCACAAAATATATATGAAAAAAAAAACATCTCGAGACTTATCTAAGGTCGTTGGATGGAATTCACTAAATAGTTAAGTTTTCTATGCTTTACTCGCTGACTCATCACAATGATATTTATTTATTTAGCTGACCATACTATCTTAAGTAGCTGTAAATACAGTCACGACCATCAATTGATCGTATTTGCTCATCAAACCAGCAAAAAAATATATTCTCGTCTTTTTTTCTAGCAATTACAAAAATTACAACAAAAACTGAAAATTTACTTCCGCTTTGTTTTATTTTGTCGGCTCACTTGCGCTTCCATGTGAAGCGACGGTGAATTTTTGGTTGAAATGTTTTTCACAATTGATTCTCTCCCTCATGTTAACTACAGAACATGCACTAACGTGTGCTGATATTGGCTTCTTCTTTTATTTTTTGGTTTTTGTTTTAGCTTTTGACAACACATTATAGCGGTTTCGAGTTTCTATTTTATTTTATTGTCATTGTATTGACTTACTTTTAATTAATTATAACAAAAAAGATTTATCTAAACAGATAACAAATTCAAATACTATTGGATAGCAAGAAAAAAAGAGAGAAATCATTTTGCCAACTCAAATATGAAGTCGAAAGAAAATTAAGTTGTCAACACCACAAACAAATCCCAATTTTTCATTTCAAACTCCAAACATAACTGCAATGCAGACATTCAAATATTATTCTACACGAACCTTAAACATTTTTCATTGCTTTCCGAAACCTTTTTTCTCTTCATTTTGGGAATGAAGCCATTGCCAGAATGCTGATGTGAATTTCTTTGTGATGATAGCAATGTTTACGTTTTAAAACAAGCTCGCTCTCTTTATTTTATCAAGTCTTATAATATTTTTTCAGAAAGCTTTAATATCCCCTAAAACTTTTTAATTACCCAGTTGATTGCAATCATGAATGGCTGAAGATGTCCGATATTTGGACCCTTGTCCCTTTTATTTTGAACTTATTGTTCGTGATTTAAATTTTTTACAACATTATTAAATTTGTTTTCTTATTAGAAAATATGCTGATGAAGAAATATTTACATGTTTTTAGGGAAGACCATAAAGGGAAGGGAGACTTTTATTAGCTTTTTAAATATTATTAAAGTTTTATCAAATAAACAATTGATAAAAATTTATTGGATCACTTAAAACTTAATCAGCAATTGATTTATTTGATCATACATAACAATGACCGATTTTAAGCCCGATAATAATGTAAATGCATTTAAAATTGAATTTGATAGAGAAACATGTTCGAGTTTATATCAAACTCGATCTAAAATTAGATTTACAGCTCCATTCACCACACATCAGAACGACATAATTTAATGCATTAATATCCTGAAATGTGTTTCATGTTTTTATAGGTCAAATATTTGGGAAGCTTACATTCAAAAGGATTATGGGGCATTAAGCACACTCGAAGGCCTGTAGACCATTTGGTGAGTTTCCTTGATTTACGAGAAAATATTGCGGACAACTTGCTGATACTTTTTTTAAATTTTTTTGTTTTGTCTTCTGCAAGGTCACGGTGGCCAAAAACCTTCCCCCAAACAAATCATTGCCTTTTTGTAACCTCATCGTAAAAACGGACGGAGTTCATATAGAGACATTGCCATCAAGTTCAGCATCATCATCATATTCAGTATCATCAACGAGATGGCCAATCGACACAATTTCATACGGTGTACAAGATTTGGTGTACACACGAGTCTTTGCAATGATTGTTGTTAAAGACGAACAAGTGAAACAAGAGCATCCTTTTGAAGTTCATGCTTTTGTTTGCGATAGTCGTGCTATGGCAAGGCGACTAACTTATGCATTAGCTGCTTCATTTCAAGAATATTCTCGAAGAGTCAAAGAAGCTGAAGAAAGCAATTACAACAATAACAATAACACATTTGATTCGCCATTGAAACGAAAGTTTGCCATAGACTTAAGATCGCCAGAGGAATTACTTCAAGAGCATGAAACAGAAGCTTAACTAATTGAATTAGAGATATTCACACTTCGACGCCACTTTGATAAAAGAATTTGTTTTTCTTTTTGTTTTCCATTTCCACACAAATAGTTTTATATCAACGTCCATAAGCTTTGATCTTTGATGTAAAAGAAAATATTTCCAGACTAAAATTGAACACATTATAGTCATAGACGATGCTTTCAAAGTCATTCCATAAATTTTATGTTTATAGACAAGAATATGTATTTATCAACTAAGTATCTGAAAGTTCCTTTTCTGGCGCCTTGCTTCGTCAGCATTGCATCGTTAGCATAGAAAATTGAATACGAAGAAGACAAAATTTTCTACTCCCACGCGACATTGTGATTAATGTGTATAGGAAAATGACGGGAACTTATAATCTTTTGTAATCATCTTGGAAAAAGTGATTAAAAATCAATTTTATTCGTCTTCCCATCGAAATGGATTTTTTATGCAAATTTTTCCAACATACATTTTGTCATTAAAGAAGTTTTCCCATTTTTTTCTTAAACTTTTTATAGTAATTTATGATGAAAGTTTATTTCTCCTTTTACTGTCGTTTCAAGAGTCAGTCACAAAGTATTTAATTTAATGAGAACACCAAAAAGCTTTTAAATAATGTAAAGTTTTGTTAAGTTACTAAAAATGACAGAAAATTGAAATTAATTTTAAATTAATGTGACGTAACATATAAACATGTTTAGAAGTGACCCAAAGCCACATGAAGAGTTGAGATCTTGAAACTGTAATAGGAAAGGAAAAAGAGAAAATAAAGATGACGTTTAAGAAAAATAAGACTTTGTATTTAGTCAATGATAAATGGTTCGAAAAATAAAACTTCTAGGCGAAATTGATTTCAGGAAAGCAACCCTCATTGAATTCAACTTGAAACATGACGAAAATAGTTTGTCTGAAACAAAGTTCGAACGAATTTGATGAAGCATGAGTAGGAAAAGCATAAAAACTTGCCTGGGGACTAACTGCTTCGTATTTTTCCTTTGCCTTGTAAATATATACAAACGAGAAATCCCCGGATTCATGTGGAAGTTTTTCTTTACATTGGCAAAGAAGCAATAAATATGGGAAAATGTCCAAGCTGATAATATAAACTTCGTAAAAGAAGAAAAACAATCATTTATCTCTCGTTCCTCTTGAAAGCTGCATAAATTGTCGTCCTTTTATCTATCTGATGTTTGTCATGGCTTAAAGCTTTGTTGATGAATCATGTTATATTGACTCATCGACGTAATTAACCCGCCCACAACCGTAAGTAGTAGCTTTTGTGTTAATGAAAGCATAATTCTTCGTCCAAATTATCACCAACATTATTTGTCTTTTAATCTGAAGGAAATGTGACTTTTGACATCATAAAAAAATCTCTTTGATAGCTTCTATTAAGATTAGAGGTTGACTTATGGGAACAAATACATCTCCTTGAACTTTGTCTTTAACGATTACTCGTCTTCTTCTGAATAGATAGATTATGATGAAATAAATGTCATGAGAAATATTAAAATATTATCAAATTTACAATATTTTATATTACAACATTTAAAACGTAGAAAGAAGCTTCATTTCAAGTTTAAGCATCTAGATTACTCAGAAATGAATGTTTGTTTCTCTTTCAACATAATTTAATTTAAAATCCTTTTTGTTTCGAATAATTTCCGAAATATTTTGATAAATTGGAGCCTGCCAAAAAGAATTTTTCATTATTTCCTTTTATTTGGGACCTTTTTATTTAAAATTTCATTAGTCAAAATATTTTCGAATAATCATAACACAATATGTTTACACATTCCACGAACAAAAAATAAAATAAAAAGGTAAAGGAATAGAATATAAAAATGTACAAAAAAATTCTTTCAAAAGCGACAACTCACTTCTCTTATGAATTATTAATTTCACCAACTTGTGTTGCGTCTTTTATGGTTTTCCATCAAGTCGAGGACAAAAACAAGAAAATTTTCTTTGAAAACTTTTTCCATCGTTCCAGAATTTCTTGGTTTTTTTCCTTCTTGAAATTATCATGAAGTTGAATTTTTTATGGTATAAAACAAAACTGCGTGATCAGCATGGAAATTTCAATATCCTGGAATATTTGCTGCATTAATAAAAGAAATAAATCTGACCAGAGGATAAAGACCAGATTCAGCATTTTATTTCAATGCTTTTGAGTTTATTCACAAGCTTAACATAAGCCAAGTTACATGGGGAAGCATTAATAAAAGAGTATTTTTCCATCTTCTGTTTTTCAACATTAATTAAAATAAATCAGAAAGTTGTATAAAAGCAAAAGTTTTAATTTAAATTTGCCATGCAGATGTTTTGTTAATTTGCAAGCCTAGAACCATGAAACTTATTTCATGTTAAATTTTAAATAATGTCGTCGAACAACGAATGCACGACATAAAAGTCAAATACATTTAAGTGGTTCGTCATGCTTTACTCTGAGCAAGGGCCATGAACATGGAATGGTGAAGGAGATTTAATTAATTATTTAGGTATTTCATTCTTTTGAAAGGAGCCGATTCGGTTTATGATTTCGGGTCACTGTTGGAAACTTTTCCATTTCTTTCCTTCAGCCAGCTTAAACATTAACAGCATGAGTGTAAGATTCATTGTTTGAATAAAAATAAAATAAAAAATGTGAATCTTGTTAAGGAAAGCGACACCATAAAAATGACAAAGCCGGAGATTATTTGTTTTTCAATCATAAAATAAATTTACGATCATAAAATATTTGTATAATAAGGAAAGGAGGAAAAAATAACTTGAAAAATAAAATTTAATTCTTTTTCTATTTAATTCATGTTATTTTTATCTGTTTTAATGTTGGATAAAGAAATTTTAAGAACAATCTTCAAGGAAAGAAATTTCTGCTTTAAAAAATATCTTTAATAATTTATCGCAAATTTTCAAGATTATTTTAAATATTTTTGTTTATAACTCAAAGTTCAAAATTTGTCTGAAAAAGTTTTCAACTTTTTCCATAGACGAAAAGTTTTGAGGAAATTTTTAAAAGGTTAAAGTTTCTTTGCGGAGATTTTTAGTTTATTATAATGCTGTAGGCAAGTACTAATTTGCAAATGATTATCGTATACCTCAGAAGAAAACTTAAGACCGTACTTTGTGTATAACTATGTGGAATAAGAATAAAATTTAGACCAACTTAGACTCAGTTTTTATTTCATCCCATTACATATTTGGCACGTTCTCAACGCAATCTGTTAAAACACAACCGAATGTCCAGTTAGAATAAATCTTTTAGGGTATATCGCCTTGACAAGTCGAAATGAACCAACTTTTAACAATCATAAATAATAATCAGTTGAAATTTACGAACAGCGGACTTGGAAAAAGGGCCACGGAATTTTATTACTGAAACTTTTTCACATTTTTCTTATACAACTCGACAGCTAAGCAAAATAACTTTTTTTTTATAAAATTTAATAAATACCTAAACAGTTATTTTCAATAAAGCCCTTCCTTCCTTGAAATACGGAAAAAAGCAGCTGAGTAATCTTAAAAAAAATTTAACAGCATCTCAATCAGCTTCAATGATTGAAGAAAAAATGTCAAAGTCGATATTATTTATTCATTCGATTTCAATTCATATCTGAAATTCATTTTGTATATTTAATCGAAAGAAATATCGATACTGATCCCAAATTGGAATAAGTTCTCTAAACAATATTTTAAGCATGATGAGAGAACGAACAGGAAATATTTTTTCATTGAAATTAAATTTTCCTGCGAGCTTCATAAAACCGATTTCTAAATTCTTTAATCAAAATTGAAATGGAAATTTTTGAATAGAATTTGATAATTTTATTTCAATATAAAGACATTTACAATGTAATGATTTCTTCATTCGATTCACCATCGTGAATATGAAAATCTCGATGGAAATCAAAATGAAAGCTTTTTTTAAGAGAAGCTTTCCTTTGTGCACGTCAAACAGTGAATTTAAAAGCTTGCTTTGCTTAATAAGCGTCTCTTTATCAGATGATTTCACAGTTGGATACATCATGCTTCAACAAAACCATATTTTTCTAGAATTAATCACATACCCACTTTACTTTGACGATCATTTATTTCGATTTCTGGTTTCTTTCTTTTTCTTCCTGTCATTTTGATTTATAATTTCACAGCATTGAGTAAGATGTATGATTTCGTTTTGACATGATTTGGAGGGGGGTTTTTGCTCATGTTTTTAAAAGGTTCTTCCTCAAATCATTTGACAATCAAGGGGACAATTTAGAAAACCTATCCAAAATACATTCTTATTATAGTCGTAATGTTGTTCGTTTAAGGTGACGATGTCACACAACACAAGAATCCGTTGGGAAATCGACTTTGACTCAAATCCGTTTCGGTATGTTTTTCCTGCAATTTTCCTTTCGTGACGAAGTGTCGGTGTTTTTGTGAGATGAGATACAGAAGAATAAAAAGCACAAACTGAAAAGGTGAAAAGGAATTGAAAAATTATACATTTCTGAATTTCTATTCTGCCGCTTATTGCAGAACAAACGAGGATTCTACGAGGAGAAAATTTGCATTATACATAAGAGCTTCTCGTTGTTGAGTTTCACCTTTGTGAGGTTGTTGAAATATTTTTTTTATTTCCCGTATGCGCTATTTGAGTTGTACAGATTTTGCTTTTCGTTTTATCGTTTTGAAGCCTTGCCTTTTTATCTTATTTAAAAGTTAACAGATATCTGTCGAGCTTTTATTTTCACTCCTTTGTAACAATTTGATTAAATTAAATGCAGTTATTCAACTTGCTTTAAATTTCATTTAAGCTTTTTCTCTGCATAAATATTCAATCTTGATTGAAAATAATTCTCAGAAACATGTTTGAAAGGAGAAAAAATTAAATTTAATTAAATTTCATCACAATCTAAATTTTGAATAACCAAAGTTTATTGTTTGTATTTTCCCCCCTTCTTCTCTTTATTTCTCGTTTTCTTTTACTCGTTCGATAACCGAGTAAGGAAAGACTTGAAAAAGGGAAGTTTTAAAGTTGAACCGAAGATATAAGACTGAAGCGTTACTTTCAAATGACTTCTTCTCTTCCCTAAAAGCAAAAAAAGATTGAAGCACGATTCTGTTATAGAATGAAAAACTGGTTTGGGCAATCACGAAATATATTCCGTACATGGAATAAATTCGTCATTTTTTATCTCTTATTCCAACTGATGTTTAGCTTTCGCAGCATAAGTAAGTTATTGTTCCCACAAAAAATTCATCTTAATGGAAGGTAAACATTATCGTACAAATAAGCTCACTTTCATAGTAAATCTCAAAATTTATGCCTGGAAAATATCGATAACATTCTTTTTATTTCACATAAATAGAAAGAAACTTTTCGCTGTGGAAAATCTGACAATTCTTTTTTATTTTCTGTTAGGTACCCAAACACCTAAATATTTCTTCTTGTTCGCTTATCTTATTTTATGGTTTGTTTCTGACAAGCCTTTTTTTATGTTGAATGTTAGATCGTCATTGATTACACTGGCTGGAAGGGAATTATAAATCAATATTTGTAACAAAAGTATGAACGAAAGGAGAAGGAATTACCTTACCTTGTCAGTTGAAGAAGGTAAGAAAACTTTGTAGCTTTCTTGAAACTTTCTGTCAAGAAGAATTATTTTCTAGCTTTTCTAGAAACAAAATTACAAATTACAAAATAAAATCCTGTAATAGTGAATATTCGGAATGAACTCTTACATGTTGTTGAAAAAAAGCAAATTAATTAACTTTCTTATGACACGCAATTAAATAATTCAATTCACTTTCTTAACTAAATTTCTTAGTGTATACTTTGTTTGAAAGCTTAAATGACGTCATATTAAATAAATAATGAATGACTTTAATTAGGAAATATATTTCATGAGATTAAAAATGTGTTGAATCTTTATTAAAAATAAATTTATAAAATTTCGACTTGCGGTGATCATGTGGTCATCGTGTGGTGATAAAGCTATCAGTCAACTGAAACTCCTCAAGATTATGCTAATTTCTTCAATATTCGTCTTCTTATCTTTGAATTTAGTATAAAATTGAGTTTTGATTCTCACTCATTACAGCTTTCGTTTAAACGTTTCACGGTAAGGATTGATTAAATTTTTCGTTTATTTATGCACGACAACTGGAAAAGTTGTTCAACAACATTTTTTGTAAGTGAATTAACCCTTTATTATGCTTAAGTTTTCTATTTAAAGGTTTGAATACTTGTGAATTGGAAGCTTTTGTTCAATTTTCAATATAAAGCAGTAAATATGTGAGACAAACATCTTTAAATTCATGTAATTTCCAATAATTTTTCTACTTTTTATAAAATAAAAGGTTCTTGGTTTCTATTGTGACTTTAATTATCTCAATATTTGTGTTGAGCAATGCACTTGTTCTTGAATGTGAATACAAAATATTATGTCAGTGGACGGTTTGCGACCTTTATTATTGCGACCAAGGAAGAATAATTTTTGTTGGCGATCCAAATAATGTGACAGAAGTAACTTTGAATCACGTTGGTGGTAGAAGAAATGAAGACGTTGAAGGATTATACATGAAACATGATCAAAATTTAACGTTCTTGCCTCGAAATATCCATCACTTCTTTCCAAATCTAAAAGCGATTGCTGTTAACCATAATTTAATTGAGAACATACAACAATCAGACATCAGCGTTTTCCCGGAATTAATACAATTAGGTTTTTGGAGGAATAGAATATCGTCAATTGATTTCAACCTTTTCCAGAAAAATCCAAAGTTGAAAGCAATCGGTTTCAGCGAAAATCCAGTGCAACACATAGGATATGACGTATTCGATCATTTGACTGAACTTGAAACGATTGGTTTTCACAGTACTTGTCACAATATCAAAATTGAAGGTAATAGAACCCAAGTTCTCAGTGAGTTGCCTAATTTGGCCCAAAATTGTCCACCGAAAATCGATATGAAGACAATCGATATGCTTGAACGACAAATTCTTGGTGGAGAACATTTTGATCAACAAATCGCTGAGAAAATAAGTCCTTTGACTAAGGAAATCTCTCAGTTGCGTCAAGAATTAACTCAGTTGCGTCAAGAATCAACTCAGATTGACAATCGTGATATTGAAAACTCAGTTTATCAACAAATCGCTGAGAAAATAAGTCCTTTGACCAATGAAAACTCTCAGCTGCGTCAAGAATTAAATCAGTTGCGTCAAGAATTAAATCAGTTGCGTCAAGAAACAATTCAGTTTGACAGTCGTGATAAAGAGATGATCAAGCAGAGTTGGAAGTATGCACGAAATTTTTAACTCAATATTTACATAAAAACTTTTGTTTTTTTTTTTCGTCAAGAAAAAACTTGATCAAAAATTGTTGTAAAGTTACAATTTGTAACTATGATCAAAAATTCTTCTTCCATTCTATTCAATCAATAAAAATTATGAATTTTTTAAAGGGAGTACCTACAATTTTTTTAATTTTAAGTTGCAAAAATCGTATTAAAGATTGAAGAAAAACATTGAAAGTTATCAGCAAGTAAATACAGTGGAAGCTCCATTAGCGAAGATTCAAGGGAGTCACAATTAACGAGCTTTTTCTCTAAACGAACGGAAATTGTTGGAAAATGTGAGTGTGATGACATTTATCGAGCTTTTTGTACTTAAGGAAATTTCTCTTATCGAGCTTCCACTGTACTTCATTAGACTAAAAATGTTTTGAGTCTTAATTAAAAATAAATTTATAAAATTTCCGCTTGCGGTGATCATGTTGTGGTCATCGTGTGGTGATAAAGCTATCAGTTCGACTGACACTCATCAAGGTTGCGCTAATTTCTTCAATATTCGTCTTCTTATCTATGAATTTTGTATAAAATTGGGTTTTGATTCTCACTCATTACAGATTTCGTTTAAACGTTTCACGGTAAGGATTGATTAAATTTTTCAGGACAAATGTAAAATTTGTTCAACAACGTTTTATGTAGTTGAATTAAGCCTTTATTTTACTTAAGTTTTCTACTTAAAGGTTTGAAAACTTGTGAATTTGAAGCTTTTGTTTAGTTTCCAATATAAAGCAAAAAATAAAGCAGTAAACATGTGAGACAAATATCTTTAATTTTATGTAATTTCCAATAATTTTTCTACTTTTTATAAAATAAAAGGTTATTGGTTTCTATTGTGACTTTAATTATCTCAACGTTTATGTTGAGCAATGCACTTGTTCTTGAATGTGAATACAAAGTAAGAAGTCAGTGGATGGTAAAAAATATTTATCATTGCGACGAAGGAAGAATAATTTTTGTTGGTGATCCAAATAATGTGACAGAAGTAACTTTGAATCACCTTGGTGGTAGAAGAAATGAAGACGTTGAAGGATTAAAAATGAAAGATCATCAAAATTTAATGTTCTTGCCTCGAAATATTAATCACTTCTTTCCAAATCTAAAATCCATTGCTGTTATTAGTAATTTAATCAAGAACATACAACAATCAGACATCAGCGTTTTCCCGAAATTAATACAATTAGATTTGTGGTCTAATAAAATATCGTCAATTGATTTCAACCTTTTCCAGAAAAATTCAAAGTTGAAAGCAATTAGTTTCGGTGCAAATCCAGTGCAACACATAGGATATGACGTATTCGATCATTTGACTGAACTCGATTCGATTAGTTTTACAAGTACTTGTCTCGATATTGATGGTATTGAAGGTAATAGAGCCAGAGTTCTCAATGAGTTGCATAAACTTGCTCGAAATTGTCGTCCGACAATCGATATGTTGGAACGACGAATTCTTGGAGGAGAATATTTTGAACAACAAATCGCTGCGAAAATAAGTTCCTTGACTATGGAAATCTCTCAGTTGCGTCAAGAATTAACTCAGTTGCGTCAAGAAACAATTCAGTTTGACAGTCGTGATAAGGAGATGATCAAGCAGAGTTGGAAGTATGCACAAAATTTTTAACTCAATATTTACATAAAAACTTTTGTTTTTTTTTCGTCAAGAAAAAACTTGATCAAAAATTGTTGTAAAGTTACAATTTGTAACTATGATCAAAAATTCTTCTTCCATTCTATTCAATCAATAAAAATTATGAATTTTTTAAAGGGAGTACAGTTTTTTAAATTTTAAGTTGCAAAAATCGTATTAAAGATTGAAGAAAAACATTGAAAGTTATCAGCAAGTAAGTAAATAATCATTTAAAAGGTCAAATGTTACAAAAAATCTCGCAAATTTCACAAACAGACACTGATAAGGTTTGACGAAGTAAACAAAAATTTATACTTTACATACACTGAGACTAAGAATTTTTTCCCATTTGTTATCATCAAAATTCCCAAGCTAAAATACTTAAAATTCATCCAAATTGTTATTCCATTTCTAATTGTTTTATCTAATAAATGCTTTTATATAAAGATTTGATACATTCTGATCAATAAAATGTGCTTAAAGTTTAGTAATAAATTATTCATTTTGTCTTTTATAACCACACTTCAAAATGATTGCCATATGTTTTTCTCGTTATCCCCCGTAAATGTTTCTCTCAGCCTTGAATGGAACGACATCCTTTTTTCTGCTATAATAATGATGATTGTTGTATTTCTTTCATGTTCTTATTTTCCTCTTAAATAGATAATAAAACCTATTATGTCATTGGAAATTTATGATTATCTATATTTATTTGCTTTGATATATTTATGTCTGCCAGTATTTATTCTCATTCTTGAAATTAGAAATACGAAACAGACTTAAATAGATATAAAATAACAAAGTGCTTAAAGAATTTGTAATTAGACTGTGTAGGTGAAATACAAAAATTGCATTCTTTGTGGTAAGAATAAGAAACAATTAAACCGTTCAAATATTTTAATTGTAAACTCATTATTATAATCTGATTGTCTATTTGAATAATTGAACAAATTACCACTTTCAATGCAGAAATGCTTGAATAAAGAAAAATCATGAAATGATGATTTATTCAATCGACACTGTAATGAAATGAAAAATAAGTGGAATAAATAAAGTAATTATTTGAAAAATATTTTATCTTAATGGATTTTATGATTTCATGCTAAGGGCCTTTGTAAATTTCAGAATTATGTGGGCAGCAGAAAGTAAATTTTAATGATAATATTTATACTTGAATTATGTCTTTGAATATTTTAAAAGATGAAGAACATTGCAAGAATAAAATTACCAAGGTTTAAATTCCTCATAAATTTTTATCAATTTCTAACCTAAACTGATGAATGACTTTTCTTAAGACTTTTCAAAATCATTTGAGCTATGAAATTTTAACGGAAGATACAATGTTACAACTGTCAGCAACATATTTATCTTTTTGTCATTGTAAATTAATTTATTTCATATAACAAAGAGCTTTACCTGAACCGCAACTTAAATTCCTATTCATCAACGTGTCACACGAGAAACAAGTATTGTTGGAAGAATTAAAAATAAATTTTCATGGCTTTCCTTTTCTTCCTCTAACGCTTTCAATCTTCTCTTATCAATATGATACGTGACAACCATGCAATGGAACTTTTGCAGTTTCATCTTCCGAGTAAAAGCACAATGAAAATATTTTATTTAGCTTGGCTTTGTATTTATTTATCTCAAGTTTAACCTGCTATCCAACCCCTCATTTTTCAAGAAGAAATCCGCGAAATTTTTCTGTCTTATATATTTGAGAGGGATCGAGGAATAAGTTAATCATTTTTCATTTTTTGTTGCTTTCATTTTTTTTCTTTTGAGCGAAGAAGCGAATTGAAGGAAAATTTATTCTGTTGTTGTATTATTTTTAGTGAAGCGTTGAACTCGAGGTTAAAGAAAGAAAAGAATTTTTTTTTGGGGAGACGTGATGGAGGGTTGCACCATTGCGCAGCATCATAACCAAAGCTTTGATATAATCGCTGGAAGCTCTTTTGTGGGAAGTTTTCTCACAGCTTCCGAAGCATTTTATCGTCATCATCATGAATATTTTGGAAGTCATGGGAATATGAGAGTGAAATGTTCCCGTTTCGAGTTAACAGCTTCCAATTTTCATCTCAGTTGGTGTTAAGGTTTTGGGTCGTTCTGTTCGTTTAGACAAAGAATCCGTGGAAAATTGAGATTTTCTTTCAGTTATCATTTTTTCATCTCCTTATGAATTATTTAAAATTAAATTTAATGCAAATTGTAGTGAACAAATGAATCATAAATTAGACAAAACGCACAACCTGCACTTTTTAGTTTAACATCAACATGTAGAAAGATGCTATAAAAATGGATAAAGTTAAAGATCTTGAGCGATGAGAAAAGCTCTAATGGATGGAGATGAAAAAACCAAAACTGAATCGAGCTAGAAAAGTGGGGAAAAGTGAGAGAACTTTTTTTTTGTTAAAATGTGAATGAAAATCTCGAACAATTACGGCAATCAAAATGGTTTAGAAAAGGAACATTTCGCCATTGCCAGAACCTTTACGCTTTCCGCATTCATTTTTCATGGGAAATAAAAGTTGTATTGCAAAGTAAGAGAAGAGAAAAAAAAACGGGAAGTGAAAAAATCCCAGGCAACACGAACGAAAAATGTTTCCTTTCAATTTTTCTGTTCAACATATTCGCATGGAAAGCATCGTCGTTCTAACAAAATTAGCAAACCCAGGAGGGTTGTGGAGAGATATTGCATAGGAGGAAAAAATAATGTGCTTAACAAATAAGGAAATTAGGACCTTACATAGAATTAAACAAATATTTAAAGGGTTATGTGAATTTTTTCTCATATAAAGAAAAGGTGATGATTTCTTTTTCTGAAACTCAACCTTCCTAACTAATTTTTTTTTAATCTCCACTAGCAAATTGGTGCAAAAATAATAAAGCTTATATGAAGGTTCCCAAAGCTTATAAAGTTCTCTTCTACGAAATAAAAAAGTTTTATGTTCCCCTATGAAACTAACAATTAATTTTATCTTGCCATAATTGAAACTATCTTCTCGCATTCTCTGACTTTCATTATTTGTGGCCACTAAAACAAGAAACTTATTTCTTTCTCCTATGTTGAGGTATTAAAATTTCTTCGTTGCTTTTCTTCTTACACGAGACAATTTAAGGTCAAATGGAACTTTCCTGAGAATCCCAAATGACAAGTAACGAAAAGTCATTCATTCACATTTAAACAAATATTTGGAATGGATAATCCAAGTAAATTCTAGAATTTTGTGAATTCTTCTTTTCTCCCTTTCATCAAAAAAAAAGGAAGAAAAAAACAGAAACCAAAATGTTGAATGGAAAAGTGTGACAAGCAAGAAATTTGTTGATGGAAAAGCTTCATCAAGAGCTTTTGTAGTTTGATTCGGCATTAATCCCAATCGAAAAAAAAATTACTTTTCGTATGCTGTCCACACATGAATAACTTTTTCTCTCGTGTATAGACTTTCTGTCAGCTTATAAAAATTTGCCTCCTTTTTTTTTCGGAATTCTAGTAAAATTTTAGAGCTTAAAAAAGGCTTCAATGATTTTTTCTTGAATAAAGAAAATCTTTTCAAGATAGACAAGAAAAATAAATAAATAAATTCATCCTCGTCATCTTGAATAAGATGTTGAAGAGATTTAGGAACGAATTGTTAAAATCTTCTTCTTCTAAAAACTTCTAAATCAAAAAAGTTTTCACGAAAAAGAAATAAATATGTGAGGATTTGCTGATAAATTATATATCAAGAGAATTTCCGCCTTTTTTTCTTTTATTGATCTTGCACATTGTCTCAGTTTGCTAGATAATTGGAGAAGTTTTTTTTTCATAATTAAATACTTCTGAAGTAAATAAAGTAGGAAGTGTTAATAGAATTCTAATATAATTATTTAATCCTTACCACAGAGCTCAGTGTTCATCGAAGCATCGAGCTAATTGAGTGATTTAAAAAATTAATCTAAGAAAAATCGATCTTATCGAAAAGTAGCGAAACAAAGGTCTCCCGTACGGAAAAATCATCCATAAAACGTATTTTTCAACCCATCATTTTGGATATTGGAAAATGTTATCGCTAATAGTAAATAATAATTCGTTCAAAAATGTTGAAAAGATAAAGTGTTTCAGTAAATTTAATGTGAAGTTTCATCAAATACACACCGACAATTTGATTATATTAATTAAATGGATTACTTTACTGATTTTTATCACAACAACGCCATTGTGTAAGTACTCGTCAGTTGATCAATTACATAGTAGATTAAGCTAATTTGTTTTGTCTTGAATATTACAATGTACGAATGATTTATAAGAAAACTCATTTGTAGATTGATTCTGCCTAAAGCAACCGGAAGTTTGTTCTTTTAAGAATATTTCTCAAATAAAAACATAAGAAGATTGAACTGATAGAAAGATAGCTGTAGGCTCGTTTAAAACTTTTTTAAAAACATTTTCTTCATTTTATTATTCCAATTAGAATAAAACCAAATTACTCAAATGAATCATTACTTCCAACTCAAGTAGAACTCATTAACAATTGAGTTCCCTTTCTTGTGTTCAATGAACGATTCCAACAGTTTTCTAAGTTAGGAAACAATCAAAAGAATCTCAAAGTTTCATTCAAGGAGATATTAAATTACAACGTGAGAATCTTTCTCTCTTTCTTTCTAAATGCTGGAAGAAGAAAAGGCTTAAGATGAAGGAATCCATTTAAAATGAAAACGATAAAATTGTATAAATTTTCATTTTCTACTCTACTCCAATATTATCTGAGAGAAAGCGAACAACATAAGAAGGAAAAAGGGGAAACAGAAACATTTAACGAAAATAAACTTCCTTTATCGTTCTTAAAAGGATTCCATTAAAAAAACCATTAAAATCTGTTATAAAATCGTAGAAAGTGAATAACAAGAAGTGGAAAAGATGTTGAGAGGCATGTAGTAACATAGAAGAATTTCGTGACTCATCATTTCATTCTTCTTTTGAGTAAGCATAGGATAATAACTTGCAAATTATGTGTGAAAGAATGAAAAATATTTCCAGGCGAAAATTTAGCCATTTGTGACGTTTCATACCCGCCTCTCTCATACGCCCACAATAATTTCTTGTATATTTCTCTCACTTAATTCAAGGATATCCACAGCTCGCCTTCTTTTCTCCCTTCTCTGCTTAATTTAATTTCTTATTTCTCACTTCTCGCATGTCAAGACTCGCAACTCACGAAACGAAAAGATAATTTCATAATTAAGCATATTCATGAAAATGGATCTTTCCTCGATATGTAACCATTTTTAACGATGATAAGTTTAACGCTTTCAATTTCAATGAAGAATAATTCTCTGTTAACATAAAATATTATTGGAGACTTAATGACATCTAAGTTGTTTACTTTCAAACTTTGAAAAGATATTTCAAAGAAAAAGTCATACCGAGGCCCATACCTTAAACTTCCACCACTCTTAAGAAATACGAAATCGAGGGAATCATTTATCAATGTGCAGAACACAAGAGTTTCACTGTTGCTTTCACTCAAGAACTGTAAACTTAAACGAATTGTTTCTCTCCATCGTGATGGATTGACACTGTATACAAGATGAAATTTCTATTTCCTTTAAATGGAGAAAAGTCATTATTCATGTATACAGTTCTTTGATAGCATATGATGCACTCTAAGAAATCTCAAGAATGATAAATGAGCCTAAAATACAATAAAAAAAAGTTCCTGAAAGATCAAGTTATGAATGAAAATCAAAATGATTGAGAGTAAAAAAGTTTCGACAATGAATCATAATTTCCGTAGTAAGAACTTTGTGAAATTATTTCTGTCATCTGGATTATTTTAAGCTTATTACAACTTCAAATTTGAATTGTCGCGAGTCGCGTCTATGTACAACAACTCTAACCGTCGACCACGTATGCAATCAATCTTTTTAATGGCACATTTTCCACACATAAATTCGATCTTAAATTTAATCATATTTATTGCGCACACGTTTCACGAGGACTAGACTTTTCGAGAATATTTAAAGGCATGGATGAAGGAGCTGAGGCGAGAACAAACAGCAGTTGAACGCAGCCATATTTTCAATTTCAATTATTATGATCTCGTTTTTATTACATTTTCTTTTTCTTTCTTTCCTTCTTTCCTTCACTTTCATTTCAACCCAGTCAAGGAAGCGACTGAAGTTGAAATTGATTTTCTAAAGTGTTGCCTTGAATTTTATGTCCGCGCATTTATTTACCATAATGAATTTTTCACAAAAAAGATGAATTTCCGCTTTTTCAGGTGAATTAAATAAAGACAGTTCTACCAAAGGTTTCTTATTTTTTTCTTGTTTCACGTAGGACGATCGTGAGAACACCGATGTTTTCTTATGCGGAAATTTCACGAAAATGTCATAAAATTTATGATAAAGGACAGGCGCGGTTAAGCTCCAACAGTGCAAATTGTATGCTGTAATATTTCTGTAAACATCCAAGAACAGCATGATTTGCTTTACGTGTAATCAACCAAGTTGACTACTTTGAATATTTTCTAAAGAATGAAGCGATTTGCAACATAAAATAAAAACCTTTTCTCTCCCTTTTCGAATTATTCATGTCATGTCTTATCCTTTGACTATTAAATTTACATATCGAAACAGGTGAAAGTAGATGTGGTCATAGAATTGATAGCACTGATAGTTGACTAATTTCCATTACAAAGACACGTATGTCTCATCATGAGAATTGACATGAAAGGAATGAAAAGGATAACAATGCATTAAATCAAATATGGAAGCTTTGAAATCATTACATCTTACATCAAACTTCATTCTTCAATTGCAGACAATTTTACACTTGGATGAGTTTTAAGAGAAAATATAAAATGTCCTTTCTTGTCCTTGGTAAAATCAGTTCAGTTGCTTCGATACACTTGTAAACCCTTTTTTCGTCTTTGATTCTTTAGGTCTCCATTCTTTTCTTCTTTACTTATCGTCGACGAAGTAAGCGCTACTTTGAACATACCCCACTCTGTCTGGTACAAGCAATAAGACTTTTTGTGAGCTAACTTTTCGGCAACTCTTATCATTCATTCGTGAATTTCCAATGGATTAATTTCAACACACTTGTTGAGATATTTTTGCTTTCTGTTGAGGTTTTATTTTAACTTTTTTTTTTGTTCATGCTACCATAAAATGTCAATTAATAATGATGGATTCTTTAATAAAAGAAAATATGATAAAAGATTTTTTTTGTTAGATCCATGTTTGAACATTTAAAATATTTTATGACTCTAAAGAGATTGACTATCTACAAAACATGAATGACTCTTGAAAACTTTGGATGTCTGATCGAAAAGTTATAGAAAGATAATAAATGAGTGTACGAAAGTTTCCAGTGTTATTGAAAATTTAATGATGGAGAGAAACATGACATTTTATATTTTATCTAGTAATATATTTAATAACATGAATCGTCCACAAAGCGTTCGTTTTATCGACTTCAATTATCTAGAATCCTGAAAATATCAACAGAAAGAAGATCATCTTTTGTTGGTAGTAAATTTGTGAGCGAATTAAATAACTGCAGAAATTTTCTGGGAAAAGTATTAAATCCAGAGTTTGATGTTGATATTGATTTTGATTCCAATTTCTATAAATTCATTGTCGAGACTTCACTGAAGCTGTTATTGTGTTTATGAACAAAAAGTTATATTTAGAATATGAACACAGTTTGTTATCTAATCAGTTCCAGTCAAAGTGTCAATAAAATTATAACATAAAGTTTACTGTATGCTTTCACATTATAGATTTAATGAAAGCATAATAATAAATTAGAATTGTTAGGTGCCCGCATTATTTGAAACTATTTTTGTATGCATAGCTTAACTTTTCTAATTTGTCTACTAATCCAAATAATATCTATTACAATTTATGCGGGTCATGTTCAATCTGTTATCAGTATTTAGAAGCCTTGAGTTTTGTTTTTGTTTAAGCTTAACATGATTTAATTATATCAAATTCAACATCGTTATTGTAATGAAAACTCTCCTTTCGCCATCAACTTTCATTGCGTTTGTTCTTTTAAAGTTTCATTTCTATTTCTATATACAAAAAATCGATTTTCATATTTTCTACGAACTGAAGGCTTCTAGGAATTTATAGAATAAAAAAGTTTTCAACATAACGAATGGATGAAACAGAAAAGATGAAAATCCTTTCATATCTTTGGGCCTTTGTTGCTTAATGAACAACAGAGCTTTATGATTTAGAGCAGCTTGATGAAAAATATTTCTTTTCTATCCTTCTTGCTTAAGCTACAATCCGAGAAACAAACAAACAAACAAAGATCTGTTTTGAAAGCGTTTTACTCGTGTTTTTCTCATTTTTTTTTGGTTGAAATGAAAACGATAAACTTTTGCATTGAAAAAAGAATTTTTGTTTCGCCTCTCGCATACAACCGAAGAACATCAAATGTAGCTAAGGCGAGAAAATATAATGAAAGCAACAGATGTGCGATATTGACAAGTGGAGCTTTTTATTCCAATACTTTACTGTGACAATGAAAGCATATTTTTCATGATGAATTTTTCATACTTTTTTCGTTGAAACTTTGAACGAAGTAAATGAAAAAAAAATACAAACTGTTGATTCAATTGCCTTGTTGTATAACTTATAAATTATCTCTGTCAAAAATCAGCTTTAACTTAAGACTTAACATTTCCTCTCTTTTAATTTCTATTTCTTTCGCAGCATGTTCAGCGGGATATAACGAGAAGCGTTTGCTACATGATCTATTAGACTCATATAATACTTTAGAACGACCTGTGGTTAATGAATCCGATCCACTTCAATTAAGTTTTGGCTTAACACTTATGCAAATTATCGACGTGGTAAGTTTAAGAATTATCTGTCGGTAATAAATTGAAATTTAGAAGAATCTGAATTAAAACTTTACCCAATTTCAGGATGAAAAAAATCAATTGCTTGTAACAAACATATGGCTGAAATTGGTAAGTTCTGGTTTCAATGAGAAATAATGTGAAAAACTCTCTCAGCCAAGAATCAAGATTGTCCTCAAGAAAATTATTTGCTATTTAAGCAAACTTTTGGCATCCGCATTGTTATTTCCCACAGCAATAATTTTTATTTAAGTGTCAGCTTTAAATTGAACATAAATTGTCATAAAATCGATTCGGTTTCAAACCATGCTCTCTCACCAAGTCTCTTAGCAGCATTCACGCTGTTTCCAATTAAAACTTTTTCGATTTCCTCAAGTCTGAGAGAAATAAAATAAGAGAGTGACGGTAATCCAAACTAATTCATAATTAATTTTTGCTAGCGCCAAAGGCAATCACAGTTTGCAATTTGCAAGAAACACTTTGTATAAGATTGGATGTCATTGCGAGACGCTAGAGATATTAAATAAATCAATTTACAGAACTTAGAACTCCAAACGAAGTCAAAGAATTTCAGTATGACAATTTAAAGTATTTGAGTTCAAAAATATTTCTTCGGTGCTCTGACACTAAAAGTTCTTCGCATATCTGAGAGTATTTCAATCTACCATGAAGCTTTTAACTAGGGTCGTTAAATGTTACTATAATTACATTAGGAATGGAATGATATGAACCTCAGATGGAATACGACGGAGTATGGTGGCGTAAAAGATTTAAGAATTCCGCCTCATCGAATATGGAAGCCCGATGTCTTGATGTACAATAGGTAAGGAATGACGTAATTATATAATTGCACATAATTACACCTTCTCACTTAACCCAATTATCCATCTTTACAGTGCTGATGAAGGATTTGATGGCACATATCCAACGAACGTTGTAGTGCGAAATAATGGTTCGTGTTTGTATGTGCCACCAGGGATATTTAAGTCGACTTGCAAAATCGATATTACATGGTTTCCTTTTGACGATCAACGTTGTGAAATGAAATTTGGCAGCTGGACCTACGATGGTTTCCAGGTGCGAATCAAAAAGAAATTACGTTACAATATGTTTTAATGATCTCACAGAAGGCGAAAAGGAAAAAATATAACAAATTTCATTCTTTTTCTTCGAACAGCTTGACCTACAACTTCAAGATGAAACGGGAGGCGATATAAGTAGCTTTGTAACAAATGGCGAATGGGATCTTTTAGGTTTGTGTTAAAAATGTACTTTAAACTGTTTGTACTTTGGGTGGGTTGACAGGTTATTAAGCAAACCACTGCGCTGATGAAACTTTTAGGGGGAAAAAGCATTAGCAATCTCATCATGAGGGAACCTCTCACTTCATCTCGTTTGCCTTTTCATAAAACTTAAAGTTTCCGTTGAGTTTTTGTTATTTTATTTTGTTCACACTACTTTTCTTCGAGCACCTGCCGGATGGGTGGAGAGGAAAGGATCTCATTATTTATCCTCGATGGCAGAAAAATACGAAAAAAAAGAAGAGAAACACGAATTTTGCAAATGCTTTGGGGTTATTGTTTTAATTATGTATTCATACGTATAACGATGAAACATTTTTTTCGGTTTTCTCTTTTTCCATCTTCTTTTTTTTCTCGTTTAAGGATACATAAGCTTCCCATTCCGAATCCATTTACATGCTTAACCTGAGAATATTCCAAGTACATTTTCTGTGGGGTAATTTACGGTTGAAAGTTTTTCATTGTCATGCCTCGTCTCCACCCTCCAATCTCTGAATTGAATGAAAATTTTCCCAGTCGTTATGCGTGTTTTCATACTCGCATACGCACGTATGCACACTAATACACACACGCAGCCAAGTATTATTTTTTTCGTCTATTTATTTCCTTGGGAAAAAGTAACAGACTTTGGTGTTTGGTATGCAAGAATAACTTCTACTCAAGCTTCAACATTAAACATCATAAAAATGTTATGACGTTTTATGCGATAAAAAATTATGTCTCCCATTCGTACTTTTGTTGAAGAAAGAAAACGAAAGGTAAATGCTTCTGCTCCATGTTCCATTTATGGGTTGAAAATTCATTTGGTATTGTTTAAGTGGGAATCTATTTTAGGAAAGGACGGAAAAGGAAAAGAGAAAATGTCAGTGCTTTCTAAATATATGTTCGAAGAATGTCAAACAGGATTGTTGACTGATTTAAAGCTATTAACATTTGCGCAAGTTAAGTGACCCAAATCTTAACGCTTCAACAAGCAGTCAAAGCTGCTACATTTTCCCAAGCATAAATCTTCATATATGAATGTATAATGAAAAGAGAAATATCACATAAAAGAATGTCGAATTTACAACCCTGGTGTGAAGAACATAACTATAATAGATTCTTGCTGGCATTGCCATACTATTGCGGAAAGGAAAATTCAAGCATTTTCACGACCTCAAATTCATTTTGTCCAACTTACAGTTCAATTGTATCCGCTTTGTATCCCACAGCCAGTATGTGGACCCCCCATAAAATAAAGGAAACACTTGAATATACTCTAATTTACTTCCCATCTTGCACGGTTGGAATTAGATGTGAATTGTTAACAGGAAATAGAGCATGAAAATCAGAAAATCATAGAATTACTTACAAGACATTCCACTCCAAAAATTTCAAACGTTTGTATTTAGTTAAACAGATCAGGAAAATTTTGGGAACCTTAAAAATGGTCTGTGAGTCTCCCATAAGGGAACGAAGGGAAACAGAAATGAAAAGTTTTACATTAATATTAAATTGAATGAACTCTGACTGATTAATAAATTTCTTTTAAATATATTCATAAGAAGGTTTACAAAATGAAAACAGAAATGTTTTATATTTATGCGATTGTGTATTCCGTCAATCATTATGAAACCGTCACAGTCGATGTCAAAAGCAAGAAATCGCTGTTGTTTCGTTTGGGTATTTAAATGAAAACGAAGGAGAAAAGGCTGGAAAAATTACTCGGTTGACGTTGAGACGGGAAAATGTGGGAGAAATGACCACAAGGTTTTCTTAAGAACGCTTTTTATTTATGTTAGAATTTCCTAGCTTAAAAATCAAAAGAAGGAACATAGAAAAAGAGAGCGAAAAACAGAAATGTTTCCTTATGGTTTCCTTTAGTCATGTTAATTCTTTTTTTTTTGTCATGAAGCCTTGAGCAAAATATTTTTACCCTTGAAAATTTTCAACTCAAGAAATAATATTTTTATGAGATAATTCATTTTTAAAAGTTTTTTCTCCTTCTTAGTCATGGAATTAATTTCTATAAAGAAAATTTATTTCCTTCTGGCATCTTAAACATGTTTTCTTCCATTCTTTCTTTACAGGTGTTCCAGGAAAGAGAAATGAAATTTATTACAATTGTTGCCCGGAACCATACGTAGACGTCACCTTTGCTATCCTCATACGACGGCGAACATTATACTACTTTTTTAATTTAATTGTCCCATGTGTACTGATTGCTTCGATGGCATTATTGGGATTTACTTTGCCCCCAGATTCGGGAGAAAAGTTATCATTAGGTACAGTAAATGTTGTATGAATTTTATTTATCAAATATCTAATTATTCACTTAAATGAACAAAACTTATGCTAATTTACTTTCTTTTATTTCACTTTTGCTCTGCTGTTTCAATTTAAAAAACATACGTAATCGCAATTAAAATAACTAATCGAACATCAAACTGAGAAAATCCAAAATAACAGGCGTAACAATTTTACTATCATTAACTGTATTTTTAAATATGGTAGCAGAAACAATGCCGGCAACATCAGATGCCGTTCCATTATTAGGTAATGTGTTTGATATTCCAATTTTGGTGATTGAATGTGCATAGTTTTGCATATATCTTGCGTGGATGTTAATCTAGATGAATGAGTGAGTTAATACTTATCAGTGTCTAATTTACGCGTGGGATAAATTTTATTGCCCTTCCATCCTGAATAAAAATTAAAGAACGAAACAATAAAATCAAATTTATTGACCACATGTAGCAACCATGTAAATAGAAAGCAAGCGTCTCAACTGGAAAATTGACAGTTCATTCTGTTAAAAAATTAATTCCATGTCGTTTTCACATTTGAGACGCTCTCTGCTTTTCGATGTTAAATACTTTTTATCCCGGATATGGTAAAAATTTATAACTGTGTGTAACCATATATAATTAAAATGCGAGAACTCAATAATGAAATGCGAATGAAAGCTTTTGCTTATCAGTTCGAAACATATTTTGTTGTTGAGCTCTCTTTCTGATTGATTTTAAAGTTTGCACATACACTAGGTATGTGTGTGCACATAACCGTTGGCTTCCACCTTCAGTTATACCTGAATATGTGTTCTTGTATAATGATGATTAAATTAATTAATTTTTTATTGTTAATAGTGTATTGTTTTGAGTTGGTTCTGTTGAAACGCAAATGAGATATTTTTGATAATTTTTGACCGTCACCAAAATGATTAAAAAAATGAATAAATTTGTGATTTAATTAATATGAGCGGTCATTTCATTTGCGTATCATATCGGTGAGTTTTTATTGTATTTAACGATGCTTGCTTGAATTTAGAAGCTCCATAATTGTTGTAACTAGATTTTTATACAAATTCATGAAAAAAAAATAAAAAATCATTTTTATAAATAACAAAATTAGAAAAATTTAAAGATAACTTTAAAATTAAAAAGATCAAAGAAAAAAAACAAAACATAATTAAACTAGTTGAATGCAGTTTATTCTGTATTTACAATGTTCACAAGATGAACGAATGAATAATTCGAGAACTAACAACCCTAAAATGAAACACTATTAATTGCATAAAATATTCATGTGCATATAATCTGATTAAAAACACCGTAGTCGAATGCAATATACGATAAAAATTTCAATTAACACATTTGTTGTTATGCAGGTACATATTTCAATTGTATAATGTTTATGGTTGCCTCATCCGTCGTTTCAACGATTTTAATATTAAATTACCATCATAGAAATGCCGACACACACGAAATGTCTGACTGGGTAAGTTTGTATGTAATAGCAGATTATTAGGCACTGTTCGAGATGTAATCGTCGTCATCATCTCCATCCTAAATTAGGAAATATTTTTCTTGATGTTGACATTGCTACAATTTCTCAAAGAGATTCTCAAAAAAACCATTAAGAATTTAAAAGCTTTTAATCCGAGAGATTTTTAGATGCAATTTTGTAAATGTATGTGATTCAAAAGTGTGCTGAGTTATGGTTCGAAGCTTTTGTGAAAATTATACGAGTATGTGCGTTATAGAATGAATTTTAGAACATTTCACAGATTGTAAATTTACTTTAATGCTGTTAATGCTGCTTTACTGCAATCCAAAGAGTTAATTCGCTGAAATTGATCAAACTTTTCAAGCTTTCAAGTTCCTCAAGCATTAAGTTAATTGGCTTTTAAATTGATTACCATTTTGGCTTCCAACAAATTTTATTATCGTCTGTTGTGATGTGAAATTGGTTCGAATTAAAAAACCTTTATTATTATATTTTCATGCTTTAATGCATTTATTAGAGTTCATAGGGTCATTTTTCCTTCAAAGAACAGTTAAACTTTTAATCTCTCAACGAACATTCCTTTAAAACTGAAATGTTTTGCTCTAAACTTTCAAACATGAAACAAATTCTCATGTTGTGTGTGAAAGAGACTTTAAAAATAAATCGAGACTCTTTCTTAAAGTTTATGGCAAAACATTTTAACTTTTATTCATTGTTTGTTGAAATGATAATTTTTTTAACTTTTTTGAAGAGAAAATCATTCTAAAATTTAAAAGCTTTGATTTTGCAAGCTTTCACACAACAAGTATGTTATTTTATATCTCATGTGCCATTTAACTAACCATAAATACTTGAATTTCATTAGAATAAACTCAACTTCATTCAACATCGTTCAAGTTTTCAAAGCTGAAAAGCTTTCTGATTCTCATACATTTTAGATGCTTCATCAAAAAGAGCTTTAATAGCTTAAAGCTTTCCAAATTTAAATTGATCAATTCATTCAGCAATTTAGGAATGTTGTGTCTTAGTAATTGCAAGTGACTGTGTGTGAAATGAGTATAAACATTTGTTTCTTCAACAGGAATCTGTCTGAAATAATGTTAGTGTTTTTAGCAAACGTTTTTCTGCTTGATTAGGTATCACCAAAAAAAAACTTAATAAACAATAATAATATTTACCAATTCGATCTGTGAGTCTCATTAAATTCCAAGAAAAGCCAACAATTGTAGTCGCATCAATTAAAATTATTTTATTCTTTTTATTAATGTTGGTGAAAAATGAGGCTTAAATTTTGCTCTTTCTTTCCGTGTTATTTTTATTTTATTATTTCGATTCATGATATTACGATAATCATGATGATAACTGATTAGGTGAGAATTGTTTTTCTGTACTGGTTACCTTGTATTCTACGAATGCAACGACCTGGAAGAGACACATCTATGGAATATCCTCCAACGCCTACGTCAGATGCGTCGGAACGGAAAGCAACAAATATTCAAGATGTTGAATTAAGAGAAAGGTATTAGAAAGTTACTTCTTATAATTAAGAAAGTTTAAATAGAAAACAGGAGGGGACATCCATGCATGATTACACAATCAGAAACGGCATAAATATTTTCATCGATTCTCATCAATGACGTAACTTTGCGAATGACCCTTGTAATTTGTCCCCTTCAACAAAGTTTTTTGTGGGGAAAAAGTTCAACAATGAGCAGTCAAAAATAAATAAATGTCAATTACAGGTCTTCGAAATCTCTACTAGCTAATGTGTTAGACATCGATGATGATTTCCGACATAATTGTAGACCGCTAACTCCAGGAGGTACACTGCCACACAATCCACCTTATTTTAGAACTGTTTATAGGTAATGGAGTTTTTCTCTTTCTTCTTTTTTTTTCTTTCTTTTTTTTTGTGTCTCCTTCTTATGGGATCGCTGTCGATGTTGTTCAAATTTGCAGACATACTCAGTCAATCTTTAAACCTTCTGGTTCTTCCTTTACCTTCCAGACATGATGACAATTGTAGCATTGGAACAATTGGTGGCGGCAGAATGCCTGATGCAATAGCACCGCATGCATGTAGCTTTAATTCATCAGCAGACTATGAATTGGCACTGATATTGAAAGAAATACGATTTATAACGGATCAAGTGAGTGAATGCAGCATTTCCTTTTATGTTTATTTTACTATGATATCTACAATAATAAATGTTCTAAGAGCAGAGAACATTTGGCTCTATTGACAGCTATAAACAATGAGCATATGAACATAATCAAGATATTTATGCTCACAATTTTATTTCTTTTCTTTCCTCCATTTCATTGTGTTCAATAATCTAGATAAGAAAAGATGACGATGATTCAGGAGTGGCGAAGGATTGGAAATATGCTGCAATGGTCGTTGATAGACTGTGCCTTATTATTTTTACATTCTTTACAATAGCCGCCACAATTGCTGTCCTCATGTCAGCGCCCCACATCATTGTTTCGTAGCCGTTTGAAAATGGTTATTGTTATTGGTTTTATCACAAAATCAATTTGTTATTCTTTAAATTCGTCTCAAAGCTTTTCAAGTAAAATACTTTTTTATTTATACCTTTTTCTCATGTTCATTCTCATGAATAGAAAGATAAATGAAAAGAAAATTATATATAAATATATATTGTCGTAATATCAAGTAGATATGAAAACTGTAACGAAAAAAAAGACGAAAAATATTGTCAAAAGAAAACTTTTTCGTCTTGCTGCTTCTACAAGCAAAAAAGCTGAACTTTTGAATATTAAAATCACACATAGTCGTAGTATTGTTCAACCTTTTTTTAGATATCGCTCTCGACGTTTGAAATGGCGAATGGAAATGATGCTTCATAAAAAAATCATATTTTTCCTAATTGAAATGTTTATGTTGCGTGATGCGAGGAATATCTGATATTTCAAAAAAAAGTTTAAGTGAATCGTTTGCATGATATCCTCGCTTTGATTCTTTAAAAACATGATAATTTAAAAATAAAAAATTGAATACTTAACTAAATTTCGTATTAGCGTGCCGAAATAATGCAAACGAATTCTTGATAAGTTTTTTTTTTCTCCTTCAAGCAAAAAGCAATAATTGTTAATTATGAAAGTATTTGAATCATTTTCATTCATTTTCAAACTAAACAAAGAGCGAAGATATTGAAGAGTTAATGATGAGAAACTTGTTGTACATAACTGTTTCATCATAGGAAATTAAGGATAACTTTTTTGAACCGAATGTGAGCAAAAGCTTTCGAGTGAGATCTGATTTATTCATATTTCTGGTCGCTCTCATTGTATAAATATTTTTAAACAAAAGTTTAGATAACTATATTCCTGAATTTTGTTTCTTATAATTATACAGAAGAGCTTTTATATTCATCGTCAAGCGTCTAATTCTTCTTCTTAACAGTTATGAAATCCTTAAGCAAAAGTTCCTTCTTTAGATTTCCATTATTTGAATAATTATATGTTGCTGACTTCGTTTCCATTAATATTCAACCATCTGTTACAATATTTAATATGTTCATTTTAGTCATACCGGATGCATAATTTTCAAACTAAAACATTTTCATAATTTTACAATATTCGCATTCAAGGGGTTATTAATAGAAGAGATAATGATAATAATCGAGGCGACAACATTTAAGATTCTGCCTTCGCATAGTTTAAGGCGTACATTACATAAATTAGAAGACCAATAAAAAAGATGAATAATAGAAACTTTGATTTTAATTGAATATTACGCTAGATAGCTCCAATTCACACACCTGATATATACTCAAAGTTCTATTTAAGGTTTCATCCATAAACGGATAGGAAAAAAAAGAAAAAAAAAATTGTACAGAATCCTCATATCATTGAAACGAAGCATAAGGTGCAAAAGTACATAAATCATTTTTTTGGTCGCTCCTAATAAATAAACCATGAACCAAAAGTTATATTAAAGGAGATTAAAAAAAATGGAGAACCTAATCAAGGTATAAAATAAAATTTTTTGATCTTCAAACTTTAATTATTAGTTAAAGTTTCATGCTCATTCTCAATATAATTTTACATTGACAAGATAAAAAAAAGGTTAAAAAGAAATTGAAGCAAAAACTGTGTAAAATATAATAAATGAAAATTGTAGAATTATTCTAAAACGTTTTATTGAAGAAAGTAGAGAAAAATGAATTTATAATGTTCATTAACGTTAATGAGCATTGGAGAATTTGTTTAGGAATTATTAATTATTCAACATGATGGGATCCTTTTGCGAGCCTCCCAAAATGTTATCATGATTAAGTTTATTGAGAAATTCCTTGATTGCTCCATCTTCAAAGCGTTTTTTGAAAAGTTTAGAATACTTTGTGGAAAACTTAAATTCATTAATGAAAAATAAAAAGAAAAAGAAAAGATATGGAAGAAGAAAGTTTAACCGAAGACATTAGAAAAGATGATACAGAAAGAAGAAGAAAAAATATTTACATTCATATTTATGTATATCAACTGTGATAATTTATTTTCTCAAAAATCTACTTAATCTGTGTTATGAGTTGACAAGTTGCTGACGTTTAAAGATATTGTTTAAACATTCTGTCACTGCCAATAAAACGTTGATAAAACTAGATAGTGAAATGAGATCAATCCTCTGACGACCAACAGCTTTTATTACCGGCAAAGTGACAAAATGTGTAAATAAAACTTTCGTCTTTTTATTCAATTTTATCACATGTTTAGCGAAGCAAAAGAAGAAAGAAGAAAAGTTTAAATACTACTTGACCAATATTTTCAATTTAAAAGAAAAGAAAAAAAAAATTATAAATCAGATTAGTGTAAGATTGTTCAACTTCGTTCTTAAATGCCAAAAGTATGAAGTTAAAATATTTTAGACTTTTTCCCTTATCTTGTTCATCGCATAAGTCATAACATTCATTCTTACTTTCTCAAAAAAAAAATTCACTTAGAAAACGAACTTGAAACTTCTATTAAAGAAAGTTTACTGAGTCGCGTCTCTTATTGTCAAAAGGAAAAAAAGAAAACTTTAAATGAAATTCAAACACTGAAATAAGCAGAAATTCTCTCGTAACCATAAAGGTCTCTTCAATTTCATTAAATTAAGATCATGGATACGATTAATTTGTAAATTTTTACAACAAATGAAAACTACATAAAAATAAAATTAATAGGAAGTTTATTGAAATTTAAATAAAATTAAAATGGAAAAGAAGTTTAAAGTCTTTAAATCTTAACTGATTAAAATAATATAGGCAATTGTACTATTAATTGTTCGTTCCATTTTCGGAACTTTAAAAGTTTTGAAGCAAAGTCGTTTTTGATTGAATCGTAAATTAAACCAAAAGTCTTGCAAAAAAGTTAAAAAAAAGAAAAATAATTAATAAAAAGTTTGAATGATACTCGCCATTTGTAAATATTTAATGGGTGATGAACATTAAGCATAAATCCCATAGAATCGATTCGCTTTCAATTTAATAAGGAATATTTGAAAATAATTCAAAATGAATTTAACCATTTTCCCGGAAGTTCATTCGGTCAGCATTCATTTAAATAACTCGGTAATTTTAAAGTCAGCTCTGTTATGAGAAGAAGTAAAAAAGAAAATTGCGATATGTTGCATCCAAGAACATTGAAAGCCAATTAGTGAAGTTTTTTGTGCCACCAAATGCATCAATAATTATTTCACTCTCATGTCAGATTTAAAAATAAAAAAACATAATAATAATAAAATAAAAAATAATTTAAGGATATAACAAAATCAATATTTTCGACAACTCTTGAACGAGTTTATCCGAAATCGAGAGATTAAAATTTTAAATAAATAAATACAAACGCTGCAGGAAAATAAAGCTCAAAACATTACTTTATCGTGTTGCATACTCATAAAAACAATAAACATAAATTTTTCACTTCTCTCCTTGAATTATTGAATATTTTCAAAAGCCATTTCGCTGAATGTTTATCCTTTTGATACGCTCGAGAGAGTTTCATTGAAACAAAAAAATAACTTTTGAAATGCAACAGCTTATAAATAGAGTTTTTCCATTTGCATTGATGATGATAAATAAATGTGAAAATCCTCAGCAATTATTTTAAGTCCATTAGTATTCAAATCATTTCTTTTGTCAACTTAAATTAACGACAATCCTTATTCTTTGCGAAAGAAATGTCCTTTCATGAGAAGCTAAACTGATTATTTTTCTTCGGTTTTTCGAAAAAGAATTGAAAAAAGTAAAATTGTCAGAACATTGAAAACGACAGAAAAAGATAAATAGGAAGAATACCTTTATAAAAATTTTTATGAATGAATAAAATTGATCAGAAATTCAATGAAAATGAGGTGTCTCGTCATTGAACTTTTATTCTTTCCAGACAAATTTCATCTGACGTCGTTAGCGTCGTAATTTCGGATTTTTTTTCGTGCAAAGTGCTGAACCTGATTTCATGAAGCACCGTATGTTCGTTCATGCCAAAATGTTTAGTCTTTCGTGAACTTATGTACAGGAAAATTTATTTTTAAATTTCTTTTTCTTTTCCGTTCTTAAACGCGTCATTCACATTAAGTGATCTTTATTTACAGACGATAAATCGAAATCGCTGTTCAAAAGATGTCAACTGGCATTCACCGCATCTGTAAGGCATTGGAGAAGATGATAAAGCACAGTTGGTGATGGTGATGATAAATATAAATTGACTTTCATCGATGAATTTTCGCGATTTTTAAAAAAGAAAAATGTCACAAGTTGTTTTACAACGTTTTAAACCAATTGGAAAATTATCTCAATTAGTTGATGAAAGAACTTTCCTAGTCATCCCACAGTCTCGCACGATGTTTCAATAAAAATCTACTTAAACTCATGAAATGTTTCTCTTCTCTTATAATTCAAGAGACAATTTTTTTTCTCAGCATATCTACAAGTCTTATGAAAATTTTATTAACTACAAATTGTTTATAAAGCACCATACTACATTTCATACCCTTCATCGTTAGCATCAGCGGCACAGTAAACATTACTCACATTAACAGGCGATGGCATTTACATGGCATATAAAATAACTTAATCAGATAAAAAAAAACGAGAATCGGTTTACTCACCACAACAATTTGTTATCACTACAAACAAATAATTTGTTTGAGTTTAATGGATGCTGTTTGACTTTTTCCTTTGTTGTGTGTCTGTGAGATATATTTCAATGTACATCGGAAGGTAAGCTAAAGTAAATTTAAATCTGTGCATATTGTTCATTATGTAATCGTGAGAAACATCTACATAGACGAATGTTTTGTTATTATTTATCAGCCTCAAAATAAACTTTCATTCACTATTATCCAAAATACAACTAAATACCTGGAAGGTTAATAAATTTAATAGAAAACAAAATCAATTTGAGAATGAAATCTATTTTTAGTTGCATAGATATTGAAAATCGTGTTATGCCTTATTGAGTTTCTAAACTATCTTAAATTATCGTAATTCGTGAGTTTGAGCAATTTTGATATCTGTCTATTTATTTTGCGGCGTGACAAAAATAGATGCACAATCGAAATATTGAAGGGGGGAAAAGTTTGAAGCAAGAAGAACAAAAATGTTCAAGGTGGATGAGAATTTATTTTATTTATTTTCATATAAACTTTCATTGATTAAATTAGAGTGCAATTAAAAGCTTAGTTCTGTTTCGGATGGAGAGAATTTCATTTGTTCATCGTAAATTAAATAATTGTACAGAGATAGAAACGAGATAATAAACAACAGCAATCAGTTGAGTAAAAACGAAACATCTACACTTCAAATGATTTTAGTCGTCGTGAAAAGCAAGGAATTTTCTCATTTTCTTTTATCTTTATCATCGAAAATTATTGATCAAAGTTCTCATAAGCTCAACTGATGTCACAAGCAAGATAATCTCGTCAAGTTCCTTTTGATTTTCTTTCACAATTATTGTAATTTATGCGGAAATAAAATCAAAGTTGCCTGCAGCTGTTGTGTTAGTGTGTTGCTGGCTTTTTCACGACGTTTAATTCATGTCTCACTAAAGTTAACAACAAAAAAAGAAACAAAATAAACAGAGAAAATATGTGAAAGGAAATACAAACACTTTAAAAAATACTTTTCATGTTCATATAGAACTCTGCCTCTCTAGTTTGCTTTTAAACTTTCGACGGATCACACGCGCACGCAGTCAGCGTTTAGTTTTTCCGCACGATAAAAGAAATCTCGGATTAATTTAAATTTAACTTAAAGAGATTTAGAAACAGAAAGTGAAGATTAATGGATTTTCCACTCGATGATACGAATTAATTAATTTTTATCGATATTTCAAGTTCTTTTCGGAAAAAAATATAATCTCAAATCGAACATATAAAATTTGGTAATTACTTTATTTTTGGGAAAATTTAAAAGCTTTTGAGAGTAAATAAGTGAGTTGTTGGGTAGTCTTGTTTATAAAGTTTATGATGAGTCTTGTGTTAACCTTCAATCATAAATTGTAAATCACATTATTGATGTTACTTTTGCCACATGGAGTACATAAATGTTTCAACAGCGTGATCCATTAATAATTTTTGAAAGAAATTCATTGAAGTGATTGAAAGTATGTAAATACATTCTGATGTTGTTCGAAGAAAATCGATTTTTATGACTTTATCCTGTTTATTTAAAATGGATTTCTGTTGATAAGATTTCGTAAACAAAAACTAAATTATTGCCTTCAAAATCATGAATCATTGAATTGTGATAAACTTGAGCTTATTTTGATGTGAGCTTAATGTGCTTATCGTTAGTTTCTCTCTCACCAAATAAAGTTATTAGATATTATTCAATGTTTTGTCTCGGATAAATTAAAAACATGAAATATTCAGAATCATGTCAAGCATGAATCAACTACCTAATATAAACTGATGTAATGAAGCAAATATATAATAAATATATGTGAATGTGTAAACAATGAGTGAACAACATTCAGGGACACGTTTCTCTTCTATCAATAAATAAAAACAAGCATTTATCTAAATGAATGAATCTCGTTGGACAAAAGTCGTTTAAATTTGATGGCAACATTTAATAGATACACATAAAGATAATTTCACATTTCCCATCAACGATTGCAATTGCAGTCGAAAAACTTAATAAAATAAATTCATTACAAAATAGAAAATTCTTTTATCTATATCGATTTTGTCAGGCGACCTTTCTAAACCAAACAGAGAAATAAACAATGAAACTCATTTGAACTTGACATTCAAATAGAATGTATTTACGCTTGTTAGCATGCTTTTACAGCATTAACTTTCTTTTTATTTTATTTCTTCAAACAAAAATAGGTAGCTCACGGAAAGTCATGGAAAATCAATCTTTCTCTGATCGGAAAAGCGAGTTTACTCTCAAAATTATTTTTATTTCGGTTCAGTGTTTTCCCTTTTCTTGTTTAGTAAAGAACCATTCATGGACATAGGAATATCTGAAATATTTACACGAAAATAATGACAAAACATGTTGTGAAAAGTGACAATTAACAAGACGACATCAATTAAAAGGCAAGAAAGTTGTAATTGAGTTTTGATAAAAAAAAGAAGAAGATAAAGCAGAACGAAGTCAAAACTGGAAGTGAAATGAAACTTTTAATTATGTATCAAATGTGATCTGTTTGACGTAGAAACATTCTGAAGGTGCTTATTTAAAATTCAAATATATCTCGTCAAAAAGAGTGGGTCCTATTTCCTGCAGTGGAATTTCCTGCAATTTTCCTAGGATTCCTAGGATTCCTAGGATTCCTAGGATTCCTAGGAATCTTAGGAATCCTAGGAAAATTGCAGGAAATTCCACTGCAGGAAATAGGACAAGCCCGTCAAAAAACTTCACAAAACAAAAATCTTTCAGTACAAACATTGAATACAGATACAGACAGTGCAGTAAATTTGCCACGGGGAAGCTTCTCCGGATTATTTCAAAATATAGTAAACAAAAATTTTCAAAAAAAAAGATTATAAATTAGACAATAAATTCAAAGTTAACAAGTTAACATTTTGTGAAATCTCTCTGGAAAATTCCCTTCATTTACTTTTCAAGGGAAGTGTGAGTGACAAGTGTTTACTTACTTGACTTTCGTGTAGCGATATTCATCGTGAATTTGAACAATGAATCAAGCAGCATTTTATTATTTGGCTGCGCACTTCTTTGCAAACTTAATGATTAATTGAGGTATCTCAGAATTGATACCATGTGATATTCCTCTGTTTATAGTTATTTTCACGATCTATCTTGTTTTTTTTTCTCTGTCAACCGCCCAGTACCTTTCTAAAGACTGTCAATAAATAAATGTCAGAATAGTTAATCGATGCAATTAATTCATCGCTTCAAGAAAGATAGACAAATTGTACGGAAGAAGAGTGTAATTAAATGATATTAACAAAGAATAAAGATATTCAATTAGTTAAACAAAAAAAAAATGTTTAAGCCACCCGTAGAGGTAATAACATTGAAAATTTTATGCATCTTAAAAATTTACTCCGGATAAATCCGTCGGCCAAACTTTTATCTGGTATCAACTTTCTCTCGGTTTAGTAAAACCTGCGGTGGTCAGAACATTAATTCAACTTTATTAAACTTTTCGTACAATGATGCCACACCTTTTCAGCTACTGCCGTTGCGAAAATTAATCTACTGTTTAATGTTGGCAAAAATAAAAAAAGGATTGTTTAAATATTTAATGCTAAAGCTGTGTTTACAAAAGAAAGCGAAACAAAAAAAGGTAGATATTTATGGAAAAATACTCTTTATTTATCTTAGAACTAGCTACTTGAGATTTTCGGTAAAATTTAAAGCCAAACAATTCATTAAGTCGAAAATTCAATTAAAAATTATAAAATGAAACAGGTTATTAAAACATAAAACAATGCAATCTATATGTAAGAAGATAATTACTGTGAAAAACAGAAGCACTTAGTGGATATTTTCTAAAGAAAAATGTCCCATTCAGAAGCTGTAGATATTGAATGCGCAAACGTGAAAAAATCCAATTAAAGAGATAAGATAGTTAGATAAGATTATCAGAACATTAACTCGTGACTTAAATCACAATTTAACTAACGTTTTGTAAATGTCTAAAAGTTTGTAAAATGTTTATATTGTCCAAGGTTATAGTAATGAAGTTATTGAGATACGAAAAGCTAACAATGTTTAATGTTTAATGTACTTCGTTGATATTTAAAGAACTTTCTGGATTCCCAAAATATTAAACTTTATGTACAACCAAAAATAAATATTTTATTTATATTTCCAATTACTTGCTGCTATTTATAACTCAAACATCACGTGATTTGTTTCCATGCTTGAAACTATTAATTGAACAACTTGATGAAGTTCACAATGAAATACAGACAAAGGCATCGAATCTGGTTGCCATAACATTAACTTAATTCAACTTGATTATGTCTGTGGGTTAATATTTTGAGTCTGATTTAATCTTTTAAGAGGATGAAAATTTCCATGAATTGAAATGTCATTCTCAGAATTATTTTACAACTTTTTCATTGAAGGAACTTCCTCTAAATTCAAGAGTTGCTATGTAGTTGAATTGTTTGTAGATAAATAAGAAAGAAAGATTTCTCAAATCTAGATTATCACCTTCTAAATTTGGAATCATTCAAAGAGTAAACACGTGCGAAGGCGAGAGGAAAAGATTAAAAATATTTCTTTTTTCTTCAAAAGCAATTGTCAAAGTGACACTCGCAATTTTTAGATACATATCGAAGTCAAAAATGAGTGACACCAGTTAGTGTCGTGAACCCTAACAAGCTTACACGTACATAAATATTTAATCATTTTTATTCATGATTAAGAATTTATTTACGACAGAAATTTGATTGCAACCGCAAAGAGATCTTGCATTAAATTAATTCTCACTCTCACTTATTACTTCAGTTACTGAACATATTTATTTCATCTTCTCGGTAGTCTCTCCGCACGTTGACACAAATGAAGATTGATTGACTTTTAGCTTTTAGCAATCTACTAATCCAGTTTATGTCACGAATAAAAATAATAGTGCTGAGCGACAATGAAAAGATGAGAAAATAAAACAAACGAGAAGCAAATCAGCTGATTCCGAAGTGAGTGAACACGGCAAAAAAAATAATTGAACAATGAAAATGTCAAACTATTCAACCAACAATTTTTAATTGTCAAAAGTGTATGTAGGTCGATTTGTGATTTATTTCATTGTAATGAAAGCGTCGTTGACATTAATTAATTCATTTAATATAAATTCTTTTTTCTTTTACAAAGAAGTGTTAAAAATGAGAGAGAAAATTTTGTGTTCAGATGCCCGGGCTTATTTGATATTCATTTATGCATAATATCATCATGCTTACAAAGTGATTTAATGCTTCCGTCGCTCCAAGCAAATGGACTTCAATATCATGCATAATTCTTATTCGAGTGCTTGCATGCATATTGTAAACGATACTCAATTACAATTTGTAATTAAGATTATTTATAGTAACAACCAAAAGAGGACGAGGTCAAAAATCGTTGTTGGATGACGTCGTTGGTGAAAAGTTAACAAATCTTTCCAAATGTTGTGAACACTTTTTCATTCTTTCTAATTTCCATGGCACCATTTCTGAAGCTAATCATTTGTCACTTTCGTAATATTAGCTTTATGTCAAGGTTGCAGCGGTTTTTGTTATCATACAACATACTTTTAGGGTTTACTCTTTCGGGGGAAATAATTTGAGATTGAATAGCTTGTACAGTTGAACTCAATTATTTCAGAGTTTAAGAACTTATTTAGCATATGAATAAAACAAGCGCCACACAATTTTCTTTATTTAGAAGTGAACTGTAGAGATATCAACTGTACATGATCCCAGTAACATATTCAAAAGAACAACGAACGTCAGTTTCTAATTTAACTTTTGAAGTTTATTTTAGTCACAACGACATAAATTGTCATACAAAATCAGCAACCAACAATGTAGTGAAGCAAACAATTACCCTGTGCGTATACTTTTTCAATCGAAAGCTCGTTTCATGTGTAAATCTTAATCTTACTCTTGCCCTCAATCTCACCCTCTTCGCATTAAATAAATAAGCATTCATAAATTTCAAACGCTTTTCTTTGTTGACTAACTTAAACCCAGTCACGATATAGCATTTTACGAAACATGAAAAATGTTCGAGCGACAGAATATAGCAACAAAAATTCTTCCTTTATGTTTACTTATGTAGATACGACAACCAAACTTACGTGAAAAGCTTCTCTTTTTTTTCAGGATTTTCGTTTTCTCTTGAGCTTTACGCTTTCCTTTCCTTTCCCTTCTTTCTTTTTTTTTTGAAGGGAGAATTTGAAATTGGGCACATTTTTAGTCCGCAATATTTTCTCGTTTGCTTTCTTAACCACTTGAAATTTGAGATGTGGAAAACCACTGAATATTTATTGCACGCGAAGGAATGTGTGCAAACAAGATAAATATGATTGTGTGTATAAGTTTGTTTGAGTGAATTAAATGAAATGATTACTTAAAGGGCTATTTATGAATGAAATGAAGTTGTATTAATAATCATCTAATTCTAATTTTAGATTTTACTTTCATTTCTATGTTTCTTTAACGCTTTTCGTTGCTTTTATTTTATTTTATTTAGATGGAAAAGATATCAGCGACCCCTCTGGCGCACAATAATAATAACAATAATAGTAATAAAAGTAAGAAGTTGACTGAAATTAGTTCAACTAATACCACAAAAGGGAACATGCTCAAACTAGATTTCGATACGATGCCAAAATTAGTTGAAAGCTCAGTACGAGCCAATGTGCCATTGCGAGCGAACTTTGTGAAAAGTAATACGTGTGGGAGTTTGTTTGCCAAATGTAACTGCAGTCACCATTCAAAAGACATCATCCCATTGATAAGTGAAGTAGATTGCGATAGAGAAGCATCAAAGTTTGATCGACACACTCGTAAAAATCAATCATTTTCTCATCCCGACACGCCTGTAATTTTTACAGAGGAAAATCGATATCCAATTGACCCGCTGCCACGTTTACGATCATCTCACGAGACTGTCTTTAGAAGTGGCAATCAAGAGGTCGAAATAAAGCATTCCAAGCGTTCATCATCACCGAACATTGGCAATTTCACTTCACTGAATGTTGATATTCATCCTGAGTTTAAGGTTCAAGTGATTCCTAAAAGTTTTACTCTTCAAGAGACCACTCGACGCAAACCAATTCTTAAAAAGGGTTCTAAAAGCTTTCCCAGTGCAACACGCTCTAATTTTCGTTCATTCGATTCGCTCGGTGAACACACATTTTCATCATCTTATAGTGTTGATGAAGAGAGTGAAGAACTTGAATTAAATGGAAAAGTAACCGAACTAATTGTTACCGATCTTGATGCAAGCTCAACAAGTCAATCTACAACAGTTGTTGACACTCAACAAACAAAACGTGCTGATGAAAAAGCATTGTCGAGTCCTAAGAAGATTACAACTGAGAACGCTGAAAGATTCTTTCAAGTAAGAAACATAATTTTTGCTTGTTTTTCTATCAAAGATTAATCTTTTATTTTCACAAAGGAATCAGGAATCTTAGGGCCAATGGGAGGCGGTTCAAGCATCTTAAAAAAATCATCAAAAATTAAGCCTGTTCTCACCGATTCAATTACAAAAGATAATGTAAGCAGATGCCAAATTTCTCATTCTCACAATTTATTTAACGAGTTAAATAACTAAACAGATTCGTAAAACTTCTTTGGTGCTACTTGGTTATTCCAATAATGATCTGAGAAAGCGGTCAATATCCGAAAGTTACACTGAATATCCATTCAAAGATGGTTTGGCAGGTTTTGGAACACTCACCTTACATGAAGAAATTCTTCACCTCAGAGAAACGATTAAGAATCGGGACGATGAAATTAGCAGATTAAAGCGAGAAATTCACAAGCTTAAGGTAGGCATGATGAATAATAAGTTGATGATTTATTGCCGTTGTATTTATTCTTCTGCTTTGTTAATTTGTTGTGCTTCTTGTTAAAAATGTCAAATCTGTGCCAAAGAAAACAAGAAAACTGTCATCGATGACGGCATAGAATTATAGATATTAAAGTTAAATTGAAAGAAAACTTCTTCTAACGAATGTTCTATGAGAAGAAAAAAACTAAAAGCTCTTGAGAACAAAGAGTGTGGTGGCCCTTAAGTGTATCCCTTATTTGCTTAACTGATGCTTTGCTAGCCTTTTTATAAGAACAACTTTTTTCTTCGTTCCCATCCACTTCAAGATATTTTCATTCTTTTATATCTTTTTCACTTAAGCATTTTTATTTTCGCAACATAATTTTTATCTTTTTGGTTACCAATTCTCATAAGTATCTAAAGTTATTCGACGAGTTGTGGAACCAAAAGAGGAAGAAATGTTGAAAAACAAAACTGTTAAGCAAATCAGAGGCGGCTTGTAAAAGTTCAAGGTTGGAAAAGTAAATCGTCTCTAGAATTTTCATTTCTGAGATGATGAGATGAAAACTCGTCTCATTTATTACACGAAACAATATTGTAATGTAATTTATCATTTCTTATGAAACCAGCATTTAATCAAATACACAATAAGCCGTCGTCATAGCTCATTCCACCATATTAACGACTCATCCAAAATGAGTAACAATTCACTTCGCTTACTTTAACAATGATCATGTTACTTGCTTCTTAAATTCTCGACTGATTCGTTTACATTTCAACTTCTCCCTGTTGTCGCGAGTGGTGTTTGTTTATCAAGGAGTCGATGATGAAAGCTATTTACGCAACATTTTTGTGTAGAATTATGTTTTCGTCTTCATTTAAGAGAGTTTGCGTTCACTGTGGCGGAATATTTTTGTTTATTGCTTTTGCGAGAGAGAGCGAAAATAAACAGCTTCGAGCGAAATGCTTTTGGAAACTGGGACAATTCTAGAGATTGAGTCACGTTGTTTATTCTCCTATAATCTTATCAATTTAATTCAGTCATGTTGTTTATTTTTAAGTGAATTCCTTTTAAAAAAAGCATGATTTTGATGGCGCAGCATAAAGAAAAGATTTTTCTTCTTCTTTTCAATTAAATTCTTTAAAGAATTGAAATTGTCAAAGATCTCATTAGTCTGTCCTGAAATACTTAGAAGAAAGAATCATTTTGATACGTTTCCTTGGAAAAAAGAATCATTTCATGAAGACTTTATGACGGAAAATTCTATTAAATAAATCTTAAGATTCTTATATTGTGTAAGCGTCTTAAATATATTTAGTAAATCTATATATAAATTTAGAAAATCCTTTACACAAACAACTTTTGAAAAGAAGGTTCGTGAAACAAATTCACTTGAATTCATTTTTATGAACTTACTTAGAAGCATTTCAAGCCTTTTCGTCTTTGCTATGCGATAAAACAAAACTTTTCAATTTTTCTGCAGTCTTGAAAGTAATTAACTTTGGAGACCACCCAAAAAATTAAACTAATTAAAGTTTTAAATCTTTCTAAGTGATACGTGAAAATTTCCCAAACTTGTTTATTGCGCCACTAAATGAAAAAGTTTGACAAACACTGCACTGCTACTTGATTTATTATTTGCTTTATTTCCTTTCCTATTTATAATTTTTATTTTTATTTATTTTTCGTTATTTCTTTTCATGGTTTGCTGAATTTCTTTTAATTGAATCAAACAAATGAAATGCAATGAATTGAAAATCGGGTTCATTTGAATAATTTCTGATTCATGTTTGAAAAATTATTAAACGATGTCGTCTTTGGACATAAACTGAATGCATGCATATCAGAGTGTCCTACAGCAGCAAGCCACTAGAAATTTAAAATGTGAATGTAATTTCTCAAGTCTGCGAATGAATGGACATGTCGACAAAACGACGAAGAAACAAAACAAATTTAATAGCAATGATGATATCCAAAAATCATCAGCACCTTCATCCACCGCTTCAACTATTAATAAAGGTAGTTTGCCACTTCAAATCAACAACATTAGCAAAAGACAAGGAGTGTCGGGTGAGAGTTGTGACGTCAATGTTATTGGCTGTTCGAGTGATATTTTAATAAGAAAATTCGAGAAAGATTTCAAGTAAGTAATTATTTACATAAATTGACCTTGTGACTCTTATAACTTATCTTCATCTCTCTATCTCTCTCTAATGTTCCTGATTTATCGATTCAGATCGAAGCAGCAAATCAAGGATGCGGTCCTCGAAAATGACTTTCTCAAGTATCTTGATTGTGTTCAGATACGTGAACTGGTCGAATCAATGTATAGTCGTGATGTTGATTTAGGCGAGTTTATTGTGAGAGAAAATGAAACTGGCAATCATTTATTTGTGTCTGCCCAAGGGGAGTTCGAGATAATTGTAAATGATAAAGTTCTGGGAAGTTTACCGGCTGGAAAGGCCTTTGGCGAGCTTGCCATTTTGTATAATTGTAAACGAACGGCATCCATTCGAGGTAGAAAAATGTACTTTGTGGAATGAATAAGTTATGTTAAAAAAGAATGTTTGAATTTCAGCTGTAACCCCAAATTCACGTGTGTGGGTTTTGGACCGTCGGGCATTTCAACAAATCATGATGCGAACGGGTCTGCAACGAATTGAAGAGAATGTAAAATTTCTCAAATCTATTCCTTTGCTTCAAAATCTCGACGATAACGAGCTGTGCAAAATAGCCGATGTTCTTGAATTGGTAAGCAAAACATGCCGCATTGAAATTTTTTAAGACCAAAACAGCGACATATGAAAAATCATTTTGTTCGCTACTAACCTGCAACTTCAAATGCTATAGGCGACTTAAAGTTCATTTTTTCCTTCCACGTTTCTCAAAACTTTTTGTCTTATTACTCTTAAAAACAAGTGAAAAGCTTTTTTTCCTTATAAATGTTTTCTTATTTATCAAAATAATTAGGAATTTTATCCAGATGGTGCTTACATCATCAGACAAGGTGCTGTTGGAGACAATTTCTTTTTAATTAGTCAAGGAAATGTCAAAGTTACTCAGAAGATTCCTGGTAAATATTTGCATTTTTTTCTTGCCTCTCCTTGGAAACCTTTTAAGAAAAATTTTTTTTTTTTACACGTTCAGGAAGAAGTACAGAAGAAGAAATTAGAACTCTAGGTCGTGGCGATTATTTTGGTGAACAATCTTTGTTAAAAGAAGACAGAAGAAGCGCAAATATAATTGCGATGGCACCTGGTGTTGAATGTCTTACATTAGACAGGGAATCATTCAAACAGCACATTGGAGATTTAGAAGAGCTTCATAAAAAGGACTACGGTGATAAAGACCGAATCTATGCATTAAAACAGATTGAGACAAGACAAATACAACAAATCGAGGAAAAGAGAGAGATTGAAAAAGGTATGATATCAGCTTTCAGTGAAATGAAACTTTCATTTCAAGTTAAACAATTGAAATTTTATGCTGAAATAAGTTCGTTTTATTTCGGGAAAATTCTCAAGTGCCTTTAGCTTCGAATGAAAATTTCCACTCATATAATTCAGCTTTTAATTAATCTCAAACATTCAAATGAGTAATATCTTCATAGAATATGCAAATATTGAGTTTGGAGATCTGAAAACGCTTGCAACAGTTGGAGTGGGAGGATTTGGACGTGTGATGCTTGTAAAACATACGAAAGATAATGCATTAAGAATCTTTGCCTTAAAACAAATGAAAAAAGTGCACATACTAGAAACTAAGCAAGAAGAACATGTTTTCAATGAACGACGAATAATGCTTTCATGTAAGTCTTTTCATGCTAAAAGGCTTTAAAAGGGAAAGTTTGAAAGTGATGATAATTTCATGTTACATCTTGTCTCAGTCGAATATTTTTTCAACAAACAAAATATATAAAAAAATGGAGAAGAAGATGTTAAATAATTTCTTAATTAGAACAGCACGATAATGAGCTTTTTAATTAAGCTTTTAATTGAACATGAGTATATCTACTTAAAAGCTTCTTTTGAATAATTTCCGAGATTTTATAAGCTCAGAAAAAAAATGAGAATGAGTGAGAGAGATTATCTCCTTCTCCCTTTCTCATATAGATACAAAATTCTTTTTTATAATTAATTAAATTAAAAAATAGAATGAAAAATTGAAGCTTTTCCTAGATTCAATAATTTTAATGTTCAAGCCCTGCAAAAAACTTGCTGAAAGTAACAAAAATTTTCTCGACTCTTTTAAAGCCATTAGGTTTACATTTCGTGTTTTTTGTAGAGAAAGATGATTTATATTCACAACGTTCTAATTATGCTTTTCCTCCCATTATTCTTTTCCTACATTGTAAAGTGTCATCTCCATTTATTTGTCGCCTTTATCGCACGTATCGCGACACAAAGTTCATTTATTTGCTGTTAGAAGCATGCTTGGGTGGAGAAGTTTGGACTATTTTGAGGAATACTGGGAGGTTTAGTGAAACAACAGCGCAATTCATTGTTGGATGTGTTCTGGAAGCTTTTGAATTTTTACATTGTCGAGGCATTATTTACAGGTAGAGGGTTTTGAAATATTAATTAGACACGTTAGTTTCTTTTTTCGTAGAAAGTCACTGAATGTTTAAACAACAAAAATTAATTTTAAGGGATTTGAAGCCGGAAAATCTCATGCTTACGTCAAATGGCTATGTGAAGTTGGTGGATTTTGGATTCGCAAAACAAATAGGCTATTCATCGAAAACATGGACATTTTGTGGAACTCCTGGTGTGTTGTTTGTAGCTTTGTTGTAATTGTGATTACTGATTGAAAGTTTTCTATTCAAAGAGTATGTTGCACCGGAAATAATTTTAAATAAAGGACATGACAAGGCTGTTGATTATTGGGCACTTGGAATTTTAATTAGCGAGTTAATCACAGGCGCACCACCCTTTACAGCAGATGATCCTTTGAAAACTTACAACATAATCTTAAAAGGAATTGATGCCATTGAGTACCCACGATATGTATCAAGAGCTGCTATAAGTTTGATTAAAAAACTTTGTAGAGATTTACCAGCGGATCGTTTGGGATATCAAAGGAATGGTATCGATGACATTCGTAAACATAAGTAAGAAGAAATTTTCCTTTTATTTCCTGAGATGTTTTGAAGAAAGGAGAAAACTTTTTTTCCAGATGGTTTCAAGGCTTCGACTGGGAAAGCTTACTGAATCTTACTCTACAACCTCCAAAAATTTCTTGCGTCAATGGACCATTAGATCTTTCGAATTTCGATACGTTTACAAGTGATTTTGAAGACCCACCCGATGAAACTTCCGGTTGGGATGCAGAATTTTGATGCGTCTCAACTCATGAAACAATCGCTCAACTTTTGTTAATGAAAGCCAAACTTGTGATGAAACAAGTTCTCATAATGAAAGCTAATAAAAGCAATTTAAGAAAAGCGAAGTTTTATGTATTCCCAAACCAATGTTTAATTAATGCAGCAAATTGAATTACGTGAAAACTTTCTTCTTTTATTCTTCTCAAACTTTCTGATACATCGTCATGATAAATGTTTTAATTTCCATGGGATTTAACATGATTTCGGAGTCTGACAAGTCTTCCACTTTCATGATATTATTCTGAATTTCATCATTTGGGAAGTTGGAGGATTCGCTGTTGAAATGAAGTCGTTGATAGTCTTCAATCCATTGGTTCGCTGATAATGTGACTTGTTTAAGTTCAATGACGTATCCAGGGAAGCAATCTGATAAATTAAAGCGAGTGGAATTTGACAATTCAGGGTCTTCGTTCGCTTCAAGAATGTGCTCAAATCTCAAAAGAAATGAATCGTCTTTCCATGGCTCAAATGTCATCAAATAAATGTTTTGTGGTAATGCCAGACCGATTGAAGAATGCTGATAAAAGAATGAAAAGGAAAAGCTTTTGAAAAATTCTTTAGAGATTTCTAATCAAATTAAAACTCACAATATTTGTGTACTTGTTCATCCAATCATCGTAGCTGACATTTGAAGCTTCATCAAAGAACATCCAGTTTGGTACAAGAATTTGATTCTGAAGTAAACGTTCTCGACCTTCCAAAGTCGGATATTGCGTTCCTTTTGATCCGAATATTATAAAATGTTTGCCTCTAGCGACTAAACCTTTGCCATAAGCTGTTTCGTTTAAAGACTCTGCCAAATGGAAAGAGAAGAAAAAAAATTAATCAAAAAACAGAAACTTGATTATGATGGAGCTTAAAAAAACCTCCGACGCCGAAGGCATCATCGTGTAACAATCGTCGGTGAACCATCAACTCAACCGTTCCATCAAAAATACTGGAGCCGCCTTGTGCACGATCTGTGAGAATCGCAAGTCTGTGAGTTTTATCTTCAATCGCTATTTTTGTCGTCACTGGATAATAATTTCCAGCAATTTGTTCTTTCAATGACAACTTCCAAGTGTCACGATGATTACGTTGTCGCTTTAACATTTCTCGTCCATTTGAGTCTGTATAAAAAGCACCTCCACTCTTCATCACCGTGAAGAATCGAGACACAATTTCCTTGCCAATATTATCATTCACTGGAATCGGTCCAACAAGCCACTCAAACTCAATAAACTTTTCATTCTTGTAAACTCTTACAACTTGACTAATCCAATCATTAAACACTTGATGAACTTCATCGACTTGGTCACCTCGAATAACATCGATTGTCGCTTCTTTTGTTATTAATTTTTCTTTAGTCTTCGGATCAGGCCTGAAGATATAAGCACCAGACGATCTATTGTCAAACACCTCATTGTTCCCAACTGCGCCTTTATAGTATAAAAAGTTTTGCGAGAGCTTGCTTGTCTCACCGTCGATTGTAATTTCTGATAAAAGGCCGTTAACATCAAATGTAATGTTAAGGAAGTCATTTCCAATAATCACAGGTTGAGGTTTTCGTTTTTGTCTTGTAACAATTCTCACGTCTGGATCGATGTCGTTCATTATGCGTGAAATGTAGTAAGATTTGTATCCCAACGCAGGAACTTCATTTGCTTGGAATACGAGTTCATTGTTAGTGTTGCTAAATCGACCGTCAAGTGATTTAACAGTGTTTGGCAATGGAACTAATTGAGATGGAACAACAATTTTACGATAATCTTTAACTTCGTATTTCAATCCTCCAACAGGAACTCGAACATATTGATAAGTTGCATGAGCAAGTGAATTATAAACTGTCACGATAAATTGATTTGAATTTTCTGTAACATCACAAACGCTTATGTTGAGATTTAAACAAGATTGAAATTTAAAATCCCAATGATCTGGTGTTGAATGATTTTGATGTCCGGTATTAGGTTGCGGATCTTTTCCGGTTGTAAATTGATTTAAAGCGGATTTTGTATTCGCTCCACAAGCTAGAATCGCTTGATTCAAAAGCCTTGCATAATCTGAGGCAACATGCTGCTTTTCTGTACCAGTTACAGCATCGTGATGTTGCATGACACCCATCGCTCTTCGCAGCATGTTAAGATGGGGCTCGAAATGATTTTCCTTCACCTTTGCTGTCGATGATAATTGCTTGCAGATCTGGAGGAAGTGATTACCGACTCTTTCGAATCTCTTGAGTGTTGGACGTGATGTGAAATAACCGGTCCAATAAGCATGAGGATCTGAAGCATAAGGAAAGAAGTCATCGGATTTTGTTGGCCATGTGATGTTTGAATCGTGAAGCGATTTCAAATAACATGAAGGCGTAGAATAGAAAAGATTAACGTTCAGTCCGTCCTTTTGTCGACTGTTTGTGTATCTAAATTCACATTCAAAGAAACAAGCAATTGTTAGATATTTATTAAATTCACAACACGTTCATTGAGAAAATCTCATGTCAATTTTTTATCTCTCTTACTTTATCAGCTTGTCGAGGTTCTTGAACCACATTTGTGCCGATTGATAATTAAAATCTTCACCCATTGTGATTAAAACGTTGTTCGTTCGATACACTGATGTCATATTTGTCACGTATTCGACAAAGTCATTGACCTTTGAAAATTGATTTAAATCTTTTAAATCTTGTAAAATGTCATAAATAATTTAACCACTGAGAACTAAACTTTGACTTTTCTTTTCTTCGAGAATAAAAATTGACATGAAATTGAAGAGATTTTCAAGAAAGCTTTTAAGTGTGAACATGAAAAAGCTTTTCTCTCTCTTTACGAAGCTTTAAAGTTTTAATGCAATCGAATACCTTATCAACTTATCCAAGTTTTTGTAATAAACATGAGCATCCATATAAGTAAAATCACCGCCCATTGTAAGAATGATGTTATTTGTTCGATATAATTCCGATTGTGTTTTAATATGATTCACAAATTCTGTAACCTTTGTACCGTGTTTAAGTTAACGTGTGCAATATGTTATTGTTTGTGTTTAAACAGAGTAAAAAAAAGTCAAATTTCAGTGTCAGCATAAACATAAATATTTGAATATTGCAAGAAAAGCAAATACAACTCACCCGACGTTCGACATTATAATCTGGGCTATATTTGTCATCAATTATGGGCTCATCATCACAAAGAATGTCGAAACAAAAACCATTCGGTGGTCCGTAGTTGTTGTAAAGAACACCAGTGAAAAGATCTGTATCGTCTGAATGAAAGAAAGCAACAATAATCTCATAAAGATATTGATAATGTTTATGGAAAATGTCACAAAACTGAACCACATAACATGAAGATTTTATGATAATCTTGTGTCATTCATATTAAACTCTTCCCATTTATGAATCTTCGACATTTTCTTACCTAAATTTGCACTAGATTTCCAAATCATCTCCGCTGTTTTACTCGTCAGTCTATTGAGTTTATCCTGATAATCCAAGCGACCAATAAACAATCCATCAAAACCCATTCGAGCAAATAGCGACGCTTGTTCTCGAGAATGGCCGAAGGGATCGATTTGCCAGCCAACTTTTGGGCGTCCACATTCACCAAATGTATCGTTGAGAAACCTCAAACCCCAAGTAAATTGATCGATAATACTTTGGTAGTGTGCTGTAGCTTCATCATTCATACTCCACGCTCCACCGATAAATCCCAGACGACCTTCACTAACCAGCATCTTAACTTTTTCCTTCAATTTATCATCCTGTTCGCGCCACCATTTGGTGAAAAACGCTGATTCAACATAAATAAATCGTTTTTCAGGATCTTGAAGTAGAGCTTCGACGACTGAATCGAGAATGTATTGAACGCCAGCTTTCTGGATAAGACCATTGCCTTAAAAATATTTAATAAAATGTTTACTTGCTTTTCATTCTGCTCGAAAGCATTTCAGAATAATTTTGAATATGGTTGAAGCTTGAAATCTTCAACTAATAAATGGAAAAGAAGCGAAAAAGTTTCTAAAAGCAATTAGGAGTCTTCTACGATAAACTCAAAACAATATCAACAAACGTGATTGCTTTTGCTGTAATTTAAGTGGATAAACATTTAAACTTACCAAAATTACATGGTTGAGATTTGATTCCATAATTAATAAGGAGAGAGAGGTAAGCAACAACTTAGAGTTTATCTGAATTATTATTTCAAGCTTTATCTAATTTTCCCTGATAATCTCAATTTAAATTTATTTTCTAAACGAATTTCATGATAAAAGGAAAAATGAGAAAGCTTCGTGTTTAAGTTTCTCAAATTATGATTAATGTGACAATGGAATGCGACACTGTGATTATAAGAAAAATCTGAATCATCAATATAAAAGTGGCAAGTGAAATTGTTTGTGTTGTTTTAAATCAATTTATCACAGAGAAAATATGAGAATGTGAACTAAGCTCACATTTGTCACTTCATACAATATTTTCACTTCGGGTTATCACATTGAACTTTTTGTTTTTGTTCAATGATGATTATGGTAATGATGATGATGATGATGATGATGACGATGGCGAATGTCATCACAATTCAGTTTAAACCACAACAGTATAATTTGTATTTACTGTCAGGTCATTTCTTTTCGTTATTAACGCGAAAATTTAATTACTGACTAACACGATTCACGCATCATTTCACGACAATGAATACTCACTTCCATAATAATATTGGTCGACCGTTTTCAACCATCCTACATCGTCGTGTGTATGAGCAACGAGATGAACATTTAACATATCGGGTTTTATTTTCGGACACGACTAGAAAATGCAGGGATAGAAGTATCGAATTAGATGTTGATTAAATGGAACAATTGAGGATGGAAGAACATCTCAATTGAATTGATAAATGTGCTTTTGCCATTTACCTCATATCCACATTTTGATTGAACATCATTCTTGTGTTCGTTCTTAGCATGCCTTTGCGTCACGGGAATTTTATACTCCCCACTGTTTCCACTAGAATTATCACTTTCATCATTCATCAATCGAAAAGTTTTATCATCAAATTTGACATTTTGCATTGAGGGCAATGCATTGACGAGCAAGCATAAATTTAAAATTGTTAAGAAAATTGTTCGTATCATGTTTGTTGTTGAACGATTAAAGTAAGACTGAGACTATTAGTTTCTCAAAGTAACTCAAAGTAAAACATTAAAGAATCTGAGAACATACATACATCGACTCAATTGGAGACAACAACAATAAATTGAGAATTTTAAACGGTCAGCCACATGAAGAAGAAAGACAAATAAAGAAAGAAAAAAAATCGAAATGAAATGGAAAAAATTGTCGCATTAAAGAAAGACGAAACGTCTCCTGAAAGATGGAAATTCCAGTTTAATGGTGACTTATGTTTATGGTTTAAGCACGTCGGTAGACACTTGATGAATTTAGGTAGACGATTTCATTTACTTTTTAATTAAACCTATCTCCCAGACAAACCCTTCACTTTACGACATCTCTTGAATTATTAAAAAGTTCAAATCATGAAATTATTTAATGTTGTATCGATTAAAAGATTTTGATCTTGCCAATCTTCCTTTTTTATCGTCTGACAAATAATAAATAAATAAAACGTTATACGAGAGCGGAGAAGGGTTGATTTTTCCAATCAACGTCAATACTTTTTTATAAATATCTAATTTATCAATTTGTAATTTGCTTCCAGCAAGATTTCCGACATTTTTTTTGGTAAACGACATTTTCAATTAAAATTTCAATTGCGACATTCTGTAAATATTTTTCAATCTTCTTCGTGTTTAATAAGATCAGAAAGAGAAAAAGTGATTTAACAATTTTATGTTTGCACAAAATTCATTTCGTGGTCACCATTTGAAACTTAAATTAAGGATTGAGAAGGTTTCAATAAAAAAAAAGAAGCAACGAAGGCTTTCCTCAAAGGGTTGTGTTAGGAAATTAAATAAATATGTTTGAACACGATTCAAATGAAAAGCGTTTTTCCAACCGGAGCTTGTACAAATATCAATTAAGTAATTGAGGGCACATGGAAAAAAAGGCATTTAATCACTCGCTTTGATTTATTTTAATCCTGATTTCATTACGAGCCATTTTAATCTTTTTCATGTGTCCTTTTAATCAATTCCATTCATTTATTTACCAAATAAACATCATGTAAAGGTTATCGTTGTCATGATGGTATTAATTTGTACAGATTTCAATAAAACAAAAAATTTATTCGTTTAGCAGTTCTATAATCGACTTCAATGATGGTTTAAAATTTAATCATATAAACGAGAATTTCCTATCGTGATTTATTTTCAATATTTCAGCTGCCAAATGCAAATAAAAAATCATTCAATTTGAAACAAGTGAAATGCTGGTTTGAACATGAAAATATGGAACGATTACGACATATCATTATCGATTCGTTTATCATGATTTTCTCTCATCTCATTTCTCGATTCTTTTTTATTTCAGTCATTCTTGTCAGACGTGTAAATTTAGCACCAAAAGTCAGAAGGAAAACACTTTTTCCAACGAGAGCGAAATGAAAATAAATGCGTTTTAATTGGCAATTAAAACTTGACTGGAATTCAATGCACATCGTTTTATGTTGTTGAAAGCATCTGTGCGAATTAACTCATGCTTGGAGTGAAACAAAAAAGTGTTATAGCTTAGCTTTCAATAACTACAACATATCTGTGTCATATCTTTCATGCAGTGTGCTTGCTTCATCTGGCTTATTCGTTGACATTTTTACAATAATCGATATTTCATTTAATCTCCTCCAATGTTCACTCTTCGACGATAAATGTGATGTGAGATTTATTGATAGTTTGAAACTTGGAAGCCGAATGATACAATTAAAAGAATCACCACAACTATTAAATACATTTTCATTAAGCTCTACTTTTATCAACAATTCAACGCTTCATATTGATCTGCAAACATAAATTTTCTACTTTTTTTTATCGTTTCTACATTTCTCTCGTATAATCATTGACTATTTTGTGATTTATGTGCGGAATGAGAAGACAAGTAGGTTTTGTTTGAGCTTAATTTCCTATCGTGTTATCTTTTCTTTTATTTATTTATTGGGAGCATAATATCTTTGATTTAACAATCAAGATTGATATGAAAGTCATTTAACATTTTTCTATTCTCAAGTAAGCCCACAAGATTCGCTTTATTGCCTTCGGATATTTAAGGCGTGGAAATGGCTGGCATCGATCGTAAAGATCATAAAATCTCTTAAACTATCGCATTTTATGGAACTTCTGATTATTTTTATTTCTATTAAATTACAAAGCTTAAAACTTCCAATGACAAATAAAGTGTCGATGTTGACGTGAATTGAATCTTGAAAGAATTTTAATCATTATAAAATTCTAAACTTCCTAATGATGCTGATTTTTTTTCTTGTAAATAATCAAACAAAATGTTGCAATCATCGTCAGCAAATTTTCTTTCTCGCCGCTTCTACTTGAACTTGAATGAATAAAAAAATCTACTATCGACATTTTTTTGTGATTAGATTAGATAAGAAAAATGCTGTAGAACGTTGAAAATAAAAAGTACGCATTTCTCAGTACATTTAGCACATTACAGCAACGAAGTTTCAATTCAACAATTTTTCATTCCATAAGACAGAAATCACATTAAGTAAGCGAGTGTTTTGATGAATCGTCCACACAACTTTTCATGATGGATGTAAAAAGCGAATAATCACAAATCATTTTCGTTTTTCTTATATCTCATCTGTTTAATTATGGTGCAATGGAAGCAATTTATTACTCTTCGTCGATTTCCACTTAAAGGATATTTATGTTGGAATCGTGATGTGGAAATTAAACCTCAGAATATAATTCGATGGTTTAATGAATCGCATCCGCAATCAGGGATAAACACGATCCCAGCTAATTGATCAAGAGATTAAAACAAAAGCAAAAAATTAATAAAAAGCTTCCGTAACATAAAAAAGCACCCAAAAAATATTGAAAGCATCAACATGTTGAGTTTCCACATGAATTGCTTGAATTTTCGCTGTGACTCAACAGATGATTTAATTGAAATTTGTTTACAAATGTGTTGAGCGGATTTTTATTTTATTTATCAGTGATTTACAAAAATAAATCTCTATTCATTTATATTTCCAGCCAGTTTGTGTCTTTATCAGTAAAGCTGTCACAAAAATTATCATACTGATTGGTTGATTTCCAACGAATAAAAATAAAGAAACGACCATGAAATCTCTCACAAGTTTTTGGTCAACGAGAGACAAAGCAAATGATCAAGTGAATCAAACAAATCCAATCGATAATTCATTCAATTCGGTCACGTTTTCAAATTGTAACTCGAGAGATCAGAATCCTATTATCATAGCAACTACGCATCATCCTTCTCAAATTTCAATCATCCACGAAGTCACAAATTCTCCAACTAATTTACCCGCAAAAAACATGACATCGCCTGATGATAGTTTTCAAAGCAACCCAACAGCCAATTTTAACAAGGAGAAACGAGAAGGAAAAGTGAATTTAGCATTCACTGGAAGTCATTCAAGTGTAGTAAATATTCAACAACAATCCCAACAGTCGCATTCACATCAACAACCTCATTACCCTCAAAATTAGTAAGTAGAAGATTCTCCTTTGACTTTAACAAAAGTTCTTAATTCTCCTGCCTTCTTTTTTTTTATCAAAATGATAAGAAATAAGCTAAGCACATGATAATAATAAACCTTTGTTGATTCTTTTAGTGTTTTTCGTCAAAGTTATTGGAGTTGGCATTGGCCGTGGCAAAATTGGAATCAACGCGAAAAAGTTTTCCTTTTGATTATCGTAATTCTATCGCTTTGCATTCTTTCACTGACTTCAGCTCTGTCAATTGTTATTCAGAAGAATATTCAATATCGTGATATCCTTTTTAATCAACTCGGACTTGAACTTTGAGATGATTTTGCAGTTCCTTTTCCAGCAAGCACATTAAAGAAACTTTGTATGATTTTTAAGAATTTTTATTTTGTTAATAAATTAAACGATAAATAATTATGAATTCAGAATGTTTCCTTCATTTATCATATGAAAGTTCATCTAAAATTCTTGATGATTGATCAAACATTAATTTAGTTCGCCAAACTTCTTCTTGAGTATCTAAATGACTAGAATAAAGATATCAAATTTATCTTAGAAAAGAATTAAGTTTCATTTATCAGTTTCTTCTAATTTCTTTGCAGCCTTCTATGAAAAACAACTTTTAAAATATTTTATGAAAATACCTTTCCGAATAGTGTGGAATCGAAATTAATACTGTTAAAAGAGATTCTGAACCCTGAATAACATTTCATATCAAATCAGCGACATTTATCGGCATTTCCTCAATTTTTGTGTTGCAAAATTGTTCAATATCGATTAATGTTCGCTTATCTTCTTCTGTGATAAAATTTATTGCGACACCTTTCCGTCCAAAACGACCTCCACGACCGATTCTGGAAAAGAAAGTTAGCTTCAAGCTTCTTCTTTTAAATTTCTCTTACCTGTGAATATAATTCTCACGATTATTTGGTAAATCGTAATTGATGACAAGTGAAACTTGTTGGACATCAATACCACGAGCTAACAAATCAGTTGTGATGAGAACGCGAGACGATCCACTCCTAAATTGTTTCATAATTGTATCGCGTTCATGTTGATCCATCTCACCATGCATTGCAGACACCGTGAAGTTCTGTCTGGTCATTTCTTCTGACAGAAATTCAACTTTACGTCGAGTGTTGCAAAAAATCACGGCTTGGGCAATGCTTAGAGTGTCATACAAATCGCATAACGTTCCAAGCTTCCATTCCTCCTTCTCAACGAAGACAAAGAATTGTTTAATTCCCTCGAGTGTTAGTTCTTCTTTTTTGACAAGTATACGAACTGGATCGCGCATAAAATATTTACTGACTTCAAGAACTTCATTTGGCATCGTTGCCGATAGTAAAATTACTTGAACATCACTGGGAATCATTCGGAAAACGTCATGAATCTGATCCTTGAATCCTCTAGAAAGCATTTCGTCAGCTTCATCTAATACAAAGAGTTTTATGTTGTTGGTTCTTAAGACTTTTCGTTGAATCATGTCATAGACACGACCAGGTGTGCCAACAACAACTTGAACGCCTTGCTCGAGATTGCGCATATCTTCTCGCACATTCGTTCCACCAATGCATGCGTGACATTCAATTTGTATGAAATCACCGAGAGCTAAGACAACTTTTTGGATTTGGATCGCGAGCTCACGAGTTGGGGCAAGAACTAAAGCTTGACAATCGCGAACAGTTGACTCGATTTTCTGGAGGATTGCAATTGAAAATGTTGCAGTTTTTCCAGTGCCTACAATGTAAATTTTATTTTTATTTATTTGACACTAATTTAATTTAATATGTTACCCGACTGTGCTTGTGCTATGACATCACGACCACAAATACATGGAATTATCGCTCGTTGTTGAATAGCCGATGGCTTCTCAAACCCGTAAGCATAAATTCCACGCAATAATTTCTCTTTTAAGTTCATAGCGTCAAAGTTGTCAACCACTTCATGCCAGTTCGATTCTATAACGTAGCCGTCAGTCAATTGTGATGACTCTCCGTCATACCTTGAGCAGTTTTTTAAATGAAATTATTATTTCGTGCAAAGGATTCAGAAACACCTTTGAGAAAAGTTCGAAAATATGAAATAATGAAGAAGGTTCGAACATAAATTAAAGAAAATAATAGTCTTGATAAACTCATAAGTCTAATTTACTTCTGATATAGTTAGAAAATCAGACCTGGACATGCTTTTTTTGCAAAAGAATATTATTTTGTGCTTTAAGAGTTTTCAAATTGTTATTTTTGTACATCTGGTACGTTACACTGCAAATAATTTTTCCTACATAAATGATTTAAAACATTCAATGTTGGAACTGTTACACAGTCGTATTTAACGTTAATTAAATATTTTTTTAGAAACATATTTCATAAATATCAAAACTCAATTCCCCTTAAATATATCTATTAAAATTTATAAATTTCTTATATATTTTTAACGTATTTATTCAAAAATCTTAGGGGTATGAAAGAATGCCAACTCGTTCTAGTACGACTTAAGGCTCGCTTCTAAGTTTCGTATAAAAATCTTTCTTTTCTGAAAAAGTCTCACATTTCGCTGCGAGAGAATCAACTTAAAACTAAAAAAAATGTACGTTTAATGATAAGTTTTGGTGTAATATAAATAATATTTGTGTTTATTGAACATTGATGCATACTAAAACGTTCAAATAATAGTGGAAAGTTTTATAAAAGAGCCACAAATTAAAGAACAATTTCTAAGAAATTTCTAATTCCGCTTTCAAGTTTATCGCTGTTAAAATAAGTGCTTTCTTCTTGTTTCTTAGAAGACCGAAAAATGTGTTTTTCTAAAGCGTCATCAATTCTAAATCTAAGCATCATACTCATTTCTTTAGCTTGAATTTTCAATTAACAATTTTAAATATTTCGTGAAATAGTGAAAATCGAGGTTATGTCGACCTCAAATTGGCCATGGAATTATGAATCACTTTGAATTTTTGTGATCCAGCATGGATGCGCTAAAAATAATTATAAAATAATTTCTTCGAATAAAAGCTTATTTTCACATATTTTCCTTTATATCTTTGATAGGGACGATAACCGTACAACTCAAGAGCCTACTTATGATGGCCCAGCTGGCATGGAAGTCGGTGGCATCATCGAATCCAACTGGGATGAAGTTGTCGATAATTTCGACGCTATGAATTTGAAGGAGAAATTATTGAGAGGGATTTATGCTTATGGTTTCGAGAAACCGTCAGCTATCCAACAGCGTGCTATCATTCCATGCATTCGAGGTCGTGATGTTATCGCTCAAGCTCAATCAGGTAAAAATAATTTTTTTTTTTCACCTTTTCCGTTATTTTATTTTTTCTTAACAAAATTTTCTCCCTTTTCTTATTCATTCAGGTACCGGAAAAACGGCTACGTTCTCAATTGCTATCCTCCAAACCATCAATACTGAAGTTCCCGGATGTCAAGCTTTAGTGCTAGCACCAACTCGTGAATTGGCAACGCAAATCCAAAAAGTTGTAGTTGCTTTAGGCGACTTCATGAATGCGCAATCTCATGCATGTATCGGTGGAACCAACGTCCGTGAAGACATGAGAAACTTGGAGCAAGGGGTTCACGTTGTTGTTGGTACTCCTGGACGTGTCCAAGACATGATTCAACGTAAGTTCTTGAGAACAAGCGACATTAAGCTCTTCGTTCTTGATGAAGCTGATGAGATGTTGTCTCGAGGATTCAAAGATCAAATTCAAGAAGTGTTTAAGAAGTTGCCGAATGATGTACAGGTCATCCTCTTATCGGCTACAATGCCACCAGAAGTTCTTGAAGTTAGTAAATATTTCATGCGTGATCCCGTTCGTATTCTGGTAAAGAAGGAAGAATTGACATTGGAAGGTATTCGTCAGTTCTATGTGAACGTAAAGCAAGAACAGTGGAAACTTGGAACACTTTGTGACTTGTATGACACATTAAGTATCACTCAAGCTGTCATTTTCTGTAACACCCGTCGCAAGGTCGATCAATTGACTGAAGAAATGACAGCAAAGAACTTCACGGTGTCTGCAATGCACGGTGAAATGGACCAACGTGAACGTGACATGATCATGAAACAATTCCGTAGCGGATCCTCTCGTATTCTCATCACAACTGATTTGTTAGCTCGTGGTATTGATGTCCAACAAGTGTCGCTGGTTATCAACTATGATTTGCCCAGCATTAGGGAAAATTATATTCACAGGTAAGAAAATCTTTGTAGGTTTAAAGCGTCACGTTTACTTATCACGTCTTCTTCTTCTAGAATCGGTCGTGGTGGACGTTTTGGTCGTAAAGGTGTTGCTATTAACTTTATTACGGATACTGATCGTCGTGCACTCCAGGAATTGGAACAACATTATCACACAAAAATCGAGGAAATGCCGATAAATGTTGCTGATTTGATTTAAAAAGTTTTGTCTTGCGAGCATTAACAAAAAAGAAAAAAAATTACAAAAAACATAAAAAACTAAGAGGAAAAGAAAACAAAAAAGAAAAAGCAACAAAAAAAAAACGTTAAAGAAAATCCCAATCAAGATTTAAGAAGTTATCAAGCACAGTCCTAAATTGTGTGATCATCCAGAAAATATAAAATTAAAGAAACTTTCTGCTCTCGGGATTCGCGCGCGCCAATACGATTCAAAAGAAAACGATAATTAATTTGTGATCTTTTGTTCGCGGGTGTGTGTTTGTGTGTGTGGGTGTTTAGGGAGTAAAAGGAAAACATAAAATATACTTAGTGGTTCGAAGTTTAAGAAATTTCTAATTTTTTTCTTTAATCAAGGAAAAAAAGTTAAAATTAAAGAGAAAAGAAAAATAAATTTTCGTTTTTTTTCGATGCTCCTTGCTTTGAGATACAAAATTTTGTTCTTCAAATCTCTTTGATTTGCTCTTAACTTGAATTAAATTTTTACTTTTTTTACATCGTAATTTCAATTCTTTTCTTTTTTGATTAGTTAATTTATTAAACATGCATACACAGCACTGTGCTCACTTTGAAATATTCTGAATGAATACATTTTTAAGCTTAGAATTATTAAAAACAAAAGTAAAAAAAAAGGAAAAAAAAACCACACAAAAAGGTGAAGAAGGAACAACAAGAATAATTAAAGCTTGATTAGAACAGAACATCTTTAACAATGATGAAAGACGACGACGTTATAAGAAAGAATAAAACTACAAAAAATTTTATTTTTACCATTTTCTCTTTTTATTTTATTTTTTATTACTTTGCAATGATTTGTGAAGATTTTCCAGGCTTTTCTGTTTATTTTTTAATGGAAAACGATTTGTTAGCTTCTTGATTCTAAATATGAAAATTCAAAATTAAAAATTCAAGTGAAAATGAAAAAGTTTTCTTTTTTTCGAAATTCAATGGAAATCAAAGTTTGGAAGTATCAAAAAAAAATTAATTCCGGTACAAAAGATTAAATTAAACACTTTGCAACTGCTTTTTCTTACATTTATTTCTAAGAATTTTCCTTTTTCCTCGTAGAAAGTCGGAAGTTTTGTCTTGATTCTTGATATGAAAAGGAGAAAAGAAAATCGGAAGGAAAATTTAAAATATAGGACATTTAATTGAAACTCACTTATAAGAATTAATTATATGCAAGAAACCTAAAACTTTAGGATCAAAAAATAATTTGTAACGATTCTTGAATGAAGCTTCAAACTTTTTCAATGTTTTCGAAATATAAGAGAATGATTGATAAACTGGAATAAAAAAAAAGATAAGAACACTTTTTATACTCATGAGACTAAATTTATGTTTAAATTTATTGCATATGATTGATTGTACATACATATGAATAACTGAAATAAAGGAAAAAGTAAGAACTTCAAATTTATTGCGTGTTTCTTTGATAAGAAATAAAACAAGAAAGAAAGAAATTCAACCACCTTGCGAATGAGTAGCGTGAAGTAAATTTGACAACAATGATGACCTCATACAGAAAAAAATATTTGAACTGAAATCTGTGTCATACTTTTTTCTGCTCCCCGGAAAGTTTTCATGACATCACGAAGATATTTTTAGAAAATGACTCTGAATTCCAAGAAGAAGTGAAAAGAAGCAATGGAATCACAATGTGGTGCAATTGATATTGAGAGATTTGACGAAATGGCCTTGAAAAAGAAACTTTTGGACGGAATCAAGTTTCATGGCATAGAAAGGACGTCACAATTTCAAAAAATTGTTATCTCGCCATGTGTTCGAGGTGACAATGTTATCGCTCAGTCACACTTTGGTAAGAAAAACTTGGCTTATCAATATTTAAATGACATTTCTATTGATTAGGAAGTGGAAAATCTGTGTCGTTGGCTATTTCAGCATTACAAAAAGTCGACACTAACATCAACAAGTGTCAGATTTTAATTCTTACACCAACTCGTAAAAATACTTCGAAAATTCATGCATTGATAACTTCTATTGGTGAATTTATTCACTCGCATTGCTTGTCTGTTGTTGCACCCGCAGAAAAATATGATTTTAATGAAGAACTACCACAAATATTGATTGGAACACCTGGAAGAGTTCTTCAAATAATTGAAAGCGGTCTGGTTACAACCAACATGATCAAACTGCTTTGTTTGAATGAAACTTATCAATTATTATCACGAGGCTACAGCGATCTCATTAAAAGTATTTCAGAGAAATTATCGAAGGACAAGCAAACAATTTTATTCACTTCAGTAATGCAGCCAGAAATCAATGATTTGAGTAAAGAAATTATTGAAGATTATTTAAATGCAACGAGAATTGTGAATGAAACTACATGTGATATTCATCAATTCTTCATAAACGCAAAGAATGAAGAGGAGAAATTGAAAATGTTGCACGAAATTTGCTGTGAAAGTGATGACGAAAATCGAGGAATAATTTTCTGCAGTGATTCCAATGGCTCAATTCTAACTAAAGAGTTGCTTGGAATGAATCTAAATGTAGCACATTTAAGTCAAGAAGATGAAATTATATTGAGAAAGTTTATTGAAGGGAAAATTCGGTTTATTATCACCGATTCTGTTGATCACTTCCGCAACATTCCTTCGCTAAACTCTGGAAAATCATTTAAAATTATTAACTTTGACATTCCGAATTTGTACGAGATTTACCCAGAAAGGTGAATTTTACATTTCTTTTTTTAAAATATTAATTTAATTTAATTCCAGAATTTCTGTTGGTCATCGAGTTGGCATCAAAAGAATTGTTTTAAACTTAACTACCGATGAAAGTTTGGAAACTTTGAGTAAAATCGAAAAGCATTTTCATTCAACCATCTTGGAATTTCGTCAGTTCAATTATTAAGATACATATCTAATATTTATTATAATATTCCTTTCTACACTTCAAAGATATTAATTGTCAAGTTCAAGAACATCCTGGGAAAGGTTCCACTCGATTCTTCCTCAGGACGAATTGGATCTTACGGTCCATGTCCTCATTATAAATCGCTTTACATCTTTCGAAATTTATACGTCTTCGTACCTGAAGGATTAATTATTTTATTTATCATTGTCTATTGAATGCAAATTATATTTTATTACCTGGAAAGGTTTTTCATAGTATCGAGTCCGGCGATATTGGTCCAAGATTTCTTCTTTTCCCAGAATTCTATTTAACACACGACAAGCTTCTTCTATATTATTGTTATTAACAAGAACAGTTCTTGCTAAAAATTTCATATGCTTCATTGTAGTTCTGGATTTATTTAATGTTTGATGAGATATTTTAAGGAAATATTTTTTGTATTGTACTAAATGAAGTTGTACTAAAACGAGGTTTTTTTTAGTACACAAATGTAAACAAAACACAAATTGAAGTTTTTTATTTTCTGTCGGAATTGAAACAATAAATATCAAATCTTTATTAAATATACTAAAACAAATTGTGAATTGTGAAATGGCAAACCTTGTAGAACAATACAAAATGACAGCACATAAACTGAAAAAAATTCAAAGAGTTGTTTTTAAGTAATTCACTTTAAATTTTTGTTCATTCATGTTTTATTAAAATTTGTTAATTATTTTAAAAGAAAACAGGACACAAAAGAAATAGCAAATGAATTTACTCAACTAGCAATGAAACTTGATAACAGTTTCTTATCAGAGTATGCTGGTCTTTGCTTTTTGGGGGTTGCAAAATGCAACGAATCAGACATCAATGATGTTGAATCTTATTTGAAAGCGGCAAGGATGTTTAGGAAAGCTGATGAGAGGAAGACAAAACTGGGGTTCTTAAATAATCATGAAGTCCTAGAAGGCGCCTACCGCTCATACTTTCAAGCTTTGACAGCTGTTGATGATCCTGTTATGCGAACATGCATAATCCGAGAAATCAAAGAATTGAATAAAGATTTGAACACAACAAGTGACTTCAATTCAGCTTCTCATCGTATCTATGATTTGGAACAAGCAAGCAACGAAAATATTCGAGTAAATGATTTCATTGGAGCATTGGAGAAATTAACAGAAATTGTCGATGACGTCACCGAACGAAAAGTTAATTCAAGTTATTTTGATGTGATGAAAAGAAATGAAGTCAGCAGACTTCTTCTTCTTTTAATCCTAGAACTTCCACCATCTCGACAATCTCCTTCACATATTAAACTACTTGAGAAATATACCTGGAATCATGAGAGCTTCGACATTGAAATGGCAACGATAATAAAAACACAACACAACCAAATTCTTGATGAAAATCTAGTTTTGTTATTAGAAACTCTCGTTTGTTCCTTTCAAAACATGCAAATTGACTGCGTCATGGAAATCTGTGACGAACTTTCAAAACATCATTCAATCACCATTGAACAAAAATTTTTAATTGATAAACTTGTAGAAAAATTTAAATAACTTTAACATGATTATTTATGCTAATTAGAATTTTTATCTATTTTGTTAATAAGAAAAAAAATCCCGTTAGAATAAAATTTTAACGATTGAAAATATTCCAATCAATAAAATTGATCGAATAGGAAATTGTTCATGTCAACAGCTTCTTTACCATAAATAAATAAAAGGCGATATCAAATATCAAACCCAAAGACATCTTCCTTCAATTTTAAAGAAAGAAAAAAAGCGCGATAATTTCTTTTTCCTACCTGCATTGAATTTAAATGATGCATCATTCTATTCAGCTTTGTTCTATCGATGGGAGAAATAAAAGAATTGCATTTAAAGACCCGTAGAGAAATGTAAAGTCGAGAGGCATAAAAAATTCCATTGCACACACAAGAGAGAAAAAAGTTTATAAGAAAACCTAATCAGAGAAGCATTTTATTACTTGGAAAGGACAAACTTTTCCTACCTAAGCATGAATTCATGTCTCATTCGATACAAGAACTGCAACCGGTTGCTATGTTCATTCGAACCAATGCCGATCTTTTAATTTCTTTTTCATTTCTCTTTCCACTCCTTGTTCGCTTACAAAATTCCAATAAGCTGTAAAGGATCTCAAAAGAAACCTTTAAGTGTAAATCCTGTTGGTGTGTGCGAATACATAAGATTTTTCCCTCCAAATTTTTCTGGGTAATATCCTTGAATGACGTTTCATTGATTTGATATAAAATAAATAATTTTTATTAAAAGAAAATTAAAGTTTTAAACATTTTACTGATTATTTAATTGCACTCGAAGGAATAAAGAAATTTTGTGACGTGAATTACGAAATGAATATGAGACAAAAGGAATTGGTTTTCTTCTAAGAACTTCATGTCATTCATTTGAGCGCTCGCTTACAAGAAGGATCTCATAAAATCTTTTAATATCTCAATTTCAATGTTCAGTGTTCAGTTGTTATTAATTAAATTTATTCTTCATTAAGTTTTATTAAAGTTATAAATATTTTTATATCTCAATTAACTTCAGTAAAAATTCAAAATAAAATAACGTGTGGTTAAAAATTAATTCTTTTTATTAAGAAGTTTTTTACAAATAAGAAAAGTGAGAAAAATATTTTGTTACTAAATAAAAAACACTTTTCAGTTATTTTAAAATAAAATTTCCTTTAATTTGTTAAACATTTTTAAGAATCAATTAAATCTCGGAAGGTTCTTCATTCAACCGAAGGTCCTTTCTAAGAAAAAAAAAGTTTTGCATTTGTGTTAGTGTTGAATGAATTACATTATGTAATGTACCAGCTAAGGTATATAATGTGCTTTCTTATTACAGAATGAACCACCAATCACATATTCTAATTAATGGAACTACATCAACTGCACCATTACAATATTATGTCGGTAACAACACTCAAAACACAAATGGCTCTGATTCACAAAATCAGAATGTTCATGTCCAGCTTGTGAAGGAAGGACAAGCACATCAGAGATATATCATTAATCGACAATATCAAAACACATCATCTGTCCAAATCATTCCACACTGTTCAGAAAATTCAGTTGAGCTTTACTGGTTAATCGTTGAAATCGAGTCTAATAATGAAGTAAATTCTTATTCACTTGTTGAATCGAAAAATGTCGTTGGCTTGCCACCATTGAAATCTCTTAGCACTGGTAAAATGATAACAATCATTGCAAATGGTATGCATCGTCGTGCAACAGTTGTTCTTGCTTCTGGTGAGATTTAAAAATAGTTTTTTGTGAATTTCCATGTGCTTATGTTTGAAATGTTTTTTGTTTTCAGACGACAAAGATTTCATCTTCAACGAGTACAGTCAAATAAATAAAATTGCTGAGCACAACCTCAATCTGAAACTCCGCGATAATCACGTTAGAAAGCGTCGTCGTATAAGTGGATCCGACAGTACTCGTAGAGATAACGACGACGATTCTTCAACTTCTGTTTGGTCATCAGCATCGCAAAGTATGAACGCTGAACGTGTCATGTCGCCATCAGTTCATGTTCAACAGAAGACGAGAAGTGATCAAAGATTCATTCCACCAATGATGTTTGATCAAGGAACTCAAGCTGATCTCAGACCAAAAGCTGATGGTTTGCAAGATAAATTTTATGAACTTCAGAAACTCATTGACTTGAACGAACAAATGTTAAATGAACAGAAATTGCTTAAGAAAGAAGCAAATGTTAGTCGAATGCTTGTTGAATCATTTGCTGAAGAGTTCAAAGCACTTCGAAAGAGTATTCAAGTTATTGAAAGTAAAGTAGAAACCATTGTTAATGATCGTGGACAAATGACAGCAATTGCTTCAAATGATTCACAAACAGGTAAGAAAAAAATTTTAAATGGTTCTGGAAGTCAACCTTATTACATCATAGAAACGCAAGATGGTGCAGGAAGTGCAAATGCTTCACTTTCTGCCAATGAGAGTAATTTAGAGTATACATTAGAAGAAATAGAAGCTGATGACAGTGGTCGAAGTACGTCACGAATGTCGTATCATGATCAGACTTCAATGATGTCAAATTCATCGGTTGACGGTTCGACCAAGAAAGAAATTTTCCGACGAAGTAATTCATCTTCAAACTTTTCATTAAACTCTTCTTCGTCAATGCCGACGACATCTTCCAATAATTTAATCGAAGAGTGGGCTGACATTGAAGGTGACATGAAGATTGGAGTTAATGAAACGACCGTTCCCGTTCATGTTTTACGATCGATTGATTGGAAGAATTATAAAACAGCGACGAGAAAATTATTAATTACATTATTCAGTCGCGAAACACTCGCAACACGTTCTTTGACTGGTCGTCCATCTCCCGCTTTTCACGATCGAAATAAGCCAGTGAAAGGAAAACTAGATCAATTAGTTATCAATGATATTATTCAGATTATCACGAGGAAATGTGGAGTTCAAGATAGTCAAGTTCGTTCGGCAATCACAACGAAATGTGCAGACGAGAATAAAATGCTGAGAAATCGCAAAGATAATGAAGAGAAGGAAAAATTTAAGACGCCCACACCAGCTTCCGGAGCAATGGGAAACGTTGACAGTAACAAAGAAAATATTATTAGAAATTAATTTAATCATCTTTTTTATACTCCCACGCTTATTATAATAATTATTTTTTTTTTCGTTATTACTGTTAAGTTTCACTTTAAAGGAATTTCTTTCATATTGCAATAGTTGTTCAAAGTTTTAACAGTTGAAGACCTTTCTGCCTTTGTTTATGATGCGTTGGATGGTAGAATGGCAAGGAAATGTCATTTAAAGAGACTTGAAACGATTTCTTGAAGATTTAAAGTTATAAAAAGCTTTGCTTATAAGATTCTTATAACATTAAACATTTAACTGATCTGAAATGATTTAAGCTCAAAGATGATTAAATGAAGTTGTAATTTTTTTCCATTGTTCAGCGAAGTTAAGATTATTATTTTTTTTTATCAAATAAAAACAAATTTCATAAGATAAAATCTTTTGTTGCATCATTTCAACCACTCGTAAGTATTTGATGTCAAATCATAACTCGGCTTTGGTGCTTTCTTCGCTTTTGGTTTAATGAACTTTATGACGATTACGCTAATGTTGTCAGAACTTTTTCTTGCATAAGCCTTTTTCATGAGTGATCTTGCGCCGTAATGATTCTCTTTGAGTTTTGTCTTTGCGTAATCACAAATTTCTTGATTTCCAAACACATCGAATAAACCATCAGAGCCAATAATTATAAATTTCGGTAAGTTTCTGTAATTGAAATTGAAATGTTTAAATTTCACTTATTTTGGTTTTTTGTTCACTTACTTGTGATCTTTGATGTCATAAAATCTGATGTCGGGATCAGCAATCAAAACTTTTCGTTGCTTAAGTGGATAATCGCCGAGTGACCGTGAACATGCCAAAGAGCCGTCAACTCTCCAACAACCACTTTTATTACTCACATAACCACCGTTACTTTGAATTCTTGAAAGTTCTTCAGGATTGTCTGGTTTATGATCTTTCGATAGATTGTAAGCAATTCCTTTAGAGTCACATAGGATCGCTCTTGAGTCGCCGACATTTGCACAAACAACAACTCCTGATTGTGTTTTATTATGGCATGTTAAGTCGACTAAAACAATGTTCGCAGTTGTTCCGCCAAATAATGCAGCATTAGCCATTCTTTGAGTCAGGGCTGCGTCATTGCTTATTATCTCATCATATAAAAGTTTATTGTAATTTATAAGATTTTCAGACGTTATGTAGACATTCAATGGATTGCCTTGAATCAAATCTTCTTCTATTGCATCTTCAGTATTTTCAGTTTTATTTCTTTTATTCAATTCTTTGTCTTTAGCAGACTTTTCAGTTTTAAGTTTCAACAAATCCAACACATCTGAAAGCTTTTGCGCTATATTTGGCATTATGATGTCTTTCGCATAATCAGCTGCGAATTCTCCAGCATGTCCATCGAAAATTGCGTAAAGTGATATTTCTGAGCCATTTATGTTTGTTAGGACAGAAAATCTATCTTCCATATAGGTTTGACGACCTTGATATGAAATTGCAGCTGCAACACAAAGACTCGACACATCGTAGCGCTCCACTTCGATTATTTCACGTTGAGTGGGCATACCTAAGTCAAAAAAATAAAAAAAGAGATAAATATAAATCTTAAAATTTTATTTATAGAAAAGGCGATGGGAAAGTTTGAAAAATATGTAAAACATATTTAAATTAGGCTTATAAGAAATATAAAAAATGTCTAGAAATGTTAGCAACAAAGAATTTGTAACGGAAATGTTTTCAAAGTATACAAAACTTCAACTTGACATTCCCCTCGATGTTTACATATTTTAGTACAAAAATGTAAAGAAACTGAAATCGAACAAAAATGTTTTCTGAATTTTTCTTAGTATCGTTATTTAAATTATTGTTTATTCCTGCTTAGTGAGTCACATACATTTCTGTTAATAATGTTTATTTAAGAAAGTTTCTTCAATTGCAGTCGTTCGACAGATTTTGAAGTTCACCGGAATTGGTTAGCGATCACAAAATCAACAAACATCTCTGAGTGGTATTATGAAGAAACTTCGCAATGGACACTTGATTATCCACCACTTTTTGCATACTTTGAATATGTTCTATCATTCGTAGCAGAATATTTTGATCCTGAGATGCTCAAAATTGAGAATCTTAATTATGCATCAGCCAACACGATACTTTTTCAACGCTTATCAGTGATCTTTGTTGACGTTGTTTATTTTCTTGGTGTTCGAGAGTAAGTAATAAATTGCCCTGTATAATGTTTAACTATCTAATTGACTAACATTTCCAGATGCTTCAAGAACTTGAATCAAATTGGGAAAAATTATCACGCCATTCTTTTGTTGTTCAACGTTGGATTAATTATCGTCGATCATATTCATTTTCAATATAATGGAATGCTTTTTGGAATCTTGCTCTTAAGTTGCGGAAAAATGTTTCAAAGGAAGTTTCTTCAATCAGCTTTTTATTTTGCAGTTCTGTTAAACATGAAGCACATTTTCATTTACATGGCGCCAGTTTACTTTTGCTATCTGATCAGACATTATTGTTTTGGATCTATTAGCAAATTTATTCAGAATGTTGTAAAGCTAGGATGTGTAGTAATTGCAGTTACATCAATTTCATTTGGTCCCTTTATAAAACATCTTCCCCAAGTCATTTCAAGACTGTTTCCATTTAAACGTGGCTTAACTCATGCTTATTGGGCGCCAAACTTTTGGGCACTTTACAATGTTGTTGATAAAGTTTTGACAGTTGTTAAAAGAATTCCTCAGAATGATTCGACAACTGGTGGACTTGTACAGGAATTTAAACACAATGTTCTACCTTCGATTACTCCAGCAATAACTTTTCTAGCAGTTGCAGTCATGATGATTCCATGTTGTTTAAAACTTTTAACTAATAAGACTGAATCACCAAAATCTTTCATGAAACCTCTTATAATTTGTGCAGCAACATCATTCATGTTCGGCTGGCATGTCCATGAAAAAGCAGTTTTAATGATTTTAATTCCACTTCAAGTTTTGACTTTTCATGATAAATCTGAATCTGGTTCATCATTATTTGTTTCTATTTTTGGACTTTACTCACTCACCCCGTTACTTTATACTAGCGAACTTATTATAGTGAAACTCTCACTCTTTTCCACTTATATATTCTTCAATATTTTCGTCTTTAAAACACTTTATGGCGAAGTTTTATATTTTCACGAGAAGATTTATAGCGTAGGAATAATTTTTCTACCTCTTTACGAGAATATTTTGCAATATATTTTTAATTTTAATGAAAAACTTCCATTCATGCCTCTAATGCTTACAAGTGTTTATTGTAGTATCGGAATGATTTATTTCTGGATGAAATTTTATGTCGAATATCTTTTCGATAATAATGAAATTGTTAAAAAAGAAACGACAAGAAAACATAAAACGAAATAAATTTAACGGTCATTAATTCAAAAAAATTCGCGCAATCTTTTAGAACATTCCAAGTTGGGTTGACTGTCAACGAGAAATTTTATTCATTTCAAGTCTCGCTTTGCTCGGAGAAGACGAAGTTTATTTTTTGTTTGTCTCTTGATTATTATTTCGAAGAAATTCATGAAAAATTGCACAATTTATCAGTTTTAAAAGTTGTCACGTTTTAGAGAAAAGTGTAGATATGTGTTTGATAGATGAATAAGTATTAATTATGGAAATTTAATGCTTTTTATGGAAGAATAAAAGATTATTGCAATTTTAAATAAAAGAAAAAATAAATTAGCCGAAAGGAAAAAATATTTCTTATGTGAAAATTACTTAAAAAGTGACAATTTGAAAGAAAAGTTAATCATTGAAAATGACCGAAAGGAAGTTTACAAGAAATTTAAAATCTCGTGGAATGGCACAGCAGTTGCGTGAGTCGGTGTCAAAAGTAATTCATCAGGATCTTATCAATGTATGTATGAGTCGATTGAACATCAATTAAAAAATTCCAGTCTCGTTGTGACCCAATCGATATTTTTTTTCCATCTCTCTCACTCTCATCTCATTGAGATGTTTTATAATTCAATAACAAAATAAAAAATGATGAAGAAAAAAAAGTCAGAATCTTTTAAATTGTTACCTCAAACACAGACAAATCGAATTTGAATGTAGAGAACACTCCTCAAATTCTTTATACATTTTATTATTAAAAGGAATCGGAAGAAAAAAAAGTTGTTTAATGATTCCACAAGAACGAAGGAACAAAAAAAAAATCCTTACTTAGTCTCATAAAGTTTTTTTCAATTTATCATATAAAAATACGAAAAAAAATGATTTGAAAACAAAAAACATCGACTTTGATGAAAAGGAAAAGTTTTAAATAAGCTAAAGTATTGCTGAGTTTATTTCGCTTATTGGAAACGAATTTTAATTTACTTTTACATTTCTTCTCTTTGCTCGCTTCCAGAAAGTCTCAAAACATTCTTCCTTCACTTCTTATTCAATTTATTAATTTTCTTTTTATGTCAAACAGCTGGTGATGATGTTTTGTTATGGGAACGAATTATGTTTGGTAATATTGTTTGCCATCAGTAAATTACTGTCCAGCTTCCTCAATTTTTGACAACAGGTTCTCGCGAATTAATAAAAACTCCATGAATTTAGTTGTTGATGAGATTTAATCTCAGAGACAAAAACTTCCGTTTTTATTGCGTTAACTATAAATATTTATATTATTTCATTCATTTGACTATTTCAACATCTTCTTAGCACTCCAAATTACTACAAATTTTCATTGAAAATCGTCTCTAACGTTATAGAAGCATAAAGTGTTCTGGCATTTTTTTTTTTTGGCATCATTTCAATGTTTTTTTCTTTCCTACATCAGTTGGTTTTTGCCGATGTGCGATATCCCCCCATTTTCACACATGGAAAGCTTAAATTCTTCTTCACATTAATCAGAAATGAAACAAATGAATTCACATTCGCTTTCATTCGTAATGCTTGTGAGTTTCCATCACAGTTTTTTTTTGACATTTTACCGGTTTTTAGAGAGTTAATGGCAATGAGATTAACACTTCAAATCCATTTTATTGAATTGTTTGCTATCAAGACTTTCAAAATAATTGATAACAAAAGAGACGTTTTCGATTTGTTATTTATCAAACACTTGAGCTTCCACTTGGAAAAAAGTCCATTAAAATGATACTCGACTGTTTATAAATGTTTCTGGTGGCACATTTTACGGTTGCGATGCTTATGTGGTTATTCAGATTTAGATAACTGGTCATTGACTCATGTTGTGCGGATGGATTCTCTTTAACTTGATACTGGTATCGATTTCTTCATCTCTCCTCGTATATTTTTCTTTTTTTTTAATTATGAAATGAGTTTTGCGGTTGATCGATTGTTAACCAGTCTGCTTAAACCAACTCGCTGGTATTTATCTCAAAAAACTTTTAATATCTTCGCTACTTTGTTACTGTGTTTGTGTTTTATTTATCTACAATTCTATAAAACTTTTTTGCTTTGACACGGTTTCAAACAATTGCGAGCTCAACGTGAATGTAAAACAAAAACTTTTTTTGTTTATTTCTTCACAAATAAAATCTCTTTCAAGTCTGTCCGATTTTCGATGCTATAAATTATTAACCGTCGCGTTGGTGTTCTCACGATATAAGCCATTGAGATATTTATTACGATTGTCATTCTTTATATGTACATGACGTCATTATTCGTGATTCTTTTCAAAGTTTTTAGCTGTTAAATATTTTTTTATCAAAACGAGTAATGGAAGAGCAAACAATCATTTAAAAATAGACGCAAATATCACATAAAGGGAGAGAACGAGACAGAGAAGTCACTCATGGCTAGAGAGAATAAGCAACGACAACAGCGACCTGATGACTGAATGTGTTGTGTGTTTTATCGACTACATTTAACATATGAAAAAAAGTAATAAATTTCAAGATCCACTTGTTAACTAAATAACGAACACCGTCAAGATCGCTCAAGATTTTCATTTCGTTTATTTCGACAATCATCAAGTTATCCACTACTTCATTACTGTTTATTTTTAATGAATTCATGTGCAGATTAAGTCACTCGCAAAAATGTGATGAAATTAACATTATTTTAATGTCGTTGACATAAATAATATTTTAAACAACTGCAAATAATATAATAAAATCTTACCACGACAGGATGAAAGTAGTTTAAACATTTAGAACAATGATGACACACGAGAATGTCTACAAATGAATTGTGAAGTAATTAACGAAACTGAGATATATTGTCACATTTATGGAATCGATTTTTTATTAACAACAATCATTGTAAGCATAAAATCGATTTAAATTTAATCACTTTGAATGATTTATTTGAAGCACTTAATGAATTTAAGCTTTCTTGTCTTATCAGCCGCTATCATTAGCTAATAAAGTTTATTTGTACTTAAGAATTTACGATACTGATTTACGAACTTACGAATTGAATTGTATATTAACGACTGATCTGTAAATCTTTTTAATTGTGGGAAGCATTTCAATCCCTAGACAATTTTTTTAATACTTAGCTTAATCATTTAAAGTTTTGTGAGAGACTAAATATAAAACAGAAGTGTGCAGTGTGTCAGACTGTAAAAAGTGTTGGTTGAAAGTTTTTTTGTTCCTTTGTTTATATATTGAAATTCGAGTAAATTTAGATTTGTAAAGATTTAAAATTCTCATGATTTGTGAATTAAAATTTTAATAAATTGTAGATAAGGAAAGTAGTTAAAAGTTCTTCTTTGCCGGCATGACACGATTGCTTTGTACAATTTAATGTTGTGTCAACTTTTTATTGTTTACCAACAATTCATTTTGCTTTTAAACAAGTTGTTCAAGTAATTGATGCCTAATCGAGCGACTTCGATCGCATTTATTCAATTTCTTCGTCTTTCTTTTTATATTGAGACACAGTGTATTGTTTAGTGAAAGAAAAGCGTTGAATGAAAGAAAATTAAAAAGCATTACAATTCATAAATGCAAATGTATGGATGCGAAGAAGATTGGGAATTGAAGAGAATAACAAACGGGAACAAGCTCGATGTAAAAAAAAAATAAAACTTCTGTTTGTTTTCATTTTTCCCATGATTTGTCAGTCAGTGTATGCTTGCCTTCTACACGAGTCTGATGAGCTAAGCACTCTCTCTCCTGTTATTGAGTCAATTATTTAGATGATAATATATAATTGAAAGAATTACAATAATTTTACGTTTTTTTTTTTAAATTTTGATGGAGTGATTTTGTGATTAAGCATGCAAGAAAAAAAGTTTTATAAAAGTGAAATTAACGAGAAGAAAATTAATTTTCCAAGACGACGGAAAATTGGAACTGTGAGAGCTTTTTCATTATTATTATTTCTTCTTCTGCACATAATGTGATTAAGTGTTAAGAGAGCTTGCGGAATTGCACTAAAAATAAATTGTAAAATTTTAGTTCATTAAACTTTTCAAGTTGCTTTTAGTGAATCCGCACTTGACTCGAGGAATTTTGATTACAGATTTATTGAGAGAAGGTTTCACCTCTCACATGAATTGCTGATTTGTTGATTCAATCAAATCTATTTGTCCTTCAATTAGTTTATGTTTCGCTTACGTTTCGTGATTGAAAATGAAATGAGAAGTGCCGGAAAGTGATAATTCAACACAATCGAGTGAAAAAATTTGACACGAAAATCATTTGAACTCCGACACTTTTGGGTTTATGTGATCAAATTTAATGGTTCAATAGAGCAGCGTTAAGCCCTGATTTGAATATTTAATATAATTTTAAAAAAGAGAAAAAAATTGATTGGAAAAATCTTTCTTCGATCCATCATGTCGTAATTTTTTTTTGATCCTTGAACAAATATTTACTTGCGATTTTTCATCGCCATCAATGATGGAAACTAATTGCTTTGGAAGAGAAACATTTTCTCATTCACATCGCCCAAACGATTGACGTGACACATAATAAAATCATTATTTTTTAATGCCGCTTCGTCTACGCGAAGTGACAACATTTTCATCTTCTTCTGATGGAATTACTTCTCCTAGGAAAAGGGAAAGAAATCGCTTTTCTCATTTTCCCTCGTCATTAGATTGCAGTTTTCAGTTTTTCTCCTTTTTAATTTTGAATGTTTAATGTGAGATAAAAGACGAACGAGAGAAATCGATTTTTTAATGTCGAAAAATTGTTTTTTTACATATAATGAAATCCTTAAAAATTTTAATGCGGGATGTGAAGACAGATGAATGAGTGAATAGTTGAGAAATCTTTTCATTCATCCGGAATCACAAAAGAAAATTTCGTCACTCGTCTTTCTAAGATTGAAATTCTATTCTTGGTAGCACGTTTTGCTTGAAAATCACTTTTGGATTGCATTAACATTCTTTTGAAATTATTCTCTGATTTTTTGAAATATCTTCTGGCTATTTATTTATGAAGTTTTTCTCTTTCCTAACAAATACAAAAAATAGAGAACGAATCTTCATCTTTATCTTAAAAACTTTTACATAATTTCAGAAATTCTTCATTTGTTGTTATGTTGCAATGCTTTGGAATTTAAAAAATTAGCTTTTTATGACTTCTGGTTTTAAATGGAATCTCTTTTATTTCTTTTGAGGTTTTAATAAAACTTTTTTATCGCCAATCTTAGCAGAAAACATTGGAAATCTCGTCATAACGATGATCGATCAATTACTTTCGATTTCATCACTGACAATAATCGTAAAAATTTTCCAGCAACTTGTAGCAATAAAAAGAACATTGTAAACATGACCTTTCATATGATCATTTCCTCTTGTCCTAATTCAATTAACTTTCGTATCAAAACATTTAATTAATTGCAGAGAATTATTTTACTTGTTCATCGGCCTCTTAATTATTCAAGTTATTGAAATAAATGCGAAATAATTTTCAGTTATAAAGAGATCAGCAACAAGTAAATGAAAAGAATTTAACTGTTTAAAATACTTCATGGCAAAACTATTTGTCTTCAATTAAAAAGCGATTAAATAGCGAAGCGTTTCTTGTTGGATTTTGTTGTGCAAGAAGCATCGTTTTTTCGGTTGAATACTTAAAAGTGGGAAATAAATTTCAAGCTCAGCTTCACCAGCATGATCTTTATGCATGCTGAAGAAAGATTGAATGACTTCAAAATCAAAAATGTTTCTTTGAAACGTTAATCATTGCTAAGTCGCTAACAATACCACGAAACCAGAAATCCAACAGGTGTTTCGTTAAACTGTTAGAAATTTAACTTCTTTTTTGGCAAAAAAACCAGTTTAATAATGACTTGAGCACAACACTTTCATCAAAGGAAATTACTTTAAATTTCTAATGATTTCTCATCGTCAACTCAAATTGCTTGAGTCGTAAATAGTTTCCTAAATCATGATATTTTCTCATTGATATCATTAAAAGTGAATGGCGAATGTCTAAATTGCTTTAACATCGTGTCGTTAATATCATGCGCGCTTAATTTACTTTTTCCATTAATGTTGAAACATTTTGTGCGAGTGCTTAAAGTTCACACAACGTGCGTTCAAACATAACGAAGGTTAAACTGAATTAAATTATTTTTTATTCTTCTATTTCTATTCACTCATTTTACAAGACAATAGAAAAAAACTAATAAAATTTTCTTATCAAGCAAACAACGCATCCAATTTGTATCATAAAGCTTGTTAATGTTTTGTTTACATTCTTCGGGCCGAACGATTGTCGGAAGAATGTAAACAAGAATCATTCACATTTGACTTGATGTGCTGTAATTGGGTCGAAATGATAATTTCTTTGATTTTTTATTACGCAACTGAGTTACGCTTCCTGAATCTAAGAAACATTAAGAAATGAATCATTCGGATTAAGGTTTTAAGAATTTATTAGCGAGCGAATAACTCACCATAACAATTCTTGAACATTTTAGAATTTTTTATTTCTGCTTTAAAATAGAACTGCGATGTTTAACTGTAATTAAGTTACTAATTATTGTGACAAGAGAAAACTTTACCTCGAAACTTTTATTATCACAGATAGCAAGCAAGTGATAAGTTGAACAAATTAGCGCAAAAAAATATTTTTGAAAACATGACAGCGACTTGACCACTTTCAAAATTTTTATTATTCATCTGTTGCGAAACTAAAATTAATTAATTAATTGTTATTCAAGTGATGATGTTGTGTCTTTAATGAATTCTCTCGATGTATTTAGAAATACATCGGCGACCGGTCTGTCACTTCATGTCAATTTTTTTGTATGTTAGTCGTGCTTGAGTTGCAAACATTTCAACAAGTCTCATAGAGTGAATTTAATTAAACAATGAAAGTTTTCTGTTGGAAATTCTGTATCTGGGACTTTTGCAAAGTATCATTTTACCATTTAACATGAAATTAAAAAGCTATAAATATTTTCTAATTGAGTTTCACGTCAATTATCTGACGATTGATGATAACAAATGAATTATATTTAAGTTAATTTTTTTTATCTTCCTTTTTTTTCTTACAGAGTAAGCCAATCATTGCCGATCCAATCGACTTTGAAGGGTTCATCTTAAAGAACAAGACATTAATACAAAATGACCCACAGCGTGAACTTCTAATGTACCCAAATGATGATGTTTCAGTATGTTTAATTTAATTAAATTTCATTTAATAAGAATGAGAATATTTACGAAATTTCTAGGAAATCATTCTACCACGAAAATTTCGTACAGTTACAAGCGGCATTCCATCAATTCCCGCTGAAAGCTCAAAGAAACATGAGAATGGAAACAGCACGACTGAAAATGGTGTAACAACAAATGGAAAAGAAAAAGATTCGCTCAATGGCAGTTTATTGACGCGACAAGCCTTGAAAACATACGAGACTGCAAATCACATGGTGTTTTATAAATATAGCGTATATGGTGGAACATGCGGTGATTTGCCGAGGTGTGCACAACAATCAAACACATCAAATTGATTGAATTAAGATTTAATTTCAATTTTCTTTTCAGAACCAATCCACCTGATACGTTGAAGGAAGAAATCTATGAAGTCGACACAGATCCTGATCGTGTTGAAGAAAGAATCTCTCAACGTGACTCAATCACAAAGCAGGGTTACTTGCTTAAAGGTGCTGACACAACGTCTGATCGAATGTTTGCTCATATCGGATCGAAATCATTTAAAAGGCGTTATTGTTATTTAAGACAAGAAGTCGATGGAACTTACATTTTAGAACTGCACAAAGATGAGAAACAATGTGAAGCAAAGACAACAATTGTTATGGATTTTTGTACGGAAGTTGTGCATAATCCAAGGAAAGGTCGATTTTGTTTTGAGCTTCGAATGAGTGAGGGTGGAAGTAAGTCAGTAACATTAGCAGCAGAAGATGACAATGAGATGAATGATTGGATTAAGAAGTTGACATCAGTTCTTCAACAAAATAAGTTGCAAGAAGATAAACAGATCACATTGATCGAGAAATTACCACCGCCAAGTCCAAGTGCAGCAACATTTGGAACTTTAAAAGGACTTGAACAAAGTATGAATCCACAATTAATTAAATATGGACGAGAAACTGACATTTCAATCGGTCAAGCTCGAAGGGAAAACAGAAAAAGATTATTTGGAACAATTGCCAATCAGCTGAATAAAACTCAAGTCGAACCAAATGTTGAGCCATATAGAGAAGTTTTTGGAAAGCAAATTTTTGTACGATGTGAAAATATAAAATTTCGACTTCAAGCGCCTTTTGATGATACAGAAAATTTGTGCCAAATTGAACCTTACATAACAACGATGGCTTTGTATGATATCAAAGCTGGTCGAAAGCTTACAGAAAATTTTTACTTTGATTTGAATGAAAAGCATGCGAGAGAAATGCGACATGGAAATCATTGCAATGGTGCTGAGAAGATTAATGGAACTCCAATTATGAAGAATGGAAAGCAGAATGGAAATGTCGATGAAGAATTTCCTGTCGAATGGATCATGTATCCGAGACAAGCGATTCTTAATGTGACTGTTCCACATCCTGACATCTTTATCGTTGTTCGTATCGAGAAAATTCTTCAAGGTGGAATTAATCCATCAACTGAATCGTACTTAAAAGCTGCAAAAGATCCAAAACTTGGTGTGAAATCTTTGAAGACCATCAAACAATATTCGCAACGTGTTAAACATTATACAATGCCATGGGCATGGACAGCAAGACCATTATTCCGACTTTACAGTAGTGATTTGGATACTGATGGAGATTTCCCAGCAATTTATCGTCAAGATTGTAACAAACTCAAAGACGATGAAATTTTGAAGATTCTCTGTGACTATCGAAAGCCAGAAAAAATGAATAAACTTACGACAATCCCAGGATCTATGAAAATCACAATAAAATTCTTAAGAGATGAACAACCCAAAAGTAAGTTCATAATTTATTTCAATCAAATATGTAAGTTAATTTATGTTTTTTTTTTCAGATTGCTTAACGACAACTCTTCATGCCATTAAACCGTTTCCTTTACCACCTGCTGATGATCCCACCATTGAAGTTTCTGAATTTCCTGGAACATCAGAAAGGGATTTGAATCCTTACACCACATTTCTTAATCATCTTTATGTTTATCCACTTTCATTGTCATTTGAGAGTCAGAAAATCTTTTCAAGAGCAAGAAATATTGCTGTGACTATAGAAGTTCGTACTAGCGATGACCTGGAATCTAAACCTTTAGAGGTTTGTTAATTACCATAAGTAACATGAACTGAATGACAACATTTATTTGTATTTTTAGTGTATTTATCGTCGTCCAGGTCAAAGTTCTCATGGTTTGTTTGTCAGCCAACTCTCCTGCCCTGTTCTTCATCATAACACATCACCAACATGGTACGAGGAGATAAAATTACAACTTCCCGTTGTTATATCGTCACAACATCATTTACTGCTTTACTTTCATCATATATCGTGTGATATTAAGAAGAAAGAATTGCCAAATAGTCTTGAAAGTGCTGTTGGCTTTGCATGGATGCCTTTGTTGAACAAAGGAAAATTAAATATTGAAGAACAAGTTCTTCCGGTTGCTGCGTCATTACCAAGCGGTTATCTATCGATTCAGCCATTGGGATTAGGAAAAGGGGTGAGTTTTCTCTCTTTAATCAAGTTTTCATTTTCAATTCTTTGAAAGTCGTTAAATTCAAATTTAAAAAAAGCCTGTGAAAAAGGCCTGTTGGAAAATTCCTAATGAAAACCTTTTTTCCTCTCCATCAAAAAATATTGTTTGTGTAGTTGTTTAGAATCAGTAGTTTTCATGCATCCCCGGTTAAGCATGCTTACTAAACATCATTTGTTTGTTTCCCGAATTCTTAATCATATTAAAACTAACCTTGGGCTCTTGATTCCTCTTCTCTTATTCCAAAACATAAATCAACATGTGACTCATGCTAAAAATTATCTAGCAGAATGCCGGACCAGATGTTCAATGGATTGATAACCAAAAACCAATTTTCAACGTCAACTTTCGCCTTAACTCAACAATCTTCACAACAGATCAACACTTACACAATTTATTTGCACATGCAGAGCGTCTCATTGAAAGTATTCGCGGTCCGATACCGTCCGAGAGTGAAACTTGTAAGATTCTTAAAGCAGCACATGCAATGGATATCCGAAGTGTTATAAACTTCCTTCCTACACTTTTTGATGAACTTTTTGTGCTATTAATCAATGCTAGTAATGAAGAGATTAGTTGCAACATAATTCGATTGTTGATAAATTTGATTCACATGGTGGCAGAAGAAGCACAAAGAAAGGAATTAATTTTATCTTACGTCAAGTATAATTTCAAAACTCCATTTAAAAACAAAACAAATGCAAGTCCAAGTACGATGCATACTGTTCATGGTGAAATCTGTCGACATCTTCCAGTTCTTCTTCATCCCAACAACACGGATTTTCTTCTCGTGAATAAATTTATGAAGTTCTCATCAATCATCTTTGATATCATCGCTAAATCGATGGCACATTTTTTAATCAGCACAGGACGTATTCGTATGCATCGCAATGAAAGATTCTCAAAAGAATTTGAGTTAAGAATTGAAAATCTTTTCAATGTTTTGATGCCATATTTGATCTCACGCCATAAAGAACTTCCGTATGAGACTCATCAGCTTAATAAAAGTCTTTCAATATTTATTAAACGTTGCTTGACGTTGATGGATCGTGGCTTTGTTTTTAAGATTATTCGTCTTTATATGGATAAATGGTCGCCCGGTGATCCAAGAACACTTCAAGAGTTTAAATTCAATTTTATTCAGGAAGTCTGCTCGCATGAACATTACATTCAACTTAATCTTCCTTTCATGTTAAATCCCAATAATCGCACACCCGACATTCTTCAGCAGTTTTGTCTGTCGGAAGTTTTTTGTCGTCAACATTACTTGGCTGGTTTTCTCCTTCAAGAAGTCAAAAGTGCGCTTAATGAAGTGAATCATATAAGAAGAGTTGCACTTGGCATTCTAAAAGATCTTTTAGCGAAACATGATCTTGATGATCGATATCAATCTAAAGGACAAATGAACAGAATCGCGATGCTTTACGTGCCATGGTTGGGAATTGTGTTAGAGAATTTAAATCGAATTCCTGATGGACAAGAAACGATCGGTCACGTTCGTATTTCAAGCAACAGCAGTTACGTCTTTTCACGTGAACGAACACCGAAAATTCTGTCACAAGCATCGACACCAACTCCTTCGACAACCAGCACTTTAACTAACAACAATCAAGCTCAAAGTCTTAACAACACACCGAAATCAAAGAGATTTACACTTCATTTCGAAAACAATCCTTTGAGAGCTTCAATGCATTTAAAAGACATGAATTATCTGGCTGCAATTGCTGGTCAAACGCCACTCAAGAATGGAACATCAAGCACAAGTTTAAATTCAGATTGCAGTTCAATGTCACAAGAAACGACAGTTGTGATTAGAAATGGCGACGATGCTTCTTATCATTACGGTCACAATCGATCAATTAGCATGACACAAGCAAGCGTCATCCCAAGAACTGATAAATTTACATCAAGCGAAACAAAAGATATGTTAATCTGCTTTCTTTTCACTATTAAGCATCTCTCTCAAGATCATATGATTACATGGTGGCATAATTGTACTGAAAGTGAAACTTGTTCATTCTTTCAAGTGTTTGATCTTTGTTTGGTTGTCTTTCGTTATATGGGAAAGAAGAATATTCAAGTGAGTGAATGCAAGCCGGTAAAGAGCAGCAAGTCAAGTACATTACCAGCAAGAATGGCATCATCAGAAAGCGACCATTCAAATATTAGTAATGCACATGAAACCGGCACAATGAATCATCAAAATCGTGAAGATTTAATGGAAGAAACTGTAAAACTTCAACGAGCTTTACAAGAGTCGAATTTAGCCACAGAAGTTGGAATGATTATCCTCGATTGTATTGGACTTTATTCAGTTCAATTCAAAGAATCGATGATCGATGGACCAGTCTTACCAAAAATTGCGCAAGTTTACTTGCGGTTTCTTCAACTCGGTCAATCGGAGACACTGTCGCGTCATGTTTTTGCGGCACTTCGGGCATTTATTAATAATTTCTCGCAAGCTCTTTTCAAAGGTACCGCAATGTTATGTGGGCAGTTTGTTTATGAGTTGTTAAAGTGTTGCGATTCACGTCTTCAAACTGTTCGTCATGAAGCGTGTGCTGTTCTTTACTTACTAATGAGAAGTAATTTTGAGTTCAGTGGACGAAAAGGGTTGACAAGAGTTCATCTTCAAGTGATAATTTCTGTGTCACAAATGATTGGAAATGTAATTGGACTTAACAACGCGAGATTTCAAGAAAGTCTTTCACTTATTAACAGTTATGCAAACAGTGATAAAGCGATGAAAGGAACAGGATTTCCAATGGAAGTTAAAGATCTTACAAAACGTGTTCGAACTGTATTAATGGCTACCGCGCAAATGCAAGCTCATCACACAGATCCGGAGAGGCTTTTAGAACTTCAATTGTCACTTGCAAACTCTTACGCTTCAACGCCTGAGCTTAGACATACTTGGCTTGTGACAATGGCAAGAAATCATGAGATAAATGGAAACATTTCTGAAGCGACTTCATGTCATCTTCACATAGCCGCATTGATGGCTGAATATTTGAAGCTTAAAGGCAGTGAACTCATAAATTGGGGCGCTGAATCATTTGCAAAGATTTCTCGGAATATTCCACGTGACGAGAAAGGTTTGAAACTTGATTCGGGAGCTCAAGATTCGCAATATACAGAAACAATGTTGTTGGAACAATTAAGAAACTGTTCAGACTTTCTCGACCGTTCTGATAGACTCGAATGCCTTGGCGAACTCTACCGACTTATTGTTCCTATTCTCGAAAGCAAACGTGACTTTCCAGGATTAATTCAATGCTATGAACATCTTGCTCAAGCTTATCAACGTGTCATCGAGTTCAACCGTAATGGTAAACGACTCTTGGGACGATTTTATCGTGTGATCTTCTATGGACAAATATTCTTTGAAGACGAACATGGCGTTGAATATATTTTCAAAGAACCGAAAGTCACGAGTTTAAGCGAAATTTCATTTAGATTAAAGAAACAATTTGACGATAAATTCGGCTCGAATGTAGTGAAGATGATCATGGATTCAAATCAAGTAAGTTTTGTTTTATTTTCTTGTTAATTTCGTAATCGACCAGGGTTATCGAATGAATCAAATTGACGTTTAATTTATTACGATTTCTAATACTTGAATTGACGTAACTAAAATAAATGTAAATTCATGTGAGATTGTCAAGTGATGACCCTGTTTAAGTCAATCGACGACCCTATCAATGACTAGAAAACATTTTATTAATTTTTTTTCTTCTTTGCAAGGTTGACGTGAATGAACTCGACCCGAAATTAGCTTACATCCAAATAACGCACGTTGTTCCTTACTTCATTAAAGATGAGTTAGAAACACGACAAACAGAGTTCGAACAAAATCATGACATTGATACGTTCATGTTTGAAACTCCTTTCACAAAGAATGGAGCTGCGAGATGCAATTTGGTTGAAGATCAATGGAAACGACGAACAATTTTAACGAGTACGATTTTTGATTAATTGTCGTGTGGTATTGAAACTTAATGATGATTTCTTTAATGATTTTCTACAGCTCAATATAGTTTTCCGTATGTATTGAAACGCATCACAGTCAAAGACCGTCAAATTATAGAACTCAGTCCAATTGAAGTTGCGATCGATGAGATGCAAACGAAGATTTCGGAATTGGAAGAAGTCGTGCTAGCACAAACGATTGATGTGAAGAAACTTCAATTACGACTGCAAGGTTCTGTTGCTGTTCAAGTAAATCAGGGACCACTTGCTTATGCCAACTCTTTCCTTGATCCTCAACTGTGTGTTAAATATGATAGCGACAGAGTCGAAGATCTTCGAGATGTTTTCAGGTAAGTTTTAAAACCGAAAATTAAATATTAAATCGATGTTGCAACAAAAACTTGATTCTTCTTCAACGTTATCGTAGTTGCAGCATCGTAAAATAATTTAAAAATAGTGAAAGTGAAACTATTAAAAAATTATTCTTCAACAGAGAATTTGTGAAGATTTGTTACGCAGCACTTCAAGTGAATGGTCGAGTAATTTCAACGGATCAAGTTGAATATCATAATTCGCTTAAAGAAAACTTTGGTAATATGTGCTTAGCGCTCAATGATCTTATGGGGGAATCGTTAATATCGCTTGACGATACAACAAATGCTCATCGCAATAGTTTAGCTTTATTCTCAGCTATATCAGGGACACCGAATAATTCAAGTACAGCTTAAAAGCTTTTAAATTCTTTAATCTCAGATCAATTATAAAAATTGTTTTTTAATAAGACGTAAGTAGACAAGACTTAGATCACAAAAAGCCGACATCCACTTGAATATCTTAAGACATAAATAACTAAAAATATCAGTCGAAGTTATTCATTTTGAATCTTACAAATCACCTTAAAATTCCCACTTCATTTAACATCTCTGCAATCTATTCTAAATTTAAAAGTCTTTCTACTCTTAGATTTTTATCATAATTACCACTGCAATAACTACCTGTAGCTAGAATATCGAAATCCAAAAAAAAGAAGATTTCAGTCGATTAGAAATTAATTAAAAAAAAACAGAAAATTTGTAAATTTTTAATTGGAACCGACCTCGCGCAAATCGAAAAATAATTTCCTTTATGCAGGAATCTTTTTAGTTAAAAATTCTAATGCAAGTGATGAGCTGTTGTCTCGTCTTTGACGTTAGATTTCGGTAGATAAATAAAGGAGTGATTTCCATGTTGTTATCTTTTAAAAAGCTTGAATGGGAAATCATAAAATTTTTATATTTCCTTGAAATTTAATGAGCGGCATTAAAATCACGATGGGATGACAACTTTTGAATATTTCATACGTTTATTCCCCTCGTGATTCTGTTCATGTGCCATTTCTGGTAATTTAAAAATTACTCGAATTAAATTTATAAAAACATTCCAAAATTATAATAAAGCGCATTAATATTACATATTAATTAAGTGAGAGTTTTTGATTTCTTTTGATAAACATACAAAGTAATAAACAATTTACAAACACAACATTAACGATATCCAGGAAAAATTTAACATTAATTAAATAAACAATTTGTCTAAAACATAACGAGACTGAAAATTTCGATTAAAAATAATTGAATTTAATAAACGCTAATAGCACAAAACCAACCGATAACTTTATAAGAATATTGCACAATAAACAAAATAATCAATAGAGAAAACCATTTAATTATATTAATAAAATTGCATGTTTTGACAAAAAAAAGAAAACGAAAAGGAATTTACTAAAGTTTTTACTCCGTACAGTAAGCGCAACATTAAGATACCATATTTAATTGATTTTAATCTAGTCGCTTTATCTTGAATGTTCTATGTTAAACGTTCAATATTTAGATGTCATATCTTACCAACAATTAATTGTTTTGATCAGCTTATTCTCGAATAAGAGCTGTAGTAGAATGGAAAGAAATGTTTTGGAAAACTTTTTGTTAAAAATAATTTATGTTGAATAAAGATTGATTCTTAATTATGTTAAATTCGAAATGTTTTAATTGTTTAATATTTAAGGAAAGGAAAGCCAAAAGGAAAGATGAATGAATTTGTAAGAAGCAGAAACTGAAGCTTGCAACGAAATTTCTCAGAAGGGAAAGATTTACATTCAAATCTCCTTCAATTTCCTACACCTGACCTGAAGTTTTCTTGCTAAAAAGGTTACAGCTGGTAATTAATAAAAAATCATTACACTGCCTTTAGTGTAATCTTAAACTTTTTTCAACATTCAAAGGGCCGTCCGAATATTTCTGGAACTTCTTCAAAAATAAAATATCAAATTTTAAGTTTAATTAAAACCCAAGTTTGATTTGTTTTTTTATTTTATTACATTTTAGGTTTGTACAAAGAATTAAAAAGAAAAGCTTATCAAAGATTCAAATATAAATAATTATTTTGCTTATCTAGTTAATGAAAACAGAAAACATAAAAAAATCTTAAAATTTCATGCAAACTTTCAATCAAAAAATTTAGAAAATTGCGGAAAAAAAATTTCTCATTAAATTATTCAACTTTTAAAGTCTAAGGCCGGGATTTCTGCTTCGGACAAAGTTCAAAAGTTCATCGGAATCCTCACAAACGAAAGGTTTCAAATGATAGCAAGCAACGTCGTGCTGGAATGAAAAAAGGTCAATGACATTGTAATGAAATGCTTGAAGGTATGAAACTTCAAACTTACCCATTTCAAACCATCATTATAGAAGTTGTTTAAGATCGACAAGCATGATTCGTCATTGCCCTGAAAAGAATTGAAATGAATTCACCATTCGGTAAATAATTTAACTCTTTTGAATTTTACCTGTGCTGCTTCACGATTATCTGGTTGTGCTTGATTGTATCCACCTGTGTAGCTCCAATCTCCTGTATTTCTTTGTGTTGTTGGTCCAATCTTAACACCTGATCCTGACCAGAACCAGCCATTCTCATTTGGTGGTTGAAGATCTAAACGAGATTATTGAAAACTTTCACTTTCTGAATCACTTTTTGTTTTCTTTTTTATTCATTACAAACCTGGTCGATCACAACCAGCAAAGTTGCATTTTCTGCCTGATGTCCAAATATAACGAACATTACCACGAGCAATTCTTTGCTTAATGAATTCATTCTCTTGTGGTGTCTCAAGTGAAACGGCATCCATACAATGTCGACGACAAATGTTTCTTGAATCTAACCAATCAACTTCCAAACTTCTTGTCGGTTGATGCTCCCAACTGAAGAAATATGAATGAGCAACGCCGCGTGCATCTCTATAAGTTGCATGTCTGACACGATTAGAACAAGAACGTGGATCAGGCAATGCAAGACGTCTCTGAGCTGCAGCAACTGTAGCCAACACCACCACCGTTAACACAGTTCGCATCATGTTGAAAAACTGAAAATAATGAAATAAAAAAAAGATACGAATAAAGATTAAAAAATTTTATTCTGTGTTTATAATGGAGTTGCGCCTATTTCCTCTTTTTTTATTTTTGATTACCACAAGTTAATTGAATTCATTCGCATGTTTCTTTTTATTGATCGTTAATGGGTTATTGTCACATTCAGAATGATCGATTGGGAATTATCATCATACAAGCGGGTGAATTTATTTATTTAACTCTTTCGTGTTCTTAATTCCTACATTTGAATCATGGAAAGTGAAAATTCCTATCGCAATTTTAACATATTTCGAAATAGTTAGTCAAATGAGAACAAGTCGTGAATAAATATAAGTTTCAATTACCATCATCGCTAGACAACAAAGTTGTGAGCTCCACAAAGAAGGTTTTTGATGGTTAAGAGCGTGAATAATGAGAATGATGTATGAGCTATGTGAATGATGTAACACAATTACGGAATATCAACTCGACCGTGTTTAATTGTCTGCAAAAGCAGCATGAGAATAGCGGAGCTATTTTGCGGACGGTTAAATCCTCAACAGTTAAGTACAAGAAACAAATTGTCGAGATTGTTGTTTTGTGGATGATTTAAAAGTTGTAAGCAATGAATAATCTTTATGTTAATGAAGAAGAATAAAAGGTGCGAGTCAAATATCCGTAAGACGAAATCAAGTGAAATCGATTACGCAATTGAAGGTCGATGGAATGTTAAATTCAGTTTAACTGCAATCAGCTCAACATCCGTTAAGTTTTCAAAGAAAGTTTCGCAGTAAATTTCAATTTCCCGCAATTTTTATCACCCGATTACTTTCACGGAAGTACTGGTTTTCTGATTTTTATTTATATATTTCGGTTGTTGTGTTAATCAAGTCATCTCGAAAGTTTATTTGCAATTTTCTTTAAAATTTTCCACTTGAAGAATTTAATCTGCAAATTTTATCATCATTCATGAAATGAAAATTCAAACTTTCATTCAACTACGAAATTAATGTGCAACGTCATGTTCATTATGAGACTTCATTGTGCTTTCCAGAAGCAAATTTAAAATTATTTATTTAAGAAAACTTTTTATTTGCTTTTACTTTTCTTTTATAATCACACTAGGCCAGTGTGGCTTTATTGTTAAATGGAAAATATCGTAGTGAGACATGAGACAATGAATTGTCTTTGTTTTCCTAATGCATGTACCATGTACGTAAGTGCTTTGTGAAACTTCATAATATTGCATATGAATGATATTTGACAGTAGTCAAGACTCAAGATGCAAAAGTGTTTTCCAACTCTCCCAACGCATAAGCATAACTAACAAGCCCATCATGTTGTATTGAAATTCACTTTGTGACGATGGGAAAAGACCATCAAGACAATTCAACTTCGCTCGTATGCTTTTTGTTTTATCAATTTCATTTCACTTCCCTTCGTGGGAGAAAGTTAATATCAATTTATTTATGATACTTCAGGTAGATTATCTTACCAAAAATAAAAGATCGCATCATAAACAAATCGTGACAGTAAAGAAATCGAAAGTCTGACAATAATTGAGAGTGTGAGAGAAATATTTGCCCGCGAATTTCTTTCACCAATCATCAGTGCAAGGTTCGTTTTCTTTTCCAATATTCAACTCTTTTTGCTTTGCCTCAAATGACTGTGTTGAAAGATGTTGAGCAAAAAAATGACACAAATTTAAGGTCAAGTGCAATATAAAGCAATGTAGTGAGTCAGATCGATGGAGTCAACAACTACTAATTAGCATTAACTGGAATAAATCAGGAAGTGATTTTCATAAGATGTTAACAACGTTCAATAGATTTTGTGTTGTTTCTGCCAAACAAATAAATGAGAAGTGGTCTCATCTCTTTGCGTTATGCAATTTGTTAAGCTTCTGCTTCATAGCAATTCAAACAAAACAAAACAGCTTCATTAATTTGACGTTGAATCGCGGAAGACTTTACGCTAATCTGTTGGAATTTTATCTCGTTTTGTTTTCATCTATGCTGCATTCCACTGAAAATGATTAAAATCAGTGAAGATTTCTCTCATCAGAAAGAGTTGTTAAATAATTATGATTCTCATTTCTTCAGGCGCTTCTTTTGTTGATTACTGAGTAGACTTTGTCGGGGCAGTGGCATCATTAATTTTTTCCCACTTAGATAATTGTCTCACGAATGTTACGCTCGATTTATAACAAAGTGAAAGAAAACATATTTAAGATGTCTCAATTAACCACAGTTGATGATCTTGAAACCTTCTCGAAAGTATTCTTATTACCCTCCCGGATCTCTTGCAGTTAATTAAAAAATTATTGAAAAGTTGCTAAGATTTTGTTTTTGCTTCTATAAGATTACAAAACTTGAAGATCTTTTTTTTCCTTTCAAATTTAAATACATTCGAGTCTATTTCAATGATGATTTTTTTCTGTCATCGTGGCTCTTGTTTAGCAGTTGAATAATGACAGTAATTTATTTTATTTCTGCTGCAATAACATCACAGGAACTGTTTGTAAATCTTCAAGGATGATTAAGATGTGAACTAGCTCAAGGTCGATTCGGCATGTTGAATTAACATTAAGGAGACTTTTTATTTGTGAAATTAATTTTATAACTTCATGGACGATTTTTGCTTTGACCATGCATCGATGTAATCAAAGTGAAGTTCGTCTTGCTTTTTTTAAGGTTTTTTAAGTTTGATTCTTCAGTTCATGAAGTGAGAGGTAACATTAAGTAATTTCGTCGATGACTTTAACCAACCACATATAGTGCGATGATTATATTTCCTCAAATTTCATTAATTAACTTAAATCATCAGGCAAATGTAGCGCAATATTTATGAGTAATTTACTTCCATTAACTTCTTCATTTTTGGTATGAAAGTTTGATTTCCTTATCCATATCAATGATTTGTTTTCACCTCAACAAATTTACATCAATTCACAATAAACTTCCGCCAATGATCAATAAAAACGTTTGTAACATAATGTGATTTACTATTTTCATTGTCTTTTTTACGCTTTATTTATTTGGAATGTCGTGAAACAAATTTGACGATGAAAATTAGAAATTCTTCGCTGACGAAATCGATTTTTCTTCACTTTCGCTTGTTTACGATTATTTTATTTTTATGCTTTTTGACTACCTAAATACTAAAGATTATCAAATACGATCACGTAATAGTTTGTTAATTTTTTTTATATAAATATCGAGGAAGATTTTTCTCGTACGTCGTGGCAGTGGTATTGGAAACATTTGTGAATAAATATTTAGCAATTGAAACCGTGAAACCGAAAGATATCATTTGAATGGGTTAGGATGCCAATGGCGAAAAAGAAGCTCAATGTTTTGATGATACAATCATCGACTGACGACGAGATTAAAATAAGAAAAAAATAAAATTCACTTTCACTCTCGATGCTGCCATTGACAACTTGTCTCTGTCGCAGCTATTTTCTCCTAATAATGAATTTCTTCAACATTAAAATGTCTCGAGGCAATGCGAAAACATTTTTGCGTTTATATATTTATTTATCAGTGAAGGTAAGGCAATGAAATTGAAATCATAAAAGAAAAACAACTTGCGGGAGAGATTTCTTTAAAGATCTCTCGTTCGATTGTCGACCGACCAGACCGCAATCACTTTTCAAAAAAAATGAATGAAATTCTTTTCTTATACTTTCGTGTCGCTACTCACCTCAAATTGAAACAAATTTTATTTTGGTTTTGGTATTTAAAAGAAATGGAAAGTTCCCTTAAAAGGTACTCGTTAACATTTCATTACTTTAACCAACGTCTGTGCGGTTTTTCAGTTATTAAGATAGATGACTAGAAATTTAAAAGACGGCGAGTGCGAAGAGTATTAAAATTCCATTTGACTGATATTAGAGCAATAAACAGCTTGACATTCGTTTTCGTATTTTAGGTTTATTGAGATTTGATCGTCAGATAAGAAAGTTAAGTTTTGTGGTTGCGCGAGGGATCGTCGTCGTGTCAGTGAACGAGTTCAATTTCACCCGACATTCAGCATCGACATAAATTCATGCTACTGGTTTCATTATCCAAATTTACATTTTACTACGATCGATGCATTGAATGGAAGAAATATAAAAAAACTGCTAATTTTAAGCTTTTGTTACATCCATTAACAATTGATACGCAATTTGGAATGTTCAATTGTTAATTGAATTGGCTTCTCTTTAACCAACAAACTCGTCTACAATTGACGTACTACGAAGCATACTTCAGAAAGAGATTGAAAAGTATCATGAAAATATTTAATTTTTTACCATTCGAGTCATTGACCGAATGTTAATGATTCATTTTTTTTTTAATATTTTTCCTTATGTTTTGTTTTTGTTGTTGTTTAACCTAATGAACAGAAGAATTGACAATTTACAGTTGTAAGATTGTCAAGAAAGAAAAATATCTCGAACGTCTGCAAATTAAACTTGTTTCATCTGATGTTGCTTTGAGATTTTATTTATTTTCATTAAATAGAAACACGAAGTGAAATTGTGCAATGTTTAATTAAGTTTCAATGACATAAAAAGATTCTTAAGTGGTTTGTGGATTAAGAAATTGCAAGAAGAAGATTGTCATTAATTAAAGTGAAAACAATCAAATCATTTTTAAATTGGCTCAACAGCTTAACAACTTTTCTGGCACAAGTGTTCACATTGTCTCCTCAATTTCTATATTTCCACTCAATTATTTAGTTTCTTTGCTTAATAACCTCAACGTGTTTCTCATAATTCAGATAACGGTTCAACAATTGCGTGAAAAGCTTCTTCTTGTCACAATCAAAAAGGAAATCGTAATGTTAGCGATTTCAATTTAAAATATTCCAATCTTACCTTCAAAGTTTTATTTTATTTCCAATTAGTTCTTTCTTATAAATATTTTGAATAATTTTTCTGATGTTAAACACTGCTTATGCTTTTTTTATGATTTTTAAATTCGTTCGTTTCAATTCAACCACTGCTGCACGAATGAAAGACTTTAACCAGACTGACTGCTCTCGCTGAACGTAACTTCGCTTTATAAGCTCCAAAGCAGAGTGTTGAGTGTTGTCTCCAAACGAAAATCAAAAATAAAAGAAAAATAAAATTGTTTTCTTCTTTATTTATTTTTCGCATGAATGTGTGCGAAGAGAATCGTAGAGCTTGTGATGCTCACGTTTTTGATGTAATTGATGATGGTAAAGCAAGCAAGTTGCAAGCTTCATATTCATTGTACGCTAATTTTAAATTTTAAATGCTTGAGAATTGATTTTTTCTTTGAATTTTAAATTTAGAATAATTTCCGTATAAATTCCTTCAAATAATGTTGATGACTTCTTGGTAAAGATGACGAAGTGTTTGATTTCTTAGCGTGTCACAATATTTCGACAAGAACGGTTGCTTACGAACAAATAAAAATTCATTCAGTTCCGTACAAATGATGAAACTAAAAATAACTTGAAATCAGGAAGATCTCGAGACGATGAAGATGTTGGCGACATCGACTCCAAAAATATTTATTAAAGAAGTTCAACAAGATTGTAAAGTGTGAGAATCTAAGAACATGTGACTAATGCGACTATAAATCGTCTTTTATTTTTTATTTATTTTTCAAACCACGTTCATTCACATTAAAATGCAACATCTACAATTGCAAATTGATTTCCCCTCTCTAGATTTAGGTTAAAATATTCATTTAACTCTTGCTTTCGATCATAACGTGCATTCAACAAAACCTATTCATGCTCATGTTCATTATTAAAGTTCACAAGGATTAAGTAACTCAACCGACATACATAAACATAATAAAAATGACTCAAATGAGAATGAAATCGATTTTCTATGATGATGCTTTATTGCTTCAGTATATAAAACATCAAAACGATGTTAATGAAAGTGAAATTTGAGTGGAAAAGCTCTTCAAGGGAATGAAAAGAGTAATTTCTTTTCTATCTATAAATATTAAAGAAAAATATCTGCAAAACATCAAGTTCCACGAAAATATTTGATTTTTTTTCGCTAATTGGAAACAACTTTTTCAAATAAAGCTTTCAAGAAAATCTCGTAAGATAAAATTTTCACTTTTGTTTGAAAATGCTTAGCGAATTGATCTCGAGCTGATAAACTGGTTCTTAGTGACTTGCACAATTTATGTTAAATGGAATGTTAGATGAGCTGATGAAACATGTTTTAAATCATATTATGAATCGTATTATGCTTCGCTTTTGATTCAATGTCATTGACCATTACGCGAAAAAGGAAAGAAAAAATAAAGCAGCTTTAAAACTTCACTTTGAGTTTCACTGCCATGTCTTCCTAGCTAATTTAATTTAATATCAATTCAAATCGAAGAAAAATAATTGAAAAGGAAAATTTATTTATTAGAAAGATTTTCCTCGACTGTCGCAATTCACTTAAAATTTTTAAATAAATTAACGAGCAGTAAATTACAACTCTCTGAAGGAAAATGTCACAAACATGCGCGCAGAGTGAAAAAAGAACATTTCTCAATAACTGATGGAGATAATTCACGTGAATCCTTATCTCGGTTGGAAAGAAGGAAATAGAAAAAATCTTAGATTCAGTTTCTCTTCAGTCGCGTTACAATACGGATGAATATTTCATTCAACAAGTTGTAAGATGACTTCGAAGTTTAAGAATCCTTTTAAGGATCTCATGAATCCAACAGACATTTACACTGCACAATGGCCGTTGTTAAAGTTATCATTCTTCATGGGAATTGTTCCTTATAAGATTGTAAACCGTGAAAATTCGCGTCTTCAAATCAGTGTTTTTGGTTTCACAATTTTAATTCTTCATTTAATTCTCTTCGGATTCTGTTACATCAGAACGATAACAGTACACGAGAGCATTGTCTCGTATTTCTTTAAAACTGAAATATCAGTTCTCGGTGATACGCTTCAACTTTGCATTGGATTAATTGGGATCTGTACAGTGTTCTTATACAGTGTTATTCAACGTCATAAATTTGTTGCATGGTTTCATCTCATGACAAAAATAGACGAACAATTGAAGGAAATTGGAATAGAAACGGATTACCGAAGCACATTGCAGTTCATATTTCTCATGCTAGCAGTGAAATTTATTTTCTTCAACACTTATCTCATCGGCAGTTGGGTGATGTTTAAGATTGAAAACATTTACCCAAACTACACTTGTTGGATTGTTTTCTTCATGCCACACATCTTTATTTCCATCATGGTTGTTTTGTTTATTTGTCTGATGAAGCAAATGAAGCACAGGTTTTTACTACTTAATAAGGTGAGCATGTTATAAAATTGTTTGTGTCAGTAATAGTAGTAAACTTCGTAAGGGATTGTTTGAAAGTGAAGTTCCACATATTTCAACAACAAGGACATTGATTCATAAAATTACAAACTAATTTGTCGTCTACTTTAATTGTATTAAAAATTTTCCCCCCTTCTTAGATTTTAAAGAATTTATGTCAGCAAAATAAGCTTAGCACAGGAATTCGACGGAAAATTGTCAGACCGTGTGGATTGTGCAGCTTTTATTCAGAACCACAAAGAAGTAATATAAAGGAGATTGTGAATCAAATTTCGATTATTCATGACTCATTATGTGATGCTTGCAATTTAGTTGAAGATTATTTCTCTGCACAAATGCTTACAACAGTTGCAATTGCATTTTTGATTATTGTTTTCAACACGTAAGAATTTTACATTTAAGCGTCAATAAACAAAGTTGCGAAACACTTTTCTTGTCTATTCTAAATTCAGTTACTACATCTTGGGAGCGATGTTTGGAAACGCAAACATTCCGGGACAGTATTTCAACACAGTAGAATTCATAACATTCTTCTCCTACCAAATAGCTGTTCACTTTCTGTCAGTATTTGCTGTCGTGTTTGTTTGCTCATCTTTGTCGAAAGAAAGCGGAAAAACAGCGATTTGTGTTCACAAATTGTTAAACACAACAAACAGTGAAGAGTTGAAGGTGCAACTTACTCAATTTTCAATTCAATTAGTTCACCGAAAAGTCAAATTTACAGCTTGCAGCTTATTTACTCTCGACACAAGCTTCATATTCACTGTGAGACGAACTTTACTTATCTTCAAAAATTTTACTCTTAACTTGATTTCTTTTTTATTGTCACCAGATTGTAAAAGCACTTTCAACATACGTCATAATTCTCGTCCAATTCACAATTAATCAAGAAGCGAAAGTTGAGCTGATTAGACGCAATTTGGAAGAACTTGTGAAATTGAATAACTTGACAATGCCAAATGATATGTAGATGAGAGGAAAACAAAACAAAAAATTTAGTTATACTGGATTTATGTCAATCAGAAGAAACAGTTTTAATCAACGATATATCTAATTAAAGTTAATTAATAATTAATTGTTTATTGATAGGAAGTACTTAAGAAAGATTCAGAAATTTCTTTGCAAAGAAAGGAGAGCTGTTCAAACCACATGAGACAAAAATTAATAAATCTCAAAAGAGATAAATTGGCTGATTGTATCTCAAATAGACCTAAACTTAAAAATGTAGTCTGAGATGTTTAAAAATGGCAGATGAAATATCAGGGTTGATGATGAAGGGACTTTGTAATCTTCAATTTCATTGTGAAGTCATGTTTCAATGACAAAAGAAACAGAAGAAGATTTATCTGGGGAGTTTTTTCTTCTTGATTATAGCCGATGACATGTCTAAGCCTCATTAAAATGTTGTGTGGAAGAAAGTGCTTGAAAACACCTGAAATGTTCAATAGAAACTGTTGTGTGGTTTCAGCCATGTTTGAATGAAAACAAACAACTGAAGAAAATCAATTTAAGTTAATAACACTACATGCTTGAAACTCTCAACACAAAAATATTTCATTCTACAAAATGTTTGATCGCGTTGTATTTTTATTTTCCTCAATATAGATCTGTTACAATATTTGCGTTGTTTATCATTTTTTAAATAACCATTTAATGACAGTTGTGATTTGGGGATTTTTCTTCTTTTTTTTGGTATAATTATGCTGTTTTATATATATATATATGTAGGTATAAATATCATGAAATTTCATTCATTTCTCATTCTGTATTATCTTTGATTATGAAGTTGTGTTTATTTTTTCTTTAAATTTCAAACAATTTCATTTCATGGAAACAAAATAACGATATGTCCTAATATTAAGCTTTTAATGGAAAAAGAGAGAAAATTTCATATAATTGTGCTCCTATCATTAAATATAAATATTTTATCAGTTTGAATGTTGAAAATAAGGGAAAAATATGAGAAGAAAAATATATCTTTATGCAGACAAATTTCTTTTTCTTTTTTGAGGAATTAAATTACAATTTTATGCTATCATATTTCATTGGTTAGGATCAAATCCTTTAAAAGCTTCTAATAATCACACTTATGTATGTCAATTATAAGAATAATTAATAACAATATTCCGTGATGTTCCATTCACTATGGCTGTGGTAAATAAAATAATTTTCTTCTCGTCACGTTTGAATTTTCTTTTCTTCTTCATTTTTTTGTTAATAATTTTAATTTATCATCATTTATTTTCGTTTATTGGCAGATTTTTAATTGAACAGTTAATTGTCTGTTGTTGATATTTAAGTTACGTACAATTAAAGAACAAAAACAAAAACAAAAACGAATTCTTTTCTATAAATAAGCCATTCTAAATATTTCATATTGAATTAACATCAACAGAGGTAAATGGAAATCTTCAAGGAACTTCTTTCATTATCTTATGTTTCTTATCTTATCATAAGTTGTCCTGAAAAAATTAATAAATGTCAATAAACCGGTGTCGACTCACAATATAATAAATTTATCGAATTTTCTTTTCAGTTCAATGTTTTTTTTTTATAGAATCTTTACTTTTGGTGAATTTTACTATTGTCCAAGTTTCGATGGACTCAAAACTATTTCGGTTTCAGGTGGTTGATGACCAGACGAAGTTGATTGTCCTCGATCATCAATCGGCGCTGTTCTTCCTACGGCTGTTGAGTGACGATGTTTATGATGATGTTTATGTCGATGATGATGCTTTCGCCTCTCGCTAGGTCCAGCTTCATCAGTTGTTGTTGATGTTAATGGCAATGATAAGAATCCAACTTCTCGGTTGAAAGACGTCGTAACAATATTTGTGTTTGGTGTTAAAGGCAAAGCGGGAGGTGGTGAAAATGGCGGGGGAGATAAAGGAGATGGCTCGATAGCCATCAGTGAAGTTTCCATAAAAAGTGGTTCGAGGTCTTTCGGCTTCTTTTGATTAATTGATGTTCTTTGGCGATGAAGCTTGCTTGCTTGTTTGTTATCCTCACTATCAAGCTCATGATCACCATCATCACCATCATCGTCATCTTCATTGAACAATGAAATTGGTTCAATACTTGGAATAACAATTTCTTGATTTATATCTATGTGCTGTTTCTCACGATCGGATTCTTCATCCGTGCTAATAATATCGATGATATTGAGCGTGTCTACTTTCAATGTTTCCATTTTCTTCAACTCGATCGGTGGTTCTAGGAAGAAAAATTATGCAATTGAAGGTTGATTGATTTTTTCTCTCGTTATAATGATTTATGAATGTGTCGTTGTCAATGCTAATTTAAATGTTGACTCATTGAAATGATTTTAAAATTAAAATTATGGTCACTCAACTTCTTTTTTACATACTCGTTAAATGAGTAAAATTTTTCTGTACTTTGAAACGTTAATCATCTTGTGTTTGAAGTCAAATAAATCACTTCAATAACAACGTACACGGCATTTCATCATTCATAAATCAAATTAATCTTACAACATTTATTATCAGGAAATTTCTTTTCTTACCCTCTTCAGGTTCATTGATAGTTGGAATTGTTTGGCCGTTGACTTTCTGCTCGTTATCTAAAAACAATGATGTAGAAGCAATTTGACGAAGTGTCTCGACACCTTCGTAAGATTTATTTTTCACTATTGATTTTGGCGGAAATTGAGATGATTGTGATGATGACATTGGAATTTTACTCTAATAAAGAAGATTACAAAATGATTGAAAGTTTCATTTTGAGATGGATGAAAGTTCAACTTACATTGATGTACGGCCCTCTAGCAATCGAAACACGTTTTGTATCGTGTAATAAGGAAGTTCGATGATCAGCATCTGATTTTGCATCTTTCTTATTCCTTTCACGATTGCTAATACAATGCGATGGACAAACACAGAAAAATATTCTTAAAATGCAGAATATTACTCCGATTCCTGAAAATTTGTAATCTTGATTGATTCAATTACAACTTGGAGGAAATTAATTAATTTACCTGCCAATGCTGGTCCAATTAACCTTAATTCTTGTGTCTTAAAGCCTTTCTCACCAGTTCCAACGAAAAATATTATTGAACCAAGGGAAATTGTTCCTAAACCTGGAATAAGTATGAAAGCAATGGTTGACAATGTTAAATATCCAAAATTATTTCTCTTACCTATATATAGGAAGGCATTGGCAAACGTACTAGGACCTCTAATGACACCCAACAAGTCTTCATCATCTGATGATCCACCGATTGAAGAATCTTGTATCTTGAATGATGAGAATTTAATAGGAAATTTCAACTTTATTTTATGTAAACTCTTACTCTGTTCCGTTTTACCCATCGTCGATGATAGGAAGCTGTATTTGGATCTTGAACACTGCATCGTCTTCCGCGCTCAAGCCATGCTGCACGTCCTTGTGCACACTATCAAGAAAGAATGACAGAAATCACAACTTTTTAATCGTTTAACCGAGAATTTTATGTTCATGCTGATTCTCCTTATCTTATGACATATTTTTTAAATCTTTTTAACGTTCACTTCTTTGTTCAGAAGTTCTTTTCTTAACCACGGAAGAAAAAGCCAATTTCAAGTTGAATATTACATTACAGGAAAGAAAAATGGTTTGATAATTCCAAGAAAGGAACATGCAACACATAAAACAAACATTTAATAGCATTTTTATTTTACTCTTTTATTTTCTAAATTACTTGCAAACAATCAAGGATGGTTAGAGTTATGGAAAAAACCATGGCATGTGTTAAAATTAAATGTGAAAGTGGCGTTTGAAGATTCTTTGACCTATAACAACTTGCCACCAACCAACCCACGATGGCTGAAAGTAAAAAAAATGAATGAACATCTTTTCATGCCATGGCATAGATTCTTGTTTGATGGACTTTTCTACTTTACTAAATTATACCAGCAAACGAAAGTTGGTCGATCGATGTGAAAATTGAAAAAGAAAAAACGAATTCTTTCGAAGTTATTTCTTATGTTTATGTCCTATAACAACTTTACTTTTTAAATGCCATGTGACAATGTAAGAAAATAGAAATTTTGACATTTTTTTCTTTCTTTCGTGTTTGTTTCTTTCATGACTTAAAGTTCTTGAGTGGATAAGAACGATACTTGATTATGAATACAGAAAACAAAGTTCAAGACTAACAGCCTGTTAGCTATGTCTTGTTAATGACGGTATCACGACTTTAGAAGTTCATAACTCTTCTGTCTTATCGTTCCCACCATTGACACAATTTCAGTCATGAATTGTGATTGCCAACACGAGATTGAGTCTTTTTTTCAAACGATGCTAATTGAATGAAAGCTTTTATTTATCGATTAGACTCGAGCAGAAAAAACTTTTCCACATTTCTCAGGAAAAACGAAAATTTATTCGATATTCCAAAGCGAACATAAAAATCTTTGCATATCGATTTGTTAAACAAAAATTTGTTCAGCATCAACATTGTCATTTTATTTTACATCAACTTAAAGCCTTCATTGTGCTTATGTTGGTCTAACATGTGGTCAACGAATGAATACAAACAAAAAGAATTCGGAAGGAAGTGATTTAGAAATAAAACTTCCAAATGATATCCAAAAATGTTTTTTTATCAAAAAGGAAAATTGTCGCTTTTCGATTTGTTGTGTGAAGCATAATATCGATCAACGATAATCATAATCCATTTTAGAAATTCAAAATGAAAAAATGTATCTGAGGAAAAAAATTTATGTGGGGAATTCTCTAAAATAACATGTTTGGCTTCTATTTCCAATTTAAAATGACAAACGAAACCATACGCAGGTTTATGCATTTGTTTGCTTCTCGATTCAACTTCTCAGTCTTGAACACGTGTAAAATATTTCTTCTTGTTCTCCCTTTTCTTTAGTAATGCCAAAATATTAGTCAGAAAATTGTTTAAGGAAAATATTCACTTATTTTTGGTAAGCTTTACGAAAGCTTTGATTGAAATTTACATGAAAAGAATGACTTTCAGATTGAATATCGATTTAAGTCAAGTACAAGTAAACAACAAGGTTAACTTTTAATCATTAAATCACTTCAATTCCACACCCACAACTAATAAATGTTAACTTCACTTTACATAATTTGATTCAACGTCGTCATCTGTGTCACTTTTATTATAATTGACACGTTCACGATATATCGGATTGCCTCGTGCCATTTCTAAATCTTTGAAATCACTTGCGAAAGAAATCCTACGGGACGAAGCCAAGGCTAATTCAACTTCCATCTTTAATCATAAAATATTATAAACACTCGCACTGTTCATGACTGAATGGTCTGATTATCTTCATGTTTCTCTTTAGCAAACAATAAAATTCCAATAAACCCAATTTCACTTAGGAAACAATCGAAACGAAAAACAAAAGTTCCAAATATCAAAAACTTTCCCACAACAGACGAAACATGACCTAAGATAATGAATTAGATTTCTATCGACATTCAAATTGCTTTTTTTTCCTTTACTTTGAGTGCACAAATCAATAATATCGGAAATTTTCATTGATGAAAATGAAATTATCGTAGATATCTACCACCCCCACACCTTGCTTTCTTTTTCTTTTTCGTGTTTACCGCAAGAGTGAAGTTCAACCGCGATTTTGGCTTTGGTTTGATATTAATTGACTTTTATTGTTTAACTGAAGTTAATTAAATGGAGATGTCAATTATATAATTTTGAAACTTGAATTTGGATTAATTAATAATTAATTAAGTTGAAAACACGCTGTTAATGTTTTGTTTCCCCCGAAAATGTCATTTAAATTTCATAAATTCTACAATGAAAAAGATTTATCGTTAAATTAGCTGAAAATTTATTTCGAATCGATTTCGTTGATTAATTCAATTACCAAACTTTAGTTTCAATATGTATGCATTCTTGAATCATATATGAAGTTGTAAAAATAATTGCTACCCAGACGTAGGCAGTCGTCACTCCATTAGCTCCTCGATTATTGAGCGATGTAGACAGAGAATAAAAATGTGATTGATGAACAAACACACACCAAACAAACTCGAATTAAATCAATCCTAAACATACCAAGAAATACTTTTTCATAACTCATTAATGATGATACGCTAAATGAATTCAAACAAAAATTTATTAAGGTTAAATAGTTCTCATCGAGGAAATTCATAATTCAATCAGCTGATTTCCATGAATCCTTGTTCGTGTTTACATAAATACTAAACGATGTAAATGCTTTCCTAAACGATTTCATTAAGTAACCCGTAAACTTCAAAAGTTTTAAATTGAATAAATAATTTGATTTCTTTCGTAAGATTAAAAGTCGACGAGAAAAATTGTAAAAGAATTCCAATTTGCATTCTTTCTATCGATAGAAAAAGTTTCAACGAAAAGTCATCAAGAAAAGAGGCCAATTTTATGTCTTGATTGTTGAAAGAAAGAATGAAATCATTTTCCCGACTCGGAAGCCTTGTAGAGAGCTTTAAACTATTGTTTTCCATGAAAAATTAATAACTTAACTTATTTAATTATTTATGTTGGTTTGATAAATTAACATGTGTTAGAAAGTGCAAGGAAAAAAATGTCAAACAAAGAAAAACCTCGCAAAAGGATTTTATTTTTGTGATTGTTGAGTGTCGGTAATGATATTTGTAGAAAAGTTCTCATGTCATTGCGATACTTGCTAATGATACTTTTATCTCATTAAAAAATCGCTTTTTAAATTTGCATTAAACACACTCCAATTTGCTGTCATTATTCTCTCACCAAAGTGTTAAATTATTGATTTGCTAAGTTCTGTCAGACTCAGACAACGAATCGTTGTTCGTTTGCTGCCTCGACAGCAATCGAGAAAAATCGATTCGACCTCCAAAAAAAAAGTATGGGAAAGGAAATTTGAGAGCTCAAAAGCACGCAAATTATTTTATACCTGCGGCGGTTGTTTACATGTTTGATGGTGGTGGTAGAAGCTTTTATAAGTTTCGAAGGAAAATCAGCAGGAAAATGAAAGTGAAATCTTTATGTCGTATCGGAAGTCAAAGCTCGCAAGAAAATAAGCTGTTCATAAGAGCTGTTTACCGACGACATATATAAAATAAATCTCCCAAAACCTTGATATCACTAACATGTTACGTCATCAGTTATTTGCTCATTTGAATGTGGCAAAACATACAAACGATGTCTACAAAAATAATAAATCAGAAATGAAAAGCAATTCCTACCCATGATTCAGGCGGAAACCGTGGATACGGCGGAATGTTCTTTGTTGCAACACTTGTCGGTAATTCACCTCTGATTCCCAATCGTTGTCGTCTAAGTTTATTGCGAGCGATACGCTGCTTACTGCGTAACATTAAAGCAGCCTGCATGATTGCTGTTTTTTATATGCTTTCTTCTGATTGATTTCACAAGCCAAACAACTCGATTATCACACTTGATTCTCGTTTCATATCACACTTTTTAATTAATTAATTGAATGACTTAATCATCATTGTTCCATGTCAATTTCTTCTGATTAGAGAAGATAAAGAAACTTTTTCTTTCTCATGTTATTTAAACTTCTTAACTGCTTATTGTTTTCCCATTGTGGTTACAACATTCAACCTGTCCCGACTTCATTTCTACTTTTGTTCACTCCGTTGACTTTAAGAGCGTGATTTTATGCAGAGTAAGCAAGACGCTGTTTAATTATTCTAATGAGATTTTTATAACCATTAGGTGTGGTTAAGCTTTGCCTTGCTTTTATTTTCACCGAAATCAACACTTTCAAAGTACATGACGTCATTAATATTTCATGTATGATGTTAGATACAGACGTGATTACGACTCATCTTATTTCCGTTACATCATAAGTCGATCTCAAATCAAAAGGACAAACAAAGGAAAATTCTTTCCACATTGGAATTACAATTATTCCTGAATCAGGAAGCACAAACAGAAAGATTCTCCAGAGTGAAATAAATTTCTTATGCATTCAGAATCGAATTCAATTCTTTATATCATGAAAAGAAAATTTATTGATCTTTTTCAAACATTTGCTTTTCATTAGTCTCCGTGGCATGTTGTTTGTGCATAATTTTTTTCTTTCTAAATATTTTCAAACAATGATTGATAACAATGAATCTTTTAAGAAGAACTTTCGAGTCTAAAGTTTCGTTTTTTTGTAATAAATGGAAAGTTAAAGTTGGTTTTTATTCCTTTATTTGTTAGCAGGTGATTTTTCATTCGACAAGGGAAAATAAATAAACTCTGTGAAATGGGAAATCATGCAAAAGGAAATTATAACTCAATCGATTCTTCCACTTAAATTCACTGCATAAATTTCAAACTTATTCCAATTCACTTCTAAATGTTGTGCTTCAACAGGTTAAGAATGAAATCGTAGAAAAATGAAGGAAAAGCTTTTTAAAGTCGCCTTGGTCATTTAAATCCCTCAAGTTTAATTTTATTGATTTTTTAAGCATTTAATTGCAGCAAGTTAATTTGCACCTCTAACCTTTTGATTATTTCTTTCATTCCACTCATTAAACCTCCATTTGAATGGGAAATTCTACGCTCAATTTAATTTATTATTTATACAAATATTCTTCAATTTCAGATTGATTCGATACGCCCTTTATCAGTTTAATTAATCTACTTGTTGACTTTTATTTACATTTGGTAGGAAAATTATATATAAATGTAAATTTTTTGTTATCCCCAGGGTTGTCGCTTGACAAGTTGTGGGTAGATTTTGTGGAAGGAAAAACTTTGCTGGATGTTCTGAAACTTTATGTCTGCTTAATGACATGTAACGTCAGTCATTTAGCGAAGTTTAGAAAAGTGAGCAAACCTGAAAAACTGATTGCTTTAATTATTTTTATTGCATTTTTAATTGCACAATAAAAGGGGAAAAATTGTGACTCGTGACTGAATAAAGCACCAACAGGTTTAATCGTTATCATTTGTACATACATACGAAAATGTATTAAAACATGATTTTCATTTGTTTTTGTTATTATCATCCGTAGTTTTAATGAAACCTCATTTGCCTTGAATATTTACGATTTTTATGCATTCGAATGAAAGGTCGTTCGAACAATTTGAATTATCATGAACACCCATGAAAGCTTTAATGTTAATGAACATGCAAATGAAGAATGATTATCATGCAAAATATAAAACAAATAAAATAACATTAAAAAGTTACCTCTATGTGATCGCATGTGCAAACACCTAAAGCTTGATTCTCAGAATCACAAAACTCATCAGCCCAGTGAGTCTGAAGACCGCTATTGCCATTTGGCATCCCGCCGGGATAAAATTGTTGCTGATGTTGCTGATCATCAATCTCAACATTATTCTTAATTTTCGTTTCACTCGCTTCAAGCTTTCGATTCCGATATACAGAACATGCACGTTCGAGTGGAAATTCTGGCAAATCGTCAAATTTTGGTGCGATGCGTTCAACAACTTCAGTTCCTAACTTTTCGTTTTCAATTTGTTGCTTTTGTGATGGCGATGGTGATGGAAGTGGTGTTGCTGGTGTTATAATAATACCATCGTTTATCACTGGTATCTGAATGTGAATCGGATGTTGGGCGGATAATAAATTGTTTTGACTTTCCTTGAAGAAATGCTGTTGCTGTCGAAAGCAAATGGACGGAGATGCTGGCGGTGTACCAGCTTGTGATACCAATGGAAATGAAGCTGTTGCTGACTTTGTTAGCTTTTGATGGTGATCAACATCCAGTCTCAAAGTTGGTGTTCGCGGTTCATTTGTATAATGGAAATGATGACGCGAATGATGAAGAAGTGTTTGTTGTGATGGCGAATGATGTTGTGCTGATTGTTCAGAAATTGGTAGAAGAAGTTTGCTGCTATGACCCGTATAACCAGCACTTAACTTTCGATTACTTGCGTGAGGTGCACGCAAATACGATGCCGGCAATTGATGAAATTGTTTACTTTTTGTTGGAGCAGCAAGTTCAGCTGCTTTTGCTGCATCTAATTTCTCTTTCAAAGCTTTCGCTTGTGCGGCTTTGTCCTTGATGTGTTGTTGTGCTTGTCGCTTTCGTGCATTACGACATGACGCCCCCCCAGCTGCTGCATACATATTTGTGTGCTGTTTTGAACGCTGTCAATGATTATATGACGATAAATTGGCTCAGCACACACATGCGATGTGACGATTATGGCAATTTCCGTTTCCTTTTACTTTTCTTCTTTTTTCTATTTTTTATATTTGACCACGTCGAAACTTAAAAAATCTTTTATCCAAGGTGTGTCCTTGCTACGTCGTTTTTTATTCTGCTCACCAAGCTTATCATAGTTTTCCTTTTTATGTATTATTTTTTTCTTCTTTTCGGTTCTCAAAAGGTGGAAGGAAAAAAGTGCAAAGAAGGAAGAGCAGGAAGGAGGTGACGAGAGTGAAGAAGAATGCTTACAACTTTTCTTCGCTTATTTTACTTTTTCTAACTTCAAACAAATATTAATTATTCTCATTTAAATTCGTTTCGGAAAAATGTTTATGTTTCTACTTGTTATAATTATTTCTATGTTCACTAGTAGGGCCGTTAAATAGTTTTATTTTTTTTTTCCTTTTGCAAATGTTAATTTGCTTTCTCGTAATGGAAATGAAAAAAAAAAGTTAAGTCGTTTGTTCTGATAAATTTTCTTCTTCTTTTCTTTTCTTTATTTTTTTGGGTAAAAAGTCTAGAGGCTGAAGCAACAATAAGAATTTTACATTCATATATTCTTACTCGACTACTTCAAACATAATTTTTATCTCTTTTTTCATCATTTCATAACAAATATAAAAAAGTCTACGATTCAATTTCTTTTCATCTTTTTTCTTTTTTGTAATCATAAAAATAATTTTACTATGCGCAACATTGAGATTTATTTTTTATTTTTATTTTTTTGTCTTTGATTTCATAAATTGCTATTTAAGCTTTTTTATTTATTTTTTATTATTTTATCTTCTGTGACAATTTTGAAATTTTGTAGCTCAATTATATCAAAAAATCAGTCAAAGTTGACAAATGGAAAGTAAAAGTTTGCTTAAAGCATATGATGTTATGAAGCTTCGTTTCCCCTCGCTAATTACAATGGTGGAGAAAGAAATGTCAAAACACTACGGAGGTAATGTCAAAGCTTATTATCCTTTCCCTCTAAACGTGAGTATCGATTTGTTAAATATGAGTGTCGCTAACACAGCCTAGACCCAAATGATATTAAAAACTTAGTTGGACAAAAACGCTGTTTTAGTTGTTGAGACAAAACGAAAAGAGACAGAGAAAGTTATGACACGCAAAAAAAGTCAATGTATGCGAAGCGCAGAGAGCTTTTCCATATTATTTATTATTCTTCTGGGGTTGTAGTAGAGCTTCAATATTTTATGTGTCAACTAGTTGCATGCGATTCGAATATAAAATGACACAAAAAATAACTGACGAAGTATCAAAAGGAAAAGCAACTCATTTTATTTCTCTTCCTGTTGAGTTTTTTTCTTTTTTAAATCTTTCGCTTATGTCAATCAGTAAAATAAAAAAAGAAAAATTTTTTGAATATTTCTATCACTTAATAATTTGAAGGTAATTAGTGGTATTGTCTTGATTTGTTTTTTTTCTCTTCTTATTTTTTTTAATCTCGTCTTTCTTCAATAATTCAAAAGTAATCTAAATGTAACTTAATTTATATTGCTCGGTTTTGCGACAAACAAATCCTTTGATTGATTTAATTGATAATGATGGCTAATTCATATCAAATTTTCCACCACTTTCCTTCTACAATAAATTCCCTTAGTTTACAAGTGCTTTTATCACTTTTATACTCAAATAATGTCACTATCAAAACTGTAGTGTGGGGTACATCAATTAATCATCTATTTTTTTCATCATTCGTCTATTATATTTATATCAAAACTTATTTCACATCGACAAGCGTACAAGGTAACAAATTTTTATGCTTTATTTTTCACACGAACAATGTTCTTCTATTTCTATTTCTGATACATAAATATATATGTTTTCTAACTTCATATGATTTGTATAACCGAAAAAGAAAAGTATTTTCTCTTAATAAGACACTTCAGGTATTCAATTCATTTCTTCATTAATTACTTATCATTTGTTATTCATAAAGAGTTTCCCCAATCATTAAGTAACATTTTATTTTAAATTCAACATATTTTATCAGTAACATAAACATTCACTAATTGTTTACGTATACGTTATTGCATTCAACTTTAATGTTTTATAAGACAAAATTCATTTGAAAGGATAATTTGTCAAGAAGTGACAATGACTATCAAGCTGCAGAGTATCCGATCCTTTAACAAAAAGGAAATCTTTTCTTATGACATTAAATTTTCTGCTAGGCTGTAAAGAAATGACAAATTGTTAATGATGATAAAATGATGTGATGAATTGTGAGCGTATAACTTCAAACTTTCATAATATTTGGTTATTTTTTTTAAAAAAGGCAAGAAGACAACAATGTTGAAGATATGTATGTATGTTTTCTTATTTTCAAGGGCTTTATGCTTCGACAGCATTAACAATTCTAGTCAGAGTTCAGCATTTTCTTGTCATCGAGAGCTCTTGTTTGGTGTAATGATAATTTATTAAGAATTAAGTCTCAGCTTTTCGTATGAGACAGCTTCCCAAAATTGGTTTATTAGTTTTTGACCTATACAAACAACATGAAAAAGTTTGTTGTTATCATCAACTAGGCTTAAGATGTTAATTACAAAATTAAGTAGAAAGAATCTTGTTGGCATCGTCTTATATAAACTGCAATGTAATCTTTACAACATTGAGGCGACACTTTACCTTGTTTACACTTTTTTATGACACTCAAGGAGTAGAAGATGCAAAGTGTATCTCGTTGTGTATCTCTAATCTATATTTAATGTAATCCTATTGCAAGTTTCATAAGACGAGCGAGGAAAAAAAATATAAGAGAATATTCAGAAAAGATTCTACTTCCTTGTGCTGAATAAAACGATTTCAGTGAACCATAAAAAGTGATTACATTGTGATTAAAAATGAATGCTTTGCTTCATTTCAATATTTTTATATCTAACAATTGAAAAAAAGAATTTTTTTCTCGCCGTTTTGTAAAAAATTATGTTACATGCGCTTGAAATTTACATAAACGCACTAAGTACCTAAGAAAGTTAAACATCGAAGAATTAGAATAATAGAAAGTAAAAAATTCGCTTTCAACATGCTGGCTACTAATTTTTCATAAAAGAACTCCAGTGTGAACAGTAAAATGCTTGTTGCATAATTACTCTGAGAACTTTAAGGCTCAAGACAACTTGCCGTGAGCTTTTTGCAAAATATAAACTAAAGCACAATCTAAGCTTTTAAGAATTCACTCCAAACATGGCACACATGAAATATTAATAAACAAGTCGTCGAGTACTTTTATAAGCTGAGTAATCGTAATTATTATTTTCGGACACGAATCGATGGTAGAAGGAATTTCTAAGTTTCAGAAAACAGTAGTTGAAACATAATTATTGCCGCTGCTTTTATTTTGTTTTTGCTTCTCACACGAAATGCAGGAATCACTGGATCGTTAACATTTTATGATTTCTTTCCATATAAATTATATTTCGTGATTATTCGCCCAATTTTGATTAAAATCTTTGACCTTTAAATATTCTCTGAATAGACTTAAATATTTGCCGATTTTCTTGCGACAATTTTTCTTCTTACAAAATATTTCAGTAAACACTTCCAAATGTCACAGCAAAATGCTGATTTCATATTGGAAAATCAACTCATTTAAACTTTAAAAAGAAATTGATTTGTGAACTATTTGCGACTAGATAAAAAAAAACTAATTTTTCTTCAACTTATATCCAAAGGATATGTAAACTCCACGATAGTTAAATCACCACTGACGAACTTCTAACGTTTACTTGGTAGTGGGGGAATCAGTAAGTCCTTTTGCATCTGTTAGCATATAAATTGAAACTTTTGTAAACGAAACATTGTGCTAAATTCCGTTGAAAGTTTCTCTTTCAACTTTTTATTCTATGAAAAAATTTATTATTTAATTTTCCAAGGGAAGAGAATTTAATTTACTTTTAATTATTGGTTTAAAACAATACATTTTAGTTAATATTGACTACCAATATGATTTTTAAAACGTCAAATATTTTATGCAACAAATATGACACAACAAGATAAATAAAAGCACAGTCCACTTTCAACATGATTCAAATGCTAAAAAGCTTTCAAGGAAAAGCTTTTTTCAAATTCTCATTTTCCGTTATTCTTCTATTTGATAAGACAGTTGAAACATTTTATTTTTTATTACAAATAAAAAAGCAATAGAACCACCATCAAAGAATTTATTAATCCTTTTTTTTAACGGGCAGGCTCAGGCTCAGGCTCTGGTTCAGGTTCTGGTTCAGGTTCAGGCTCGGGCTCAGGCCCAGGCTCGGGCTCAGGCTCTGGCTCAGGCTCAGGCTCAGGTTCTGGCTCAGGCTCGGGCTCAGGCTCGGGCTCAGGCTCAGGCTCGGGTTCTGGCTCAGGTTCTGGTTCTGGCTCGGGTTCAGGCTCTGGCTCTGGCTCTGCTTCAGGTTCAGCTTCAGTTCCAGGTCGTGGTCTCAAATTCTTTACAAGTTTCAACAGAAATTTAATAAGAAAACCAATATTGTCGCCTTGTGCGTCAACCTTCTCAATATAACAAAACGTGCTGAGAAGCAAAAAGAGAATAAAAAGTTTCGGCTTTGCCATTTCAACAAATAGATACTAAATTGAAATATCTCGTTTCACTTCATTTTATAGTTGAATAAATTTTGAATACTTTGATTAAGTGTTGTTTAGTTCTAAACGCATGCATGTGATTCTTGTTATGAAAACATGAAATGAAATTTTCTATTAACTAAAGAATCGTGAGTTTCGTGTCAATTCTTTTAATAAGCTTACATTATTTATATTTCTTGCAATCTCTACTATGAAAACCAGAACGAAAAATTTTCATATTTAATCACATATAAACATAATTTATGAACAACTGCAGATGAATTTGAGCTTCATAAAATAATCTAAATAAACAAGATGCACACAGATTTAAGTTATGATGAACTTCTTTTGAGAGGGAATATGAAATGAAGAGAAGATTTGAAGAATTTCCAATTGGTTTGGTTTGAGTTTATTTATTGAAGATATAAAAGAAGCTCGAAGCAAAATGTTATAGCGATAATAATTTCATTTTCAATTGATGAAAGCTTTGAATATTTTAATAGAAACTGTTACAGTTCTTTATAGTTTATCATGATAAATTACTTGATAAATGATAACTTGAGTAGAAAAGAGATAAATTGATGACAAAATTAAGTTTCCAACGACACGACAAAGAAAGGAAAATTAAATTCTACAAAAAAAGTTCGACGATCTCATTCCACTGATTTTAATTATTTAACCAAAGATCATTGAATCCTTTTTCTTGTTATTGTTTATAGCAATTCGTAAAGAGTTCTTCTTCTTAAATTGTTTATCCTTCGACTTTTTGAATTGATTGAGTAAATAAAGAAAATATTTATGTTATTTAATTATTTATTATTTTGGAATCTAATATCGTTAAGACAACAACAAAATGATTATCTAAGAGAATTATTTCTTGTTGTACTTCTTGTAATTGTATCGTCCTTTTCTTTCGTATGGAACAATAATGTCGACTTCATCAGACGTCTCTTCATCGCTTTCTGATCCTTTTCTCTCGTCACAATCGTCAATGACAATAATTTTGACCTTGTCTGGTTTGCATCCGTTGGCACACGGTGTAGTAGTTTCAGGTTTTGGTGTTGTTGGATTTGGGCCTGGATTTTTTATATCATCGATTACGTCGCTGATGATTTGAAACCATCCATTGGGTAATTGAATGATGCTACCTGGTTTTGAAGGTGGCGATGGAGGTGATGTTGGAGGTAATGTAGAGGGAGGTCCAATAAATGGAGGAATATTTATGGTTGAAGGAATTTCTATTACAATGGGATCTCCAGTAAAATCAGGAAGATTTGGCAAGTTCAAATCAGGAATATTCGGCAGATTTACAGTAGGAGCTTGAATTTGTGGCAATTGAATTTTGCTAATCTCTGTCAGAACATCTTCAGTAAGTAATTCAGCAAAGGCTAACCAAAAGTTTAACACATCTTCTTGCTGTGCTTCAATAGGCTTAATTGTCACCATTCCAAAAGTTGCAATTGCCAAAATAAATATCGATTTCATGTTTGTCATCTCTATATTTTTTTTAAAAGATGTGAACGATAAAGAAACTTAATTATGAACTAAAGACATTCAATGAAATTCTCACTATTTGTAGTAAAAAAATTTCTTTATCGCGTGAGATTCTTCAAATCCATCAAATTCTTATTTAAGCTTTCATCACATTCTGAATAAACACGAATAAATAATTGCCAAATATTTTCGACGAGTGTGAATATCTTTGGAATGCGCTTCAAATGTTTTCATTCAAAAGCACATGCATCATGAATATTTTAATTTTTTTTTGCTTTAGCAGCTGACTCGCCAAATGAAGTGGTAGACATTTAAGAGTCGTTGACCTCTAAAGGCCGAATTGTTTGAAACACGCAAAGAAAAGTAGCTTTTTTAGATTAAAACCTTAATTTGACTTGATAACTATGCTTACAACTTGTAAGTAATTGTTTACCATAATCACAAGAAACAAGGCGAGAAAGTGAAATATTTTATGAGATAAATTAAGTGTTTTGGTCTGTAAATTACCGCCAGTTTGACTTCATCAATTTTTAAGTGAAATTAATGTTTAAAGATTTTTTTGTTTTGAAAACTGTGAACATGAAAAATCAATTTTTGATTAATGTGAGAATTTCTCATTTTATTTATTTATATTATGAATTAAGTATGAATTAAGTAATTAAAATAAATGAGATTATAAATTTAATGACACTATAAAAATGGGAAAATCATTCATGTCGTTATTTCATTCTCTGCATCATTTCATTTGCGTTCTTGAAGTCTTGACAACGAAGAAGATAAAAAAGCTTTTCTTTGTACTTATTTAATCAAGTGATGTCAATAAATTTCAGTTTCAATCAAGAAAATCAATCAAGTGAGAAAGAATTTTTCCGTTTTGTTAATCTTTTAAAACTTTGTAGGAAAGGAAAAACCAAAGAAATTTATATTTTAGTTTCCTGAGTTTCATTTTTTTTCCAGAAATTAACGACAAGCTTCATGATTCATTGAATAATTTATTTAACTTTTTATTATTTAGTTTAATCGATTGAGAAATTATTTCATGTAAATTTCTTCTATGTCAGCGTCGTTATTGACATAAGTTCGCTTGTAGCTTCCTTTTGGATGGTAAGACATTGGACGACTTTTCACCATGTCATTCATTTTGGCTTCTCCAAACTTCTTCATAACTGGTTCATAAGATTTGTAGATGGTTTGTGTATCTTCTTCAATCGATTCTTCACTTACAGCTTCTTGTTTATAATGTTTCTTGTGAGGTTTGCAAGGATTGCAAGGACAACATTGACATTCACATGCTGGTGGTGGTTTCTTTGTAGTTTTCGGGCATGGAACTTTGACAATAATTTCTCTCGTTTTTGGTGGCTTAACTGTTGATGTGGGACATGGCACATCGACAATAAATTCCGCAAGATTTGGCTTCTTCGTTGGATGATTACAAGGTGTAGTGCAATGACATGGTGGAGGCTGTGTTGGTTTTGGCTTTTTCTCAGTTTCGATAGGGAGTCGAATAATTTGACCACTTGGTGAAATGAAGATTGGATATGGAAGTGGATAAGGTCCTGGTGGTGTTCCTACATTAGGCTTGAGATTGTTTGATGGTGGTGGAGGTTTCGTAACAAATTGTATGTTAGGGAATAGACTGCCAGGAGAATTTGTAGGACTAGGAGTTGGAGTTGGTGTTGGTGATGGGGATGGGGTTGGTGTAGCTTGACGAGAATTTTGAATTGATGGTGCAAAACTGCTTATAATGTTTAAAACCGAATTTTTAACAACAGCTGGATCTGATTGGTCAGGATTTGTAATAGCAAAGTTTAAAACTTCCCAATCCGCTTCTGCAGCTTGCGAAAAGCTCAAACTGCAGAAAGATACAGTTAAAGCTATAAAAATCTTGTTCAACATTGTTCGAAACACTTTCCAACTAATCCAATTGACAACTGAATAATTGTTTCAATGATTTCGTATAATTTATATGAATTTTCTGTGGCAAATTTTCGAGCACGAAAATAATGTTTATGTTAGTCAAAAATGCTTTTCATGCATCAAAACTTTTCTTTTCTAGTCATAATATTTCTGAACATATTGATAAAACCTGACCATGTGCTTGTTTAGAAAACAACTTCATGTGTTTAAAAGTCATGCGCTTTTACACGAAAAACCTTGGAAAATTTCGAATCACTTTTGGAAATAAAAAGCCGAGACTTTTCTTTCTTTTTTGAACGCACGTAGAGGCGCAGCGTTGAATTAGATATTCGTTGGACAATCGATGAAAGTTAAAGCTTCGAAAATTATGAAAATAAAAACTTTTCTTCCCAAGGGTCAAACCAATACACTCTTCTTTTGTAATAAAACAAACCCATCCCACATTCACATCAAATAAGTATCACAAATTCTCAGCGTTTACATGTTATGTGGTAATTTATTTAATATCTGGTAATATTTTCAACCCCCAAATCTACATTTTGCATCTTCTTCGTCTTCAAAATGAAGAGAAAAAGAAATGCTTTGACCCAAAAATCAATTTCGTAACAGTATGATTGACAAAATATTTCATTCATTGACATTTTGTTACGATGATGATTTCTTTTACCATCTACAATTTTATTTTTGCTGATGCTTGCTTATAGCAAGAAGTTTAGAATTGAAAGAAAAAATGCTGTTCAAAGCTTTTCTGTTTGTTGGTTATTCTTGATTTAGAGATTCTTAACATAAAAGATTGATTCATGATGTCTTAAAAGCTACCTGCGGCCTTAATCATTGTTAGCATGATTCGTAATGGATAAATTGTGTAATTGATATAATTGTGATCGTAGATAAAGAGATAATTTAATAATAACTTAATAAGGAGAACTTCTACGCCTACGCATTTCGAAAGTTTAGATATCTTTTGTTTGTGTGAGTCACTCGTAAAGGTAGAGATGGAAAGAGATTTTCTATTTTGTCATGAATGTTTTATGTATGAAACTTTATTGATTTCACACATAGTAGAAACATCTACACACTCACAGATAAAGAAAAAAAGCTAAGAAAGAATATTTACACGCATGCAACTTTTAATTAAAATGAAAACTTTTTCAAACAACTCGATAATTACATTTTCTGGGTATCATCCATCTGTGTTTATGTTATATAAACTCAACATAAATAAATGATTAGATTGATTACAATTTCGTTTTTTTTCGAGTGAGAAAATTGATAACTTTTTGGAAGGAAGACAAAGAACAACAAAGTAAAATAAATAAAAAATAAAAGCGAAAGCTCTCGTCGCGCACATAATCAATAGTAATGTGATTTTGTTTTTATTCATTTTTATAGCTGACAACAATATCAATCGCTCAAAGTCTTGTTAAATATTTGACAAATCGTAAGCTTAAGCGGAACGAAATACGAAATGGTGTCTGAAGTTTGAATTCAGCTTTCTAGTGATTCATGTTATGTTTTTATTTCTTTATTCCTTGCTCGTGTTTGTTTACCATCAATGATAGTGTTTCATCCAGGGATGTAAGATGAAATGACACTTGAGCTTGTTATATTTATGTTCAGCTTTTCGATCATCAACACGAAAAATGAGTGGTGTGAGAAGTTTGCTTTGTTTTTCCCTTCAACAATCTTTCCATTCGTCTTTGTGCTTATAATGCGTATTAAAATGCTCTCTTCCAAGCCACTGACTTTATTGATTGATGATGAAGGTATTAGGATGATTTAGTATCGACATGCAGTAATATCGACTCATAAATTTATTATTTTTCAATTTATATTAAGTAGTTCATCATTGGCATCGGAAATAACACTAATTTCTGTTGTAGCGTTTAACTTCTCTTCTTTCATGTCTCAAGACACAAATTTTAATTAACCGTCTCATGTTTCTCCCTTAAAACGCTTCAATTACACCAAGACGAAGAAACTCCAATGATTTATCTTTGTTTGATATTAAACCCATAATGTGATTTTGTCCAAACCTGTTGCATAATAATTTTCTTTCATAGTATGGAAACATTTGTTCGGCTCGAAGGAAGGAAACTCATACACAGTTTTAAGAGCGTATAGTAAAGAATTTATTTGCTGGTTTTTGGTGTTATAAGTTAAGGGAGGGGACGTAAGTGGAAGTTTTTCGTATCATATATTCATCGTCATTTTCCTTTCAGCGTTGAAAGACTTGCTTTCATTTCTTCAACATATGATATGATTTTGTTTGTGAATATAAAGTTCATAGAAGCAACAAAAGCATGTGGAAAATGAAAATAATAATAATAATAATAAAGCAAAAACAACAAAGAAATGAGCCCATTTAAATTCAGAATATGTGCACAATGAACAATTTAAGCAATGATGATTTCTATATATAAAAACTATAAGTGTCAACACTCAGCAGTCGGTTATTTATGTAGTATTTGCATGAAACTGTTTATGCATGCATGTTTAGAACTTGAGGTGTCGACAACTTACTCAAAAACTCAAACACTTGGAACTTAAAAGTTTCTCTGTTCATTAATTATTTTTTATCTCATGAAAAATAAATTTGGGGCAAGATTCTTAATGTTTCCTTCATTCTTTCAAATTGAAACTGCAGATGAATATTTTTAAAACAAAATATTGAAGTTCAATTAAATGAAACAAGTTGCTGGCTTCTTGCCATGTTTTTGTGTTATTATGAAAGTTTTTGATTATATTTTTATGCTGCTTAATTATCTCTTTCTGAGAGTCTATCGTTGTTAACTCTAAGCCAGGAAAGCAAACAATGTAACAACGATGAAATTTCATCCGAAACATTGAGCTCTTCATTCCGGCCGTTTCTCTTCATTTTGGGCATCATTAAATGCTTCATTCTCGACTGAATATTTATGGAATTGAATTGAGATGAATTCATAAACGTAAATCAAGTTCTTATTTTTTTTCAGGTTTTTAAAACTCAGAATTATTTCGAACCTTTCCATTCATCATCACAAAAGAAATGTTATTCTTGACCAAATATTATTAAGTATCATATCAATTTAGCTTGAAGTCATACGCTCACTTATTTATAAATCAAGAACAAGAGAACAAAAAGAAATGCGACTCACCTTTTTCAATTCAGTTACAACAATAAAAAATATTCCTCATTGCTATCAACGTTTCGGGTTTTCAAGCTTTTTTCTTTCTTTCAACAGTTCTGTAAGAAAACACGAACACTTTTTAATGAAAAGATCGGAAAACAATGTCAGTGATTGCGTCAACTTAATAAAAAGAAATTCCTGAACACTTTCGACATAAATTTTCAAGTTTATGGTGTAAAGTTCATTGAAGTGGAATTTCCATAATATTTTCCATTATTTACATGTGGCTTGGTTGTGAAATGGGAAATATTCCGGTGAGATTATCAACATCGTGGAAATATTGAATTTAATCCTTTCTTGTGTAAAGGAAAAAAAGTGAAAGTCATCATATGACTTATGGAAATCTTTCAATAAAATACAAGTCGGACAAGGCTAAGAAAGATATTTTCAATGTTTGATATCTTGATAAATGTCGCTTTGATAAATTATATGATGGAAATGTAATTTTCCTTTCGTTGGGGACGCTTTTCGCGAAAGTCAACATTTTTCCATATTTTTTGTGTTACTTCGAGGTTGTATGCTTCATTCATAAGACTTTATTATCCAGAAAAATTATGATAAATCGCGTGGAAAATCCTTAAATCGAAACATGTATGTATGTATAATGGCAACCATAAATAAATATATGACTGAGAAAGTTACACATGGGTTGAAAATAAGCAATCAACTATTATCATATATGATGTTAATGATTTCAGAATACATAAAAGTTTTCCACAAGATAAAGCTGTGATACAAAGGAATGTGATTGTGAAACAAGCATTCAGCACAAAGGAATTATAATCTCGGAAACATTTCCTCTCAGCTTTAAATAAACATAAATAAGCACGTTTCTTTGTGAGATTGTTGTACAAGTTGAAACGGAAGAAAAGAGAGGAGGAAATGATTGCGCTTTACACGGTTTTGTGAGCTGTTAAAGAAACTTTTCCCTTTTTTTTATTTCAGTGCTGCATTTATATTATTGTTCCTTGGTATGCAACCTTAATTAAAACTTTTCTTCACAAAAACATTTCCGTATGAGAACATTTCTCTTTTTAATTAAGTAAAGTATAAAAGGGAACATTTCCTAAACGAAGAATATATCATTCGTAAACAAGTCTTAGATATCAACATGATAGATAAACCGAGATGACTTCATCCTTTTTCTCGGAAGTGACGAAAGAAAAATGAAAACGTTTGTTTTCTGTGCTTTTTTTTATTATAGATATATTGGATTGTGTTATTCTTTTGCCTTCTTTTGATGTTCCTTTCCATGCCATGCCGTCTAAAGATAATTTTTTTAGGTCATTTCATGAATGTATTTCATTTTCATTTGAATGAGTGATGATAATTCTTTTATCCTTTGCTTTTGCTATGCTTGATATAGACAGACGAACAAATTTCTTTTTTACTTTTAGTGTTTTGCGCTTTCTTAATTCAATATTGTGTGAGGAAAAACATTTGAAAGCATTTTTGATGAAAGCTTTTCTGAGTAAATAGGAAAATTGTTCACGCTTAAACAGCAATTTGACCTCGAAAATAACCTAAAAGAAACATTCGCAAACTTTTATCTATCACGTTGAATCATATCAGTTTGCTTGCTTTTTTTTGCAAATATGTTTCTGTGATTTCTCTTTTTTGTGGAATAAGCGAAATTCTATATTTCTACCAAGAATATGCCGTGACATAAAAAAGTAATGAAATTCAGCTTATAGAATATGAAATGAAGATTGTTCAAGGAGAGAAAGATTAGTAAAGTTTAATTTTATAAGCTTACTTTAGCCTCAAAAGATTTCGAATTTAATTAACATTTTCTCAGAATGATTCTGTTGGTGAAAAGAGAAAACAGAAAAAATATTTTCCTATAATGACAGCTGCTTAATCTAACACGTCATTCAAGGAATTATTTCTTTGAAATATGTTCAAGAATCTCTTTGGTTTATTAAGTCAGACAAAATCAATGACATTCATTCAATTATCGATATCGTCCGAGTTATCAATACACTCGACGACGACTACTTTTAAAACAAAACAAACAACGGAAACAAATCTGCTAAGTTTCCGAAAACACTAACACTTTTATGTCATTTTATCCCTCATTATCCTTCATGAAATGTTTATAGTCCTTGTGGCGAAATTGTTAGATTATAGAAGAAAGTAAAGGGACGATGAAAAACAAGGTGACCAACAACAACTGAGAAGAATTTTTCATTAAGTTATCACATTTTATTTCTTTGTTTTGTTCACGATTTGCCAGCACGTTTTCGACATTTTCAACTCGAATAATGAGTAAGAGAGGATTTCTTTTTATTTTCACTTTTAATAGCGATGATGAAATTATTCCACATTCACAATGCTGTGGCAAATGTAAGTTACATGATAATTAAATCATTGTCTAGTTCACTTTTATCCAAACTTCTTTTATTATTATTTTAATTTTTGTGCTTTGATGAATGATATTTTTATACTTGTATATTTTTTTTCAGACAGTTTCAACTTTTGTCATCAAAACTATTCATTCACGAGACTTTATTTCATTTAAAGTCGATTAATCATCTTCAACACATCTTAAACTTCAAGACACTTTCTTTATGCCTTTTGCTTCTTTCTTTTTTACCCCAAAGATTTCTCTCGAATCATTTAGGACAACTCCTCGTGAATCTATGTTACATTATGCGATGATTATTATGAATGGAAGCGGAAGAGAGTGTGGCGGGGGAGGAAAGTCTCACTTTTAATCCAACAAGAAATGAAAAAGTATCATATAAGTGGAAAAAGCTTCTTTCTTCGTGACAGTAGCAGACGAAGGAAAATTTCTCACTAAATTTTTCATAAGTAAAAGTTATCCGATTCTCAATTTTTTGGCTTTTTCATTCACTTTTCACATCCACTTTTAGAACTTTATACAATTGTTTCAAGAAATGTAGATTTAAATGATAATTTTTGATGATTTTTCTTTGAGAAAAATTAAATTTTAGATAGTTCGACGACGAAGAGAAAAAACCGTGTGGCTGCTACTGAAAACGGAAAGCTTATGTGTGAACGTTTTTCTCGTTGTTTGATAACGAAGAACGTCGAGAATGAAAATACAACACGAAGAAACGCAAGTCTAGTAGAAGGAGACTCACTAAAAGTTCAATGTTGTTATTGTCAACGTGAAGGGGAAAATGTCAGATGTGTTTCTCCCTGTGTGATCTCTTCAAATGATAAGAATTTACTTTTAAATACTTACTGAAGTTAAAACTTTTGTAACCATTTTTTTCTTTTTCCTTCTGTAATGTTTTCACTTTGTAAATTTGTGGTTAGAATGTGGAAATGACATCAATACCGATTAAACTTTAAATAACTTTAATTAATTTAATTAATAACAATCCCAAGAAGTTATTGCTTTTAAGAATTAAAGGAAGGTATGAAAGTTGTTAATGTCGAATTTATTCCATGCGATTGCGCGAGCTTTTCCTTCACTAACATTACCACACATTACTTTCTGTCATAGTGTGAATGCTTCACAGTAAAGCTTCCAATGTTTTCAATGTTTTTCACAGGATCCAATGAAACATCTGAAAGCTTCTGTTGCCTTCTCATCCTAAAATGAAATCATATGGAATGCAACAATTAGAAATTTTTGCTTTCTTCTTTTGTGTGCTCGCTTCAAGTCAAAAACAACAACATGAACGCAGTACATGTTTGGTTTATTCTCATGTTACGAACAGCGGGAAAGGGGAGAAAAAAACAAAATAATTTTTCATAGCTTTTCAGATGGTATGAGCGCTAGAAAAAAAATTAATGAGCAAAAAAATTACACAAGATAAATCATGAAATTAACCCTCTGTTAAAGAATATACAGAGAGCTGCCAACCATTCCACTTAATAATAGCATGAACAAAAGCACTTTAAGAAAATTAGCGATGTTCAACATTTTATTTCTGTCACTTCGAGCAGCACGAAGTTTCTTCTTCAAAAGAGCTTTGATAGTTTGAAAAAACCTATTTTTCATGTGATGAACAATGAAATCTGAACAGGAAACGTTATATTCATAATTCATTTTTCAAATGATAAAACTTGACAGGTTCTTTTAAAATAAACGAATAAATTTTGTTTCTCAGTCGTTGAGATTTATGTTATTTGAGATAATACTTAAAGTTACAAAAAAGCGAAGATTTCAATAGTTCAACAGTTGCTCGTATCCTTCTAGTGAACAACTAACACAAGGAGGTGAGAAGCTTAAGCTTTCATCGACCTTTCTCTGAGGTTTTTTGGAACTAAAATCATAGATTGACGAAAACTCTGCTTCATTTGGTAAGTAAATTGCTTCATCAACTGACGATGCTTCTTCCATCTGAATGAATGAATAAAAAAAGGTAATGCAAAATATTTCCCATTATGAAAAAGCTCAGATTTTGTCGCTTACATTATCCTCTTTCGAGTGAGTCAACATCCCGTAATCTTTCTTATCCGTATAAACGTAACGCTGCAGGTTCTCGTTAAAAGCTATCACTTTGTCATCGTCGTTCGTTTTGACATCATCATTTTGTTCGCATTCACATTCACATTCGCTGCCTGAGATTGATGGGAGAGTTTCTTCACCAATGTTTGATGCCATTGCTTTCATCTCTTCAGTTTGAGAATCTTGTCGCTTCTTCGATTCATTCAGAAGTGTGAGAACCTTACGAGCCATATGAGCTTTGAGAATTCTTCGAAGCTGTTTAAGTGCTTCTGCTCTTTCGATTAATTTTGGATTTGGTGAGATCTTTTCATCACTTGAATTTGTTTGTACAATGGTTTTAGAAGTCGTCAATTGATTTTTTATCTCTAGCATCTCTTCATCTTCTTGCCTCGGAACAACGAAGCTTTCGATTTGATTGTTGCTTTTCACTTCTCGAATTTCCTGAATATCATCAGTCGTTCCTAACATTGTTGCTTTTTCGACTTGTGAAGTGCTTTCACTTGAAGGAGTTTTCATGCTTTCTTGACTTTCTGTTGTTGTACTTTCCTTCATCTCTTCTAACAATAGTTGCGTAGCTTCAGAGGCCTCGGAAGTTAACTCTAAGCCTCTATCAAAATTATTGTATTCTATATCAGCAGGTGTACTTTGAATCTCGGTTGTGTCGTCTGTCAAACTGTCATCAGAGTTGATTATTGTTGTTGGTGTTGCTGTTGTTGCTGTCATATTTTCCTCTGTTGATAATTTACTGTCAATTTCATTTTGTCGAGTGTCAATTGTTGTCGTATCTGTCACTAAAGTTGACGTAGATTCAATCGTTGTTGTATCAATTTCGAAATCGTCAAGTGACAATACAGAAGCAATAGAAAATATGATAAAGAAATTAATAAACTTATTAAACATCATCATTATTCACAATTCACATCTAAACCTTTTGAATCCAACTTGAATACTAAACGAAAATTGATGAAAAGCACGAACAAAATAGTTTCAAAGTTGTTTAAAGTTTAAAGAACTTAAAGTCACATAAACACGATGAGTTTAATTAATGTGCTTTCCATTCAAGGTTTTTGTGTAAAAATTTACACCCAAAATATTTTTAAATGCCACGAGACATTGAAGATACTTTTACGTTTCATTTCATTTAAATATGACAATCAACAGCTGAATGAAACGAAATGATTATGTTGTCGAAGCGACTCAATGTTGAATGAAAACTTTTCATGATCCATTCATTCCACATGATATTCTCCAATTTCACGTCAATATCTATTTATTTCCCTCAAAACTGTCAGACTGAGAAAACCGATGATTGAGTGATTTTGAATGTAAGCGTTTGCGTAATGAAATAAACATAAAAGCATATTGCATGGTTATGCAAAAAAGAGCAAAAATATCCGAACAAAAATTTGCTTTCGCTGCAATAATTTCATGTTTCTGAAACATTTCGACATTTTGACATGATTTTCCTTGCCTTGACCCGAATCTAAATTTCATAGCAATGCAGAAAATCATGAAACTTTATTTTTTGTTTGAAAGCTAAGATAATAAACTTGAAGTTAAATTCTTCTCCACCACAAATCAGTTTTGGAGAATTTTTTATTGCGTTCTTGAGACTTGATTGAATTTATTCCAATGTCTTTCTTTGAAAGTCTATAAAAAGAAGAGAAGCAATAATTTTAAAATTGTGTTTTATTCCCTCAACAGTTTGATAACCATTTGGCAAACGAAGCACAAAAAATTATAACGATTTACTAAATGTCCTGTTGAAGCATTAATGTTCCCAATCGTTTTTCATTTCTTGCTTTGCTTTATTTTTTGTTCACTCAAATAAAAAGTGGGAGGATATAAAGCAAGCAATAAAGATTTTCTTCCATCCTCTCAGCAAGCTTTAGCAGCTGTGAAAAACGATTAATCAAGTAACAAGATTGTGCTGTTTCATGCACCATCATTTCCTGCATTTCTTTTTATTTCTCCTTTTATCAAGCTGCGAAGGCCGTTTGAGAAAAAGAGTTAAATAGCAACAGGTGATTACGTGCATTAACATACAATGAGTCGTGTTTATAATACGAAAACCCTAAGTACTACTCACTTTCATTACAAAAGCTTTTGTAATTAACTTTTAAATTAATTGCGACAACTTCTACATTTTCTTATTTAAAAATTCAACACAAAGCATGATAGCAAGTTTATAAAGTTAAACGAGTTTTATCTTGTTAGCTACTGCATGGACAATCTCAACAATTTTATGAAATTAATCATAAGCGCGTCAGTTTCAAACAGCACGGAAGAATGTAAACATGAAAGAGTTAAACATTAGACAAGAGTAAAGATAACAATTAAGAATTTGAGATAAACGCAATTGAATGAGGCCGTTGCGTTGCAATAAAATTTTAATGATATCATAAACGATTAAGACGAAACATCCATAAATTTTGTTGATAACGATAATACCATTCATTAATAAAATGTGATAAGAAATAATTTAAACGAGTGTAATTTTAGCAGATTGCAAACATTTATTCAGTGTTGACACTTGTAGAAATATCGAGCAGAGGTAAAGAAAATTAAACCAAAATGTCACAGTTGGAAAATATTGAAATAAAAGTGAATAACGAAGTTGATAAAATTGAAACCAATACAAATGAACAAAGAGTTGACAATGCGGTTAAACAGGAAACTGAAAGCAATAAAGAAACAAAGGAAGCAGTCATAGAAGAACCAATAAAAGCTTTCCAAGTTCCAGTTGCATTCAATGTTATATCTGCACCAAGAGTTTGTCCACCTGGATATCGAATGGATTCGAAAGGAAAATGTCGGAAAGTTCTGTGATTTCTGATTAATATTTTTATAGTTTTATAAATGCAAATTCACTTTAGGAATGACTAAATTTATTATAAATTAATGAAAACAAATTTCGTTTGGAATGTGATAAGAGAAACTTGTTGGAAAATAAAAATATATCCGGTCTTAATATTGATGTTTCATATTTTCTTATCTGTAAATCTTTTTATCAGCCTCGATAAGATTTCAAATATTTCCATCGCCAATTCTTCCATAAATTTCTCTTGCAGTTTAAAAGAAGATTTAACAATGCCAAGTAAGAACGTTCAGCGAAGTAAATCAAATACTAAGAAAGCAGTAGAAAATAATTCACAAATTGTTCAAAACAAGCATCATAAGGTGATGTAAACTTAAATTGTTAAAATTATCAATCATAAAATTCATTTTAGACAAAACCACCTACCGGAGTTATAAAAGCACCAAAAGTTTGCCCTTCTGGCAAGAGAGTAGACTCGAATGGAACTTGCCGTGCTGTTTACTAAAAGTTTAATGTTTTCGAAGTTTAATATCATTTGATCTACGAGAGTTGCATTAAAAGTCTTAAACTTTTATCTTAAAATTATTACAAAAAATATTTCTTAACAGAAACATTAAGACTCGAATTAAATTATTAAACTCTTTGGATGTAAGCAAAACTCTTGAAGCTGAAATTTATTGAAATGTTCACTGCAACGAAGCAGTTGTTTTGTAATCACAAATTTACAAACCATGTTTAAAAAAGTTAAATAAATTACTTATGCATGCATGCTTGAAAGTTCGCATGTGATTTGTCATTTGTTGAACAAGAATTTCAATTAATTTTCCATGTTAAACTAAATTAGCTTCGATGTTAATTTCCATGGTTGTTCAGCAAACTGATTTTCATTTATAAATGAGCTTTAAGCAGTGAAAATGTTCGCCTAGATTTTTTCTTCCTCTGGACATCTTTAACAGTTTCTGCAATTGCTTTGATGAATCTGATTTGATTTATATGAGAAAATCAATCGAATTGGAAATTTCAATGAGGAAACACTGAATAGAAAATTCTTCAATCTTTTATACCTAATAAAAAAGTATTTCAAATTTTCTTCTGACTTTTAAACGAATTTATTTCGTATTTTCATTATGTTGTGACATTTTATAACTTTTAAGCAGCTTTAAACTTTCCACTTTTTAATGATATATTTGAAGAGTTGCTAGTTAAATTTCATTTGAGTTTGAAGCTTCTGATATTTTCTTATCGATACCATCAACCACGTCCGACAATGTCTTACCTTCAATAGACTCGTAAGACATCTCCGGCAACTTTCTTCTCGCTTCATCGTTATGTTCAACTTCATCTTCAAGCACGTCATTAGCGAAAATTCCAGGAAATATATTTGCGAACAATTTCTTCTTTGTTTTTAAAATTTCTTTACCAGCTTCAAATAAACTTGCCATTAAACCTTTCGGTGGTTGATTTATTGTTTCTATCGTAGGTGCATTTGTAACTGCTACTGAACTTGTTGCAGCTGGTGATGCTTCTGAACTTCTACTCGTTGTTGTTGTTTCTGAATACTCAGATGTTGTTTTAACAAATGAAGTTGTCGTTTCGATGGGCGAACTTGTTTTCTCAGTGGATGAAGTTGTTCCTTCAGTCAACAATGTTGCCGTTTCTTTAGGTGATGCTGCTGTTCCGGCAGGTAAAGTTGTAGGTAAAGTTCCAGCAGGTGAATATATCGCTGCTTCTGAACTTTTAGTCGTCGTTTTCATAGGTGATGCTGTCGTAACGGCAGGTAAAGTTGTTGATTCTGAATTTCTGGTCGTAGTTTCCATAGGTGATGCTGTCGTATCGGCAGGTAAAGTTGTTTCCGTAGGTGACAATGTCTTTTTAGAAGGTGAAAATGTCGTTGCTTCTGAACTTCCAGTTGTTGCTTCAATAAGTAATGTTGTGGTTTCCAATAGTGCACTTGTTGTTTCGACATGTGAAGCAGTTGTCACTAAAGGTGAAGTTGTGGTTTCATTCAATAAAGTTGTCGTTTCACCAGGGGAATCATCCATACGAACACTTCTTCGCATCATTGAGTGAACAGATGAAGTTTCCATTGGCAATTCGTAATTAGCTTCTGTTGTTGTTTTAAAATCCGAAGTGCCTTCACCGACTTCTTTTTGTGAATCCTCAAATGAGGTGGAAACATTCTTAAACTGCAGATCTGAGCCATTTGCAGCCGAACTCATTTTCATTCTTAAACTTTCATTCAGTTTCGATTGTTCAGGAAGTTTCATTGTTGCATTAATTGGAAATGATTCTTCAATTATTTGTGGTTCTTGAGAAAATGAATTGTCTGAAATATTATTTGAGCTCATGCTTGCTTCAATCGTTCTATTGAGGTTTTCTAATTGAATTTCAATTTGGTCTTTGATTATTCTCATCACGTCAATTTCATTGGAATTCTCCATTGAATTCTGTTTTAATAAACCTGATGGAGTTGAATGTTTGATTGAAGCCTCTAGGGGTTTGTTTTTAAGCACATTCAACAGCAAAGCAAGTTTGCCTTCATTGATTTGAGGGTCTTTTAAGGAAGCGCTGGCATCACTTGAGGATGTGTTTAAACTTTCAATGTTTTTCAAATTGTCTTCTGTTGCTTTCGAGCTTAATTTTGCGTTTTTGGCATTGAACTCAGAATTATTTTCTTCTTCTATTCCATTATTTTGGCTTGGTTGAGTGGAATTAAGAGCAGACAAAGTCAATGACATCTTTGCAATGTTCTCAGTGGTCATTTGGTTTAAATCTAAATCAGAATGATGTTCATTAACAACAGAATTGTTTTGTGGTGACTTAAATTCAGAGATAATTTGCTTTTCACCATCATTTGTGCTTTCTATTTGCATTTTCTTCTTGTTATTTTCAATTTCTTCTTCTGCATTTTCATTCAGTTCTGAAGTTTTTGTTTCAGAAAACATTTTTTCATTTTTATTTGAAATTTCCTGTTGAGAAAGTTTCGTCATTAAATTCATATCGAATGGTTCTGTTGTAGTTTTTGGAATATTTGGTTGAAGTTTATCGAGATTAAACTTTTCATTCTTGTTAAATGTGGTCTTGAGATTTTCCTGACTGTTTAAAGTTTCCATTTTTTCATCGGATTTATAAATCCTCGACAACATCATCGCTAAATTCGGTGCATCATTTTCAGTCACATCAAAATTTGGAGAAAGTTTCATGACAATTTCCGGGGCTTTTGAATTTACTTCCGTTTTTTCAATCTTCATGTCAGTTTCGATACCTTCAGGTTGAGTTAGCTGTGACAAGTTTTTTATCGTTTGGATCAATTCTTCATTTCCTTCAAGATTTTCGGTATTTCTATTGCTGAGTTTGATGGACGAAGGAAATTCGTCATACATCTGGTTCGAAATTTTATCTCTCAGGAAATTTCCTTCAATTTGATTTCTTAAGTCATTTTCGATATTCTGATTCAAAATCATTTCAAAAATTTCTTCTAATTTGTCGTATGGAAATTTAAATTCATTCAGATTTCTTTTAAGTGCAGGTGTTTTCGAATCGGTAACAACACCAGCCTGATTAGCACCAAAACTTTCAGAATTTTCCATAAATTTATCTTTCTTCGAAGCGACGTTCCGAGAGATTTGTAAATTTTTATTGTTGTCATTTTCATTCTTTTTATTCGCTTCAATATTTGAGGCTTTCGTCGGTTTTTCTCTTAAACTCGTCAAATCATTTTCAATGTTTTTCGCATGAGTCTTTTCATTGATTTTTGAAGAACTCATAAATTGATTTAAAATTGTGTTTATAATGTCTTCATCAATGTTTTGGTTCGTTGTTTGCTCCATTGGTTTATTAAGACTAGGTTTAATGTCATTTTTATTGGGAATTTCAGACACGGATGGCAAATGTTTCACTGAGACGCAGCCTTTGCTAGCATCATGAAAACTGCCAGCAGGGCAATTTGATTCTTCCTCAATTTTCTCATCTAGAATTTTCTTCAACTCACTGACTGTAATTTTAGATAAGTCGACAGATTTCAAATGCCTATCGAAGCTGGCTTCCGTCCAATTCAATTTTCCGATATCAATTTTGGGGGTTGTTTGTTGAGTTCCTCCAACAAATTCATTTCCAACTTTAGAAGGCTCGACACTTGTTTGATTTCGATCGAAAATTTGAGCAAATATTTGATTTTGATTCTTTGTCTTTTTCTTTATTGATGATTTTCTTGGTTTTCTTCTCTCTTTTTTGCATAATTCGCACTGAAAATATTCTTGTTTGAGTTTTCTAATTGATTATCAATTTGTTATTTCTTACCATTTCGTCTTTCATGTTGTTTTCCATTTCTCCAAGCTCAAGCATCAACATTATTTTATCAACAATAATATCATCAAGTTCACTGTTTGTTCTTTTTTTATCACACTGCGAAAATATCGAATTATTCAATATTAAATTATGGAAATTATTTTCGCTACTCACGAGAAATTTTCGTCTCACAGATTTTCCAACTAAGATATCATTATCGTCAGATGTGCTCACGAAAAACGAATTTATCAAAACTATAATTACAACGACTGCCCACCGCACATTTGACATTTTAACAAAAGCTTTCAGTGACAATTGAATCTGGTGAAATCACTCAAAAGCCGTTTTCTCAACGAGAATTGCTTTTAAAGTTTTTTCTTCACTCAAACACGACCTCATTAAAACTCATCAAATTGGAACAAATTGATTACCATAAGGGGCAATAAGTTGTTGCAATTTTATGACTCTCTCAAACAATTTTCAGCCCAGGGTCTTAACATGAATTCAATTTAACGATACAAGTCACAGCCCTGACTTCGTTACTGGAAATGATTAAATATTTTACACGGCTGAAAGTATACAACCGGTTATACATAAGTAATAACTGGAAATTTGTATTGTTTTGTTTCATTAATATTTTTATGGCAATTTTTACTTGAATTAAACCAACATTATTCTCGCTAAGCAGCGGGTGGGAAAGAAATGAAAGAAGTTGTTGAATAAATTTTCATAAAATTACATTAACAAAATAACAAATGTTTTTTAGTCGGAATTAAACTTCCGCCTGGAGAATTAAACTAAAATTAAGCTACATGTTTGCATCATACTTTCTTTTCTCTCTGAAATGAGTTTGAATTAATTATTAAGTCAGCTGGAATGTTACTTTTGATTGATCACAGAAAGGAAGATTATCTGTTATTACGGAAATATTTTACAGATTTACTTAACTTAAGTGTGAGAATTATTTAAGTAAATCAAAAACTTACGCATCTCAAAATTCTTGTGATTCAACCAACTAACAAAACAAACAATTCATTAGTGCACATTACAAATTTTGTGACATCAGAAGAAGCGCAATTAAAGCGAGTTTCGATAAGACTAACGTTAGATTATAATTATCTTATCGGATAATCTACAGATCAAAAATAGCTAAGAAAAAGCTTTGAAATTTTTATTTTATTCTCAGTTCATTTAAAGATTTCAAACAAATTACAGAATAAAATAAAAAGTTAACAGAAGAGAAAGAAAAAGTTCGAAACAATGAAATTTGTGTTGATTTTTGCTGTCGCTTATTGCGCCATGCTTGTTGAAGCTTCACCAGTATCGCGTATTGATTCAGAAAAGTTGAAAGATATCGACAAAGAATATCTTTATAAGATATTGAAAGCTTTGGGAGACAAAATTAAAGACATGGACATACCATCGGTAAGATTCGACCATATTTATGTATTCAACAAGATAATAATTATGTTTCATATTAATTCCAGCTGACAAACGTTATTTCGGCGCCTATCTACTGCGAGGAAGGATTCAGATATTATAATGGTCAATGTCGAAAGATTATAGGAAGAGATGACATAGGATTACCATTTTAATTACTACAAGAGACTTCTTTTAGTAATCACGAAAACATTATTCTGAATATTAAATATTAGATTAGAATAATCCTTGTACTTGTGAGTCATATAAGGTTTAAACGTGATGAACTTAAATACAAAATTGGAAAACCCAAAACGCAAACCTTTTAAGTATTAAAGATTAAGCTGGCGATTATCATTGGTGGATTTGATATCTCGATTGCAAAAAAAAAAACGAAACAAAAATTTCTTCTTCTTGCCAAAATATATTTCGACTTATAAGCTCTTGATGTGTATTAAGATATGAAATTATTTGTCTATAAAGTTCACATAATAAAATTTTATGTTGTGACGCGTCACTAAGTTTATGGTTTATCAGTTTTTATTGAATTATATTTTCAATTTCTCCGTCGAATTTTACTATTTATAAATGATAAACTCTAAGTTGTTTCAATTTTATCAGAAGAATTAAGACAAGCTTAAGTTGGTGCCTCTTTTATTCAACGCATCGTAACTAACGTGTCAATGATATTAACCTTGTTTTCTCTGATAAATATTTACAGATTCAATGACTTTGAAATTTGTATGTCACATAATGAAATTGTTGTTGATGATGATGAACAATAAAGCAAGCATCTAATGGGATGTGTAAAATTTTCTATTGAAAGCATTAAAAATCAGTGCTATTTACAAATAACGTCAAAGAAGAATGTACAGTAACACTTTTAAAAAATTAATGTCAACATCATTTCTTTACAAATCCAAAAGAAGAAAAAATCCGTAATTCGCAAACATAAGTGTGTACATAGTCATGCAACACGCAGATATTATACATAAACAATTACGGCGGTTGAAATTTCCGGAAGATGACAATTTATGAATCTCAATTGACGCTTTTTCTAGAGAATTGAATAATCTTCACCCCGAAGAAATTCCTTCATGGAATTTTACCTAAAAGTGATTCTCAAACTTCTCTTTTGATAAACGTTTGAGAATCTCTGTGTCTTCTTTTTTATCTTCTAAGTAATTCATTTGTCAGTGATATCAATTTCGATCATAATAAATTCTTGAGGAACTAATTTATCACATACAAATTGTAAAATTGATAAGAAGTCTCGTGTAGTTATGACGTAAAGGAAAGTAAAACCATGTGAATCATATAAACCCGGAATGTTCAAATATTTGGTAAGCAAGTAAAGAAAAAATCGATTTGAGTTCGGTTAAATAATCGGTAAGTCATATGCTCACCGTCAGTACACATAAGGTAATAAAACATTTAAGTCATGAATTTCAAAAGCATTTGTGAGAGAATTGATATAAAATTAATATTTGCATTGATTGCTTGCATTTTTGTGATTTGTGTGACGATTTTTGCTTCAATGGAATTAATGGAGAGAGAAGAAGAGTTGATTGAACTAACTGATAATATTGAAGATAGCAGTGAAACAACAGATTCTACAATGGTAATAAGCAAAGCACGGTTTTCCTTTGATATACATCCGTCACTTGTTATCATAGCGCCAGTTAATTGTCAACGTGGTGAAAAACTTGACACGACATCGGGACAATGCAAGAAATCATTTTAAGTTGAAATTGAGTAAATTTGTGAATCTCGAAAATTGAAAATCTCAACTTATGATGATGAAAGTGTGGACTAGTCAAGGACATATTTTGGATTCTCAAAATCAATGCAAACAATCAGAAGATAAATCAATAATCCATCTGATCGCATCATTAAGCTCTTTAACGTTCTCTTTTCTATTGGCAATAAATACATAGCTAAGTCAGCATCAACAGCAGCACGCATTCAAACCTGAAAAAGTATTTCATATGATTGTGAAAAGAAAAAAATATGTTTTCAGTTGATTATAATAAATTGATTTAAATTATAAGAAAATTATGCGATGTATGAGTCTCGAAGTCTACTTTTGTTGTTTGTATTTATTTGTTATTGTCAGGATGGGATAAAAAATGATTTTCTACAATGTCAACAACATTTTTCGCTTTCTATGATATCATGAAATCAATAAAGAAAGATTTGACTTCGTGATGTTCTGAAAAATTTCACTTTCTTGATTTCCATGAACTCCCGTTTAAATAATTTATCAAATGTTCTGGAAAATATTTTTATTTTCCACACAAACACACACACAAAGCACCCATAATTCAATTTAAGTGCGACGACAATTGTCTTCATTCATGAACAAGAAGATGTCAGAAAGACTCTTTATTCACTTAGCTGATAATGGGCTGGAAGTCGATGATATAGAAATATAAATTATAATTGGGATGGATTCTATTTCATCAGTTGACTGAGTGACTTGAAGCTGTGAAGTTGTCGTTTGAAGGAATTGAGATATAAAATAATAAAAAATATCAAAAAAGTGTAAAAATTCCAAAATGCTTCTCTAAAGAAAGCCAAAAAAAATCGAAATCAATGATCGAAGTTAATCAAGTAAACTGTTGAACTGGAAGAAAGTGAATTTTAATTTAATTAATGTTTATATCTGAACATTGAACTTTGATAATACAGAATGAAGCTTCAATTAATTTTATTTGTTGGACTCATAGTTGAGTTATGTTTCGTTCCTTTGTTAAATGCAAAAAGATCGTTTGGAATTACACGATCAAGAAATAGAAACAATAAACTTTCAGTTCGAAGGAATCAACATCATGATTTTGATGACAATCCAATGCCACCAGTTCGTCCGAAGCCATCAGCTCCGCAAATGAGTAAACCCGCTGGTCCACCACCACCACCAGCTGGGCCACCTCCATCATATCCTGGAATGGGTCACAATGCAGCACCAGCTTATGGTGCACCACCAGCATATTCTCCAAGCTATTCCAACCCACCTGGTTACTCAAACACATTCAGTCAGCCTCGCTATAATCAAATGCCAGGAAGCTTTGCCCAGCCAGGTTACAATGGAATGCCATTGGGGGGTATGCCGATGGGCAGTGGCGTCCCAATGAGTGGAATACCAATGGGTGTCATGCCAATGAATTCAATGCCTATGGGTGGAGGTTACGGTCAAAGAAGCAGCGGTTTTGGATCAGGAATTATGACAAATCTTTTCGCTGGGCTCGCTGGTTATCAGCTTGCAAAAGCTTTTAGTGGTGGCGGTCACCATCATAGAGATCGCGATGTTGTCATAATAGACAATCGGCAACCTTTGAACACAAATCCAGTGCAAACAACAAGTGGAGACGAAATATTGGCACCACCACCTGTCAACAATCAAGATTCACCACAAACGAACATGAATCCGTATTCGACAGAAAGGCCAACAGAAACTGTGACGCAAGTCGCTCCAACTATGAATGAATATAATTTCTATGGAATTCCCCAATATGGCATTCCGCTTTATGGCTACAGTCTGCCTTCTCAAATCACTGATTATTATCAAACTGCAGTCTTTACTCCATCACAAACAGAAGAACAACCAGCTAGTGGAAAGTAAAAAGATTAGTCATTTAAGAAGTTTAACTGTAAATACTTTCTTCGTTTTTTAAGAATAAAAATTATGATAAAAAAAACTCTGCGTGATCGCCGAGCGAATCATGAGAGGAAAAAAAAATAATAAAAAGAATTTCAGATGATATTTGAAGTGAGAATTCTTTGTCGGTTTGATGCTTCTTTTTAGATGTTTGAATAAGAAGAATATTCTCAAGAAAAAATGGCGCTTAAATGTGACAAATTGAAGTCATCAACATCTTAAGTAAAGCGATTACTAATCAAAACACTTAACAGATCTCATCTTCCTTTGTTCTCTCAACAATAAAATAATAAAATATTCAAATGATTCCTTTTCAGTTATTCTCTTTATTTATTGATTTCTCATCTTCATGCTTCATCATCTTCGTTCTCATCAAGACATTCACTGAATGTTCTCTCAGTCGATTTGAGAAATAAAATTAATAAAAGCTTTTAGTTTGTGTTTTCACTCGAAGGTGTAAAGATTAATTTAAAAATTATTCTCAAAGATGAAAGTTTTTTTAATCGCATTATGCTTAATTGCTGGGAATTGCTGTGAAGCAAATGAAGCTAATTATGGTGTTAAAGGTGGCACTAAGCAAGGCATGAAATCTTACGGCGGATATTTTCATGATCCTGGTCATAATCACGGCGCAAATCATTTCATTCAAGCACAAAATTATCATCAACCAGCACGACAGCTTTCAAATTATTATCAGCCTTATGGATGGAATTTTAATATGCCACAGAGAACTTACGGTAAAGAAGAAATTTAATTTAAGAATGTTTTTTAGAATTAATGTTTGAATTATCAGGTGGAGTGATTCAACCAAACACGCCAAGCAACCAACAAGGCTTTGGTTGGTTTGGTGGACAAAACCAGCAGGATCGACAATATTCCAACAATCCTGGACAATATCAAATACCCAAACTTCCTTCATTATTTGTACCCAACTTTGTTCCACCAGTTTATTTCCCCAATAATAATCTTCCATATCCAAGCTTCCCTAATTATAATTCATTCCCGTTTGCACCGCCTTTTGGCAATTACCCCAACACTGGAGGTCAACAATATCCAAATAATGATAATCGAGGTCAATTTGCACCTCAACAACCATCACCAAATACCAATCAAGTCCCAAATATTCCAACTTCAACAACTGTTAAACCAACACAGGGTTCTGAAATTCGCGGTGGTGGTTCAGACGAAACTTTTGCGACAAACGCATTTTTCCGACCAAATAAAAGACCTGAAACTTTAGACAGACATTGGACGGAAGAGGATGAACAAAAGTGGCAAGCGACAACTAAAGCGCCTTACTTTGAAAATAAAGTACCAGGTTTAGAATGTACTTTACCAGCTTCAGCGGTTTTAGGCGCAACAACGGCATTGAAAGCTTCAAATTTATTGCCACTTAACGTTCCGGTGGGAAAACCAATTTTATCATGTAACGCAACCGATCTTTTACAAGCTCAAATAAATCTTGATGGCATCATTTATGACTGTGCTAGATCAGCCATCACAATGTCATGTCCACGTCTTGATGCAAATCAATTAGTTTATGATGAGTGTCGAGGTGAAACGTTAGAGTGCGATGTTAGAATGTCACCAACAAGGAAAACTGTTTCATGTACGAACGGCACATTAATAAGCAACCATCCGATTGTTTGCAAAACAGCAACGCTAATGGAGAAGAAAAATATTCTCAATTGCATTTACAAGAATAGTTTTGACTCGGGATATTCCACACCATCAAGTGTTAATCATCACTCATCTCATCAACCACAGACAACAATTAGGCCACCGGTGAATACGCTTGTTCCGCCAATTCTAGTTACGGAAGATTTTAATAATGAAGGCATCGATACGAGATATTCTAAAAATAAATCAGAAAACTTAGACTTGATGGAAGAAGTCAAGCATGCTATGAGATCGGTTTTCCCAAGTGAACTCTTATCGATTGCTCAGAAAACCGATTATTTACCTCCACAACAATCTCCGTCGTCATCTTCGATGGGGAAAATACCAGACGAATTGAGAGAAGAAATGAATGGCGTGTTTCCACATGAATTGTTTGCGATGTCACAAACAAATGATTTGAACCAAGATCATCATGATTTAATTGACGAAAGGTTATCAGTTGTAGGATTGCAGAATAGAAACAATCAAGCGACAATCTCTGAGAACCAACGAGCTCAATGGAATGTAAACATTAAAAGTAATTCGAGAAATTCTGGAACTTCATTCAAGACTGGCACAAGTCAAATCTCACAAAGATTTGGTGGCAACGAAAGAGATGACGACGACGATGATCGATTAATTTTCTCGCCATAAAATTAGTCATTAAAAAACCAATGATGAAGTTCATTTGTTAAAATCATTAACAATCTCAATGATACTTGAACTGCTGAGTCACTTCTGAACTCAAAAATCGCAATAAAAAAATATTCAAAAACAAATGAAATGTTGTGAGTGAATTTTTTTCAGAATAAGTTTAATGAGAGAGAGTGAGAGATATTATAGCGGTCTGTAATTATTGTTGACGTTGAAAATGTGTACTCAGATTGGGTATTCATTCATCAGTTAATTTATTCATAAACGTTGATTCACTCATAACAATTAATGTCAACTCCTTCCTTAATTCATCTCTGACATTCCACATTGTTCCACCTGAACAACTTTTTGCCTCTCTCAGGTATGTAAAATAGAAAAAAAATCATTTCATTGCTTTTAATTCATGCTCAGTTGAAGTTTGAATTCTAAAGTTCCAACAAGTTAAACTATTGAAAATTTTCCCAAAAATATTTTTTCACAAATGATGAAAACTTTTAAATTATTTATTGCGACGATTGTTTTCATTTCAATCTTTACAATCATTAAATGTAATCCAGCAAGAGGTGGATATTCTGGTGGAGGTGGAAGGGCAAGATCTGGTGGATATTCAAGACGTAGCAGTGGTGGAAGTTACCGCCCACCGTCAAATAGAGTCGGAAGCGCTCCTTCACGTAAATATTTTCTGAGACAGTAAAAAAGCAAATTTTTGAACTTTTCATTTGCAGTTGGTTCAGGAAAGTCTGTTGGAAGTAATGCAGTACCACATGGGCCACCACCAGCATATCCAGGGTTAGGAAATCGACCGGTTTCAAGCTTAAACGCTCCACCACCATACTCACCAGGTTTATCACTTCCACCAAGTTACAATGGTTTGAGTAGACCAAGTTCAGCTTTTGGAAATTCGTTTGGAAGCAAAGGTCTAAGCGGAAACACTTACATCAGCAACAATTATTACAAGTCATCGCGACGTGGTGGCTTCACAACCTTTTTATCAAGCGCAATATTCTACGGAGTTGGCATGCAAAATGGTTATTTGCTTGGGCCGTACAACCCTTACAGACACGTTTGGAATGACAAAGATGACAGAGAATGGAGAGCAACAACCAAAGCACCTTATTTTGAGAATAAAGTTCCTGGTGAGATTGAACAATGAAAGGATTTTAAAGATTGTTAAAAACATTTTTGTTTTCAGGTTTGGAAAGTTTTCTTCCAGCTGCTGCTGTTGTTGGTATGAACAACAATTTCTTTATTTAAGTTTCTTTGTTTTATTTCCTTTTTATAGGTGCAGCAACTGCATTTGGATTAGCTTCGCTTTTACCACTTAACGTTCCAGAAAACAAACCTTTGATGTATTGCAACACTACAGAAATTGCACAGACGAGAATCAAACTTTATGAGAATATTTATTCTTGTGTTAATAAATCCATTTTGATTTCATGTCCCAAAATTGAAGAAAATTTATCGGAAGTCGGTGAATGTGAAGATAAAATTATGCAATGTGACTTGGGAAATAATTTTGACATTCTTTTCTGTAATAATGCGACATTATTCAGTAAATATCAAATTGTATGTAATTCGACATCATCTGAAGTTGACAGTAAAAATGAATCAATGACGGTTTTAAATTGTTTCCAAGGAGTGCTGCCTGAAAAGCTTGCAGCATTCATTCCAACGACTACAACTGAAGCACCTGAAAAGGTTGAAAAGGAACTTTCATTAAGTGCACGAATTCACGTTTTCTTCTTAAAAGTTATTGGAAAATCCGACATTATAGAAAAGACAACATTAGCGCCTGTCACTTCAAGCTCTCAGGTTGATTTCAACGAAACATTTTGGATACCAGAACCACTGACAGTTCCACCAGAAGTTTCATTAGATGAAAGTTCAAACAAACAGAGAATGATTTCTACAGATCAGCCCGATTTAGAAGGTCGAAGTGATTATGAAGAAAATCCCGATGCAGACGACGCTCAAGAATCATTCAGTTGAATGATTTGCTAATATCAATTTCACTTTTAAGCGGATAAAAAGGTAGCAATTTCATAAGATTCATATTTGTAATGACATCTCTTAGTCATCATTTGTGGAAAATAAAATTAATTACGGCAGAAGCGAAAACTTATCTTTGTAATTATTTCAATATTCATTTAATGAAGAAAATTTTTAATAAAAAAAATTGCAAAATTCCCTGTCTGAATTCTAAACCATAAATTTATTATTCTTTTAATATGAAAACCACTGAACCTGAATCTTCTTAGAATAAAAATAAGACGAGCTACTTAAAGGTCAAAATAAACATTGATAAGAAACTTCATTTAATTATTCTCTCATTAAATGATTCTCTCCCGAATAAAATTGTAATTTAATCGGCTTCGACATTGAATTTTCATATAGTCAACATTCAAAATTGAGAAGTGCAACAAGTTTAAATATTAAAACTTTCTTTAATTTTTTTCATTCGCAGAATATTTTTAAGGCTCACAAATTAGCCATGAAAACGATTACGTTTGTTATTTTTCTAATTTCGATAACTTTCACTTCTTCGAGATCATCTTATGGTTGGTCAGAAGAAAAATCAAAAGAAAATATTTATGTGACAAATGGAACATTATTCAGTCGATATCCAGTGGTTTGTAACTCAACAACACTCTTAAATGGAACGAATCTTAACGAAACAACGACAATTTTAAATTGCTACGAGGGTGAAATAAATTCTAAGTTGGCTTCATTCATTCCAACAACCACAACTGAAGCACCAGTGACAACAACCATTGAGAAGTCACTTTCGATTCCTTCAAGAATTCACGTTTTCTTCATGAAGATGATTGGAAGAGGGGACGCCCTTGAGAAGATTACAACAACTACATTGCCCCCTCCAACGACTACCGATGATCCTCGATTAGCTTTGAAGGTGAACGATACAATTTGGGCTCCTGAAGCAATGACGTTTC